AGAGCCAAATTGGCAGACTTTGTCCATTATATCAGTTCAGCAAAGCCCTGGCTAGCATCTGGCCACACTGGACGTTTTATAGCCCATCTCCAACTATTAATCACTGGCTGAGACATCACCAACTCTCAAGAGGGTGGCTCGATGCTCCGTTAGAGGGACCGCCGCTGAAAATGCCAGGGCATGTAGACACAACAGCCCCGATGCCCGCTGACAGTAGCCCTCCTTAAAATGACAGAGTACATCGCAGCCAGACGGACAGAGTGGTGTCAGGGAAGCGCGGTGACAGGCGAGGGGACCCCTCTGAAAATGCCACCGTGCCTCAGTGGCCTACAGTGTCGTAGAGCACTGGTAGTATCCGCTTCGAGGTCGTGTCATGTAATCTGATCTAGATGGAGCGGACAGGGTGGCTCCCACTCCGGGATGTGGATGGGGTGTCAGACAAGCTGCTCCTCTAATAAGGCCTGCCATTCTAATGATCAGTCAGTCAGCCTGACCTTTGACCCCTACTGTTAGATGAAACAGAGAGAGGAAGGGGGAGACAGGACGGGGATGGTGGGATGGACTGCGGGTTCAAATGCGCAGTATTTACATCAATTAGACAAGCAAGATGGAGGTGCCCATCAGAGCCCATTAGGGTTGTTGTGGTTGGGGGCAGAAGGAGGGGCAGTGGGGGCTTTATGGAGGCCCAGCGGACACATCACAGGACTGCCCTTGATCACATCCTGTCACATTGATGAGAACTCTGTCAAAGCTGCTCCTACACAAGTACAGTATCTGTTTGTGTGTGTGTTTGTGTGTGTGTGTGTGTGTGTGTGTGTGTGTGTGTGTGTGTGTGTGTGTGTGTCACTCTTTTATTTCCCAACATCTAAATGTGAAAACAGAGAACCTGCAAAAATCAACATCCAAAGAAAGTAAAATTAGCTTTATTCACATTCAGTCTAGTTGAGAACAATAAAAGAGATGTGTTGAAGAAGTTGTACATTTATATTTATAACCCCAGTTCTAAAAAAATGATTGTTGATAAAGTCAAATTTTGGAGGTACATATTTACTGGTGTATGAAAAGTATTTACATATGTGGTGCCAGCAGCTTACTAAAAAACAAAATGAGATAATGACAAAACACTCAAAAAGTTGTGTGAAGCTACAAAAAAAGAAACCTAAAGGAATATCCCATTGAGTGGGAAAAGGTTCACTGTGAGAGACTGCAAAAGCAAATATGTGAGAAAATTCATGTCTTCAGGGAATTCATCATCTACAGAAATAATAACAACAAAAAAACAATAAAAATAACAACAAATTTGTGAACACACTGACAGAAATAAATGCAGTTTATTAGTTATAAAACCCTGACGAATATTGATGATTTACCAAACCTACAGCATCTTTTTCATCTGACGCATGATGGTAAGAATCAAAAACTAGCCAGATACAAGCTAGCTCATCAAACACCTAACAAAATTAATACTGGCAGCTGGTATCACAAAGAAAGGTCCTGTGGACACATTTTATGTCCTGTAAGACTGACTGCATTGCTCCTAGACATCCTGGATATTATGTTAAGACAAAAAAGAATATATATCAAAGATGCTTGATGATTTATCGTCATAAATATCCCATATATTGACTCTTTAACCGTCAATGTCCACAAAACTCAGAGTTCTGTATGGATTGAGCCCTTCCTAGAGATGGTAGCGCTGCTTGACAGAAAACACGTTTGCAATCGCGTGTATACCGGCTGTTAGGTTTAAAAGAGCCTTACAGTTTATTCCCTCTTCCAAAACTTGATTTATGATGACTGAAGATTTATGAACACACTTTGAGTCATTCAGCAAACATGTAACACAGCTCAGTTCATGTACCTCTGGTCAGTCAGGGATTTGTATTGATGAAATATAGTTTATTACACTCAACAATTATTTTTTAACAGCATAATTATTGATTTTTTGGATGTGCGCAGGGAAATATACAGCGGTGTGTGCAGAACTGATGCTGTAAAGGTAACAATGGAAAGAAAAACAAAACACCAAGGGGAAAAAAGCACAAAGTGTTAGATAGTAGTGACAAAAAGTAGCTGAAAATATGGATAAACGACCAGTCCCCCTTGCCATTTTAACCTTTATTTTATACGAAATTTACCTTTTGAGATACAAAATCTTTTTTCTGAGGTAGTCCTGGTCAAGACAGAAAAGTTTTAAAAGAGGAACAAGACAAGAAAATGACAAATAACCCCAATACACTGCTCAATATATAGTCAGCTTTCACTTATTTTAGCAGTCACGGTTCGATTATCCTTAATCTGAGTTTTAAAATCCTCAAAACTTGTAAAAGGAGCCATTCTCAGGTGACCATGTAGCTCAGCTCATGATAGAAAGTACAACATATCCATTTGATTTCATGCTTATTATTTGTTCTCCTGTATGGCTGGTACAGCTGGTATCCCCTTGGTGTCAAGGTTTCATTCATAAATAAGGTAAGTGCTCTCTCCCACAGTGTTTCTTAATAACTGTCGTCAACAGACCTTCATTATTTATATTACAACAAATGAGTCTAAGTTAGGAACATATTTACAGCCGGGATGATTAAACATAGTTAGGTGTTTTCTCCTACAATGAAATTGTTGTGAATTCCTTCGATTGGATGCTCTGAAAGAAAACAATGCAATAATACACTTTTACATTAGCGACAGCATTAGCCTCCCATTTTCCTAAACTGTTCAAATCAAAAGGCCTGTTCTTTTTCAACCCCCAGTCACTCAAATTTCATTGTGACCATCAAGCATATTCCCACTGCTGCCTCATTTAATGTCTCGGGACATTTCATTTCTGCAGTTTTGATAAGCCCCGTGTTTCTTTATTTTGTTGGCGCGCTGGCTGTTGCTGCTTATCAGATGCAAAATAGCACACCTGCTGTTCCAAAACGCCCTCAGTGGGTTCAAATTAGTGCTCCCCTGCTTCTTGTTCCTCTGTTGAATATGCTGCAGCAACAAAAGGACGACAATGTTTTTTTTTTTTTTTCTTCTCTTCTTTTCATTACGAGTTTGTTGAATTTAGCATTTCAGATTTGTGAGTGGTTTTGACTGGGAACAATCAGACACGATTCCCCTTAAAAAAAAAACATTGATTACAATGATCAAAACTCATCAGTGTGATTAATAGAACACAATAAAGAACCCCTCCTGAGGCGGGATTTCATTAGAGCATTGTGACAGAGCATCCAAGCAGGTAAAAGGTGCAGAGTGAAAACCCCGAGAACAAGGAGAGGACTTCATAAGGCAGAAGTATCCCATCTTTTATTAATGTCACTCCCTAGGACAGCAGGTTTTTGTCAGTCAGAATGGATAATGAAGATGTTGGCGGGCCCGGTGAATCCATCCCTTTAATACTCACATATTTTATGATAATGAAAGGTATTCAAAGAATGATTATGATAAAAGTGCGCTCCCCCACTGATGTGCCAGCACAGCTGTGCAGCAGCTCGACAGTCAGCTGCAGGCACCCAATGAAATGATCACACAGAAAGTAAAGAAAGGGATCCATGAGTACATACAGTGAATAGCTGATGGTTTTGTAGCTGGCTGTAGCTCGGCTGCACGGCATGTTACACTGCATGACGGAAAATAATGTGAGGGAAAAGCTTCCAGTCTTGAATGTCACTATTCAAGCCTTTTTTGATCTTATTCTGTCTGCATTCGCTCCATAGCATGAAGCCCTTTCTCCATCCTGACCTTTACACCGGGCTTGTTGAAACAGGTTTTATCTTAAACTCAACAACTCTCAGAGCAGGCTGTGTGTGTGCAAAGACTATTTGTTGTGCTTTCAGACACATCTTCCACTCGCTCTTTACATCAAAGCAGCAAAAATACAAACAGGGTTAAGTAAGAAGGAAATTTCATCATGTGATATTGGTCGCATATTTAAGAGGTCATACACGAGGACTCTGATGGTCGTGTGTTCTGCAGAGACCCCTGATGTGCAGATCAGTAACAATGTCCGAGCATCAAAGCTCAAAGTGGTGTATTGTACTGTATGTGCAAACAAACTAAGCAGCCCCTAAAGCAGAGCCATACCAGCCCAATGTGGCTTCAAAAGTTCCCTGCAAGCTGTAGGAAGCAGGTGAAAAAATAGAAGTGCATTGAACTTTGACCCAGGGTGCGCACTTGTTGACTGATGTTTCACACTGAGGTCGCCTTTTCCCTCAGCAGCGGTCTTCAAGAGGCGGGCAGTCTGTGTGTGTGTGTGTGTGCATGAGCAGTCCCCAGGGAGATGATCCCCGTCTCTCTTTGAAGGTCTTTGCTACAGAGCTGTTTTCATACAGCACCGGCCAGTGGTTTCCTGTCTCAGCTGACCCCTCATCTCCTCATGCACACTTCAGAAAAACTTCCCCAGCTCGAACACCTTTCTCCCATTAACTACAGAGGCTGCAGGAGGAGCGAGGAGGCAGAGGGGAGTTTGAATCTCAGAGTGGCATCCTACCCGAGAACAAAAGAGGAGGGCATTAAAAAACAAACATGATAACCAAATCAGCCCATCAGTGGTCTGAAGTAACCAGCTGACGCCTCTCAAACTGTTTTTCCTGCTTGAATGAAAATAAAACTGCAGCCGTGTGCGCAGACTTCTAGCAGCTTTTAAGGAACATTTTGAACTCTTGAAAAGCAGCCAGAGAAATCAAATACATTTTACAACAGATTCTCTGGGTCCACACATGTGTGGTGCTCCATCCAGCTGACACAACACAGGGTCAGAGATGAAAAGAGGATGGGGTTCACCGTGGATCAGTTCCACATGGCCCTCGAGAGGGGCAACAAAACAGCACAGAACAGACGACCATGTAACCGGCACACCTGCATCCAGCATCCAGACACATCTCACACCCAGGAAATCTAATTAGATACATGAAAGAGGCTGAAGTAACAGTTGAATCAACAAAATCACAACTTCTTTCTTTCTTTTACCTGTTTGTTTTTTCCTTTAAGAACCACAGCTCACAAAAAAGAACACATTTGATACACAGATCATGGTCTTTATTTCCAAATGGTACAAAGCCAGTATTACTGAAATAGAACAATACAAAAAGGAAACAATGGAGGAAATGTGTTGTATGACAGGCAGGGGTCCCGGTGGGCTCCCTCAGGGTGTGTGTCGTTTAAGCTGGTCCAGTTTGCGTCGCAGCATGTTGTAGTTCTCTCTGGTCCCAGGAGCCTCAGGGTCCAACTGTAGAGACAGCTCATAGTGTTTCTTTGCCAGCTCCAGCTTTCCCCAGCGATGATACAGCCCAGCTGAGGAAGAGACCGAAAAACATTGGTCAAGCTGAGAAGCAGCCATCATTATAATTGTTTTTACTTAGCTTGTTCAACATGGGTCATTGAGGCTGCACGTTAACGCTCCTGCTAATACAGGATTACTTTTTAAACTTCTGAATGTACCTTCAGTCTCTGAGCAACTGTGTACAAGTAGAAGGAGCTTACCTGGATTGCCATGGCAACTGGCAGACTTTGGGTTGATCAGAAGTGTTTGGAGGAAGAAACTCTCTGACTCATGATGACAAAAATATGTTTGATACACAAACTGATCCTACAACAACACAGAGAGCTAACAGTAACTATTATGGATTCTAGACACCAAAAAAGGGTGAAAGTAACACAGTCACAGAACTTAAATGATCATATGCTCAACTTTGTTTTTAAAAGTTATCAATCTCTTGAGTCCTCTTTCTCATTTTTACTAATTAGAATTTTTCTAAAAATAATATACTATGATTTTTTTTTATAATACTATAATATAACATTTATATCTAACAATAATATATTTTTTGGCATACTATGACTTTTTTTTATCATAACAAATTAGAACATTTTTTATACTATACCATGACATTTTTTTACTGTACCATCCTATGATTTTTTTTTATCATATTATACTATGACCTTTTTGAAAATAATATACCATGATTTTTTTTCATACTATACTAGGAAATTTTTATCATACCATACTATAATTTTTTTTTTATCATACTATACTATGACATTTTTATCAAACTATACTATGACATTTTTATCACACTAGAAAATATTTTTTTATCATACTATACTATGACATTTTTATCATACTATACTATGATTTTTTTATAACACTATACTATAACAATTTTATCTAACAATAATGTATTTTTGGCATACTGTACTATGACATTTTTTATCATAATATGTAATGACATTTTATACTATACTGTGACACATTTTTTACCATACTATTTTATGTTTTTTTTTATCATATTATAATATGACATTTTTTTTTATCATACTATACTATGACAATTTGGAAAATACCACACCATGATTTTTTTCATACTATATCATTTTAATCGTACCATAGCATGTATATATTTTGTCATACTATACTATGACATATTCATTACACTATACTATTACGTTTTTATCAAACTATACTACGACTTTTTTATCATACTAGACAATGAAATTTTATTTATTGCAATAAAATGATTTTTATCATACTATACTATTACATTTTCATCATACTATACCGTGAATTTTTTCACAAAAGAATACAAAAGGACATTTTTAAAACATAACTGACATTTTTTTTCGTACTTTGATTGATTTTTTAACTATACTATGAATTTTTTTGTCATACCATAATATGACATTTTTATCATACTATACTCTGATTTTTTTTATCATACTATACTATGATTTTTTTAATCATATTTTACAATGACATTTTTATGAATCTCGAGTTTTTTTATTATACTATACCATGATTTTTATCATACTATACTATTCCGGTTTTTATCAAACTATACTACGAATTTTTTTTTATACTTAAGTGACATTTTTTATCATACTTCACAATGATTTTTTTTTTAAATATAATATGACATTTTTATCATACCTTACTTTGACATTTTATCATACTATGCTAACATTTTTTGTTACACTATAATGTGACATTTTTTCATGACATACAATGACATTTTTAATCATATTAAATTGTGACATTTTCATCATACTTGACCATCATTTTTTTATATAAAACATTACTGATATTCTTTTTAGTACTTTGATTTTTTCTAACTGTACTATGAAATTTTTTGTCATACCATACTGTGACATTTTAATCATACTATTATATAACATTTTTATGATTCTATACTGTCATTTTTTTCATACATTTTTTTCACTTTTTGAGCAAACTATACTTTAACCTTTTTTTATTGTACTACTCTCTGACATATTTAATCATTTCATACTTCCAAAATTTCATAGTACTATACTATGACATTACTGTACTATGATATTTTTTTATCATACTTATCATATCATACGATTTTTTAACAAACTGTCGTTTGATTTTTTATTATACTATACTATGGTAATTTTTATCACACTATATTATGAGATTATTATCACACCTTACGATGACATTTTTTATTTTTCTATACTATAATTTCTTTAACATACTATACTATTACATACATACTATATTAGTTTTTTTTTAAATCATTATATAGTAAGACATTTCATAGTACTTTACAATCATTTCAAACATATTTTACCAAGACATTTTATCATGCTATACTGACATTATTTTTTTCACACTATCCTTTGATTTTTTTTATCATATCATACTTTGACATTTTTCTGTCTTACAATACTATGCCATTTGAATCATACTGTACTGTGAATTTTTTTTTTATTATATGATGACATTTTTATTTCACTATTATAAAACATTTTTTAACTTACAAAACTATGACATTTTTTTATCATTCTATCCCATGATTTTTATAATACTATACTTTGATATTTTATCATACTATTTCATGACATTTTTTTATCAAACTATAGTAAGACATTTTTCATACTGAAGTGACATTTATTATTATACTTTACTGATTTTTTTCAATTTCAATTATAAATTTTTATCATACAATTCTTTGACATTTTATCATACTATACTTACTTTTTTTTGACAATTTATCATGAAATTTTTTATCATATCATACTGTAACATTTTTTGTCATACTATACTATGAAATTTTTATCATAATGTACTTTAATTTTTTTTCATATTTTACAGTTACATTTTTTATCTTACTATTATACATTTTTTTATCATACTATACTCTGACATATTTATCATACTATACTGTGACATTTTTTTCATCATACTATACCCTGACATTTTTATCATGGAATACAATGATTTTTTTATGATACTATATTGTGAAATTTTTTGTCCTACTTAACTATAAAGTTTTTTGTCATACTAAACTATACTAAACAATAAACTATACTGACATTTTTTAATCATAAAATACCTCACATTTTTGTCATACTATACCATGACATTTTTATAAAACTGTGCTATAATGTTTTTATCATACTACACCGTTAAATTTTGGTCACACTAGAAAATGACTTTTACTTTACTATACTTATATTATACTATATGATTTTTTTGTACTATACTAGTACATTTTTTTATCATATTATTGTAGGATTTTTTATCGTGCTATAGTATGACATTCTTAATTAATTTACGATCATTTCAAATCACACTTTACAATGACATTTTACCATACTACACTGAATTTTTTTTTATTACACTACCCTTTGATTTTCTTATCATATTATACTTTGACATTTTTTGTTGTACTTCACTTTGACATTTTAATCATACTATACAATGAATTTTTTTCATATTGTATGATGACAATCTGATTTTACTATTATAAAACAATTTTGTCATACAATACTGACATTTTTATCATACTATACTACTTTTATCACTTTACTATGACTTTTTATTATATTATTTATATTATATAGTATATTTATTATACTATGAAGTGACATATTCATATTTATCATTTTTTTTATCATATATTTCTTTGATTTGTTGATCATACTATACTTTAAACTTTTTTTTATGACACTATAATCCAAAATAATTTATCATTCCATATTATGACATTTTTATCATACTATCCTAGGATTTTCAACATACTATACAAAGATTTTTTTTCATACTATACAATGACATTTTTATCATCCTATACCTTGATTATATTAGCGTACTATATTATAACTTTTTTCATACATACTGTTTTTTTTATTGTACTAAACTATGATATTTTTTATCATCCTATAGTATGATTATTTTTATTACACTATACTATAACTTCTTTTATACAATGCAATGACATTATCATACAATACTATGATTTTTTTAATTGTACAATGATTTTTTTTATCATACTGACCTTTTTTCATACTATACTGTGATTCATAATTTATCATAATTTTTTCCTTTAAGAACCACAGCCCACAAAAAAGGACACATTTGATACACAGATCATGGTCTTTATTTCCAAATGGTACAAAGCCAGTATTACTGAAATAAAACAATACAAAAAGGAAACAATGGAGGAAATGTGTTGTATGACAGGCAGGGGTCCCAGTGGGCTCCCTCAGGGTGTGTGTCGTTTAAGCTGGTCCAGTTTGCGTCGCAGCATGTTGTAGTTCTCTCTGGTCCCAGGAGCCTCAGGGTCCAACTGTAGAGACAGCTCATAGTGTTTCTTTGCCAGCTCCAGCTTTCCCCAGCGATGATACAGCACAGCTGAGGAAGAGGCCGAAAAACGGTGGTCAAGCTGAGAAGCAGCCATCATTATAATTGTTTTTACTTAGCTTGTTCAACATGGGTCATTGAGGCTGCACGTTAACGCTCCTGCTAGTACAGGATTACTTTTTTAACTTCTGAATGTACCTTCAGTCTCTGAACAACTGTGTACAAGAAGAAGGAGCTTACCTAGATTGCCATGGCAACTGGCAGACTTTGGGTTGATCCGAAGTGCTTGGAGGAAGAAACTCTCTGACTCCTGATGACAAAAATATGTTTAATAGACAACTGATCCTACAACTCCACGGAGAGCTAACAGTAACTATTATGGATTCTAGACACCAAAAAAGGGTGAAAGTAACACAATCACAGAACTTAAATGATCATATGCTCAACCTCATTTCTGAAAGTTATCAATTTCTGGAGTCCCATTTTCTTTATTTTACTAATTTTGAATTTTTTAAACATACTATACTATGTTTTTTTATAATGCTATACTATGACATTTTAATTTATATCTTTATGTATATCTATATTTTAGCATACTGTACTATCACATCATTTATCATACTATGCAATGACATTTTTTATCATACTAAACTATGCTTTTTTACTATAAAAAATTATGACATTTTTAAAAATATTATACCATGACTTTTTTTTATCATACAATACTAAGAAATTTTTATCATACTATACTATGACATTTTTATCATACAACAGAATGCCATTTTTTTTCATACTATACTATTACGTTTTAAATAATACAATATTTTGACATTTTTGTCATACTATACTATGACATTTTTATCATGCTTTACTATATTTTTTTATTATACTATACTATTACACATTAATCATTCTATTCTATGACATTTTTATCATTCAATACAATGATTTTTTTATCATACTTCACTATGACTTTTTTTTATCATACTTTATCATGAGATTTTTATAATACTACACCATAAAATTTTTATCAAACTATACTATGACATTTTTATAATACTATACCATAAAATTTTTATCAAACTATACTATGACATTTTTATCATACTATACTTTGAAAACTTTTTTATACTTTACTGACATTTTTTTTTATCACACTATAAAGTGTTTTTTTTTTATTATACTATACTATTACATTTTAAGTCATACAATAGAATGACATTTTTTGTCATACTATACTATGACATTTTTATCATGCTTTACTACAATTTTTTATCATACTATACTATTACACATTAATCATTCTATACTTCGACATTTTTTTTTATAAAATATAGTGATTTTTTTATCATACTATACTATATATATATTTTTTTATCATACAATACTTTGGCATTTTTAATCATACTATACTATAACATTTTTCAATCATACTTTACTATTACAATTTAATCATGGTATAATATGGTAAGTTGTATTAACTGGTTTAAGAGCTGGGTAACTTCTTCCTTATAGAGTAGGGAGAGGAAGAAAATATAAACAGAGTATAACAAGACTAACAGACTGACAAAGAAATACAGCGAGCCAATTAATGACAGAAATAAAAAAAGCTCTCAAGCATAGATATATTTATATTTGGGTATATATAATATTTGGTTTTTTTTTGTGTACTATCACTACTATAAACCATTAACCACTGGAACTTTCATTTTCTGTCCATCTCTCTTTAAGGCTTTGTTTTGTTAGGTTTCCCTGTTGTTTAGCTTTCATGTGATTATTTTGTCTCATTATTTCACATTTAAAAGGGAAAAAAGACGAGAAAAACAGGCTCAGACACGCTGGAGAAATAGATAAGTTCCCCTGTGCATTAAAAACGATAACTTGTTTAAATATTTGTATGGCACTGACTGACCTTGTACTTCTGCAGTTTCCCCAGCACATTAGCCAATGAAAACATGATGGTGTGGTCATTAGGGATGACCCTCAGAGCCTCACGACCAATCAGCTCTGCTTGACCCAAGTTACCTTTACGATAGAAAGAAAAGAAAACAAATGTGGTAGAAATTGACTTTTTTGATTCCATACTTACAACACCTACAGCTGTATTTTAAGTAAAATCTAAACGATATTTCAAACAAATTTGCTGCTAAATTCCACACACAGTAATAACCGCAGATACAACAGTAATAACAGCAGGTATCTGCTAGAATCTGACTGCTTGCTTTATTTGTCAGCAGTGTCTAGAGCAGAGTTTTTCCTTCTCCACACATGGAGGAGCGGTTTAGCTCCTAATTAAGGTTGAACACAAGGCCCACTGGGTTATTGATCTCTGTCACAGAGCCGTCTGATGTCTGGCCAGAAATGTAGAAAGAGAGAGAGAGAGAGACAGAGACAGACAGACATACATACATACATACATACAGACGGACAGACAGACAGACAGATAGACAGGCAGAGACACATACAGACAGAAACAATGACAGTCCTGAGACATGTCCTGAGTCATGGCTGCTGCCCTTCAGACACAGCCTATCAATATGTGACTACATGTCTGTCTGGATCTTTCTGAATCTGCACTGATTCTGCCTTTTGTTTGTGGAATGAACAAAACCAAAGAGGAGGGGTGAACACCAAAGAGGAGAGAATATTCTGGATTCTGTGCTATTTGAAAATGACACCTATTGTTCTTCTTTTCCCTCTTTTTGTTGTTTGCCGGGGAGCTGGGGAGAGAGGGGTAGAATTATTTCTGTCAGATTTGGGGGAACAAATGCGGTGGGGAGACTCTGAGGGGGCGCTGTTCTGGCTGTGCTTGCCCACGTTTGATCAGGAGCACACTGGGCCCTGATTGGACAGTTCCAGTGCCCTCCAGGGAGACTCCGCCCCCACGGGAGCAGCTTCTGACAAAACGGCTCGAGCGTTTGGAAATCAGAGCATTCTCCACACGGCAGGGAAGAGTGCCTTCAAAACTCACAACACAAAGCTTTAATACATAAATTTCAAGCATTACTGATTCCTGCTCTTCCGGTCTAATCTTGTTGGCCATTTAGATTTCCTGCCTCTCCAAAATAACAAACGCTGTGTTACTTGGCTGTTAAAGCTGGAACAGGATCAACATGAACACAGAGAGCTGTTTGAAAATAAAATGAACAAATGTCTAAATTTTTGTAAAATTAATCTTTTTGGCTTATTCATGTATGTCTCTTAAATCAAAGTTCTACATGTCACTATACCTTTTACACAGCTACTGATCCAAACAAGGTAAGTTTTGTGTTATGCATGACCTTCTTTTTTTTATCACAATACAAAACAAAATAAAGATTGATAAGACTTTGGCATCACCAGATTTGAGAAACAGCAAAATACAATAAAAGCTTAAAAAATGTTGATAAAATCATTAAAAAGGTTAAGTGATCAAAACACTCATTTTAAAGCTCCTGTAAAGAGTTTTTAACTGGATGTGAAATGGATCATAATTGAAGCCAATTCCCTATTATAACCTACAAGAACAATACAACTGTCAGAAACATGACTGAAAATGTTTGTGTTGTATTTATAATGCCTGAAAGTCTTTGTTACGCTATAAAATAATGTTTTTCTTCTAAAACTTTCACCCTGTGTAAATTTTTACCTTTTAAAAACATTAAGTTACTCTCCAAAGTCTTAACTTTTGGGATTTAAACCATTACATTGATACTCTTTGCACTAACTGTGTAGGTTCTGCTGTTTTACGGAGAACATATTGCTGTTCATTTGGGTTTGAAATAATATATCAATGACTTGGAGTTTGACTTAATGATTAAGTCTATGTGTCTTTGTTAGTGTGTTTGATTTTTTTGTTCACACCAGTGTTGTCCAGTAAGATGACCATGTTGTTCCAGGCCAGACTATGGTCGGGTTTTAGCACTGTTGCGTTTCTCCACGCGTTCAAGGCATCCACATGTCTGTTTTGGTCAGCGTACTATCAGAACCGGAGAGAAGAAGGAGAAAAACATCTAAAATATAATTAACTATACTGGATTTGAATTGATTCCTAAGTGATCATAAACTTGATTTTTGTTGTAAAGTATTTCAAACTCCTTCTGATAAACACCATCTTATGTCAGAGTCTCACCAAGCGTCCCAGGTTGTAGTAGCAGTCTGGGTATTTCTTCCTGAAGCGGATGGCGTTCCAGTAGCTCTGCTCTGCTTCCTCAAACTTCTGCAGGCTGTTCTGAACTATTCCCAGATTCATCCAGGCTGCAGCAAAATCAGGCCTGCACAGATTAAAAAACAACATTAAGTAATCAGTAGGGAGCTGTTTTAAGATAATTTAGTTTTGGAATTATCTAATGACATGGTCGTTGATGTGTAGTGAAAGGTGGAGCGGTAATTATGTGCTGGGTGACGCACTGAATAGAAACAGCTTTAGACAACAGCTGCTCTGCCTCGATCAGTTCATTCCTCTCCTTCAGGATATTCCCCAGGTTGTTCATGGCGTGGACGTAGGTTGGATGAAGCCTGCAATCAACAAAAACGGTGGTTAACCTGACGTGGTGCTTTCTCAAACAAACGGCCATGATTAAATGCTCAAGAATAATCCTCGCTGCTTTTATAAGGACATACCTGACAGCTTCTCTGTAATATTTGATGGCAGTGGTTGCGTTCCCTCGGTCTGCCAGGTTCTTACCAACGTTATAATGGACCTGTGGAGTCAACACACAGGGTATCAGAGTGTATGTGTAGTTTCTTTGTGGAACATAATTCATGTGGACTTAAACTGACTATATAAACGGGGGAGGTTTTACCTTGGCATTGAGTGGACAGACAGATAGGGCGCTGGTGAAGAGGCTTTGCTCTGATCGCCACTGGTGACTACGCAGAGCGCAGCGAGCTACATACACACACAACAACGCGAACATGGGCACAAAAAGCAGCTTCTAGAGAGGGGGAGAGGAGAAAAAAGGAAACACTTGAGCACAACATGCCTTCCTCTGAAAGTACACAACTTTTGATTTCACTTTTATCAACGCTACAAGCAAAAAGAGCAAATTTATCTAATTTAATGTTGGCATTACACACTGTGAGTGAAGCCTAAAAAGGTGAGGAGAGCTGGGATACAAATATTTAAGGCTCTCAACACAACAAACCATCTGCAGGTTATTATACACTAAAAATCCAATTTCTACCAAGTCTGCTTTGTTAATATCTTTAGATCTTAACCACTGCATCTATACGACTTCTGTTGAATAATGCGAGTGGAAAACCTTGTTACAGAGATGTAAGAGATAGTGTGTTATGTTGGCCTTTTAATACACAGTTGGAGGAACAAAAAAGTTAAATTTCAAATGTCTTTGTTTTTAAGCGGATCTGAAAAATGACTTGATTCATGTTCCTTGATCTGCGTTTTGTTCTGAATCCTGAGGTTTATAAGTCACACGAGGACACCACCTGCTGCTGCTGCTGTCATCCATTTGTAGGTGAATCATAACTGTTTTCTAATGTCAGGCCTAAATCTGTATGACTGACTTCCTGAATCCTTAAAGCAGCCGGAATAGGTGGTTAAATAAAAGAGTTTGAAACAGGATAAAGTGACAATGCTGACAGAAACTGAAAGTTCACAGAGTTGAAACTTTGCTGGAAGCTAAAGGTTCAGCAGGATGTGGTGTCCTTTATTTTGTGTTATGTTTTTGGTATTTATCAGACCAACCTTGTGTTTAGACCAGCGGTAGCAGCAGTGTCCCAGTGAGTAGGCCAGCAGTAAGCAGTAGCCAGCCGAAGAGAGGTAGAGCACTCTCTCTGCAATGACGAAGCCCACCCTGAAAAATATGTTACAGGCGGGCAGAAAGGGGACTACGAGCAGCACCAGGCCCAAGGTCAGTGTCCTAGCAGGGAGAGAGAGGGCAAAGAAAAGGCCAAAGGATTATATACATGGACATCGTGCTCTGATGCTCATTTTGTCTCAACATCAACTCCAAAAACTCCTAAAAACACAGAAAACTTTCTCTGTGAGCCAACAGAGAATTTTAACCTCAATTGAGATTTTGTTCTCGTCACACTGCGATGGATAAGACAATTTTCATAATCGCGTCCAAGTCTAGAGAGGCCAACATCTACTCCGTCTCGTCCACACTGGGTGTGTTAGAGCCGGTTCTGCTTTCTTACCTCCTTCTCTGGCTGTCCTGCGAGCATAGGGCTTGACTTATCAAGCCTATCAGGACGCACCAGAGCAGCAGCAGCCACACCATCCTCCAATCAGTGGCTGACTTAATGAGAGGCACACAGCCCATGGACCAATCAAAACACAGCCACCAGGGACACAGCAGCAGCCAGGCATTCAGAGAGTAGTAGTAATTATAGTTCACAATCTGCCAATCAAAGGGGAACAGGAGGGGTGCAGAGTGGGAGGAAGAAAGGGAGGAGTATTTTTAGATTGGGGAAAAAAAAAAAGTCAATCAGTGTTTTTAAAAAATAATGATGGTTAATAAGGAAAGAGACATATTCAACTTATGTTTAGACTAAAATTTCTGATTAAATATGACATTTCGGGGTGAAACTGTGCTACAGTTCACACCAAATGACAAATAGTAACTGTACTCACTCTAAGAAATAGATTTTCTTCAAAAGACGCTGGATTATCTACTTCAGTAAATGCTGGTGGTCCTGTTCCCATGATCCTCCAGCGTGCATAGAGCATAGAGAGTCCTCCGAGACCCATGAGAGCCAACCGTGTTAGCAGTCCTGTTCGCAATATCTCACTTACCTGTCAGGGAAAATAAAATCACATGTCACTGACAGATAAAACTACACATGTAGTGGGCGCTCTCTGGCTCGGTTACATGATCACAATGAACCAAAAAGCCCCATTGCTTTACATTGAGGATGTATGTGATATGACAGTAATCATACAGAGAAGTGCATAATTTATGGCGGAAAAGAGGGGGAGGGGGACTGAACTGTAACTCACATCGAGTGAATTTTTCCTCAGGAGTAGCCTCTGGCTGAGTTCATACACATTAACATTACAGATCAGGAGGACATCAAAGGCTGCATTCACACCCTGGAGGAAAATAGATGGAGGAGGTTGTGGAAATGGCATTTAAAATGTATATAGGTCAGCAGAAAAATAGAGCTCAAGCTTCGATTATTAGACACGTTCCAGGACCTTTTTTTTCTCCTTTCTGGAAACTGATTCTCAAACCTAGACCTGAGCTCATGCCTCATACAACCCCTCTATAAGACCAATCCAATAAAAAGATTCATACACATAATTATTTGTTGTTTCACTTTGTTTTTGCTTGTCCCGGGACAGTGTGAGGGTTCTGACATGTGAAACAAGAATGTCCCACGACCTTTTTTCTTCCAATACCTTACGTTATTGAGCCAGTAACCCTCCCATTCAAGTGTAATTAATAAAGGGTGCAAAATACCAAAGAGATAACATTAACTGTCAATATTTTCCCGGCTTGGACTAAACTACCCTCCCTGCTGTCCCCTGTTGTAATTATTTTTCTAATAGTTAACCTAAAACCAGAGTGACTGCAACATGGAGCAAGATCTGAGCAGAAGCCTCTTCAATCTAAACCCAGAGCTGATTGCTTTATTCTTACCTGGATAATCTATCAAGGTAAGCTCACCCTGATGAGGTCATGTTATCAAGTGTCCTCTTTTCATCTAATACAACCTGCCCATGTCTCTCAACATGCAATACTGATCAGCAGCTGGAGCAGTATGTTGTAGACGTAAATGAGACAGGTCAAAACCCTAATGTTGCATTTTTAGTAACACAAAATGAAGTCATACGCTTTATGCATTTCATCACATCAGCCTGTCGATGCATTTAGACTGCCTGAACTTAAATCCCGTAGTCATACATATACACATATCCATACATATATACATATATACATGTATACATATAATCCACCTCCTCCTGTCTCCCTCCTCTTCTCAACTTTATGCCTTTATGCCAAGGATACCAGGAATCTGTTATTTTTCCTGCTTAATAACGTTAGTGGCATATTATTGCAGTTTAGTTAGTTCATGTTCATATTTTTGGAGGGTTAGGCTAAAAATAACACGATCAGATGGATGCGTACTGGACAAGAACAGGCAGCACATTAATGCTGTGATTGAGGCAGTTTCCAAACTGGTATCTGAACAGGATCAACTCTAACTATCTTGACTGTGGAAAACAAGAGTTTAATGTATAAAACAAGAGAAAAAACAATAACATTAGATTAACTAGACTGCCTAAATCAAGTTTTTTTTCTGCAAGTTTTCCTCATGTTTCACTTTTTGAGGTCCTCCTTAAAACACTGTGTTTACTGGGTCCATGAAGTCATCATAACTTTAAAAAAAAACAGACAAACAAAAAAAAAGACTTTGTACCAAGACTGTGATGCCTTGTTCTTTGCAGAGCATCGCTGCAGCACACAGCAAGAGGCTGACCATAACCCACTGCACAGAAAACCTGTCATCTCTGTCGCTCCCTGAGGAAACAAAGGCCGGAGCTGGTTAAGGACAGTTCAGGCTTAAAAAAAGTTACTGTTCAAACAGATGAGTTCATAAACAAACAGCTCCAGAGTGTTTGATGCTGGCACTGTGTTCATCAGCACATATAGACAGCTCCCTGTACAGTACGGTGCTGCAGTAAAGAGTAATGGCTGTGTTAGGTACATACCTCTGTTGAAAGCTTTGCAGTAGGTGAGGAAAGAGAGCTGGAAGAACAGGGCACACAAAAGATCTGCGCGGCCCACAATACCAGCCACCTAGTGTAGGGAACAAAAAGAAAAAGAAAGTTTACATGATGAAAAATACTTAAAAAATAGTAACAGCATTTGCATCCTTTAATAAATTAGCACATTTTGTTTCTATCACACTCTGTCTTACATCCAGGAACAAATGGAGGCTTATTAACAGAGGCAGGAAGAAGCTCTCATTACCAGCAGGCTTTATTTGTGTGTGTGCTCTATACAGTGTGTGGGTACAGTATGGTTGGCATCCTGGGGTTGCTTGCTTTGATACATACAGCAGGCCAAAGCCAACAGGCTGCCTGCCTCCCACCCCCCAGGTCTCACCCAGTCCTTGACCTGTATGATTAAAGCGAATGGAGAGGGGGAACTGCTGCCTTCCAGCCAGGCTTTACAGCAACAACACACATATTCTGGCAGGTCAATAAGCATCCCAACACAGCTAATAGTCAGGCCGTGCTAACACACGGATCCTCGGCCCTGCGCTCCCAGCTGTGGCGGGGCTTTTGTTCTTGGCATGGTACCACTGCATGTTTAGTATTAAAACCTTCAGACTTCTATGCCAGGATGCCATGATGTGCTGCTGTAGGGAGTCCATGTTTGTTTGTGACCCAAAATCCTGAACAGCGCATTTTCTCAAAGGGATTGCTGTGGACACATCAGCAACAGTTCATGACTCAGTCCAGGTTCATAAACAAGAAAGTGGGCTTGCATTATGAAGCACAACTGATGCATCAGAATAACAACCATGACCTATATATCTATCTTTGATGAGCTTGTTAAAAGTTACTTGAATAACTTGCCGGTAACTGTCAACATTTCTAACTCCAGGTACGATAACAACACTTTTCTGTACTTTGGAATACCTACTGGGAAAACACGCTATAGTCAGCATGCTAATGCTTTCCTGTATACAGTAAGTACTCACTGTTGTTACCTCCATTGTCCTATGTACTAACACGCAGCCTGTTGCACTGCTTTAAAGAGAACAATAGAAAGTGAAGGACCAGCATGCAGAAATTCTGAAGAACAAAATTAACCACGTCAAATCTGAAAGGTACTTACACTTTCTGTGTGAATGGGGTGTGCAGCAAAGAAAAGAGCAGCCAGCAGAGAGGTCTTGGGGGCGTTGTTCATCAACCAAGCATTTGTATCATAAGCCAGTCCACCAATCAGGATAGCAAACAGGTCAACCATAAGAGCAGAAATGACTGCATGGAGGATGATGTTTGGTACATGGAAGCTGACAGGGTGCAGGCCTCCTGCCAAGAGGTAGCTCAGCCTGCAGAAAGGTTCATATATAATAAGAAACTTATAAAGGTTAGGATAATGGTTCTGTGACAGAGCAGCACAGCAATTCAACAGGTTGGCAGTTTCTGTAAAGCCTTTGCAAAACATTCAACCTCACAGAAACTTACAGTTTAATGTTTTTGGTGAAGCTGCTCCAAGAAGAGCAAGTCAACTTATAAATACTCCAGAAACCCTTAATTATACTTTCCAGGAAGAGTATCAGCTACAGGCAGGTGAAGCAGTGCCTGAGGAGGCCAGCTGCTCACCTTTGCACCAGAGGAAGATAAATCTGCACTGGGTCCAAGAGACACAATGCCACACTTAAGGAGTGGCATTGTGTCTCTTGGATACCAACAACTAAACTACAGATTTGGTACAGGACTACAACCTGTATTTTTTTTTTCAGTCAAAGCCCAAGCAGAGTCTGGTTAAAGCATCTGGAAATTAGGAGCTAATGCTAGTACAGTCTTACAGACCACGGACACAGATGGACAAAATGGAAGAACCCATCAGCTCCAAAATGGCAAATCTGCCATCTCCCCATCCAGGGATCAAAACCGCTTCTTTCTAAGGCACCTGCATGGACTCTATTTTGCAAAACAAAATACGTCAAACTCATGGATGGCTTTCAAAAACTATTGTGAGATGTTTGCTCAGTTGACCTTAAATACAACTGTAAAGTTAGCGCAATCTATAAACTGCGATTGTAACATCAAATACACACGTGCAGACGAAATTCTGGTGTTCCAGACAAACCAGAACTTACTGTAAAACACCATTCACTCTACTGGTTGAAGAGTTGATAGTTGATGTGTGCTCTCACCTAAATGTTAGGACAGTGAGAGGTCTGTAGGATTTGTGACTAGAGTTGCTACTCAGGTTGCTTCCCCAGAAGTCATTGCTCCAGATGTTGTTCAGAGGTGTGCTTGGTCTCAAGTCCTGAAACAGAAACAAATAAAAAAAGCAAAAACTGAATGATGACAGCACCACTAACATAAACAGAACATCACTCTGCAGATGAACAAATGAAGACATATGAAAGAGGGCATCTGGACACTAATAAAAGTACCTTGTTATTGACAATCGCTTCGGAGTCATCAAACACAAACTCCCCATCATAACTGTTGATAAAGCACAGGAGTGCAACCAGGGCGACTGTGACCTTGGCCTGGACTGGAGCAAGTTTTGGTAGGGGTATGTGGCGGTCCCAGTAAACTTCAGATAATGCCATGATGCACCGGGTCTCTGGTCATTCTGTGACATCATTTGGTCCCTGTAACGAGGCAAGCTTGTTTATCTGATCCGAACCAATCCATATATTTGTACAGCACAATTGAACAATGATTTTCACCAGTGATTCAAAGTAGGACAAAAAAAGCACAATTAAAAATGCAGTGAAATACAAAAATAGAGCACAGTGAACCAAATAACTCATAAAAACAAACAAAAACACATTGAAGCCGGTACAACCCCTGCAAACACAGTACAAGGAATTTTAAAAAGACAGCATGGAATAACAAAGACTGCACAGACAGCCGAGGAATAAAAGTAAGTTTAGGGATGAGATTCAGAGGTATGAAAGGTCATGCGGGAGATATTTTGACTTAGTAGTGATGGGCACGGCAGTTCTTTTAGATGTACTAAATCACTAGAATCAGTAAATTAAAAAGATTTGTTCAAAAGATTCGCTGAATGGTTCAGGATTCAGTTCAGATCACATCCTCCCTTCATCACTCCTTTCTCATTACTTCCAGCCTAATGTTTTTACTTTTTTTAATTGGGAACCAAATCTGTTAAAACAACAGGGAACAACGGTCGCCATGAAAGTGTATCCCTCAGACTTATGGTATTACTCTACAAGATCTGACAGCAAACTCGCCTGCTCTGATCCTCGGAGAACATCTATGGGATATCTGACAAGATGGTGACGTACAGACCAGCTAAATGCCACAGTCAAAGAAACCTTCTTAAGGCTAACATCATTAAGTGCAGTGTGCCAAAACTGAGTATTGAGAGTATACATTAGTGTTGTCGTTCGCGAACGATTCGTCCAAAAGAACCAAATCTTTTACGTGAACGTACTGAACCGAATCACTTCCTCAAGTGATTCGTTCGTTTCTCACTTCAGCTGAGCTGTCAGCAGGGCAGATGCTATCGCACACAGCATTGCTAGGCGAGCAGCTGGCGAACGAGGGATCGTATGCACCGACGCCTGAATCACTTGGTAAAGGAATCACGCATCAAACTACACTCTCTGGAATCATTTTTTTGTCAGACAAAACTAACTTTTTTGGAATTTTTTACTGCTAAATCACTCATTGAGCCCATTTTACCGAGCAGACCTGATACATAGCATACCATAGGACAGTACACTTAAAACATCATGACTTGTAAACAAGTTCATTTTTACAAACCTGTTTGCCAAAGCAACACAGCCAAACACTCTTGTCGAAACTGAATCCTGAACCGTTCAGCTGTGTATCAGTTCAGGAGGTCGGAGTCACAGACTCCTCCCGCCATGCACTGAATGATATGGTGAGTTGATGAACGAATCTTTTGAACAAATCTTTATAGTGAACTGATTCTAGTGATTCAGTACATCTAAAAGAACTGCCATGCCCATCACTAGTATAAATGCACTTTAATTGCAGAGGTTGAACATTTCTGTACTTTTTAGATTAATCTGGGAAAATCTCATGCCATTTGCAATCCACAATTCACTATATGTTAGATTCATTCCTATTCAAACAATTCAAGGCTTAATATAATCCACTTTATGTGCAATAAATGTAGAATATATGAGTTTATCTTTTGAATCAAAGTTGTGTTGTAAATCGAATCATACGACGATATTCTAATCTTTCTATACGCAACCGTATCAACAGCAGAGAATTTATATGACTATAAAAGAAGCTCGATAAGATATTGTTATCTTTAGACAGTCTGGAGTCATACCTTATCATTTCAGGGTGTTGTAGTGAGAGGTCACCCTGTCCTGTGTTGGTCCCATGTTAGCTTCTCTGCCTGCAGGCTAACGTGTAAGAAGTATCATTAAAGTCCCAAGCGTGATGCTCAACTGTGCAGTTTGCAAAAGGAGGGTAAAATAGTGACAGTCTGAGACAGTCGACGATGTAAAGTGAAAGGTACCTTGGGAGTTAGCAGACTAATAAAGCGTAACTTTAGCATGTCTTGTTAGCGGAGGCTGTTCCCATTTTTTACGGCTTAAACGTCACAGACACAACACTGTTATCCGTCGGTATAAGACGCCCCAAGTTTTGGCTATTTTGCCTGAAATTGTGACACTTTTCATTCATAAAAGTCTAAACCGGTGGAGTGTAGACGGAGTACTCGCAGCAGTAAACAAATATACACGCTCAGGCTGCAACGCTTCCTGTTGTACGTCACAGTCACGTGTTAGTCATCAGCCAATAGTTGAAAAGCTGAGCAGAGACCGCTTTGTAGTGGAGTTGGTGGCGTGTGGGGTAGAGGATGCACAGTATGTTTGACAATAAAAGACAAAAACATGATGAGGAGGTACTATTGTTGCTCTTAAAGAGCAATGAATCTGATTAAAATATTAAAATTTGTACTGTAACACATCATTATGTGCACCTTTTCTTATACAACTGGTAACCGCAAAAGGTATGGTGGCCGATAACATCCACTGCTGCAAATAAAAAAGAATGCAAAAAAAAAAAAAAGAAAAGAAGCCACAACGGAAGTTATTGGTAGAAGTAGAAACGGTGAAGATTTTTTTTAAAAAGAGCCACAACAGACGTGAACGATGAAAAAAAAAAAAATGTTTCTTGCTGCAAAAATAAAAGGATGCAAATAAAAAAAGCCACAATGAAATTGAGCTGCTGGGGACCAATAATGATGATGCACCGGTGTTTTACAATCTAGGCACAGAAGATGACGGCGAGAAGACGAACAAAGAAGTAAGTGGAAAGGTTATTGTTTAATTTTGCTTCATGTACTTTTCAATTTGGTTAGACCATGTAGTGCCTGAGTCAATATGAAGTTGAACAGGAGGGTGCCAGTGTAATGTTAGCTTTGGCTAAGACGGGAAACCCACTACGGCCCGCAAGACCACCTACGAGAGTTCAGTAGCTTTACTCATAAAGTACGCAGACCCCTTGCTTTTTTATTATTAGTCCCTGGCTGCTCACTTCCATTGTGGCTTCTTTTTTTTGCATCCTTTTATTTTTGCAGCAAGTAACTTCTTTTTTATTTTTGCATTGCCCTTTTTTTTCTTCTTTTTCTTGTGTCATTAACTTCCATTGTGGCTTTTTTTCAAAGATTTGCACAATTTCTTTTTTTATTTGCAGCGGGCTTTGGTTTCTTTCTTTCTTTCTTTCTTTCTTTTTTTTTATCGGTAACTTCTGTTGTGGCTTCTTTTTTTTTGCATTCGTTTTTATTTGCAGCAGTGGCGGTTCTTGGCCACCATACAAAGGCTATCATTGCAAAAAAAAAATTCTAAAATCATATATTGTGTGGTATTACACCTCCTATCACTTTCAGATAAACAATTGCAGTTATCATTGTGAATTTTCAGTAATATAGCAATAGCCTATATAAGAATAAAAATATGTAGGGCAAAGAAAGTAAATATGAGTATTTAAGTGAATGCTAAGTGACATGTTAAGTGAATGTTGCATGATAGTTTCAAGAAGATAACATAGTGATGCTGTTAAGGGAATTGCTTGAACTTTGCACACTTTATTGTAAACACTGCTTACACCTTTCTGGAGCTCTGAAAGGTGTAAAAAGGATATTTGGTTTTGATTGACTTTTGCTTGAATGTTTGTGGTGTCCAAATTCAATTTGTTGTAGGATTTTGCAAATAGTTTAAGAAAAAAAAAATTAAGCATGAAAAATAACATTTTATCCAAGTGTACTGACTTCTATTTCATCTACATATTCTGAATAAAAAAGAAGCTAAAATGTTATCAGAACTGTCTGATATTTGTCCTTTTGCAGCAAAACCTCACTTTAATTTTTATTCTTTAATGAAGAAACATTTTCTTCATTTGAATGCGAGATGCAAAACCTTGGTGTGAAGGAGTTCGTGAATGTTTTTTCTGTTAGGATTTCCCACTGCTATTATCACTGCGGAAAAGCAGCATGGTGTGTGTAGTGCTGTTACAAGGCAGTGCAGCTGTCTCCTTAAACATGAGTAATCTGTTGTCTGTCATAGGATATTTCAGGCCCAAAAAAGTGCTTACAGAGAGATAAGTGTCTGTTAGAATTAAAGGTTCTGAGCTTGTAGAGGGGCCCATCACAGGCTTTGGGATTTTGTGCTCCACTTCACCTGTCATTGCTTCGAGGAAGAGGAGGAATCTCTCTAATGGCCAGAGCCAGGGGCCCAAGGCGACAAGGGGGCACATTCGCAGACTTTAAAAATGGGTCTCAGGGTTAGTTAGAGAAACAGATGCTTATTCAGCAAGAAAGCAGACATAATCAAGGCAAGCTATGAAACATCGGCCTTTTGTGCTGACAGGATCAATTACAATTTTTACGGGTGCTGCTGGACTTGGTGAATCTTCAAGGTCTGAAGATCTGATAGTTCTGACTTTAAAATGCTCAGATTGGTTCAGAGCGCCCACATTATTCCTGATCTAGTCAGTTTTTACATCTAGCCTTGGTACTACAAGCTTTCAGCAGACTTTTTCCTGTCTTGCAGGAACATGGCTAGTTTGACAGAAGCATTTAGTAACCCAAAAATACCTAATTACCACTCCATGCAAAATGCATGAAGTATGGATTTCAATTCATCTCCTGGTTCTTCACCCATGTCAGTCAGTTGGAATCCATGTTATTAGCATCACTTTCAGCGGGCTGGACAAGGCGGGGCGAAGAAGATAATGAGGCAGGATGTCCCAGTACCACCAAAAGAAGATCAAGTGGCCCAAATGCCATGGCCCAACGACAGGGGTGCCAGTTGAGACACAGTCAGGGTGGGTCCAGCGTTTTTGTGATCAGGCTGAAGGTGACAGACATTGATTGGGTGCAGCCTGACATAGAGTCACATCAGAAAATGAAAGGTCAGGGTCAAATGGCGTGAAAGTGAGGAAATGGGTGAGCATCACACAATGTTCAGAGATGAAGGATGCAGCCTGCATGTTTTTTTCATCATTAGCTGTTAATCGCAGTCGGCACAGTTTTCTTTCTCTCTGATCACAGTGGGTGATATACAATGATATTCTCCAAAGCCTTGTTTATTAAGGAACATGTTTACTAATGATGGGCAAAGTTTATATTGGTAAAACATGCTTTGTGCTGAAACGTTATACATTTTTAAAGACTGCATATCTGGCAAAAATAGATGTTCTGGAACTTCTTCTATTCTCCCAAGCTAATGCATGTTTATCCCCTTTAGACCCCAAACATCAAATATAGTTGGATTGAACCCGCTGAAAAAGAACTGCTTTAAAAGTTAGCTTCTGCCTCTGGATTATGTATCAAACTACTGAAGTCAGAAACTTTGGGATGTTGTCTGTTTGCATACAAACTTCACACGTCATTATATTACAATATGCATTTCGCTTTTATTTTCTTATGTGACCAACAATTTCAAAATACAACATCCATCCGATGGAAAAATAGTCTATAGGAACATACACATGAGGCTGAAAACGTTATATTACTGGATGATGGTAGACCTTTAATATTTTTTAATTAACACAATATTCACTTTTAGATCAAAAAGTTACTTTTGATATTTTAGCTGAATGTTGCTTGAGTCAGGTTGGCAACTTTTAACACAAGGCTCAGGGTGAAATAAGAGAGATTCAATAAAGATCCAAAAATGCAGTTTGGGTTTATCAAGCATAAAAGTAACAGCAGTTGGTGGGAATCAAACAAACCATGTGGCATAAAATGAGGCAAGGAAAAGAGCTGTCTGGAGGAATTTGTGTGTATGAAATTCAGCTTTACAGCTATTAGCTTTAAGGACTCAGTGTGGCCTACACCTACCTCCCTGGGCTGATAAATGGTAGTAATAGTGAGGTGGTGGCTGAATGTAAACAGTGGGAGCTGTCCCAGGGAAATTCTTTAATGAGTAGTTTATCAGTGACATGAGCTGGAGAAGTTGAATGCCAAACATGAGATACTTTTTACTTGCTGTCAAAGTTGTGGTTTTGAGAATATGTCAGTATTAGGATAAATGCAACCATCAAATGCGAGTGATTGCTGACAGCTCTGAAAGGTTTTAGGTTGAAATAAGCTCACTGATAATGATAATTATTATTATTGCTGTTTATGAGTTAAAATCACAACTACAATCTCATAAAAGCAGTTCATTTAAAGGGAGATGAGTGCAGCTGTTGTCTGGTAGGATTTTGTTTTCCAGATATTTTGTGATAAAACATGTTTGCAGTGGACACACGTCTGTTACAATGTCTGTCAGGAAAAGCTATTCCCAATTGTGCTTTTTGTAATAGTTGTGTGTATTTTTTCCTGCAGGCAAGAACCAGTGCTTGTCTGCTACTCCCCCCCATTTAAGTCTCTGGACTCCAAAGTGTTCTTGTAAAACATTCCTATTTTTGTCTGGGTGACAGAGGTCGAACAGACATCTACAACAAAGGTGAGTGAGATATAATTGACTATAAACCGGGTACTGAGTCATCGCTTGTCACATGCCCTTGTCTGAACCTTTATAAAAAGCGCTTTTCACTCATTATTCCTCTAAAACTTAGTGTCTCACCCTCTCTGATCAAAAGTTTCTTAATATCAAAATCCCCAAACTTATCCTTAAAGACAGTATTGTATCATTATACATGTTTCATCTCTCAAAAGTTCTTGTAAGTGACTGTTGATGCAGTGGAGCTGAACCATCTCTTTTTGAAATGTTAACCTCAAAGGTGCTGAATCCAAATGTCTACACGATTGAGCTGAGCCACCGGGACTTCACATGGAAAATCAAACGCTGTTTCAAGCACTTCCAAGCTCTTCATCAGGAGCTGCTGATGTTCAAGGCTCCTCTAAAGCTCCCCCTGCCAACCTGCTTGTAAGAACTGCTAATTTGCTCACCTTTTGTCACTCACTTACATATGCAGTAGACGAAAACCTCACACAGACGTAGACTTGCACAAAACTGACTTTTATCAAGGAAACCTATTTATACCAGTCCTTCCTCTCTTGTATTCCTGAGTTTCTCTTCGATTCACTCTCATTTCCTCTTGTTCAGCCGCTTGGAAAAATACAGCATGTACTCACAGACAGTGAAAACTCATTTATTTAACAAACCCACTGAAGGATTTCAAAAAGCAACTTCCAGCCACATGAAAGCTCCCTGGGTTTGGATATAAGCATACATCAAGCTACTAAAATTTAGAGTGAATAACTTTCACACCTGTGCCAATTTCAGTCTGAAATTTAACTGACTCCATGTTAAGTGTTTTTTAAATTTTGGTCGCAGCACACTTTACAGTGATATGGAAGATTTTATTCACATTTAGCTATTCACATATAGCTGATAATATTAAACTATAAAGTAGTTTAGTTCCAATGTCACGGGTATAAACTATTAAGCTCTATAATGCAGACTAAGTGATATTAGTGAGGAGACGGTTGATTATGAGAAAAAAGCTTAATTGGTCAGGAACTGGTTAATTTCTAGCCTTATAAATTGCCAGTTAATAATACAGTAAAACAGCTCAGTCACCCTTCGCCCATGAAATTGAACCAGCTTGCAAGTTTGGATGTATTTGTACACTTCTATAAAAGCAGTTCATCTCCACTTACTGACAGTAGCATTCAAGGAAAATGACCGCAGGTGAGTGGAAACACAAGTTCACCGAGCAGCGGATCTAAATTTCATTCATACATTGCAACATCTATTTAGTCGAAATGGAAAATTCTGCATATTTTTTTCAACTTGAACATATTGATTACAGCAAAATTTGTAGCATGGTAAACAATAAGGGTATCACAGATGGTCTCTTTGTCTCTGGTCCAGTTGCAAGACATTAAAACTGTCAAAAAATTCAAAATAAAAGCATAAAAAAAGTATTAAAAAATCCTCTTATGAGGCTATTTCTTTTCTAAAAACTATTTGGTCAGGGGGCTGGTGACACAGATTAAATATCACTTTGTACCTTAATAAAAATGGACAGTAAGATGTGAGTAAGCCCACTTATGAAATAACACAATCTTTTGTTGTCCTCTTGACTCATTTTGTTGTTTTCCATAACTACTGCAATAATGTGACTATCTTGTTTTTTTTTCTGGTTACGCTCTTATGTTATGTTGAAAATGTGATACTGTGACAGCCCTGGTTATACGGATAAGGATCCACAAAAAAACAGGAGAAAAAAAAAACCCTCTACTGATGCAACTTTACAATCTTTGAAGTTTTTGTATAAGGGAAAACTGTGGACTTTCAATAAAATAAAATAAAAAAAACCTTTTCATATCTTGTAAATACTTTCAAAACATTTTATAATAAACCCAATATGGTAAGTCCTCTGAAATCAACATGTCACAGCTATAATAAACAGTATGCTCTGAACAGCTGGGATGAAAACAGCTGGAACCCTTTTATCAGATGCAGCTTCAGGACAGTGTACGAGATCCTCAAAAAGCACCGTGCTCAGGATCCATCCAGTGACTATAAGAGCGGATACTTACAGTCAAAGCTGTGTCTTGTAAAAGAATGACATAAATACAGCCAAATCCATTGAAGGTAAGCTATCTACACTTTAATTAGGTGTGAAAGCTAACAATAATTTCATCCTTGTCAAGAGTTGTGTGGCCTGCATGAGGAGAGTCCCTTCACTGATGGAGAATGGCTTGCATTAATGAGGAGGAAACACAGCGGGCAGGAGCAAAGAAACTATCACCGAAAGAGCTAAGATGGCCGCTAATATCCATTGTCTACAGAAAAAGCAAAGACTTGACACATTATAATGATCGTGCATAAGTGCGAAGTAAGCATTTTAGAGTGGAACAAAGTAAATTTGTTTCAAAGAATATGTGCAACAAACTTAAAGAGGTGTCCTGCTGAAAAGTTTGCAGCTTCATTAGGCTGCCAATGTGTCAGAGGAAACTTATTTTCAAAGCTCAGGGAAGAAATTGGTCATTGCAGCGTCTTTTATTTTACACAGTTCACTCTCAGGGAGTAAGAGGAGAAATCTTTACTGCCTGAAAGTTGCTGTGTTTGTGATATTATGTTGCTAAGACAAGCATCAGACTTCATGCATTAGTTGATTAATAGACAAGAAAATCTTCATTTTGGTGAAAAAAAGGCAGAAGTGTTTTGATGGAATTAGTGCGCTTGAAATGTATCTAAAAGACAAAGAAGAAATGGTTTCGTAATCTTCTGTTAATACTAGCAGGAAACTCATTAAATATCCATAATAAGTCACATGTAATGCAGCTCTCATATTAGTCAGTTCCTCCTTACATCAGGCTTAAACAGATTCAGCTCCTTCACACTGAATTCAACCATTGTGTGTGTGTGAGAGATTGTGGTTTGTAGCCTGTAGATGGCTGGCGGTGAAGGACTCTTTTGTTCTCTCCATGAGGCCGAAAAACAACCAGGTGGGGATGGTGAACCTCTATGATAGGGGCTTTCACATCAAGATGAGCACCCTGGAGACCGAGGTCCATTATGGAGTCACTATCCACCACCTCTGCAGGCAGGAAGCGCCTCTTATCCCATTTACATTCTGCTGTGATGGCACAGCTATACATTTGTGCTGACTGCACTCCTGAAAAAAATACTTGTGTGGTGTTTTCTGTAGATCTTGATATAAACCCACAAATGTCACATCCATATTGTCGGGGGCTGGTGCATGCTGGTTATATCAGGCTGAACTAACAGAGGTGTGCTGGGTCTAAAGCAAAACTGTGGTTGTGTGCAAGAAAGATGAAAGTGGGTTCAAAACTCCAACCTGCAGCCCCTTTAGTGGCCATATTTGACACTTTATAGCCACTGATTGAAGAATATTTACTCATCATGTTATAAACTCATATTAGGTTAGTTGAAAAATAACAGTAAGCAGCTGCATAAAACTTTTCCAACAGTGACATGAAAAAATTTACATTTGGATGTTCCGTTTTACTGCTCACAAAACAGGCGTAAACTCTGAGTTGTCGTGGTTAAATCTTCACACTTTTCTTGACGTGGACCTGGGTTCTCAAACCACACTGGTTCATGAGCAAAAATTGGACTTATATTTGCATGTGGAAACCAAGACAGTACCCAAGTAACGTTGCAATTTACAGTGGTGTTTCCTATTTCTAATGGGGCAGTGTAATGGGGCGCTCACACCAAGCAAGAGTAAAATCATCTATTCGCTTAATTCGCACAGATCTAGACGTGTGAATGGATATTATTTCCTCGCTTTATTCGCGCGTCAATGGTAATTTCAAAGCTTTTTAAAAATTTTCCAGGTAACCCGACCTCCTCACTTGCCTCCAGGCGAGCTCCTTCCAGTTTCCGGTAATTGAAAGAAAAGGTATCATATAATTCGGGACACACACACACCAACACGATCAGTTTGTCCTCCATTTTGATACCAGTGAACAACCGTCTGTTTTAATGTTTCACCTGGCAACCTTCATCCTGAATATTTATCATAACGCGAATATCAGCTCAAGTTGAGGCATATTCAGCTGCTGCCCAATTCGCGCCATTCGCACCGCCAGAGTAGTAGGAGCATCTAATTGCGCCTTTACGTTGACTTAACATGTAATTCATTCACACGAATGTTTTTACTCGCGCTTGGTGTGTGGAGACAGTAATAACTAGCTCAAATTTATGCAAAAATGCAAACAATTATATGTAACACTATAAAGTCAGACAAAGCAAAAACTCAAAAACCAACTCCAAATGTTTAACAACTGTCACAATTCAACACCTGCAGTCGTCAAAACTCTGCAAATGACACAGATAGAGATTCAACCCTGTCCAACTCCATCATTTTACCAAATGCTCCACAGGTGTCTGTGGTCCTGCTTCCCTGTGTGATGGAGCTCTCATAACACATCAGGGCTCAGACTGGAAGAGTGGCAGCACCCAGCCAGCCTACTGTACAATGTCAGCCCCTGGGCACACAGACAAGACTGATACTCCGATCAGTCTCCAGATGCCGGAGCTGGTTCTCCAGGGTGATGAGGGCAAAACACTTTTCCCGTATCCCGACCCCCACGGGTTCTCTTTACAGGGGTCAGGGTTCAGATAAAGAGGAAGGTCGCATCATTCTGGGGGCCAGAGGCTGATTGTAGAAATAAGATGCATGGATGTGTGAGACCTAGCAGAGGCAAAGTTGATTTTTTTCTGTATCAAGGTCCCTGCTGTTGCCTTCTCCCTGGTGTTGCTCACAAAAGTGTTTCGCCAAAAACCCTCTTGTCGCCACGGCACCCCGGGCCCTGATTTGATTGACAGCCTGTCACATTATCTTATGACAGTGCTGGTGGAGGGAGAGAGCTGAGGAGTGATAGTGGGAAGTAGCTTGGGACTTGCAGGCACAGTTATACAGCAGACACAAACACACCCTAAGGAACTCTTACACAGTTTAGCTGCGTATTGGATGTACATCTCTGCTATGGTATGCAGCTGAGTGTGTGTTTGTGTGTGTGTGTGTGTGTGTGTGTGTGTGCATCATGCTCTGGAGGCAGATTTCTCCAAACACTGGGGAAAGGTTCATAGAGGGGCGCAGATGTTTTGCACACTTCGTACAATGTGCATGCTATTTCAGGCAGCAGGGTGTATGGGACAGTCTGCTGATTCCTTTATTATCAGATGAACATCGGTGACTATAGCTGGAGGTGGCTTCAGGCTTTTATTTATGTCTTCCTATACCCAAGAGATGCTTTAACGTAGCAGTGTCACTTCTGCGGTATTGAATCAAGGGGTATTAAATCAACAAAGAGAACTAAATATAGATGAAAGTCAAGTAAAGAGGGTTGAATGTTAAACTCATCTTTGTTTTTAGTGTCAGAAGATGTAAGGCAGAAAGAAGTTAAATCAGCGTTTTTTATAAAGGATTTGACAAAAGATGTACTCAGGGAAGTGCTCAGATATTGCTGCTTAAAGATAAAGTTTTTTTGACATTGATGAAATCGGCTGAAATTTACATTGACGTCAACAAAGCAGATCAAGTAACAGTCCTGTTTATGTGATTTCCTCCTAAAAAAAATCACAATAAATGATAAATCTGACTATCAAAAACAGCAGGATCAGAATTTCAGTTAGAGGACACTGTCTAAGCACGTACATGACACAAAACAAAAGCTCCTTACGGAAGCTTTAATTCTGTTGAATATTTGTTGTACTTACACAAAAAAAGTCTAGCAATTGACTGCCTTTAAAAAAAGAGAGTAAATACTATTTACTTTGTGCTAAAAATAAACTCACAGTATGGGGCAGCAGAGAAAAAGTACCCCTGTCTATGCCAGTTTGGGCGTACTTTTGATTTTGTTTGTGTCACAGGGCTGGTGACTTGGTATGAAAATAACTTATAACTTATCATAAAAAATGGAAAATATTGGATGATGGATCATCTTTTCTATAAATCCTGTAATTATGTCATTGTTATTTTTTTGTTTTGTTTGCCATAATAATTTTTGAGGGGAAAAAATATTGTTGTGATAGCTCCAGTCTAAGGAAATGTAGGCAGGATTACAAGTTACAAAGAAAAAAAAAACGAAAGAAAACAAAGGAGCACTTTTTAGATCAAAAAGTGAGTGAGATTTAGGTACTTTTGAGATAGTTAAACATTTACATAAAGTCATAATGAAGTATTGTTAAATAATTAAAACTCCTCTTTGAACAGCTTTGTTTTATAGATCTTAAAATAAACTCTGCAATGTTTTGATATCAAGTCTGAAATACATCTTAAAGCCTTGGCAGAGAGTCTGACCTTCCTGTCGTTCAGAAAGAGTGCTGTGTTTTTGCGATGTAGTGTCTGTATAAGGATTGTAATAAAAAGACTCAAGTTTCTTCCCACTTTCTGTTAGAAATATAAGCCACCAATGGGCTGAGGGGGATGAAGCAAATTAGTTTAATTTTAAACATCATTGCCAATGTTACTGTACTGAAATGCATAATTTCTTAAAGCATCCTTCCCTTTTTTTTATTTGAGATGTTATTTTTGGTTAGTGTCCCTGATTGCTTTTAAAGATTTGTCCACACACTTTTTAGGGTGTGGAGGTCATCCTTCGGGTTAAAACTCTACTCTCAGGGTTACACATGCTCATACCCCGCTAAGTTCTTCTTCCTGTAACTTTTAACAGACGTCTTTTGGAACCAGATGTGAAAATCTGCCACTAAGTTTTTGGAAAATAACTTATTTTAACACTTATTTGCTCACAGTGTGACTGAAAAACACTAAAAATATGAAATGTTGGAGGCTTCAATCTCTGTCAGAAGATGATAAGGACAGGTTGATGTTCTCAGGTCTCTAAGTAAAACAGACAGTAGTTACCCTCTCTGTGAATGGGGCTCACAGGGAACCTTTGCCAGCAGTGGATCACCAATGTTTGACCACATGGGTTTGACCCTTTCGAAGGGCCAGGTCAGGGCAGGCAGGCTGGTAACAGCTGGGCGAGGATGATGGGTGTCAGACCAGACCACACGTCAAAGCTTAGACAAGCGTCTGACAGCTGAATGACATTGAACTGGGAGTTAAGGAGACTCTGTCATCGAGTTCATTTTCTTTACAGGTCAGTAAATGTGATAGTTTAATACTTTAAAATAATATATCTTGTCCTTGATATTCTTACTAAACCACTCAGAAATACAAATACTGTCACTTCAGCAACACCAGTACTGGTAACAATACTGAGAATAATGCTGCTGTTATTGTTAAGCTATCACCGTCTATTACTTATTACAATATTTCTTATCTTTGCCTAAGTATAGAGCAATACAGATACAGATACTTCTACTGATACTGACAACTATGCACTTCCATCACCAATACCAATACTACTAAAGAAACATACACTTATACGCTGATTCTATTTACTTAAAATACAACTTTCTCCTCCCAAAAAGAAAGAGTTTCTTATACCCTACTTTGGTTCTCAACATCATGGATACTGATAACAATATTGTTACTGATACAGATACTGATACCAACACTATTTTTTAAAACAGCATTTTCTTTCTAATAACTTTTTAATGTTTTTGCTAACACTATTACTGATACTTGTACCAATACCAATGTACAGCCAATACAAATACCAATACTGAAACCAACATTAGTATTTATACTATTTGTCTGAAATAACACATTCTCTCCCCTGTGATGGTTGCTGATGCTCTACTTTTGTTTTGATATTGTAAGATATTGATGTTAAAACTACCACTGATACTAATACATGACCATAGCTGATACAGATACTGACACCAATACTTTATGTTCACAGTACCACTCTCTCTCCCAGATTTGTATTTCTCACATTTTACTTGGGTATTGAATGATACTGACAGTGATGTAAAATTCTGGTACAATAAACATTGGTTTAAAATACCCCTTTCTCAGGCCAATAGCAATTTCTAAAACCTATATTTAAGTGTTGACAGATACAGATGCAATACCAACATAGATACTAGTACCAATAACGTTACCAATACTGATGTTGGTAATGGAAACCATTTGTTAAAAATGACATTTTCTCCTCTCAATAATGATTTTTGACCATCTACTCGGTCCTCAACAGTTATTGATAATGATACCAATGTCAATACCAATACTATTTGTGCAAAGGAATTGACCAAATATTGATAGTAATTAATCTGTTTTTCAGGCTTCGATTAGATCCAAAATTATGAAACTGCAACCCAACCAATTACTGCAGAAACTTTAGTTCAGTGCGACCAAACTTTTGTTGTTTGTTTGGTGTCACAGTTTTATCTGAAAACACTTGATTTTTGGTGACTAATAAGTCATGGTATTTGACAATACCTGATACAATTATCAATCCATGATATTGATACCAAACATTATCTAAGGGCTGATGTTTATTTCAATATTGCTAACAGATTAACACCAACATTAGGTACTTTTGGTCATTCTGTATGTAATTTTATTTTCCCTATGTACACCATCTGTGAGGTTAATTTTTTCCATCAATTATTTGGCAGGTGTATCAGCAGAGTCAGGCAAATATGAAGTCCCCATTAGCAATTGAGGCCCACTTTAAGGGCTGATATTCATCCACCTCCGTCTCTCACACTGTGAGGTGGAGGCTAATCTCTCAGGGTACCCCCCTAACCCCCTATTGCCTGTCTTTCCATTTCCTAACCGCCCCCTCTCTCCCCTCCTTTCCCCCTCTGGAGGCCTGCATTAAACATAAAGACCCTGCATGGATGAGTGAGTCAACAAATTACCACAGCCAATAAATGGGAAAAAATGATCTGCCACCAGTCTCTTATTTCCCCTCCCTTTCCCTTCCTGTTTTCTCCCCCCCGTACCTCACTGTCCTCTATTAGGATTATTGTCCCAGGCTTTTAAATAAACATGATCTTAGCCTTAGCTTGTCCTTATTGCATTTAGTTAGAGCATCCCTCCTCATGCTTGACTGGTTGTGTCCATCAACTCAGGGGAGCCTGACCCGCTGCAAAAAGAGCCCAGCTAATACACATGAAACTGCTGCAGCTGTTGGTCTAACCTTTGAGCGTCTCCTAAGGAGCACAGTGATATTTGCACTTAATAAAATTATGCCTACCAGGAGAATATGCCGCTGACATTTGCCATTTGTCAAGTTGAGGTGGCAGCAAGGCTTTATGAGTCATTAGTGTTGGTACAGTCAAGAGTTGCTCAGCCTGCAGCGGTTTGTTACTGTACAGGATCAGTCTTTGGGAAGATTACATGTTACTGCCACATCACATTAAAGCAGATTTTTTACTTTTATTCTTGCACAACATTGATTGTCTTCAATTACATAGCATAGAGTAAATCATTCTTTCATAAAAATGTGTCACATTCATAGGTCGGTGTCAAATTAAACATTTTAATGCCAATGACATCTCTTTTCATGTAGTTCTCAAGTGGAATTTGTTTGAGGAGCAGGAAGATTCTGAAATCAAAGATTTACATCAGAAAAAATTTAGCTTCAAGATAAACATACAAACTGGCAGTACTTGTAGACACACGAGAACCAGATGTCTAACTGAAATAAGTCAATGGTACAGGTAACCAGTCACAATGTTGGATGTGCAAACTAACAGAAACCTATAACAGTATAACAAGATACAGTTTAAACAACTAAACATCTATGTGGAACTTGAAGTTTAAAAGGAATCATAACTTTGAACCTTAGACTATCAGTACTTTTACATGTTGTTAAAAAATTGATTTATTGCCATGGTTACTGGCAACATTAAAAAACATGTTAATACATTAGTCTGACTGGAATAGCACTCAGTCGAACTTTATATAGTCCGACCTACACCAACATAATCCTGGGGATCAGTGGATTTTCTCTCTCAGTAGGACTGAATCTGGCCTAAACTTTCTGCACATTCTCCAGTGTTTGTACACCAGGCTTTAATGTTGAAAGTTGAATAGCACAAATGTGTTACTAAGAGGCGAAGTAAACAAAATGACCCGGGCCAGTGTTGTCATGAAAACCATAACCATAAACCAAGACTAAAGCTGTTTTTTACATGTGACTGTAAACATATCTATTTCTGCTGTCAAGGATGGTAATTCTAAAATGGGCTCCAATGAGGATTCTTTGGTATTTGGCACTGACTACATAAAACAAACCAGTGGTCGTCTACATGACATCACCCATTGGTCTCTGAAAAGATGTTTTTTGGATCACGTCAATGACAGTTGCCATGTTTGGAGCCTAACTTTAGATTGACCTAAACAAAATGACTAAGAGGTGGAGCCGAGGCAGAATTTTAGCCACCTGACAAACCACTGACATGACCACCTGTGTGTCAACCCAGGTGTGACCCTCATTACGCAAAAACATCCCCTTCACACTATCTTAGTTGATTTGTTATAAAAAAAATCTATCTCTGCAGAGTGTGTACTTTATTCCTTGGCTTTTTGAGCAAGCCTCCAAGTGGTCACTTGTGGAGCTGCAGTTTTTGCAAGTCTCAAGGGTGCTGCTCATACAGAACAGGATATCCCATCTTCACCCTTCTCCTTGTTTGGTTTATTAAAGTAAGCCCAATTCTACTTGAAAGTAGTAGAAGTTTAAGAAAGCGATACTTGCAGTGCAATTTCTTTTAAAGTTTCCAGATTGTAACCTCCATATCCACCTATCATCTTGTTTTCTTACAGCTATATATGGATCAGAGCACAGGTTTCTGAATCTGTAAAACTTTAAATTGCATGTTGAATTCATAGATGTACTCCGTTTATTGTGGTCCATATAAAAACCCCATCCATGTGTCAACAAGGAGAACCAGTTGCACAGTTTTAGTGTCTTTCGCTCATGCAGAGTGATAGATGTCATGGATGTCGTGCTCTTCCCAAAAACAGTCAAGCAGAGGTCATGCTGTGAACATGATGCCTCCTGTTGAAGGACGAGAGACAAGGACAGGAGAAAAGGTTTGTCCGATTTTTTAAAAGACAGGATCCCTAAATCGGTTCAGACAAACTCTGGCAGCGCTTAACGCCACATTAGCTTGGAATATTAATAGCATTTTAAAGTGAGTACCCACACATGACACAGCCACTGTTTTAATAATAATATAGTCTACATTGTAGGTACAATAAGCAAGAAGTGTTTGTTTTGGAGTTCTGACCCTGTTTTTGGTGCATTTACATGCTAAATCTTTTGTTTGAGGGACTTATTTTTCTATATTTAAAGTCTTCATCAATAACAAAAACAAAGAAATGCAGTGGGAATACATCAGAGACATTACAATGAGCACAAAAGAGGAACAATCATATATGAAGCCAAAAAAAGTATTCAATACCCCATCCCCTCTGGTCTTTCATGTTGTATCCCCCAAGATAAAAAAGTAGACACAAGTTTATGTTAAACTTCTTAAAAACTTTTGAAGTATTTCTAGTACAAGTGGTATTAAACATAACATGAAATATTCATGACTAAATCAGAATAAATTCAAAGTTGAAAGTACAAAGAAACATCCCTTGGTATATTAAGACACTTGAAAACTTACTGTCTCGTTGAGACTGGGTGTGGTTTGATCCGATAAATCTGAAAAAACAAGATAATAAGCCCACAGTTGATGCAAATACAATGAATATGGAAGAACTGAGAATAAATAGATCTAAATAGATAAGTACATATATTGAAACAGCAACACTTGAAGCTTATTCTATTGAAAAAAAAACTTCATTAACATTCATAATCTGTATAAATCTAAAGTAACTTTAGATCCTTTGGTCTGCAGTACAGTGTCTTGAAGTGAATTTTAACATGACTTTATCTCGCCTTTGTTTGATGACTTGTTTTGTTTTTTAGAAAGCAGTACATGTGTGTTATTAGAGCAAAATGTTGAAGTTATTTTTAACTATGTTCATTTATTTCTGTACCACACTGATGCTCTACTTTGGGCTGATCGTGTCATTCTGCTTTGTCCTCATATATCATTTTGTTTCCCTATCATTCACAACTTCATTTACCTCAAGGGTGCATTAGGTTTTGAGGGGTTAAAACCAGTTTTATACGGAGCTACTTCAATGATTTAACATATAGACTGTGCTAAAAGGGGCTTTACTTTTGACCTTTTGGGACCCGTAGTGGCTCAGAACTATTGTTGCAGGCGCGAACAGGCTCTTTCAACTGTTTTTTGTGGTTCGCCTTTTCTTGCATTTGTTGTTTATATGTTCCCCTTTAAGCAGCAGAGTTGAATTATATTTTAACAAGTTTTAACCAGCTGGGATTTGACCCAAATCTTCTATTATTGTATAATTCCTACCCTTCTCAGGGGAGGAAATATTAGATTTCCTTCTGGTGGTTTCTTTAGGTATCCTATCCCTGCACTCTTTTCCTGTTTGCCTCAACCCTGCACTAACCTTTCCCAAGCTTTACACTGTCCTTGGCCCAATCGTGCTCTTGGCCTGCACTGGATTCAAACCCATAACCATTTCAACCAGAGACAGCTGCTTTCACCTCCACACCACAGGCCTGCCTCACAGTGCTTTTCTCTGTGGGTTTTTTCATTTCCCCATTTCAACACAGTTGTAGAGCTAAGAAAGCATTTCTGTTTCACCTCACACAGAGCACCCAGTCCAGGATTTGAACCCAGAATCTCAGCAACCAAAGACAGCTGCTTTCACCTCCACATCATAGCTGCTGGGTCTCAAACCTTGAACCAGCTCTCTGTTGAGTGGTAGTTAGAACAACCACACCCATGTGGTCCCATGAGGTCTTTGGTGTTTGTCCCACTTCTACCCCCACTATTACCTTCATGAATATGGCCATAACCAGCTTGTCCATTCTGTGCTACTGAGGAAACACGATGGTAAATATAGCAGCGTCTGTGGATGGTGATCCTCCACTTTTGATAACATGACTTAAGAAGAACTATTTTTGTATTCAAACGATTTTAAACTAATTGGAACATGGTGAAAATGTAATTATTTCTGTTCTTAATGCCACTAAATATTACTTTCTGTATCTTCAGAAATATACTGACCATGCATTTGCTTCTATTTGATTAATAAACAACTATAAATCATCACAAAAGCTGAAGTGTTTCACATGTTTAACACATGTTTTTTACTATCGTACTGCTAACTAGTGGTAATTTTAACTACTGTTAGCTAGTTAGCTAAAAGTATTTTTAGATATTATTAGATTGGCAAGCTAACTGAATTCGGCCAACACTATTTGAGCGAGTGATTGTAGCTCAGTGGTTGAGATGACCGTATTTCAGACAGAAGGTTGAGGGTTCAAACTCATATGGTCTCACGCACTAATGCAGCCTTAATAAAGTCATCTGACCCCAGAACTGTTCGCAGTGACTGTGTCCGCAGTGTCGATGGAACAACGATCATCTAAGATGAGCACGGCCAGTGTTACTCTACCAGAAAGATCATAAATACCTTTCAGTTCAATGTTTTGTGTTTTTGACTGAACATGCTTTGGGCTCATTTTTTAAAACGCTGTTCTCTTTCTGAGTGATTCCTCTGCAACTAGGTGGTTTTAATTTTATCTGCATTGTATTAATAGTAATTTTCCAACAGTTTTTATAATGTTGAATGTTTGTACATAGAGGGCAAAGTTTACCAGAGTCAAATTCCTTGTATATGTACACAAACTCGGCCAATAAAGCTGATTCTGATCATCACAATTATGTTTCACTTCTGATGACAAAAATTTAAATGCAGAGTCATATCTGTCTGCTCCATGAAGCTGCAGCACTAACAGCTTTTCTTCTTAAATCCATTTAGAAGTTTAGGACTTGAAAAAAAAAGATTAAGAAACGCTGGAAAGAAGCAACATTTCTGTGTATTTCTTTTTTGGATTTCACACTGCCTCCCCCTCCCACCCCGAGACAGCTGCAATAAAAATCTGTGTCTGCGCTCCAGTGAGTCTGCATCCCTCGGCCTTTATTACTGCTTACCACTGTCCTAGGGTGAGTCATTTAGACTATATATACAGTATGTACTCAGTTTACAACCAAACCCAGGGCACTGGTTACTTGAAAACTGCTATTTTCTTTAATAAACATCAGTGATTAAAACTAAACAAAATCAGTGATAATAGATAGATCTGTTTGTGTCAGGATAAAGACTTAGTCCTCTCTGATCAGTCCCATCTTAAAAAAACTATTTAAAAGTGCACTTATTTACTCTCTAATGCTTGAATTAGAGTCTGTGTAACTGCTTAATATTAAACTAAAAAGACTGTGAATTACATGTAGCACATGACGTGTGATGAGAGGGTTTTCTTGGGTGCTGGAAACCTGATCAAAACAGATTCCCCCAATAATCTTCTGATCAGACACTCAGGTGATCCTGACGAGTCTCATCCCTGGTGTGAAATTAATTGCTGTGAAGTTGTCATGCCAAATATTAAAATCGTATTTTCCAATCAGATCTACACTGTCTTAAAAAATCAGAGCTGTGCCAAGCTGAGCAGAAAATAATCTGTAACATCACACGATCCATGAAGGACACCGATTCTCACTTTGATTCTGTTTGATGTCGTTTGATTTTGTTTGTTTGCGTGCATGTGCGTGTGCTTGTGTGTGTGTGTGGATGCATGAGTTTGAATTTTAGGAATCTGAAAAATGAAGTACGACTGCAGAGCGGCAAAAAGGTCACATTTGGAAAAACAAACTATACGACGACAGCGTCCTCGTTTGATATCCTGATTGGCAATCTTCAAATGCAGCCAAACAAAGAGGAACAAAAGGAGACAAACAAAGGAAAGGTAAAATTGAAGTTGTCAGTTTGTACCTGAGTTGTCCCAAACTATCCCATTCTGCAGCCAGGCGGGGTTTCTGTCAGTCGGCAGCAAACTTTTGCATCTCTCTGCCTCTGTCTCCTCCGCCTTTCCAGATCTTTGTCTGGACTTTGAAAGAGCTTCTGGTCTGAGGATGAGAATGACACAGTGAGAGGACAAATACAGATATTAAAATCATTCACAATTTAGTGCTGAAGAGGAGGGGGAAGGAGGCAGGTGCAGGGTGAAAATTAAAGGCGGTGTTTGATCTCAGCGGAAAAAAGAAATGATGTATGAATGCTTGTAAAGCTTAGGAGGAGGCATGTTGTTCTTTTGTGTGAATGTTGGAGCACACAAAGACTAAGACTGACTTGTCTTCAGTTTGACCCTCTGTACCATCTCATGATAGTTTCTCTTTATTTGTTTACTTTAGAGATATGCAAGGTCAAATATAGAGCTCTAAAAATGCCCTTATATAAGGACTATTAGAAGAAACTGTTTCCTTAAGTGATTTTATTTGTTAATACTGGTTGAAAAGTGGTCATAAAGTGCATTAGAAAAGGTAATATGCCCACTGACTTACTTTCACATCACTTACATCTCAGCAGAATCCACTGTTTGCCACCTTTTTCTCACTGAAGTGCTAAAAATCGGAGTAAATGCAGCTGTTGTGTGAAGAAACTAGTGTAATCAGGATTTCTCTAATGAAGGAATTTATGTGGAAACAGGAAAGCAACAGTTTTTTATGAATCAATTGTTATCTCAATTTCCCATGAGTGCAAATTGCTGTCCTTAAATTGCTTTCTTTTTTCAAATACAAAGAAACACAAATCATACAAAAATGTCTGGAAAAAAGTACAAATTTTCACACTTAAGATGCTGGAACAAACTAATTTCAGATGTTTTTGCTTGAAAAAATCAATAAAATGAATAATTAGATTCTCTCAGTTTTCATCATCGATTCTCTCCCAATCAGTTTGCACCACCTGATATGTAACCAAGCCAGAACTTGACCATCATTGTCCATTCTTCTCTAAACTCCTCTGTTATCCTTTGCACAGTACAATTGTGTTTCCTAATCCACACTGCAGCGTGCATGCTTTGCTTCTTCATAATGTCATACCCATTTTCTGCTTCCTCGCTCGCAAACACCATATTCATGCACAATTTGACATAATAGCAGAGTTAAAAACAGGAAATTATAAGGTAATGTCTCACCGAGGGCTATAGTCACATTAAAAAATGCTCTCCCAGTGATCTGTAAGATTGCTCGCTGCAGTGAGGTTTAATAGTTTGAGCATAGCACCCCCTGCAGGCACGTATTATTCTTTCCTAATAACACCCTCAGTGCTCGGACTGAAGCAGAGCCTCTCATTGTTACCCTTTCACTGCAATTACAGGCCTTTCTACTTTGATTGGTGGGTAATTGAATTGGTTTGAGCCTGTATGATTTCCTTCCGAATTTGCCACTCATATTCCAATCTTGGCTCCGGATCAGACAAAGGCCCGTCTCCCAGTAATTAAAGACGCCAAAGCCAGGTGTAGAACTGGGGGAACTGGGGAACTATAGCTGGATGAATGGGACTGATTAGGTGTTTAGTGAAAATGAGATTTTCTGGCTCAAAGACAAAGTGCAGCCTCTCACTCGCTGCTCCGTGTTCGACGGGGAGGCAATTGACTGCTGTTGATGAGGAGCATGAGGTAAAGGCCTGAAAATGACTTTCTGCATTCAGAGCATTTACAAAAGGAGCCAAAGTGTGAGTTAAAACCTGAGAGATACTTTTCAAGCATGTAACAGGCAGGTAATCAGGGGGAAAAGTAGCTGTTTTAGATGCACGAAGAAACTGGTGAAACCTGACAATAAAAAAGTGTAGACTGGTGCAACTTCTCTGTAAAACCGTACCAGTTTAATCCCACCAGCTCTCGAAACATGGAAAATATGTCACCTCTAAATCCTAAAGTTTATCTAGTCATGGTTTAGAGATTATTTTGATTGGTAAAACTTGTCAAAGAAAATAGTGGCAGGTTGTAGCTTCAGTAAAAAAACAGCAAGTTGTAGACACATTTAAAAGTCAGTTAAATGTCAAATAGGCTTCACAGATTTCAGCACAGATTGAGAAATGGTCAGTTTTAGGATCACTCTGTGGATTTTTCATTTTGCTTCTGAATTCAGCTCCGACAATTTAGGGCAACAAAAGTTTAATAAAGAATGCTGTGATCTCAAAACTTTCAAGGAAGAAGAAAAGTTTGAGTTTTATTTTTCGCAGAATAGCTTTGTAGATAAAATGAGATGAATGTCTATGTTGGCAGACTGAATCACTTCTCTTCCTACTCTCTTTTTTGATTAGGGTCCCCATTAGCACCAACATAAACATCAGCTTTTCTTCCTGGGGTCCAACACACACAGTATAACTCAATAAAACAGATGCATGATAGTTAATTCCAAGACAAGGGTACAAAAAATACATTCACGCTTTGCTAAACAAGCGTGTTTTGGTTTCCCCAAAATTTGCATGTAATTTCGTTTGTTTAAATGCCAGAAAATGTTCAATAATAAATCCAGTTTTTAACGACTCAATGCTTCATGATGAAAGTTTTTTTGAGCATTAAGGCAGAGGCATTCACAAAAAAATTCTTAGTTAGAGTCTTCTTTCTACCTTGTCCTTGCTGATTATACCAAGACTTTCCTTTACTCTTAAATACTTGTAACATTTTCAGCTTTTTAGTGAATATCTGCCTTTAAAGGACAAGGTAATTGATCAAACATTCAAGTATTTCAAAGATATTACCAACTGAATTATTGGGGCAATTCTGCAAACAGTTTGAAGTCAACCACATACACTAGATGTCACGAATTGTGCAATATTTTCATCAGTTTTTGGTTGAAGTAACCAAGAAAATAATTTTCAGTTGTTCATGGTACAAAAAACCCCCACTCAAAAATAAGGGGCCCTTCCTTCCTGCATATTCACACCACATTCCACACTTCCATTAAAAGTGAATGAGGCAACAACACCGTGCACTGGTTAGAGGTTAACGACAGCTGTGGTCGAGTCAAGGTCAGCGTACTTTGAGTGGTGGATGTACGCCAACTGACTGAGTGGAAAATGAGAGTTTTTTCCCCCTTCATTGAGACTGGAATGGATTTTAATCAACACATTATGCCAGTTGTTAATTGCTTTTGCCGCCTGCTGCTAAAATAATTTGCTACTTTTTTATTGTAGTAGTAGCCATCTGTTTCAAAACATGGGGACAGGATCGGGCCCCGGACCTGGGGTGGATGTTGACATGAGATACAGGCGGCTAATTTGCACTGCCGCCACCTTATTTATGAGGCGAAGAATGTGTGGAAAGGAGGGAAAGATTCACGACGAGGGGCTAAAACGGGGAGCGGACAGGGCAATCTGACTAGATTTACGGAAACACTTGATCCATATTCACATGAGGGAAAGGAGCCTTCATTTAGACTGTTTCTTATACCTGCAGATAAAATGTTTAGTCACTACTATACAGACTATCAGCCAGATAAAGTAATACAACTTTTCCTTTGAGAATCAATGAGCTCCTCTTGAGGCGTCTATTTGTTTGCTTCAATTGCTTGAGGCTGAAGACACAAACTCTAAACAATGCCTAGAAAGGATGATAATGAAGAGCTTAGTGAGGAGACATTTACCCTGTATTTACTCTGATTGGGTTTCCTGTTCAGGGACACAGCTCTGGTGGTATGGGGGGGTTACTGGTCATAATGGCCCCTCTCTTCCATTAAGGGTTAAGGTCAGGGCCAGTTTATTACTTTTTGTCTCTTCTGGTTTCAATAAAAGTTTCTATTTGGTGGCTCTGACTCAGTGGTAAAATGGACCACCCTCTATCTAGTTGGGAGGTTGTGGGTTTGATCTCCACCTCCTTTGGTCTAGATTCGGCACCCTGGCTCTTGAAGGAATAGCCTGCAGTGTGTTAGTGAGTGTGTGTGTGAATAATTAATTGTACAGTAGCCTTGCATGGATCTTAATTAGTGCACCAACATGTGAGTGGCATGTAGTGTAAAGTGCACGAGTAGACAGAAGGCAATAGAGCTGTTGTAAAAGACAGTCCATTTTTTAATTTGTTTGCAAATATGGATTTAGTTACTGGTGGCAAACATGAGATCAGATATGCAATTAAAGTATCATCTTACATTGTGCTCACCATTATGTGCAATGTTACATTTAAGTATCGTCTCATATACTCTTTTTTTTAATCGTGTGCATTGGAATTTTTTTGTCATGTAAAATATTGCTTCTTAGTATTTTTGTATAATTTTGTCCATCATTCATCCTGTTCATACTTTCCAGATCAGGTTCTTTCTTACTGCAGTTTTGTCTCATTGTTCATGATCATGTACAATATTACTCACTATATTCTTGTGGATTATCACTTTCCATTACTGCTATCATATCCCTTTCACTATCGTGTACAATCACTATCCATAATATGTGCAGGATTGCTTATTCACAGTCATATATTTTATCATGTGAAGCATTACTTTCCAATATCGGGCTATTATTTGCTCAATATCATAGACATTTTTAATTATTTAAGGTGTAATGCGGCATTGGAATATAATTTTTGGTGTAAAATAACTTTTTATTTTCATGCACAAAATGCACAAAACTATTTTTTTTTGGGGGGGTTTTTACAAAATAATTTGAGACACATTTATTACCTTGTGCAACACAATTTTTTTCTCTAATGTGCAATATTTTAATCCACATCATGTTAAAAGTGTTTTTTTATTACTGTGTCTTTTTATCTTTAACTTTGTCTATTACATTAAGTGTATTACATCAAGTGCAAAACTACTTTTACTTTATGTGCAGTTTGACTTACTGGTATTTGACACATTTAATCACAACCACGTGAACAGTAATGTATGATGTCTGTCGTTATCTTTGCATTCTCTATTAGTTTTTATGTAATTTCTATTGCTCCTTTTCAGCTAATCTGCTCATGTTTCTAACTCATATACAAAGCTGATGTTGATTTATTTGACGTTAGTTAAATCTGAAATACTTTATATTCTGCAGACTGGGCAAGTCTCAAGACTGAATTTGCAGCTTGAGTCTGACTCAAGTCGAGCCATGTGCATCAAGTCCACAATCTCTGGCTCACACAGCGGTGAAAGGACTGAAGTGCAGAATATTTGGAATGCATCAGAATCCCAGCATGGAGTTTCCTTTGAACTGTAATGACATTTCAAATGTGTCTTTGTCCTCCTGTGTTTAATACCCTCTGAGACATGCATTCACCTCTGTTTCCTTTTGATCACTGCCCACTAGTTTGTACTATGGTGGACCATGTGCACTGTTTCTGAGTCAGAGAAAAATGCCACTGAACAATGGGAATATATGACGTCTGCTACCTTTGTTTAACTCTGCAGATGCCGCAGTTTGAAGCAAACACAAACTTGACGCAAAAGTGAGTCTTCCTCTTCTTCAAAATTCACCAGAGGATGATCAATTGGATCAAAACTTGAAAACTAAATAGAACACTAATAACTTGGCCTTTTGAAACAGAAAATACTGAAGTATTTGAGGGCAAAGTCACCAGGTGTCTGGTTGATAATGTGGTTATCTATTTCATTGCAAGTCTTCCTTTTAATTTGTTATTTCATTATCTTTGATGAGAGCCATCATCAGCTGCACTGAGGGTGTGTGGTACAGGATGTGAGCGTTTTTTCCCAATGGCTTTGCCTGTCAGGCATGCAGTATTCGCAGTGCTGAAGTACAGGCAAAAAGGCCTTTTCGAGCCTATGTGAAGCCGTGGCTGTCGTCAGAGACTGAAGGCGACGTCTCACCAGGAGGGGCAAGAGCCATCAAAGCCATCATGTACGTTAATTACAGGTAATCTCAACTCCCAGACACTCTCCCTCTGCTCTTAAGAACTTCCTCTTCAATTACCAAAGTGCCTCAATTAGGCCCTAAATAAGCAGTGGACATGCACGAGGGAGAGAGATGGGCAAATTACAATAGAGAGGGTAAAAACAACAGGCCCCGTAAGAGCTGGCGTGATGCAGAGGCAATTAAAAGACAAAAAAGTGTTCCACCACGCAGAGTGAAAATGAGAAAAAAGAGAAAAAGGCCTTTGATGAGCCAGTTCTGAGCTAAGTGGAGCTTAAGAGGTGATGGTTGAGGAGAAGAAAAGAGCCAGAAAGGAGAAATTAAAAGACAGTTGATTGGCAAGAGGGCTGATGTCACACTGTTTCCCTACAGGACCATATGTCGGGGGGAGCACTCAGTCATCGAGAGACTGGAATGTGTGAGTAAGTCATGATTTCTATAGAGCGAGGAGGCGTCCCACTGGCAGCTGATTCTCTACACTCTCTACACTGCTTTCCCCTCACATTCATTATCCAGCCAGCCCCCATACACACTCCATCAACTGTGAAACTTACAGAGCTTTCTGAATGGACAAATGAAGACCCTGTCCGTTTTAATGGCCTAATTCTGCGTCTAAGGGCTCTTGTTAAGTGGAGATGCTTTAGCGGCAGCCGGCGGCTGAGTGCGTTAGTCAATTAGATCAAATCCTGATGAATTAACTTGAAAGAAATGCATCATCAAAGAGAAGTGGGATTAAAATGAGAGGCTGAGATGCACACCTTTGTTGATGGGTTTGTTTTTGTGGGCCCGTCTACTCCATCAAACAAATGACACTCTGTGGACGGCAGGCTCGTACTGACCCTGATGGCTTGATGGAAACTCATCTAGATCCACAGCAAGGCGCACACGGCAGATGTCAGGACTGTCATCAAGAGGTGTCGCTGTCAAATGGAGAAAGAGCAAGGCAGCAGGACAAGCAGTGACTCAGAAGACAGAGGAGAAAATGACTGCAGAATATGAATGAGTGCAGGCATGTTCATCTATGATGCGTTACAAAAAAAGACATTTGATCTCAAACTTTTGTATGTCTGATTGCAAAATATGATAAAACAGATAGAGAAACAAAGTTTGGATCACAGTCAGTAGACGTCACTGTAGTTCAGTGTGTATCCAGTAGAGGGCAGTACTACACAGAGAAGGGCTCTGCGTTTGACGCGAGCAGATGTGTTCCAAGAGAATCATTAAACAGCATCTGTCCACCCAATTACCCCCTTCGTTAGTCTAATCCCATGTTTTTTTAATCAGAGAGGGGTAATTAAATTGCTCATGAATTGAATTGAATTACTGTGTACACCAACTCAAAATAAAGAGGGCAACAGGCGTTCTTACGGGACCTTGAAAAGATCAAGACGGCAAGAAAGACAAAGGTTGTACAGGCTGATTAGTGAAACACATGTACTGTAAACAATGATCATCTTTGTAGACCGATCAGTCCTTCCTTTGTTCAAGATGTGGACAACATCGAGTCTACAGTTTATGTGAAAATAACAGAACTCAAACAGGAGACATACGGAGTCATATTAATGTCATTAAAGTCAAAACTGTAATTAGATATTTTCTAAATATAGAATTATAAACAAATCTGTTTGCTTTTTTATATACATAAGTATTAAGTCCAATTTTTTTATACAAGTTTTTAGGCCTGGCACTGTTGACAGCATGGTCTGAAATAGCAACAACAACAAATGTGTTTAAAAACAGATAAAGTGATAAAACCTAGATATGATATTGTGAGAAGAGAAAGGAGGTAAAATAATTGAATATAATCACAGAGATAAACATCCTTAATTGTGCACAAACATTATTCTCCTGTAAATTAAATTAAAGCTCCTGTAAGTATTTTTTTTAATATTCATAAAAAAGAATAAAATTCATAATGTTGTCTTTATAGGATATACAAAAGTAATCAAGTACATCAGCAACAACATTATTATTTTTACACTACATTTCTAATGCTTGAAGCTGTTATAGGAGGGTAGGTGTTAGTGGATTTGCTGGGGATATGTATATATTTGCGTGTAATATTTTGGCAACCATCAGCTCAACAACCACTCCAAAGAAATGATAAATTTAATTGTTAATAGTCAGAATTATGCTACTTAGTCGAAGAGGATAAGAGAGGTAAAGACAGCTCTGTCCACAGGGGGCGCAAAAACTGACACAAACCTAAAGTTCCTTAGAGGAGTTTTAAAACATACTTGCACAAATTGTAATCTGTTTCTGCAAAGTCTGTTACACTAAATACTAAACACTGAACATTTAATGCATTACTCATTTTGCAAAAGTGTTTGTATTTAATGTCGTATTTGTAGGTTTCTGTAGACTGAGGACTGCTGTCTAAGACAAATAAAGTTGGACAAACATTTTCTCATAAGTGCCTAACACTGTAGGCCTTTATTAGAATAACCAGTTCTTAATAAAGTTCATAATTTATAATAATTTACAAAATATTTTATGTTTTACCTCCACACAAATTCACAAAGTAGATTTGACTTTCATTTACATTCACAGTCATCAATCTAAAAGTTGCTTGAATTTGCTTGTTCCACCAGTGAGAACAAGAGGCCTGCCTGAAGTATAAAGTGACTCTATGAAATTCAACATTTAGACAATAAATACTGTAGACTCTTTTAAAAACACTGACAGAAACCGAAGAACAAAGAAGAGACAGCACCGAGTTATTTTGGGTGCAACAACACAACAAACTTGACTGAAACTCACATGAAACAGCAGAACAGTAGAAAACACAAACAGAAGCAGCTTCTTTGCAACGTGTCCCTTTCTGCTTTGATTTACTTGATCAACATATATGTGTCTGCATAGAAATACTGCACTCAGCAATTATAAGGAGTGAAAATCACAGAGAAAAAAACTACCTAGCTAAGAGGTATGAGATACTGCTGCACTTCAAAAAGGCTGCGAAATTAAAGTATCATCTATAGCATGTATAGCATGACACACTGAACAGTTCTGAACCTGAATAAAAAAAAGATTGTTAAAAAGCACTGTTTCACTGATCAGCAAGAAGAAAATGAAACCACTTCCAGACAACCAGAAAGTTTCTCCTGTAATCTGTAAAAAATCGTCAGGATGCACTGAGCTCCATCCTCTAAATGTCGATGAGGTCGTCCCCGCTCTCGTCGCTCTCCACTGTCAGCTGGCGGGTCCACCACTTCTTCACCTCTGACCCTGAAGATGCCTCGTCGTTGACGGGGTTCATCTTGCACACGATGGACTTGACGCTTGTGCGACCTGACACATGAACAACACAGAATTCACAGTTTGGGTCTGCATTTCTTTATTTCTTAACAGACGCTGATTTTAAAAGGAGGAAAACTACAGACTTGAGAAAGAAACAATTCAGAACTGAAATTCTGCATTTCTACATGGGTATTTTTATACCTCAATCAACAAGGATACAAAATTCTGTTGATGTGATGTTTGAGTAAAACAGACAGAGGGAGTTTTCTATCTGTAAAATGAAGGAGTTTGGCTAATTCAAGCATATGACGATAAGAGTCATTTAGCTGAAGGAAACTTTGAGCCATCCAACATTTAACTACGACACTCAGAGACAGCATCTTGGCTTCTTGAATCACCAGGTCTCAGCATATCGTATAACTGTGTTTCATCTGCCTAACAATGGAAAGATTAACTGTGACAATTGGAAGCAAATTAATGGAGAACAAAAGTGGACCTAAAACTGATCCTTGTGGCACACCGCAGGTTATATTAGAGGAGGAAGAAGTGTGTTGGTTACCTGTGGTGACCGCAAAGGCTCTGTCTAAAACCAAATTAATGTAAGTAGCCAAAAAGATTTGAGCAGGAAGTCAGAAAATTTGTAGTTTAAATGTTTCTCCAGTTTTGATCCATATGAATAGTTAAATGCCATTTTTATTAATATGAATAAATGCAGTCTGGGTAATTCAGCTGGGGCACACTTAAATAAAAAATACTTAACAAGGCCTTTTCCACCACATACATGATTTTCTGCCAAGTAATGAGTTAATAATGCATACCAATGTACCTGTCATTGGCCGATATCATCTGGTATATCAGTCAGGCTCTACTTTGGTGCTTAGTTCTTGGTCAGACCACTTTTGTGATCGTTTATCTGTGTTTCTGAGTCAAGTGCAGGTGGAAAAGATTTCTTTCATGTTCAAAATCAGGTTAATAAAACTACAAGCTGTGCCTCTTTGCAGCAGACGTTTTATAGAGTCGTACACACCTGCAGGCAGCCGCCACTGTCCCAGCTTCCTCTGTGGTCTCCCCAGGTCTGAAGAGTCCTGTCTGTAGCCTCCTCTGTCTGACAACGTGGGGCTCAGGAGCTGCTGGAGACCACTCATCTAAACAAACAAGACACATCCTTTGTTTCGGCAGTGTGACCGCACACCTGCAGATCCTATGACATGCCTGCTATATATCAAGCTGTGAGGATGTGTGAGTGTGTGTATGACTGTGCGGGGCTTTACCTCAGGCTGGGAGGGGTTGTCTGGGTTGTTAGCATTGTGGTCTTCGCTTGGCACCGTGGTCTCTATGCTGGGGGGGTTGAGTAAGCGGCTGAGCTCCTGCTGCTGGCTCTCTCTCAGGCTGTGGATGATGCTAAATGACTGCTGCTTCTGCAAGAGCACAGGGACACGTGTGGTCAGTATGTGGCACTGCACACACAGTTAAAACATCTCGGGGCGTGTATTTGTGTCGTCTGTTTAGAGACAAACCGCTCGGATGCGTTTGAGGCACTTCTTGAGCCACATGCGTATGGTCTGCTTGGCGACCTCTTCTTCGATGGTGTACTCCAACTGTTCCCTGGCCAACAGCTCCTCTAGCTGGAGAGACTTTCTAATGTCCACTGAACGATACGACAGCATGCTGCACTCAGACACAAAAAAAGGACAGATTTAGAGGGGTTTCTTTTTCTGCTTCAATTAAATTCAGTAGAAGCAGGGCACTAAATGGAAGTAGGCCCTTACACAAGCTGTACAAGTTAACAGTGTACCAATCTAACTTGAGCTGAAAGAGCTCTAAACCCCCAAAACACCAGGTATAATGACTATGAAACTACTCACATGAAACTACTCATGAGGGGAACCCAAGGTGGAGAGAATCTGGACTAATAAAACCTCTTGATTCTTAGCAGGAAGTGATTTCACACATGAGATTTATCCATTTCCAGTTACTTTCGACAAGACATGAGGGTGTAGTTAAATATGGATGCAACATGGTCTTAGCCGCGGTGGGTCCTTGAGTTCTCATAAGTGCAGGTTAAGTGTGTATGAGGCTTTTCGTGGTCACCTGAGCACATCATGGAAGGTCACATCTCCTCCGCTGTGCAGTCGCTCCATCTCATAACACATGTGTTTGAACAGCAGCTTGTCTTTGTCTAAATCCACCTCCAGTCTGCCTCTGAGCAGGCGGAGCAGGAACTTTGCCCTGGATGTGGGGATGACACCCTGGAGAAACAGTCATAGGAGAGAAGATTTATATTCATGGAGCTCGGAATGAACAGGAAAAGACCATAACTATATGTTCATCTTCAACCAGCCTTGCCTCTATAAGAGTTTCCAGCTGTAATCAACAACCATGAGGGTTTCCATAGGGGGGCGCCAAAGTCAACACATACAGAAAGTCGCTCACAGGAACCTTTAATTAATTTTGAATTATTATTTTTTTGTGCATTTTGTGTTTTTCTCACACCTGTTCTTAAAATGGCCTGTTGATTCGTGCAGCAGTGAGAATGTTTGGCCACCTCAATGGATAGCAGGGGTACCTGGTACTATTTTTAAGGGGTCTTAGGCTGAAATGTTTGGAAAAGTCCTTGTATTCAAAATTCAATAGATAAATTTATATGAAAAACAAGATTTGGGAACACTTTATAATACCTATCCATTATTCTAAAGTTGCAACTATTCCTCGTTTACTAACAGTTAATAAATGAGGAATGGTTGCAACTCCGGAATAACGTCCTAATAACATCTATGAACTATTAACTGATACTTAACTAGTCATTAGTAAGTAATTTACTAATACCTTGTTTATGATCTATTACTAATGTATAAGGTATAGTTATAAATCATTAAAAAACAGTTATTAAGTCATTTATAACTCATTAATTAACAGTTTATCAATTATATATTATTATCTGTAGGCATTGTTATATATACTTAACAAACTGTTTACAACACTTAAGAAGTCATTAATAACTCATTAATAAACAGTTTACTAATGATCTATTAACTAGTTATAATGGATGGTTATTATAAAGTGTTACCAAATATTTTTGCCTTTTTATTTAACTTACTAAATTTTATAGGTATAATTAGGCTTGAACCCGACATATTAAACTAAATCAGGTTATAAAATAGCCTTGGTTTGCTTTATCATCAATGTTTCTATAATAGTTTAACTTTTTTTTAATTTCAGCTATTTTCTGCTTTAACCATTTTTAAATCATTCGGTTACCCCTTCTTTTTCTTTCTTTTATATATATATTTTCCAGTCAATTCTTTTTTTATGCTCCATCTGGCTGAATTTTTGTATGTATTAAAGAGGCTATATTACTAATTTTAGTTGGGTTGAGCTGAATAAACAAGAAAAAAAAAAACGGCATCACTAAGAGGCTTTAAAGGGCTTTGGGAAAACTTCTAAATAAAGATGATTTCTATTCCTGAGAGTAAAACCTTTTATTGTATGGGGTATCAAACCAAAGCTTAGGCTGGATGCATCTCCCATTATTCAGCTCGCCTTAATTGAAGAGAAGCCTATAGAGCAGTCAAATAACATAATGGAAGGGGGGTCTTACATTTTACTGTTACCCCAATTACTTCTCCTCCTATAACTCAGAGCATTACTTATTTCCTCCAGGCCTTCTCATTAGCTCACTTTCCTCTTTTAACTTTTCTTTATTGTCCTCTGCGAGTGGCTTTAAGATCGTCACCCTCTCCCCTCTGCTGTGTCCTCATCTCTCTTCCTATTGCTAATTTCTCACCTCCCGTTTGTCATCCACCATGTTCCAGATGATCTGAAAGTGCCTCAGGTCATTATAGCTCAGCAGCTGGTCCTCCTCCGTGGAGTAGAAGAGGGAGAAGTTCTCCACAATGATGGCTGTGGCGATAGAAAGAGACATATAACTGCACAGCAAGTTTCTCTTGGGGTGTATCAACTTTTCTTTGCGTAAAAGTGATTCAAGTGTTGTGCAGTTGTAGGTGGACAGCCTGGGCACATGGAGAGTGAACACATATTTTCAGAGTGTCAAATTAACTGAAACAGACCGTTGGAATAATGAAATTAATTTTTCAAACTTTATCCAACCTTACTCTACCTTTCCCTCCCCTGCTTTACTTGATCCTACTTGTATTACCCTACCTTACTGTGTTTCACCCGACTCTATTTTTGTACTACCCTACCCTACACTGTCCTTACCATCCTGCCCTCCTCTACCTCCCTTCACCTTGTGTTACTCTACTCCCCACTGAGCAATAGACAGCTATTAGACGTCTAGTGATTTTTTTCAGACCTAATTTCAAGGAAGTAAGAAAGTAAAATTTATTTAGTAAAGCACCTTTCACAGAAAAGATTCCCTAAGTGCCTCACAGTAAAAGAATCAAACTACAATCATAAACATCAAGTAAAATCAAAGAACAATAAAAAAACAATGGCATAAATAGAGCATTAGTTAAAACTGGGGGAGGTAAAGGCCTGTTTAAATAAGTGAGTCTTTAAAAGCTTTTTAAAAGTGACAATGGAAACAGCTGAAGGAAAATCAGCAGGTAAATTGTTCCACAGTGTTGGAGCCATCACTTCAAAAGCGTGGTCACCTCTTGTTTTTCGATGAGTTTGAGGGACAACTAGCAAGCCCTGGTCAGCAGACCTGAGTGACCTACTCGGAATGTAGGGGTGAAGCAGGTCAGCAATATATTCTGGGGCCTGACCACGCAGAGCTCTATATACAAAAACAAGAACCTTGAAGTTAATCCTGAATATCACCGTCTTCAAGAATCTAGATTTTGTATATTTTTAGACAGAGTTCAGACGTTGCACTTTAACCCGTTGTTCGATGACTATTTATTTCAAGAAGCAACTGTGAGTTGCATAACTGATCTAAAATAATTATGATAGCTGTTGAGCAATAGACAGTGTAGATACATAAATCCACAGTATAGATATAACCCAGACTTAGACTTGGTCTAAACTTGGTCTAAATTTAGACGTCTACAAAACTTTCATTTTTAGACCTGTGGTAGCCTGATTTTAGACCAGTTGTCTAGGCTACATTTAGATGTCTATAAGACCTCTTTTAGACCAAAAATTTCTCAGTGGGTCTGTTCTATCTACCCTGTATAACTCTATCCTACTCTCTTCTACCATCTGGTTTTCTACCTTACCAAAGTCTGTTTTACACTACTCTGTATCACCCTAAACAACTCTTTCATAACCCACCTTAGTCTTCTCTAAACTACTTTGTTCCACCCTGACATAAACCCATAGTAACCAAGAGTAAGTTGGTGTTTGTAATCATGTTAACAGGTACGGGAGGCTTTGATTGAAAGACAGTGTATTTACAGACAGACACAGTGACAATCTGTCAATGATCAAAAACAAACAAATAAGTCCTTTGACTCTCTTCTTCTGGATTTCCTTTTATTCTCACATAATCACCCTAACTCCTCTTCAATTTTTCATGCGCAGCCACTTTGGAGTCTGTGACTTTTTAAGCCCTTCATTCTTCACAGCATTCTTTGCAAAAGGTCAGAGATGGCTCTCAAATCACGGTAAGTGTCTGTGGTTTATGCCTCACCATCTGCCTCTCTCTGAACAAAATTACGACCCATACAAGAATGATTGATACAAAGAGTCCACAAAACCAGAGGACAAGTTACACAGGTAAGATTTAAAGAGTTGTACATGGGTGCTTTGGTTTCTTTTTGATTCCTTCTGTGCTATAAGTGTTCATCTTTTTTATTTTTCTGCCTTGTCATTGTGCATACCTCCCTTCCTTGTGTCTTGTAGTCTCTGATGTGAAAATGAAGTAATATTTTCTGCATGAGGAAGTTTGATCGTTGTGCCGATAATGAGCTTTAATAGACTAAACTCACTCCGTAGTCTCTTTGGAGAGAAGACAAAACTAGACATAAGTGTGCTTTATGAGTTGTGCAGTGTTGCGAAACATGAGACAAAAAATGAAATAGAGTTGTCGCTGTTGCCGAAGCCCAAGGTCCCTAATCTCCCGACTCATTTTTATGTATGCACACACTTTTTTTTGACACTTAGGGATGTTTCATTGACTGGAAAATTACCCAAACCTCACTAAAAGTTTTAGCCATAAAATTTAATTGAGCTGTAATGTAAACTTGCTTTTTGTCCTTAAAATGAAGGTGAGCTCCATCACTGTGTAACAAGACTCGTCCTCTTTAAGGGATTAAACACACACTGACCTACGAGCAGGTTGAGCATGATGTAGGCTATGATCACATAGAAGGAGCAGAAGTAAATCAGTGCTCCTGCATAGTTGCCACAGTCAGTCTCCCAGTAGCGATGTTTGTCTGGGGTGCAGAACGGGGCTTGCACCTGGGGGGACAGGAAAAACAGTACCTCATTCAAATCAGTGTTCGACGCATCCTTATGTATCAAAATTTTACTGTAATGTTATGTAATGTAATGTACGTAAGCAGTTTTCATTGAGGTTATAAAACTGCTGACAGTGAAGTCTGCGAGGAACACAAAACAACTGGGGGTTATTGTTAATTTTGCTTTAAGTATCAGAAACAAAAACCTGCTCTAAGGTGGGGCTGCTGCAAAAACTGAGGAAGGGCGACTCTTTCAAAATAAAATACCAAATAAAAAAAGAGTAAAAAAGTGTATTCACAACTGAAACAAAATGATCTGCTTGTTTGCTGTCGGGATGTTTGCTAAACCTGCAGCTCATCTTACCATGCAGTCATGCATGATTTTATTCCAATCTTCCCCTGTGACGATACGGAAGAGAACGGTGATTGCTTTGCCAGCTGTGGAGAAGTTTGCGTGCCTGGAGGACAAAAGGAGAATCAGACAACTCTGCTAATATGTATTTCTACTTCCACTGCATAAATTTACCACTGTCTACCGGCAGGAGAGGCAGGAGAACATTTGAACCTTACCTGTTGATGTTCTCTCCATATTTAACAGTCCCAAAGAGAACAACACCTGCAAATGCATAACAGAGCAGAAGCAGGAACATGCCCACGATGATGAAGAAGCTCTTGTACATGCTGACGACCACAGTGAGGAGGAGCATCTTCAGAGTCACCTATGTTCATCACATAAAGACACAAACACATTCAGAAGTATATCCTTATGATGGAGTATAAATCTATTTATTTTTAAAGTGAAATTTACTCACATGCTTCCCACATATTGTGAAGAATCTGAAGACAATCACACATGTCCCCATCATGTAGGTATAAGCGTTCTAAAGGGGAGAAACGTTAGGGTTGACATTTACATGAAAAACAATCCTTCACTGTTTCCTTGGAGGAATAGTTTTTATGTTTTATTTTTAAACTGCAGATGTGATCAAATCAAACAGCAAAACTCGTCTAATTCAAGGAAGTAGCAGCACCTTAAACCAGCAGCCAAACGAGCCAGAACACCTGCTGAATTCACTGGAAGATTTGCTGCTGTGTATCACAAGAGCTGAAATAATACTGGAGTCCTAGCTGGAAATATTCTGGGTAAAGTCTGGTGAAATTGTTTGTGTTTACACATACAGCCCATCGGGGTAATTCTGGGGAATTGTCAGGAACTTTGTGCATGCCTGAAAACATTTATACTTGCACAACTCTTCTTCAAAAACACAAAAACTATCTGTTTACTGTGAGAGTGATTTGTCTAACCAGTAATGAGAAGTGGAGGACGATCCAGATGACACCCAGTGATGTCACCAGAAGGTCATAGCGATTCCGTCTGCTTTGCCAATATCCGGCGGGAGACATGGCGATCAGCTTCATGGTCACCTGGGTAACAACACAAACAGGTTAGATAAGACAGGTTTCTAAATCAAGAATAAACAATAAAACCTTGAAACAAATGCGTAAGAGGAAAGGATCACAGGCTCACCTCCAGTACAAATATAAAAGTGAAGACGACTGACATGGTGGCCAGAGGAAACGTGACCTGGTCATCTACATCCCACTAAAAAAGGACAGATTCAAACACGTGAGGGAGCAGTTTGCATTGTGTCCATCTGACAGATTAAATACTGACAAATGTTCAGTTTGCTTATCATGAAAAAGCTCATTCCTACTGTATTGCCCTAAGAGAAGATGTTTTTATTCCCTTAAAATATATCTAAAAGTAAAAGTAAAAGTGTGTTTTGAGGTTTGATTTAAAAATAGTCAGTGAGGAAGACAGCCCAACATATGGGGGCAAAGGATTTCAGAGCTTTGGAGCTGCACCTGAAAAGTCTCAATGCCTCCTGAGCTTCAATTTGGACCTCAGGACACCCAGAAGAAACTGGTCTGAAGATTTGCGTGTCCTTGATAAACAATTGGGTCTGAGAGATAAGCAGGAGCTAGTCTGATTAGCAATTTGAATGTCAGTGATAACATTTTCAAATCAGTCATAAGAAGCACAAAGAGCCAAATAGGTAATATTGCTCATGTTTCTACCTACCAGTTTAAAGACGGATAAATCTGCAGGAAGAATAATGAATAAAAAGCTCATTAAAACTGTAAAATAGGTGGGACTGTACCTTTACGGACAGCAGCACTGACTGAGCTAACACCAGCACAGCGATGCCTCGTTTGAAGAAGGGGTGTTGAGTGATGTCGTACATTTTGGCTCGGAAACCTCCATTTTCTGTCAGGGAGGTGAAAGACGAGTGATGTGTTCAAACTTTATGACTTTGACAGAAAAAATCTGTGATTAATCGAACATTATTCTGCTGTCTGGGTTGGATCTATTTGTCTGAAGTGCGCTCTGTGATTCAACTGACGCTTGGGTCTGTGGTAATGTCTTAAACTGTCCTGCAGATGGCACTCTTGCATTGTTTGAGTGTCCTCGTCAGTGTGAAAGCTCTTAAATGTGCTGCAGGTTTAAACATAGATACACATTTAAACGCCTTTATGTCAAGATGAGTTGTAATAACATCACTTTAGGAGCGAAGGTGCCTTTGATTTTAACTCACTACACAATAATGTTAGTGGCTTAAAAGGCGACTCTGTGTTTCCGTGTCTCCTTAAACAGAAATCAATCTCACAGACAGGAGATGAAGTCTTTTCTTAAGGCCATTAGGAGAGTGCAGTAGCTTTACTAAGGGGTTGAGGGAGCTGATGTGATTGGCCATTAATGAAGCCCAAACTAACTCGACCAAATGTTTCTACACTCAGACTTTTCTTTGGTCATGTGTCAACAGTTTGTCTTTGAATTTAAAGATGTTTTATCCACTTCTATCTAATCAACATGAGATAGAAATTTAACAACCGACTCTGTGATGAAGCATGACTGTTGACCACAGGGACGATTGTTGCGAATACTTTGAGTGGAATTGTGTGAGGGAAGTCCAGCTCGGTGCTGTAATGAACTGCCAAGAGTGAGTGAGTGGTGCCAGTGCCGAGGGCCTTTGGATGTGGATCAAAGTCAGGTTGATACTGCTGGTGTCAGCGGCATTGCTGACGAAAACTGAAGCCATTGATTTTCTGTTAGTTCTCAGCCCTCAACTGTACTAACAGACGATTTCCCACAATGCCTCTGAGGCCCTTAAAACTATTCTCACAGCTCTAATCACAGAGAGAAGAGCAAGAGTGTAATTGTATCGTAATCCCATGTTGAAAGGTGATCGATTGCAATGTAGAGTACATGGTGTAACAAACTGCAGTCAAGTCAGCATTCATCTAGTTTAGTTTAGTTTGCATGAAGCTGATCGTTCACCTCCGCTTCATGGTGTTAAGTTCTGAAAAATTTCACTCATAAACTCGGTGCAGAAAGCGGTAACATGCATGATTCAGTGCCTGAGTCATCTGCGGTATCTGTCCTTAAAATCAGCTTTTTCATTAGTGGAGCAAGTCATCATTAAGGGATCATGTTGAGTCCCTGAAGGATAAAAAACACGGACTATCAAATATGGATGAATCATCCAAGTACTACTTTACTACACGTTGATGTTCCCACACAGAAACCACATGATCGCTCAGGGAATGGGGTAAAAAAAAAACATGACTTTCACAACCCTACAATTTCATCACTGCTTTCTGCAGGCTGTGGGATTTTGGAGCGTGGTACTGGGGTTGTTTTTGAAAATAGAACAGATTGCCAATAAAGTATCTGATGTAGTGATTTTTTTCAGTGTTGGCTCAGCTGTGAAAGTGAATCAAGTTTTATGAACAAATCCTCAACTCGTTATTTACAAAAAGGTTTCTTTAGCTGGACATTTCAGATAATAACCAGGTGAATATTGCATCATCCACTGCTAGAAAAATATAAAGCGCTCTGCTGACTGATATACTGTTATTTATTTATTTTTGATGTGAGCACCTGGGCGTGGAGGCAGGTGGAGAGGTTGGGCTATTTTCAGCCTGCTCTTCAGATCCTCCCATCGTCTTTGGTCGACTGTCAAGAGAGCAGTGCCCTAGTGAGAAGAGACACAACATGTTTTACTGCGACAGATTCATTTGAGTCCAGATAAATACCATGTTACTTCATTTGAATTTGGCCTTCCCTCTTTGCTTTTGCGGTTTAATAATTACCATATGAAAGTAAAAACAACCTTTAAATTCTTACCTTGTTCTCATTAAAGTTTGCAATGACGACACCAACAAACAGCGTGAGTCCAATCATACATCCCAGAAACACAAAGACGTGAATGTAGATCCCGTGGATCTGAAAGCAAAGAAGAATTTCACATGTTCCAGTCTTCTCACAGTAAAATGTATGAAGGGTAATTTAAGCCAAGGTAAGCCTTTGTACCGGTCCAACACGGTGAATTATGACATCCCGGACTTCCACCCAGCCTTTAAGCGACAGCACTTCAAACAGGGCCAACATGGCGTTCCCTACATTGTCAAAGTTAAAATTACGAGGGTTGGCCCTGAGGACAGAGAACAGAAACATAAATCTCCATCTGCAGAAGAATAACTTTAAATCAAGCTGCCATAAAAACATTATTTACCAGACTCTTGGCACCCAGAAGCCGGGTTTCTTCTCCCCAGGCTTCAGTTTCAGGTTGAGGTTTTTGGAAACACTGACATTTATCCGGAATATCCCGTGACACTCATCCTACAAACAAAAGGTTGGAAATAAAACACGGAATAAGGGAACAATTGGAATAGAAAAAGATCCTTTCTGTAACGTAGTTTACTTGCTGTGTTTGAGAAAACAACTTAAACAGTTCGCTACCTAATCTGAATACTGAGAACATGAGAATAATACAGTAAGTGAGGATAGATGCAAAAAAAGCAATAAGAAGTCTCCCTCAGGGTCCTCATGAAATGGAAAAGCCTCTCTTGCAGCAAGCGAGAGCAGTATAATGACTATTGTTAGAAATGCAGGATAAAAAGGACCCTCTGGATTATTGATTTGTCTGGGGGAAACCCCTTGTACTTATTCAGCTTGTGCTTCTCTACAGGGAGTGTGCATTTGGGAGGGGATGGTTTAGTGAGGAGATTATGTTTCTTGCTGTACCCGTTTAAGGATGTGGGGGTCGTTGCACTTGGCGAGCTTTCCTGCAAACAGCTGAACTCCGAAGCTTGCGAACACCAGCATTAGTGTGAGGAGCAGAATGGAAACCTGCAAGAGAATCAATCAGGAGTTTAAAGGCACACAGTTCAACATAATCCGAGCCTGAGAGATTACAGAGCGAGCTGAGGGTGTCAGACTGCAGTGGATGTAGAGACCTCGGCTCAGACACAGGGAGAATCACTAACTGCTGCAAGCTCCCCGTAATGTCATAAAACCCAAGATAGAAAAGGCAAAAGGTTGGCAGAAAGGGGAATAAGATGCGTCAGTGCACAAATCCTGCTTGTATTTTTGCATGGTTTATAAGCAGTGTACTATAAATCATGAATACTTCATCGTTCACCTTTTCCCTGAGCACGCCAGGGTTTGTAGCACATCTCTGTTCTCTCACAACTGTTTCTCAAAACATGTTAAATTGAAACACAATCAGTCTACCTAAACTCTATTTAACATTTTAAAGCAACAAGGTGGAAATTACACAAATCACAACCTGCCAGATCAGAAAACAAAATCAAATGACCATCCTAGAACCTAATATTACTTTATCCAATCACATTAATTTAGTGCTTGGAGGTTTACTGAAAAGTAATGAGAAAAACTCTGTCAATGCATGTTTACATTTTTGCCTAGGGCATCTGTTAATAGTAGCAAACACAAATCTAATGTGCTTATTTGAGTTCCCTCTTCAGTTCCAATGTGGTGAAGAAATAAATAGTTTATAATGTGAAAAAAAATCAATACTTTGAAATGTGAAAACCAGCTAAATTTGAAACATGTCACAACAGCCAATCAAACATGAGCAGAAACTGAGCGGGGTAAATGACTGATATGTCAGGTTTGATTACTTGACAACATTTTGGCATTCTATGTGAAATGTAATAATTCTTTATACTGCCTCTTCAAGTTGCCATTTACAGTGTTTTCTTATGAGCACCCCTGCTATATTTTATCCCTATCATAAGGTCAGCAATCATATCAGATGTCTGCAATTTTGAACCCAGAAAAAAGTGGGATAAACTTGGAAATTCTCTTTTGCACAGGCTCTAATGATTGACCACTAACCAGGAAAATCTCCTTGAACCCTTTGAGGACCTCCCGCACCACCTTCCTCATCTGGGGAACCAGCTTGAAGATCCTGAGCGGACGCAGGCAGCGCAGCATCATCAGCAGCTGAGCCCCAGACTCAGGAGGGACGTCAGGAGGCAGCCAGCACAGAAAGATCAGACTCACCTAGAGAGGAAATTCAGTCAGGTCACATTACTATCAATACTACTGAGTAACAGATACAGGAATGTCACTGATGGAGGCACGGCTGTTATGTCTTCAGTTTCATGCTAATAGACTCGATATGGCACTGAAGCTGATTCAAATATTAAATCAAAACAAAGAGGCAAAGAAAGGGAAAAAAACAAGACTGGCTTTAATTAAACTTGCTTATGTTTCTGCCTCTGCTGCATCAGGCTGCATTTCTTCACCTGAACAAAAGTTTGTTTTTTATTACCAAGAAATCTAGCCTCAGGAGTTGTTGACATACTCTCCTTTCTGCAACAACAACTCACTTTATTGAATTAGGACTGCAGTTCGGAACATTTTGTAATCAATTATTGAAATGGATAATTAAAACTAACTCTATGAAATGAATTTCATAATAACTTAATGGCTCTTATTAAGCTAGAAAGAGCCATTAAGAGCTATTAAATCCATGATTTTGTGCTAATGTGTGGCCTGGTTAGGAGTTTGCTTGAGCACTAAGAGAGAAGAAGGAGAAAGGTGAATTTGTTGTAGTTATACATTAAACTATGATTAAATAAACAGTATTTATATGACCAGGTTCCTCACTAGATAGATAAAGATGTCCATAACTCCTCCGAAGTCTCTGATGACAGCTGTGGGGGTGAAGAACAGACCGTCCGCCATGATCTTCAGGTTGAGCTCGATGCTCATGAAGATCACAAACACGTACTCCCCGATCTGCAACAGAGGGGACGAGCATTAGCTGCACCTGTGCCATCGTGCATCTGCTCGCTCAGCATTCCTTCAGCATGAAACTATTTTAAAATACCTGCAGAGTGGGAACATGCATGACCCGGGTGAAAGGTGATTCAAACATCATAGAGATGCAGGAGCAGATGGTAACCACGATCATAACCCAGTCCAGGTAGGTGACGAGGCCCAGAAGATCACTGCAGAGCCACGTGAGAACATTTTTTTTTAATAAATCCACAGAGAAAAGTACCATGTTTGGTTTAAGTGGGTCATAGGAGATATTTGGCTTGCAAAGCAGCACATACTCAAGGATAATTCAAGAGAAAGAGGGGGAGGCAGACAAAGTGAGAGGAGGATATGTGAGGAGAGGTATCAGAGAGTGAAAGTGAATTAAATTGTGTGTCTCTGTGCATGCAGAGCAATCTTTTCTACAGCGGGAAGTCAGTAAAAAAAATCCCCTGGCTGCAGCGATACCTGATACAAAAGGACTTTTTCTCACTTTAATAATAAGCCCCTGTGCTCGGCTGAATTACAATCAGGTTGCATAATGGGTGAGATCTATTTCGCAGCTCTTCACTTTCACTATTTTCAATCCTCACCACTGTTTTTTAGAGGAGGACAACAGACACATCATTTGGCTACAGGATTAATGAGGATTTCACTCATGTAGAACCAAGAGATCAATAGAGAATGAAGGAATCAATAATTCATCACACTTACTACAGCTGGTGGTATTTGGTGTTCTTCACAGCTCCTGTGATGGGGTCAGTTTTGGATCTGGACATGAATTCATACAAAGAAAAGGGTTTTTAGAGGGACTGGAGGTTTGTAAGAAAATATTATGGACAGGTGTAATAAAAAAATAAATGTGGCTTGTTTTTTTACATAGTTATTGAATGCTGAAGGCCACTCAGAGATACATGAGAGTAAAAATACATATTCAGACAGACTACCATCTAACAAGACCAACTTACGCATTGAAGCGAGCCCTAACAATCATCCTGCAGAAGTTTCTGAAGCGGTGCTCCCGGCCCACAATGAAGAGAGGCTTGTCGAAATAAGGATGGTTTTCTCTCAGTTCCTCCTCCTGAACTTTTCTGATCAGTTAAAGGAACAGAGATATGGACAAAAAATCACACCAAACATCTACCATAAAACGAGGACTGAAGGCTACCTTCTTGGCTGATGTTGGGCGCACATGTGTGATCATACCTTTTCATCTCCGCCTGTTCCTTCTTCTCTTGGATCATCTTGATCTCACTGTCTTCTCTCTGTGCGTTACGATAACGCACTGTGCTGGAATGCTTGGGAAAGAGACAAGACAATAAAGTTAGGAAAGTTTGATTTTAAGGTTTATCTATTTATTGCTCTATAATCTAGAAATTGTTTCACTGTTAACTCTTAAAGTATCTAGAGTCTAGATACTTTAAGAGTAAACAGTGAAACAATTTGAAAATGTATTGATTGACTGCTATGATGATTGACTAGCTTTTATTTTGAAAGGACACAAACACTTTCACCAAAGTGAACAGGTATGGGAGTGTTAAAGAGACACTACCAGGAACACCCATGCTAGGAGTTGAGAAAGAGAGAGCACCCCCTGGTTTATCAATAACAATAACAATATATCAATAAAAATACTGTCCTGGTATCAATATGTGTAGGAGGCTCAGGCGGGGCATCCTAAACTGCAAAATCTTCACTTGCTGATGTTTTGTTTGTACCCCTTTGTTTGGCTACAGACGTATGAGATGTAGCGATGTTGAACTGAAGTCAAAGAAAGATAACGCCCTCTGCTGTTTAAAAGAGGACATTACTATTCATTTTTCCTCCCACCAATTTCAATCATCACCTGTTACGGCAGATACTCAAACAAAGTAAACCTTGCTGGTAGAGTTTAAACAGCCATTTTCTAAGGATACTAGGGATGGAAAAAAAAATCAATACACGTAGTATCGCAATATTTAGTCTGGTGATACATAGTATCGTCTCATTTACCAAGTATCGATTTTTTAAACTAATTGTTAATATGAAGTCAAATCTATGATAACGGAAAATCTATTGTTTGTCCAGTGAGGTTGGCAGAGGTGACATCATAGAGCAGGAAAAAGTCAGTGCAACAAATCTGTACAACATGAAAATAAAATACAGCGTAAATACGACAAACATGAAGGAAAGCCAAATGCTAAATTAGCTAAACAGTTGAAAAAATAATATAAATCGCAAAATTGCATCGCAATACTCACTGTATTGCAAAATGTTAAAAATCGCAATAATATCGTATCGTGGCCCAAGTATTGTGATAACATCGTATCGTGGAGCCACTAGTGATTCCGACCCCTAAAAGATTTAAGACCCCCATTTTGTTTCTGTGTGTATATTCTTACATCCTGGGTGAGCGTCTCCAGAGACTTCCCTCTGCTGATCCTCTGACTGGTGGAGCCATGTCTCAGGGATCTGTGGAAACGAAAAGCAGATAGTAACCACTCTCGAGGTAGAGAAGTTGCATTATCTCGTACTCGTGTTTAATTGTTGTCAGACCTGCGCTCCTGTCGTATGTGATGCTGCACGCTGAGTATGGAGCGCTCTTTCGCTGGCTGGCCTTCAAAGGAACCACTTAGCATGCGCTGTCTGGTACACGCTCTGTAAAAACAAACAAACAAACACATAAACCTTTTTTTTCTCTCTTTATAATCAGTATAATGAAAAATATAAGGGTGTAATCTGAACGCAGACGGATCTGGACCGTGTTTATGAAAAACAGGCTGTATTTGTCTTTCCTCGTTCTGACCTCAAAGAGAGGTGAAGCTGGCTGTCAGGATCCAATCATTCCATTAGTTAGTGTGTGTATTTGTGTCAGTGTGTGTGTGCGGGCATCCCTGTGTGTCCCGGCTACAGCAGAGTCATGTACCAGAACAGAGCTAATGACACTGTGGGCACAAGCAGCGTGTGTACTTTAATCATTAGAGAGACTCTGGGTGATTACTTGTTTATTGGCAGTAAGTAAGCATACATGAGTGCCCGCGCATGTGTGTGTGTGTGTGTGTGTTAGGCTGTGTAGGTGTGATTGTGGGCCCAATTGTGTGTTTGTGTGGCAAACGGCGAGCCAGACAGAACGTGTTATGACTACTGATGCGCTGTCTATCTTTCAGACTGACTGAATAAGAGACAGGGGGAGTAGCGGGGGGAAGGGGGGGTAGATTGGACATGGTGCCGGCGAGCTAATCTACACTTAGTGCCAGCTCTGCCATGCTGAACAGCAAATTATCCATTTACCTCACCGTGACAGTAAATGACTCTGAAGTGGGTCTGTGTGTGCGTGTGTGTGTTTGAGAGAGAGAGAGAAACAACAATATGTATGAGTGCTGTTGCAGGAGAGCTTCATCTAATATGCACACACGTTATTGCTTTCACCCACACAAAGGCTGGCATGTGTTTCATGACTCTGGATGATGCATATTAAACACATCTAGCTGAGGTCTCCAAGGATGGTGTCAATCCCAAATCTTATGATGTCCTGATTAATAATAAAAGAACACAAACAACTGAGGGTCATAAATGAGGAGCTGTGTGAAGTTGCAGTCTCCACGTGCCGACACATGCGGCTTTAAACTGGGCTATTTGTCGCTAAAAGTAAAAAGAGAAACACAATTCAACCCAATTACGCTCAGTTTTACTTGCATATTACAAAACAAGTGCCTACTTAAGTGTGGCCATGTTCTTACCGTAGTATTTTATTGATAGTAGTTTCTTTTTCTAGTAGGTTTCGAGCTCTGATGCTGAATATAGACCTGCGAAGCTGAAAGAGGCAAAAGTGTGAGTTCATGAGTTAAAACCTTATCCAACAGAGCTCACTTCATCAAACACAAATTAAACAGATTGTTTTAACTTGGATTGTTTAAATATGTTCATGATCCGTCTCTTTAAAAAATTCAGTAAGTTGGTCCACTTTGCTTAACACCTCAAACTAACTACCATAGCTCTGCAGTAGAGCTGGAATAACTTTCACACTGCTCAAAATGTACTGAACTGTTTGAAGGATTAGACCAGGATTAGTTTCAAGTGGACCAAGCAGTCCTGGTTTTAAAGGCTGGGTAGGCAGGATTCCGCTAAAGAAACATCTTTTTTCGTGGTGTATATACAAAAAAGTTTTAAATATCAGTCAATAGCTATTAGTTATTGATGACGCTTGCTAATATAACGGTGTCGCAGTGTTCTGTTATATCTGTGTAGTCAACATTTTACATTTTTTGAGTGGCCCGCTCTTTCTGACTGTAAACAAAGCCATTCCCTGCCTTCCCCAACCAGTTTGGTTGTGAGGTGGACGCTGCTCCCGATACAAAGTTAGCGTACAACAATATCAGACAGTAGAAACCAACCAGAAAGTACAGAAAACGGTCTGAATCCTCCTTTGACCACGACTGCCAACACAAGCAAGAAAATGAAGTAAATACCAGAGACTTTGCCGGAATAACGGGTGCCTAAAATGGAGGTAGACCAGACAGGAGCTAAAAAGCCGGGTAGATAGGGGACGCTTCAGGATCTTACGGACCCTGTAACCTCCTGCTAGACAGATAAATTGCTTTAACAAAGTAAGCCCGTTGTCTGTAACAGAGGTGTTTCTTGTAAAATGGGATCTGCTGCATGCTGTAGCGCACCTTAACTGTTTACCCTGGGTCCTGGAGTATGTCACTTTATTCTAGTTGTAGCCGTCCTGCAAACATTGTGTTTGCTGGTAGTCTGTTGGCATCTACAGTAACACTACTGCTTTTTACTTTAACATTGACTGGGCCCCATTTGTAATTATCTTAGGTATTTATCTGCATTATATTTGAATTTAACTGCAACAGTACGAGCAAGAGGGAGCATCTGTTTGCGTCTGCTGGAGCAGAGACGGAGGGGAGAGGAGGAGCTGAGGGGAAAACTGGTTGGGAGGGGTAGTGTTTACATTCAAGATTTCTCCCAAAAACTGGCACTTCCTCAGATCCTGCCTACCCCACCTTTAATGGAATCCCAGTGATTGGCTGGCTTACTAGCCTTTACCTCAGCATGTGGCAATTAAAGCAGTGCAGATGACAGAGGAAAGGGAGGTACACTGTCCATAATCTCAGTTAGATTTCATGAAAAAAGATGGTGTGTCTGTAAACAGTGTTCAGTCATAAACTGATGAGAACAAATAATCAAGAACCTGTCCACTTTCTGTTTGTGTTAGTGAGAGAGAGCGTAAGTGCCTTAAAGTACCTTTTGGTCGATGTACTTGTTGTCTTCGATGGCTGAGCGTTTAGAGTGGTCACAGGAGGAGGATGATGCAGAGGGGAGACGCCGGAACAAACAGCTGGTGTCCTGCTGCTGTCGATCAATGAACTGCTTCATAAAGCTCTCCCTAGAGGACACCACAAAAAATATACACACATACAACGCAATGAATAAAAATGCATGCTTCCCAACAGAAATAAACCAAGTGTTAAAAGAAATTAGAAGTGCCGACAGTTGGATCATCTTGCCAAACCATCTTGGTGCATTATTCTTGCTGCAAAGTATGTCAGGGGAGGCTCTTGCTGCAGTGGCCCGGCAGATGGGCTGCAGAGGAGGGGGAATTCTGGGGGAGTGAAGTACCTCGCTGTGCACTAATCAGCAACTAAATGATTAAACTGATTATGGGCTCTACTTTGTTGGACACAGTAAGTCTCTCCTGCTAAAAAATGAAGGAGACACAAAAGGAGTCCTTACAGGATACTAATCATAATTATCTATTATAGCAGCAAAAATGACTTGTCTTTATTCATTTATTCAATCAATCACATCATGTCACTGCAGAGGAAAGTGTTTGTCAAATGGTGCCAGCTCTGAAAGGGTTAAAGATAATTGCTGCTCCATGTTCAATTGTTTTGTTTCTTCCATTGATTTTCTGTTCAAAGTCTTTATGAGTACAGTGGAAACGGTTTCTCATTTTACAGACAAGTTTGTGCCTTTTGTTCAAAGAAGTGCTGTTTTTGGTCCATAAATCATAAATAATTGGATTCTTTTGTACATCCCAAAGGATTCTTTAAATAAATACACCGTTTTCACATCATGAATTTTAACAATCTAACTGTAATAGCTTGAGATCATCTACTTTGATAGATTCTTAGTGGTACAACAGACTTTGGATCAATATGCATTTAAAAAATACATGTAGTATTAAAACATCAGTATGTAAAGTGAACGTCTTGATAAAATATCCCTCTGCCTCTGATGCCTCTTAACCCTCCTCCAAGCCTGTCCCACTGAATGATGCTCCAAACATGCCAACTGGTGTTACTCCCATTCAGACAGTTATATTGGACTCAGGGGACAGACGCACTAAAAGCCCATCAGTGCATACCCCAGAAGAGAGTGTCAGTTCAGCTCAGCTGGTGGACTGGGTGCCACTGTGGTCCACATCGTACTTACTTGTTGAGGAATTGATTCTCTGTCCTGGCATGGTTTAGTGCATGTCATTACCCTCTCTCTCTCTCTCTTTCTCTCTCTCTCTTTCTCTCTCTCTGTCTCAATATTTCTTGTCTCTCTCAAGCTGTTGACTCAAAGACATAAATCAGACCTAACTGTACTTAAAGCTCCAGTGAGGAGTTTTTGATGTTATGACTAAAATGTATACTGGTGTCTTTTCATGACATCTAAAGCAAATACGACCAGCAGCAACAAGATAGATGATTTGATATTGCTATTTTGCATGCCTGAAAGTGATGTGAGGCATTGGTGTCAGCAGAGGAGCAAAAAAGTGTCCCTGTTGCGTACCATTTCCACACACACACACAAAAAAAAAATCACATTGAATGATACATTTGACTGTCAGAGTCAGGGTGAGACTAAAGGATAAGCCTGACAAAGTAAGCACAAACTGCCTCGTACACAAATTGACTCAAACCAAAAGTTCCTCACAGGAGCTTTAAATGACATAAAAGTGAAACACTGTCTGTGATATAAAATTATCACATTTTGAAGCTCCTGGCAGGAACTTATGGTTTGAATCATTTGAGGTACCCCCTGTGGAATGGGCAGCTTGCTGATAGTCTCCTACATATGTGAGTTGTGATGTTTCACAGAGAAGAATTTTTCCCTGCTCTCTTGTAACACTGAAAAGTTTCACTCACCAAGTATCTTTGCTGCACAGATGTAAAAAGAATGAAAAAATAGCAGCTTCATGTTGCAGCATGTCATCAATCACTGCCTCGGACAAACTGCCTAGCAGGAGAGGTTTCAGATTTCAAATATATACTCTCTAGAAACAGTCAAACTCCTCACAGGACCTTTAACCAAAACTAATCAAATAACATTACCCACTGAAGCTTTAAGTGTTTTTCTCTGACTGTGCTTCATTCTTTTGGCACAGTTAAATCTTCACTGCTGCCTCAGAGCAAAAAAAACACTTTGTTTAAAATATCAATGGTTAGCTATGAGAGGAGCAGGTCTAAAATCCTTTTCTACTTCATACCTTATACGCTGTACATATACGGGCAACAGTTACAGGTAAAACAATCTGTACACTCTGTTAATGTGCTGTTTTAATACTCTTTATTACCCATGCTTGACTCTTGATATAGTGTATTTTGGTACTGTTGCACACCCTAATGACTCATTTGTTATTCTCTTTCTTTCAAAAATACCTCTCACATTTTGACCAAAATGTCTCTCACTCAGTTCAAATCGTTTCATGCTGATCGCACAACTGCACTTTATTGTGTTATGACAGACATCTAGATTTGTATGCATATCTACAAAATGAACGCTGTTTGAATGAACTGTTTACCTGATCCTGGGCACTGTGAAGTCAGACGGGAGCTTGGAGATCTTCACCATCTGAGGCCTGTTGGGGAACTTCTCAAAGATCCGGAGTCGCAGGGGGAGCTTCTCTTTGGTGTCAGCGTTGGCTTCACTTTGCTTGAGCTGACAGAAGTGAGTTTAAAATCCAGATTAGGCACAGAAGAGAAGTGAGATATGAGGTACAGTAAAGGGAAGGAGTCACCCACAGGATGAGAGTAAAGAAGAGGGAGAATAAAATGAGATTTTTAAAGGGAAAGAAGGACACTGTTACAGCAGTTTGGGTGAGGAAAGTTAAGGGTTTCTCTGAGAGCTGGATAAGGTAGCCTCTGGTGTTTCAGGAGAAAAAAGGCAGTGAATGAGCCAGGTTTTGCAAGAGAAAGGTCTCATAAATGCAGCTTTGTATTTCTGCCTGATGATGGCAGCAACACACTTACCTACGACACACACATACGGACACTACATATACCACATTTAACACAAGATCCCACTTACTTTTAGAAAAAGAATGAAGAAAGCAACAAAAGAAAAAGAAAAGATTATTTTGGAGTGGTTCATGGAGAAAAAGAAAAGAGGCAAAGACACTTAGAAAAATGCATGTGAGCAGGCTGCAGGTTGGTGAAATAAAAAGATGACAAAGGGAAATGGAACCAATTATTTCCATTTAATTACATATGAGGGAGGCTGATTGAAATTCCCTTGCAGGTATTCTCTGTCTGGGTGCCTGGAGATAACCCCTGATGCATTGCAGATTAAGGCCTGGAAAGTGAACTGCATTTGGAGCGATGGTGAGTGGCAGCTTATCATGCAGAGCAGGGAAACCGCTGTGAAACATATTGACTGGGCTCGCTGAATGTTTCTCCGTCAGTCATGCTATCTGAACGTTTGTCTGTCTTGCAATGCAAACCCCTGTCCTTGTGCATTGGTATTTCTGTCTGTGAGCACGCCTGAATGATTGGAACAGCCTCTCGTGTTTGAGGGATAACAGCCGGTAGAGGAAGAGACCTGACAAAGGAGGGAATGGAAATCTGTCTATCCATTTTCTTTCTCAAACAAGACTAAAATAAAGGAGCGGCTTTTTTACCCTGAGTGGGTTGAGTGGTGAGTGGCATGCTGTGAAGACAGAGTTATGCACCAGTATTTGCTTGCCTAGGCTTTCTGTCTATAATCTGAATCCCAAGATAGACACAAGATGGAGAGATGGAGTGAAACAGAGCATGAAGCTAGAACAAGCAAAAGACAGACAGACAGAAATGTATGGAAAACAAGCAGAAGACAAAGCTTTTTAAGATGTAATGACAAACAGACACCATCTTTTACAAAATTGCTTGGAAATAAGAATCAAAATTTGGTCAGCTTTTTCTTTTTGTGCTGCAGCTCTCTTGGTGAAACTTGTAGAAAAGTGCTGCAGTCATCTTCTACAGTAACTTTACATTTACTTGCTGAAATTCCCTGCAAGCAAAACACACGCAAACAAAAAATCCACAAACAAGCATGCACACACACACACACACAGTGAGGAATTAATATGGGCTGTACTGCTCCCAATGGTCCTAATCAATTGGGCCAACTCAGCGAGATGTACAGTTTAGACGAGGCGCTGCGCCCTTAACTGCAAGCAGTGTCCTATTACAGCTAAAGTTTCTCTTCTCTGTCTATTGTCCTTCTGTGAATTGCTCCTTTTTAGCTCTCTGAAATGTCTGCTCCTTCCTTCAAAGAGCACGTCGGTCTACATTCTTCACACAAGGCTGCCCGGTCACTAGATCTCAGTATCAGCTTCTGTTCACTGCCTCCTCGCCTTCACTCCTTACTTCCAGAAAAATAAGTAGCTGCATAGAAAGAGGTTAACTTTTTTATTCTTTTTTATTGTTAAAGATGACTACTGTGAGTTACACGCTTGTTTGTGCCCTTCAATTCACGTGTTTGTTTATTTACTGATGTGCTGCATCTGGGGACCCACCCACTGTGAAAATAAATTAGATAGCACTGAATTTAATTTCAATTTACCCCCAGAAAGCGAATCAGAATCCACTCCACCATGAAACAATGAGACATTTTTTATTAGAAGAAGTGCTGTGAGGCCTTAAAACATAGAAAATAAATTAGAAGAGGTCGGCGTAAGAACATGGATACACCACTAAAATAACAGTTTTCTTTGCACTGACACTGTGTAAGGCTTATCTGTGAAGGGTTTGAGGGGATTCACTGGTAAGCTGCTATAAATCACTATTATCTGTATGTGCTAACACATAGGGCTTTCTGTCAGGTCGATAGAAAGGATCAATAAGGCAGACATGGACATGGAGGAGCTAAGGAAAAGAGCACTTACTAGCAAAATCTATTCTCTAATGATTATTGGTTTTACATGTTACTGTTTCAGAGAAGAGGAATGACTTTCTCCAACAAATACACAAGATTATTATTCATAGTGTGTACACATTTACGGCTGTAAATGCACGGGGCTTGCAGCATATTTCCACCACAGTATGTATTTCACAGTTCCTGCAGTCCCTGTTACATCACCCATTGGTGTCTGAAGAGATGTTGTGAAGCATAAAAAATAAGGGTTGGATTGTTGGCAACATCAGCAAGAGCTGGGTGATTAACCGGATTTGGGTTATGAATATGGCGACACGGGATCCTAACTTTAAGTTCCAGGAACCTCTCTTCATGGTACACAAAGGTTCCTTTATCTTGCTATTGTCTATCAAAGCCTTGGGATGTGTAAACATGAGGCAAATTAAGTGAGGTCTTAATGTTAGGTTGAGGAGTCCAACCTCTAAGGGCCTTTTTGGGAGCTTTATCTTTCACCATAATTAGACTTTGGTCTCTGATGCTCTGACATCCCGCTAAAGTTCCTGATCCCTGGAGAAAGTTCCTACCATAGACTGTATCTACTATGGACAACTTGGTTCCAATATTGCGCAGTAGTGTTGTACACATTCCGCGGGAGAGACGCCGAGAGTCGCTGTGATGACGCTCGGCTCAAACAGCGTACCTCTCGGGTGAGCTACGCAATCTTCATACAAACCATAGGCTGTATCAAGTGTCAATCATTGAAAACTTGAACCCCTAATAACTTTTAAAAATGGAGCTGTACAGAAAAAAGAGGACTTGAGCACAAACCAGTCTTACAGTAACTACATGTCAACATCACAAACAGGGGGGAGAAAAATTTATGTTCTGTGTAATAAATTTCTAAAGTTTGTCCACAGCTCCATAAGCTTTGCTGGCGGAGGCGGGACTTATGACCTACACTGCCCGTCACCAGAGGGTGCTGTAATCAGAGTGGCTTCACCCACCGAGGAGGCAGACGGCGTCCATTCTATATACAGTCTATGGTTCATACATTGGAAATGGACCTTATGTGCGAGGTACTGATATCATTGAGCCCTGTAAAAATCTAGTACCAAATACCTGCATAACAGTTAAAGACAAACTATCTTGTGAATAAAGATGAAAAAATTGTCGGAGCTAATGATAAAACTTAAGATTTTCTCAGAAGAGTACTCGGACATTTAAATGGAATGTAGAGAGTACATTTGAGAACTTTTAATTGGACACCAGCTCCTTTAAAATAAAACAACGTTGCTATTTGGCCAAAATGTGTTATTTCAGTAAATACTAATATGAAGTGCCTGTTTGTGTCTGTGAGAAACATAATTGAACCTTTCTTCTGTCCATCTCCACCTGTCTGAGCAGGAGAAAATGTCTCAGTGTTCTCTTTATGTCAGAGTCAATGGCTGATAAATCAAAAGTATTGCCTGACTTGACACAGAGGAGATTTAGTGTATGCTGGTGTAACAATGGAGCCGAGACTAATGTGTTTTGCCTTGAGACCCATTCAGGTGACCTGCTGCTGCTTCCCCCTCCATTCAAGCCAATTTCAGGCTCGGCTGAGCTGGGGAGCTTTCTGTCTGGGATTTCCACAGATTTCCTGACCAGCACCCAAGGAGGGAAGAAAAAAAGCTAATGCCGGCCATTAGCATTAGACCAAATTCGGTCATAGCTATTATTCAGCGAGAGCATGGGAGGAGATAAAGTGGTCTGAGTTAAAATGGTCTCAGACAAGCTGCTGAGGAGTCTAATATGATGGAGGAGTGAAAACTAGCTGGGATGAAATGCCTTTAAAAGAAGTGAACAAAACTCTTTTAAAGGGACAAACCCTTTTATAATAACACTTACTAATACATTTACCTTCATACACTCATTATGGCACTACACAAGCTATTGTGGTTATTATAGCAGCTTTAATACAGCTGCAGGACTAGTTAAGACACACAGGCTGCACTACACTGATAGCATGACAAGGACTATATTACCAAATGTGCATTATGCTTCAGAAGTTTCTTAACGATTATGGCTGCAGTATTAGCCCACATTGAGTATCTCTTGTATTGTATACCATTGAGAAAAACAAAGAAAAACATAATTTGCATTATTTACACCTATTGCTAGCCTTGTATGAATGTGAAATTATTGCGATCAGTATGAGGGGGCCTGCTTTAGTTCACTAAAAGAACCCTGGCCTCAAAATACCAAAAGCACTTATACTAACTGAGCCAACGTTAGCAACATGATGGCTAGCCTCTATTAATACTCTGTGTCCACCAAAGATCATTGGGTATTTCTTTTTGTAAAATGCTATCAGCTTAGTTGTGATGGGTGAAACCAATCAGGGTGCTTTAAAAAGGAGGGAAAACACAGGAAGTGAAACTAGACTTGACAAATTAGGCAAAAACAGAAACACTAGGAACATGATACAGGACACAACAACATACTGTAAATGTGATGCAAGAATAACGTAATCTAACCTATGAGAGAATTCAAGAAAGACATACAGCACAAGGTAAAAATACAAATTAAACCAGGAAATCAGGACAAGACCACAGAGCTACAGAACACACAACATAACACAATGTTTGCGTTGACTCATCTGAATGACTAAACTCTGAATTAAGACAGATTAACCCTCTGAGAATTGCGTGCATCTCGTAGTGCCGCTCGTATTACCTCGAAACAGAGGGCTACCCAGCTAAGTAGCTAATGCAGTTAGCATCACAGAAGTTGAACACTATCGCCAACGTTTCTGATAAATTCAAATTGTAATATGTCTGTCTTTTATAACATTTGTATAGTTTTTTAAGTTAAAACCATGTACTTTTACTTCACAGTGTATCGCTCAGCAGAATCAGAGGATAAGTGAGGCTGCGAAGGAAGCACCTGATGCTGCTTTCAAGGCCCGGGAAAAATAGGACACATTTGATGGCAGCATTTGGAGAAGCCCTCGAAATGGAGCAGCCTTCGACTCACCACTGTAACACGCTCACTCGTCAAATGCATCCTTTGAAGGCTGCAGCCCCTAAATTGGGACACAACTTATATGCTCAGCCATGTCAATTAACTGTGCTCAATTTTGACCGTTGAAAGAGTATTTTCTTATCTTTAGACTAGCGGCCAAGAGAGAGTTTAGATTTGAGTTCAACAACGAGAAAATGTGTCATTCAAGCCAAATTAGTTGGTTCTTGCAGCTCTTCAAAAATAGATGACAGTGTTTCTTTTTTAGGGTCTGCCAGGGAAGAAAAAATAGGGGAAAAATAAAATAAACTGTGGGGAGTGAATCCTTGTTGGTATCATATCCATCCAGGAGAATAGTCTATTAGCTGATACTCAAGCCACACTTAAAGCTGTATTGATGATATTGATACTCTGCAGTAAAGAACCCTTATATTACCATACACCTCTGAGCTGACAGGCATTGAGCTAACAGATCCCTCACTTTAGCTTAACAGCAAAGAGGGAAAAGTTCAAAATTATCCTTGTAATCACTGATATGTCAGTAAAAACAACAACAGCCTAAATGTTTAAAGCATTCGAGTCATTTGTTCTTTTTGGCATAAAAAGCACAAACACTGGTTGTTGACTCAGATAAGCTGGTGAACACTCGTTTCATCTCTCTAATTCCACTAAACTCTCAGATCAATTCCCTCGGTGCTCTCGGTAAAAGGGCCTCAAAGGCATGCTTAGAAAAAAGTATGAATATCTGTGAGAGGAGCAAACAGAACAATGAGGAACTGATGAGCAGCCGCCTACGTAGCTGCTGCCCACACACACTCACTTGAGTGCCTGCGGGAGGATATGTACAGCCTTCTGTATTTTACCATTCAGACATCGGAGCCTGTCATTCAGCAACACCACTAGATAACAGCTGTGCATGTGTGAGTGTGTGTATGTGTGATCATGGACTACTGCGCCATGCTTTCCGTCTTTCAGCAAGATACTTTCTTATTTAAGGTGAAATAAGTGTAAAACTGAAAATTCCTGAAACAACTGTGGTTACTGTCATGCATGCTAACCTGTTTGCACTCTCAAGTCTCTCTCTCACTCTCTTAGTTGGGTTGTCTAGGCCCTGAGCTAGTCGAGCCGAAACACCCAGGGGTGGAAAAGCCGAGAGCGAGTCAGCGGGGTCACCCTCTCCTCTCATTAGCTGGGTAATGAGCCATGCTATGGAGCTGCTGTAAAACCACACAGCCTGTAAACCTCTATACCCCCAACACCCAGAACAACTGCAGATACTCTTTATATTCCACCTCAGTATCCACAACTGTGTATCTGAGTGCACTCACATAAGATGCTGACGCACCACTGTCAGGTAACTGGACGTTTCCGCCAACAGCTAGTCGAATGGTTAAAGGTCAATGTTACACAATGTAAAAAAACATATTTTTCACGGATAGATAACATTAGCATTCAACCTTTTCCAAGCCGACACAACATATGCTAACAATTCGCATTTCTCCTCAACCAAATGTAACACTGCCTAATTCATCTTGACAGACATTTCTTGAGTAGTGGGTAAATTAGCGAGACAGAGTCTAATCTCACTGGACAAACAGTTGATTTTATTTTTCCATTATCATAGATTTGACTTCATATTAACAATTAATTTGAAAAAAAAAAAAAACGATACTTGGTAAATAACACAATACGATATATCACCAGACAAAATATCTCGATAGTATGCTGTATCGATTTTTTCTTCCACCCCTATCAATGTCACACAATGTAAAAAAACATATTTTTCATGGACAGCTAACATAAGCATTCAACCTTTTCTAAGCCAACACAACATATGCTAGCAATTTGCATTTCTCCTCAACCTCAATATTAGCAAGATAGAGGCCAGATGTGATGTGAGCAATAGCTATTGTCTAAATAGATAAAAGGTTATCAAATCACAGTGTTTTTACCTGTGGTCCATCCATATATTGACTGTCTATTCTCATTTTAGTTGCAAAACCATCAAAAAGGGAAATGGTTGTGTGGGAAAACAGTGCCACAAAGATGCATTATTGCAGCTATCCTTCTTTGGACAGAAATTTACACTGCTTCATACCAATGCTTCACTGTGGAGGTTTACATAGCATGAAGAGAAGGTGGTTATTTGAATTGCATGATAAAATTACAAAAAAAACAAAAATCACACACACACTCATTGCGAGGAAACCTATCTGCCATGGTGGCAGCTGGCCTGGGATCTTTACCTGCTACAGCCAACATTAGCTCTGCATTTGGCAGCTGGCAGGCACTAATTTGATTCCCTGAATGGCAGCATGCCTGGCTGGAAACCTTTGTTGGACGTCATTTCTTTCATTCCACATGTTCCCTGCCTGTCTGTGTAATTTGCCAGCATTCAGGTATACAAATAAAGATTAGAGTAACCTTTAAAGACACAGTGTCGTACTACATAGTGGCATTTAACAGAACAGACTTGGCAGAAATGATATTTCTATGAATGTTGAAATTGGTGTGTAATCACCTGAATATAAAAAAAAGGGTTTTGTTTCTGGTGACTCAGAATGAGGCTTTTATATCTACAAAGAAATGGGTCTCCTGCTGCCATATGCATTACATGAGCTTTTTGTCCTCAAAGGCCTCCGTTCTTTTACTAACAAGACGGATGAGTAAGGGAGCATTTCTGTCTTCCCATTTCTTCACACTGTAATTTTAAATTAAGGATTTGCATGTTTTGCGTTGTCAGATTTTTCTTTTTGGTATTTGTGGCCGTGGCTGAATATGTCTTAATGCTGGGTAAGGAGCGTAACAAGAGCCAAGAGTGTCTTCCAACAGAAAACTGAAGGTGACATTTTAAAAGATAAGAACACATTGTATTTGGATTCTCTGAGGGATTTGCTCTTCTTTTCTCTCCTTTATTCGTCTTCCTCGCCTTTCTTCTCCTCCACTAAATCCCTAAATAAGTCCTAGGGCCATTAAATCACATAACTGGAGGACAGGCTTTTAGTTTAATTCATAAATAATGAAATCCTCGGTGAGAGGCCAAAACACAACCTCTTCATGACTTATTTGCTCAAACTAAATACTGCTTGACAAAAAGAACATTCAGTATGAGGTGTGAATAAAATACAGAGAGCAGAGAAACTACCCATGTAAAAATACGTCACACACATGCATGCCAAATTTTAGGGTAAAGCAGAAGTTATACGGTAAGAAACCTCAGTGATACCAACAGAAACTCCCCTCTTTTTTCTTCTTTCTCACCTCCCTGTGTGTTTATCTTTTCCTCCATCTCCACCTTCCCCCTCCCCTTCTTCATCTTCGTTTGATCTCTCACCATGGATGCCACATCAGCTGACAAATATGGAGCAAAAAGATAGACGCAACTGAACTACCGACCACACACTGTCACCGTAGAGCATCTCTCCACGCCGGCTTTGACAAGCCTGACACGCTGGGGGCAGCAATCTGATTACCTCGGTGTCGCATCGCACCATCTGTCTGTGGCGTGTGGGACTCCCCACAGTGCTTCCTTAAGGATGTTCATGTTGGAACTGAGACTCCCTCGAAAACATGTCGGTTACGCGGGTAATATATTGGAGAATGGAAATAGAAGTCATCCATCATGCTCCTTCATTGCACAATTGATGCGTACGCAGACCTCTGCTGCACAAAAAGACAATCATTAACACAAACACACACACTTGTCTGCTAGAGCCATAAATCCTTGAACAACAACAGATCATAATTCAAACTTAGAGTGTGTAGCTCATGCACTAGATGGCAGTATGGTTAGCTGGTACAGGCCATGAAACAAAGCAGTCCAGCTTTGTCACTTGCAGCTTTAAACTGAGCCAAACATGCTCTGATAATGTGGGAAATCTGATATTTAAAACCACAATTAACCCCAAGTGAGAGCAGAGGAAATCCTTCTCCGAGGTCAGTGAGGGTGTAGCTTTGAAAAAAGTCAAGGCTGGAGGACTCTGGGTACACACAAGAACAGAGTATGTGGGTGGAACTAATGACAACGCCTCAAGAAAGGTTACCCCTCGCTGCCTCTATATGGTGTTGTATTATGTCTGGCTTTCAATTTTTTAATCAACACAAAATATTCACATTTTTTTGATGAGAGGTCCTTAATTTTGTGCATAGAACCAGAATTTTGTCATCAAGCTTCTCCTGTGAGACTGTGGATTGTCATACATTCAAAATGCCCCCCAAAAGCCTTTTTCATTGTCCTGTAGACAAATTTAAGAGTATACAGTCACAAAGATGTCAAGCTCGCCATTTCAAACTTGTGATTCTCCAAAGCTCTCTTGTGATTTGCATGTTTCTGCAGTTCTGTTCTATTTGGTCTCTGTTGCTGCTCAACCAGTAGCAAAAAGTAACATCTTAAACATTATATCTTCACTACCAGATAAGATCTATATGGGGATCTATAAAAAGTTCAATCTCTGGCATTTCTATTTGTATTCAGTCAGTAAAAGACTTGGAATATATTGCTTTTGTTGTAAACAGTCACATTGGTAAAGTGATGCTAGAAAGATCACTGCAAAAGTCTGAACTGGAGTTTTGAAGTACATGAAAATCAGTCTGAGTAAAATCGCATCAAGTTGAATTTCTTTAAATCAAACAAACAAACCTCCACAATGCAGTTGGGGATTGATTTTTTCCCGCATACATACCCCTCAATCTGCCCCAAACAAGCTGAGAGTACATTGCACTTTGATCCTGAGCAGAACTAATATGTAGAAGGAAGATGAATGAGAAACTAAACTTCAACACAAGAAGTAAAACGGAAGAAAGGAAAAGAAAGCATGGAGTCGCATGAAAGGTACAGAGATAATAAGCTGTTAGTGTGTTCATCATCCAACTTACAACCAGTTTTCCCCTTACCAAGTTGCTTGTCAATATTTTTAGTATTTGACACAATAGGTCAACCAGAAGAAGGTCCCAACTGGACGGATGGAACAGAAGATGGGTTGAATTTTCTGATCAAGCTATATCTCAGCATGTAAATGTAATGAACATCTTTAAACTTCACTCAGCTAAGCTTAAGAACTAGTTCCAGCTATTTCAAGCCAGCATTTGCCTTTATGCTCAATGGAGACTGTCCAGATTCAATCTCTCAGAAACAAAGGTAACCTATGATGGCTTATATATCAGTGCCCTTTTTTGTTACTAGCTGGCAAAGTTAAATAGAGACTGCTATCTTTGGTTTGGTCGATCAACCAATCAGTGTCTGCAATCAGCTGGCCAGTAAATATTATCAAATCCCATCCATACACTCACTCATTTCCCTCCCTTCAGCAGCAGGACAAACAAGTTGACCAGGATTACTCTCTCACTGACGATCTATTTGAGCTAATTCTGGAGATTCTGAGGCAACCTCCAAGTCAGATGGGATGTATGGGAACTCTGCATCTAAGCTTAGTACCCTTAGGTCTCCTACAAGTGGGGTCTGCCCAAGAGGCATCCTTATCACAGTAACATGAAGCAGCACAACTGCCTCCTTTGGATGTGAAGGAGTAATACTATCTTATGTAGGCTGCACTTCAGAGGAAAACTGATTCCAGCCACCGATGATTCACTCAGTAACCAACCAGAGTAAAAGACGGAACATACTGTAAATTGACTGCTAAGTTAAAACCTCTGCCTTCAGGTTAAACTCCCTATTTACCTCATTTAGCTGATCAACCAGGCATTGCAGGGTCATAAAATATGACCTGAAGACAGACAAAGAAAATCAGATTGTAAGCACACAGGCTGTTGTTTTGTTTACTTTAAGAGTAAATATTCAAGAGTGGGAAAAAAACTCTTGTGGTGCCCTCAGAGCAGGTACAGTGTTTTCCATGATACATCCTCTCCTCTCTGCTCTGAGGGTTGGCCGACTTTGAAGAAGACAAAAAGAAGACGTCAAAGGTCAGACTGAGAGGTCTCTGAGTTCAAGGTGTAAAGGATTCAAATGTCTGTTTGTCTGAGTGGATTATGTACACAGACTATAGACAAAAGCTTTGCTTTCAGCTTGCCCTCGCTATGTGCCTCAGCTTTTAACTTGCACAGTCTCCCAAATGTGCTCCTCATGACTCATCCTCCTGGCCTCAGGACCTGTTTGATTGCCACACATTTTCACATTCACACAAACGCTCACAGAAATGCCCAAAAAGTTTGTGTGTACAACATGCACACACAAATTTATCATGTCTTAACAATTCATTTTCATACACACACAGACACACTCATACATACACTATTATCATCTTTATCAGCGCCCTTAGGGGTAAACACCTCTTTCAGTTTGGTTGATATCTAGCAGCTCAAGATAAACATTTTCCCCTCTCCCTGCGCCTCCCCTGGCCCCTGCAGAAGTTGCTCTGTGGGCAGCAGTGATTTGTTGGATAAGGATGGGTCATTACTCTCTCCCATCAGAAAGCCCACCCACCTGTGACACCGCAGATAAAGGCGGGGCAATAACAATGTCCAAGAGACAAACTTGGTTTTCAGATTCTTCTTGGTGTTGTTATCGTCCTCTGCACTCAAACATGACTGCATAAAACCAGCCGCGTTATGGTCACGGCCAACTGAGGTAACAATGCAATGGAAGGAACAAGTCAACCTTACTGTGGCGGCATCTTATTTTCAAATCTTCTCACTATTGCTGTAATGTCTGAAACAAATTGTAAACCTCTTACTGTGTTTGCAAAGACTTTGCAATGAAATATGCCCTTTACTTGAATGATTCAAATTCTTTCACTTTAGGTTTGAAAACATTTGAAGACACCAGCTCCTGAGTTTTTGGGTCATTCTATAATAAATTCCAGGTCGAGGGTGCAGAAAATTCAAAAGCCTTTTTATTGATTTTTGTACAAGTTTTTGGGACAGAGCATAAAAAGTCCTCAGAGTGCAACAAACCCTGTCCAGCACTTTTCTGTGAGATGAACACTCAAAGAAAGTGTGGCGGCAGCCCAAGACTCACCATGTAAATCAAAGAGTGGCAATGTTTTAGCCTACGGGTTGAACAAAACTTCACAGATTTTAGTATTGTAGACCAGAATTGCCACCAACCAATAGCCGGGCCTGTGAACAGCTACTGTCATACCACCCTATCTGGATGTAAACAAGCACGGCTGATAGACAGAATCGTTTATAGTGACACAGTTTCGCATTTCTTTTTTTTTTTTTTTTGTTTTTAAGCAAACAGAAAAAATTATATATGGACTGAAAAGCTGACATATAACTGTTCCACTAGAGCAATGTGTTATCAGCAAAAGCATGTTTATATCAACCTGCTACAGGTACCGAAGGCTAGTGGTGCTAGTGCAGCTATTGTCAGCCATAAGCAGCAAACCAATTCATCATTAATCAGTATATTCTGTGATCTTGTATTCAACTGTGTTAGCAAAATTGGGCTCGAATAGTTGGGCTGGGCGATAAATCGAAAATTAACTGATACCGAAATTTATGGCGATAACCAACATCATTTTGCCCATGTCAATGTATTCGGTGTCAAAAAAAAAAATAAACAAAAAAAAAAAAATGTGTCCTACGTCGGATACGTGACTCCACCCCGTCCAGTCCGTAACAAAGAGGGAAAGACAGGTGAGATGGAGGTTCAAGAAGGAAGGCTCAAAAGTTGTAGCGGCTGAAGTAGACAGAGTTAATGGGGGAGGGGGTGAGCAGCTTGTGGAGTAGTTATCGTCCATTTATCATTATCGAGGTGAACTGCTCAATATATCCTGATATTGATTTCAGGCCATATCACCCAGCCCTACTCAATAGTGACTGTTTTCTGTGTGTTCTTCCTTAAGATCAGCCAGTTAGTCATATGTTATATTTCTGTCATATCAAACTAAAGCAGAATAATGTGTTTCAATAATTTAGTGGAAGTTTTGAGAACCTGTGTGGGTAACTGGATGGGTCATTCTTTTTTTTCAGTAACTTGCGCCACCTCCTAACCTCATGAGTCATGATGTTTTAAATTAATTTGACTTAATTTGAAGAAAAAATTGATGCCCACTTTCATTCTTACTGAGAATGTGTTCAGCTTTATTATTTAAATAATTAATCTAAGGGAGTGCAAAAATCAATCAGAATCTGCTTTATGTATATTTCATGAGCGGTTCAGGCCTCGACCAGGTTTCACATCAGCTATGAACAGAAACATGCCCAGGAGGCTTCTATGGGTGTGAAATAGGATGTTAGGGCTGGGGTTGGGGGAGGTCTACTTCCTCCCTTCACTTGTGTTTTCCTCTACCGTCTACTTTTCTTCTCTCTCAGGTTTCATTTGATTACAAATTCTTTGCAAATCTAACTTCATGCATTAAATGTGTTATCCTAATCAAAGCTGATGAGTCGAGGATGCTCACGTTCATCTGAGTGTATGCTATCAGGAAACTTCTGCCAAATCTGTGCTCCTGGTTCATAAGTATGATGGAATAGGCTGGTTGTTTATTAGTTATAGAACTGCTTTCCTTGCTTTCTGTAATTATGACCGCTTTTTATATGCAGGAAGACATACAGTTCATTCAGTCTGTGCGTTGAAAACAACCTGGACTTCTCTTCTCAGGCTGTGATTGAAACAGACAGATTAATAACGGTTTGACTCTCACAGCAGCTCACATCAGATTGCATTAAAACAGCCGGCTTTTCCAGCCATAGGGTGCTGTAACACCGATTTGCTCAATCACAGCGAGACTACCCACAATCCCCCCTGGTGCTTCTCCTTGTGTTTTGAGCTTCAGGTCTTGGACAAAAAAAACATCAAATCAAGACAAATGCCCTGTCATGGTTGACAGATGCAAGTCATTGCCCTAAAAGGCTGGACTGCAATCAGCATACAAATGATGACGGATGTTTTTAGCTACGTGCCTTATTGATGATGTCATTATCAAATCATCAACATGGGCAGACACAGTGGGGTCCTGCTGCACACACCTGGTTAGGGCAGCAGTGAAGGAAAAGGAGCTTATGCATGTGGAGTGACAGCTGGAAATGTACAAACCGGCTGTGATGACGACATGATGACAAGCAAAACCTGTTGCCAGGTAACGATCCAAGCTGATCAGCTTGAGAACTGCTCAAGTGAGAACAGATAACACAATATAATACAAAACAAGAACTTTATTGATCCCCAAAGAGAAATTTGTTTGTCTGGAATTTCATCTCATCTATGAGCAATAACGAAACAGTTACCTGAGGAAAGTCAGAGCGCTTCAATTTCACTTTTAAATGCCCATTAAGGTTGTATTTTTACGATTCAGTCTGTCACAGGTGCCTTACTTTTATGCAGTTGTTTCAAACATTCACTCTATTTTAAGTTCTATGACTCACGAGGTGATTCTATACCTGCCTGCAGCCAAACAGAGTGTTTAGCCTCTGCAGTGTGTAATTTTTTTAAACATTGTGACTCACAGGTAGTTCCCAGTCTATACGCAACAACTGACGGTGCAGAAACATCCTCAGTGAACTATTTTCAAAGAGGGTTATGACTGAAAGGGAAATTAATCTCAAACATTGGTGGGTCAAAGTTTTAGCTGACTGAACACCAGAGTTAATATACTGTTCACAGTTACCGGCTAATAATCCGGCCATTGCACCCTGGGGTTATGAAAACACACAGACTGTGGAGCCTTGATTTTAAAAGTTAGCCGTATTGGGAGAACCCTGAATCTGCATTCTTTTAATAGCTTGAAGCATCCACACACAAACACACACACAGACACACACACACACACACATATAAATATACTAATAGATGGCATTTATCCAGCTTTTCTCCCCCCACTGATCATATCTGCTTTAACAACAAACAATGATGATAGAAGTTGTCCCATGGCACTTTGACTGTTGAGTCTGCTCTAAAATTCATTGTGTGCTTCATATCGGGCTTTCATTTGATGGTATTTTACAAACACAAACAAACAATTGACAGAAACAGGTCACAGCATTAGAGCGGCTCTAAACCTTCTAGATTCTGATTGGTTGGTGATAAAGATGTGGCATTCATAAGCATGTTTGTGTTTCACAAAGTTGAATATTTTTTTAGCAGAGAGCCCTGAGTGCAGAAAGAAAAAATCAGCAGCAACCCGCAGTTCCTGGAATGTCCACTTGAGGCTGGCAATGCAAGTTCTACACCAAGATTTAACATGTTAAAGGTCTGATACAAATCATTTTTCTCAATTTGTCATTTCCATGCCAAGACAAAGTTTCCAAATAGTTTTAGTTATTCATGTATTGGTTATTTATTTCCAAGAAGCTTAGGAATCATATGACCGAGTATTATTCCATGGTTGTCAGCTCTGTCAACAAACTCAGCTGCTATTTTGCTGTGGTTGGTGGTGTCTTTGCCATTTGCCATCTGAGTGATAAGTTAAATGTGTGTTTTGGTCATCTAAAGAGGTAGGATACTGATTCATCCATCTAAATCCAAAGCATTTTCCATCGAACACGACTTTGGCATTAATTTACTGAAAAAATGTCAAGCAGAGTGCAGAGTGGTTTAGTATTATCTTTGACTACTGCTCTGCAGATACAGTAGGTCTTATTGTTTAAAGCTTGGCTGCACATGTCCTTTTCAGTAAAACAGGCAACAGTGACGCTAAGGCAAGATACGGTCACAAACTGTTTATTATAACATGATTCTCTTCACAGCATAGCCACAAATCTGGAGTCTGTCTGGCAGTAAAAACACCCGTCATTAGCTAATTTTGACATAATAGCTATTAACTCCTGCTGATCGTACCATCAACGCTGTTACCATATGAAATATTCTCTGCTTAGCATCCCACTCTCCACCGAAACCCACACAAACTCCACCTTATATGACTTCGAACAACACTCAGACAAAAATCCCATGATTTGCATGAACAGACTCTTTGAATAGTTTATTCGGCTCCAATTTGTTGTTCCATTATTTCCAATTAACTCGAACACAGCAACTGTCTGGTTGTTCAACCAGCTGTGAAGAGGAAAGGATTAAAAATGTCTTGGGAAGGAGAATACACATGTGAATTTTGTGTGTCAAACTCTCACTCTATATTTTGATTGATACCCTCTCCACGCTCATGACGCTCCCTGGAACAGTTCAGCCAAGTGAAAAAAAAAACATCAGGTACTATTTTCTCTACATGGTCTCTTTGAAAGAGCTTGTCATGGACACAAGTCACATTAATGACAAATAACAAACATTACCAGCTCTACGAAGTCGTTCATCAAACAGCGGGCAAAAATGATTCATCACATGGACCATAATTGGTTTCTCATCGCTCACAGCCAACGTGTGTGTATCTCATAGAAAGGATGGTCATGTCATTGGTTCTTTATCAAATGTTTGCAGAAGCCCTCTCCTATAAGAGGGTGATCATAATCTATGGTCTATTTATAGTCAGTCTGTGTATCCCTGATTGAAGCACCTGTAAAATAGGCAATTTTACAGTCAGTGCGCCTAATCACTCAGCTGTGGGTGGGAAATAACCTGCCCAGGCAAGCTGAGACATGGCAGACAGTTATAAGCACACAGAGCATGCTATTAATGTTAGCATGTGTGTCCATTTGAACCTGTTAATGTCAGTGAGCTTCAGATTAATCAATGTATGTTTGTAGGGATACAAAAAAAACTAATGGTAACACTTTATTTCACGCCTATCTCTATAACGCATTATAAATATATTTATAATGTGTTATAATCACGTTATAGCACTGCATAACTATCATGAATGATCATAATGCTTTATAACAATAATCATAACTCATTATAAAGCATTTTACCATGACTTACAAGGTCAGGTATTATAATGTGTTATAACTGTTAACAACAGTTGCATTTCATTATCTATGTGGGCATTGTCAGTGAGATGTTAACAGTTTTTACACATTATAACACCTGACCTTGTAAGTTTGTAACTATAGTTATACAGTGCTATAATGTGATTATAACACATTATACATATATTTATAATGTGTTATAGATATAGGCGTCAAATAAAGTGTTACTGAACTATCAAAGGTAGTTTCGTTTGATGTATTTCTACCTTTTTGTACAAAAACTATCATAAAATAGCAGCTAAATACAAAAAATTTATAAATTACAAAATAAATTGTAATTTATTTTCCTTCACAAAGCTGAAGAGCAGGATCTAAATTAAATCATAACAGCAGTTCCTTTAACTATAACCGACTGTTCATGGACAGCTACTGGCTGGCCTCAGATGTTTTCTGTAAAGCCATAACTTCTGCTTTGATTTGTAGAACACGACTGTGAGGAAAGTTACACCTGCTGCGTCTAACTTAAAAAGCAGCCAATACAAAGCATTTCAGGCAGACACTGAATGGTACTGAAATAAGGGCTCTCACTGCAAATCATGCTGAGCTCCTCTATGGGGGTCCCACACTGATATACTGAAAGATGAAAATGAGTATAATGAATCTCCTTTAAGCTTCTAAAATGCTAAAGACTCCAGAATTTCCATTTTGTTTGGGCTTTTTTCCCCAAAAAGGGTGCAGGGACACAAGTTAAACATACAATACATAAGAAGATTGCTTTTATATGGACCTTGCATCTGTTTTAAATCATTAAAGAGAGTAGTGTCCTAAAAAGAGACCATGTTTACTGCAAACAACTCAAATGGAACACAGTGGAGGTCATATTTCCAACACACTCAGATACCCTTATTGCTGTTAAAAATGAAAGCAAACTATTTTGAACTGCCTCCATATGGAAGAGCGTGCAAATAGAGTGGACATTTGAATCAACCCCTTGAAGCACCAAATACCAAGAGGGGGAAGTTGATCACTTTGATCAGCCATCATAGTGACCCAGCTTTGCAACGCCATGCTATGCTGTCATAAAGCACAAAACCCTTGATAGGCTGTTACAAGTCTTGATTGTTCTTGAATCACGGGTGGTACAGCACTGAGTAATATCAGTCTATTAATGCCTGCTGACTAGTCTGTACAAAGTGTACAGGTTTGAATCTGACTTCTGTCAGTGTATGCAGTGGTGTTTCATTAATGCGACAAAACTGAATGTACTTTTTTCAGTTTCACTGCAGAAGTTAACATGAAAAACCTTCAAACTATCCTTAATGATCATCTTTTGTTCTCTGTATTTAACACTTTGATCCTGTGTGTGTTAATATCTAAACTAAACTCACTCCAGACAATTAAAAAATGTGTTCAGACGGTGTCAGCTTCCTACCTGTTTGAGCTTCTTCAAGTCTTCATCCAACTCCAGATTGTCCAGAATGACTGCCACAAAAAGACTGAGCAAGATCTGAAACCCGACCAGAGGGAGAGGAATCAAAATCACAACATAATGATATGATTACCCCAATAGAACTAAGACTGTCTCACAAGTACAAAGTCTGCCTCCTAATTAGATTCGTTGCTCGTTCTGTTCTCAAAGACTCCCTGTCCGTCTGGGGTGAAGCATGAGTCATCTAGAGACTGTCAGTGCTGTCTGATGGCTCTCCATATCAGAAGGCCAAACACTGAAATGTCAGCACTTCTTATGCCTGCAAGTCTGATTAACTGTGATTAGATGTACCACTTGAGAGAACAACAGAGAGACAGGGGGCACTAATTGAATGCATTAAGAAAACAATTAATGTAGCCTTTCACCACTTATTTCCTCGACCTGCTTGTACTGAAATAAAAGAATGCTAGTTTGAGAAGAGTTCTGCAGCCAATATGCAATAAACTCCAATTTAATTTAAATCTCACTGTCCTTGACTTCTTTGACCTCTATATTTGAAAGAGCAAAGTAAGTTCCTCACCAGGGTAGCAAACAGATGGTACAGGATGAAGTAAATGGCAACAACGGGAGCCCACATGTGACCTACAGCCACCAGAGTCTGGTCCATGACATCCACCCAGCCCTCCTGTGTTAGGATCTGGAACATGGACATGAATGCCTGCAGGGAGAGAAACACAATATGAAAAAAAAAAGGTGAGAGACGCGGAAGGCTGGAGAGGGCAACCGAGTACACAAAGTGGAAATGGTGAGTGGAGGTAAAGAAAGGCAGAGACGGGAGGAAATTACACCGAGAGAAAAACGACAGGTCTGACATTTAGAACATGCTTTTTTCACAGGAGAGCAAATATCACGAGGCTGATGTGCATACAAGGTTGGTAGGAAGTATTGGCTGGCAGGTTGCTGAGTTTTCTCTGAAATAGCCTGAGACAACCTCAAACAAACCTTTAGGCCAAATATCTGTGACATAAAAAAAAAGTTCAAATAAAGAGACACTGCACTGACTTCTGTGTACAATCAAAAAAGAGGAGTATGTTCAGGGTCCCTTAGCTGTAATTTCTTTTACTTGCCAACCATTCCCAGTGATTGAAAAATATTGACTTACACATATTTGACATATTACAGAGGGGCTCCTTGTTAGTTTAAATGTACATATGTAATAATGCGTGTAACCTTATGGTTTAGGTTACCTAGCAGCAATCCACCACCAAGATGTGCACTCAACACATCTAGGTGGTGGATTGAATGCAGGAAAGGATTGAATACTGAAATGTCCTCCATGTCATTACAACAAAAAATGACATTATTGCCACAAAGTCAATAAGCAGTGTTTTTTTTTCCTACACTGCAAAAACAGCTCTACAAGAAAGAAGCAAAATATTATTCTATTCAATCAAATAATCTTGTATCAAGCAAAAAAAACTGCCAATTGGGTAAGCTTTTTTTGCATGATAAGAATTCTCAGAATAAGAACAAATTTCTTGGCCCTGTCAGACTCAAATGAAACTTAAAACTAGACAGAAAGTCTTATATTAATCTAATTTACTCTACAGCAAGCAATGAAAAATTAAGATGAAGTTACTTAAAATTAGAATTTTAGTCTCCTGAATAAATGAACTTAAAGAAATTACACCTTAATCTAGGATTATTAACGAGCATGACAGTAGTTTAAATAAGACACAATTTCTTAAAACAGCATAGCAAATATAAGTGATTTTGTTTTTAAATCAAGATACCAAAACATTCTCATTAAATATATATTTTTATTCCACAAGCAAGCGTGTTCTTTGTTGTTCTTTGTTGTTTTGCAGTTTTCATCTGGTCATTGTATTATGTTGTGTGTTGTACAGACATCTTTATATGGCATTCTTAAATTGAGAAGTTGTACATATGTCTTACTCTTAAAATGAGACGAATGATCTTGTTGCTCCGCTGGATTTTATTGTAAAACATTTTTCTACTCTATTTCTGGTTCATTTTATCTCAAAATTAGCTGGAATATGTTATCAAGAAAAAGTTAGCCATTTTCTCTTAAAATTAGATAATTTTTCTAATGCCAAACATGCTCAACAAGATTAATATTCTTTTTGTACAAAAAATAAGACTTATTTCCTTAATACAAGGCTGCTTTCTTGAAATTCCTTTTTTGCAGTGTAACCCTTTTCCTACGGATTGATTTGAAATGACATGTATGAACTGGCTGACTCTTGGGTTGCTGGCTGACTCTTGGGTTGCTCTTACTCAGAACTCATAATCATAACCATTTGGTTTCTACGAATCAGAAACAAGTATTCAAAAATAAAGTATTAGCAATACTAAAAATAAACACCTGTGTAGACTCCAAAAGCCCCACAAATCCCTATTTCCTCCTTTTGCTCTTCCTTCTATAACTGTAAGAAGTGGAGATTTTAACCAAAGAAAGAGAGGAAGACGTGAGGGAGCAGCTGTGTTTTGTTCATTCTGCTCTGCTGTCCTCTCATCTACTCGGTAGAGGTCAGATGAAGGTGTAGAGACCAGCCAGCTGCAACACTCTGGCCCCTGGAGTCAAATGGCACGCCTGTGCCTCCTCCTTAGTATCTCACCTTCAGACAGCCGCCACCCAACCCCCCTCCCTCCCCAGCCCCTCCCACCTGCTCCCAAGCACGTCCCAGTCACTGCAGATAAAGATAAACCCAGCAACAGGTCTGCCTGTGGGGGAGGCAGCCAAACATCATTAGCCATGACGTGTGAGTGTGTGTGTCAGTGTGCATACATGTGGCTGTGTGAGGCAGAAACAGATATGGAAATGAAGGGAAAATGTAAGAGAAGGGTAATACAGCATACAAGTGGCATCTGTTAATGACTGAATCTTCACGTCCTGCAGTGCCTGGGATCAGTGAAATGTTGGAGGGGGAGGATAAAAAACCGAGCATGGTAAGATGTGGCTAATGAGAGAGAAAAAAGCTCATGAGCACTTAGGAATCAAAGGAGGAACCACATCTGTCGACCCATCATGCAACCCATCATTAACATCTGTGGGCCTCCCCACCACTCGTCTGAGGTGTCCTTCTGGAACGGCTCGTATCATTTCCTAAAATTTTATGTAGCTTATTTTACACACTACCTGCATCTTTTGGATTTAATCACATTTCATTTGTCCCTGAGAGGAAATTACTGGAACATCAGGGCATAATTAGACCAGCGTGTTCAGAGCTGATAGCTGTTGAATGCAGTGTTTTGAAGGTTTACCGCTCCATCTGTGCAGGTAAAATCAATACAACTGCAACTTAAAGTAAAATGAGAATTATAATCCTCCAGTGCAGAATACAAAATTCCAGATTTTGTATTAAAGGTAAGATACTGAAACACGATTTCAGAAGCAGTGACTCACATGAAGCTTAACACTGCACAACAAAAATAGTACTTTTATTTGGTTCCCTTTATTTATTCCGCTCCCCTACAAAACCAAAGACACTGACTGCATTACAACGCCGCCACGCAACAGAGGACAAAACCATTAAGTGATGAGAAAAGTTGACTTCAGTTTTCATTAAAAGGTTCCTAATAGAGTTAGAGGGGAAAACAAAGCCGGACAGCTAGCGGCCAAATTCAGTGAAGATCTTACTAATGCTATCACTCCAAGATTAACTCCAATACCGTCATCCTTGGAGCAAGCTGAGGATGATGATGGTGAGAGTGGGGGCCGGGGGAATGTTTCCATGTGCTAAAACAAAATACCACGTTTTTCATTATTTTTAGCATCTTTACTATTCATATATTCTTCAGCATAAGTGGCAAGTCGCATGTGAGCTAAATGTGTTTCTTTTATAGTAAATGTTCCTATCTTGTTATTACAGTTTTTCATACCCTGTAAAAATTGTGATTAATTCTCAACAGAAAGAAAGGAGTCAGCCACATATCACTTCTGCCTGTTCACACTGTAAAAAAAATCATTTCTGTTCAAGGCTGGACTTGGGAGTTGGAAAATTATGAGAGCAAGCAGGTGCAGATGTGAGAGCAGCCTGAGAAGCCAGTGGGCCCTGACCATTTCTGATTGGCTGAAGTTGTAAAACATCCTGTCCTGTAATCCAGACAGCAGGAGCAGAGGTGGTAAAAGCATCTCTTAGTTGCTGATTGGATTAGATCAATAACCAGAACTGATAATTGCATCACTTTGGATAAATTCTTACCAATTCCCACCCTCAATAAGAACGAAATTGTTATAGACCAAGGAATCCAAAGAACTGTTTTTTTTGCTGGATAAATAAATCTCTGAAAATCAATATTTTCAGGGAACTTAAGGTTGCGGTTCTAACTCACATTACAACCCACCCACTATACATTTACCCTCGCTGATAGAGCTAGGATGGCTAGAGGAACAGTAGGTTTAAAGTACCTCTATCCATCAACTTGGCGTCTAAAAGTCTAAACTAATCAGTCTTAGAATGAAATCTTAACTTGAGTGGCTCCTTACCCTGGGGAATGTTGTGAAGCGGTCGAGCTCCTCCACGAAGCAGAACATCTGTAGACTGATGGCCGACATGACGATGAGGAGACTCGCTGTGAACACCACCAGGCTGCCCAGTTTTTTACCTGGACCGAAGATCTTATAGACAAAGTCCTCCAGAGCTGGAGAAATCTTTATCAGACGTACCACACGCAGCACCTGAAGGGAAGAAAAACAACCATTGTTAGCTCTGGTCTTGGAAAATCTAGGTGTTTTAATCCCATTATAAGAGAAAGTGGTATTTTGAAGCTAATTTAAAATAAATCATAAGTGGAAAAAGAGAAGCTCATTGATTGTGTATTGATTTTTAAGACGAGAACATTGATCATGACCTGGTGGTTAGAGATGCTGTGATATTGTGCTCTGTCAACTGGCCTAGGCCCTAAATTGCTTGTGGTGACAACAACCCCCAAAAGGTAATGCATCTTGGTCATCCTTTGATTGGGGATCCAGAGAGTGGCTATTGATCGGGCCCCTCTCTGTGAAGCCTCTGGCCAAAGAATTTTCTCTCATTCTCCAGATATGCAGCCAAATAAAGAAGCCTAACAGGGGATGCTGGATGAAAGGGAACCCACAGTAAACAAATACAGCAATAACACTCACAGCATGATGACAGATGGGATGAGAAGACACTACCTTCTAGTCCTGACAGACCGTGATGACCACTATCCATTTCACAGCAGATGCAGCTCTGAGGCTGTGAGGGTGAGTCCACAAAGGATATGAGGCCATTAAAGCAAAACTAGTTATTTTCTTATCTTTTGTCCGAGACCACATAGTTTTCGCATCTGAGTTACAGCAGTAAAGGCCTCAATTGAAGGAATAAAGAACTAAATAATAGAGACATCATTTAGTTTGATGCATTCCACAAACGCAAGTCTAGCTTTAAAGAAAACTTGGCAGAATAAATAAAATTTAACTTTATCTCAGGCTTCACCGAAGAGTTTGTCAATGAAAAGAAGTTCAAGTCCTTGGTGTGGCCAAGACTTCTCATCAAAGCAAAGTGGCAAAGTGCTGTATATGTAGTCAGGGATTTATTTATTATAAAATATAGTCTCTTCTGTGGCAGGATAGATGGAACTGTAAGGATATACCGCAAATGCACACAAATCTTAAGAAAAAGTCTGAAGTAATCAGTTTGTTTAAGAAAAGATATTCCTTTAATAGTCCCACAGGGGGGAATTCCAAAAATTGGCCATATAAACGTGAACTTAAGTGGCTAACTGACTTGTCTAAGGGAAATAAATAACATGGCTTAACACAATGACAACATCTGCTTAAACTCAAGTACACTGGTTCTGAAGTATCACGTTTTTGTGTATCACACCCCAATTTCAGAAACTGGAATAAGCTCTTGTCCCTGTTTGAGAATGCTGATTTTGCCATGAAGAACTCAACTCATCTGTCTGCATATCTCCAAGGCCAAAGGACCATGAATATCAGTCAATGGAGAGCACTGATGTTGAGTTTATTCATTTTATTACTGCATATGGTGAAATCGTTCATAATAAAAAAGGAACTTGAGTTCTCCAAGAGGAAACCATATTTCATCCCTTAAATTGCACACATGAGAAGAGCAATAATTAATCTTGAGAATGTCTTTCCAGCTGTGCTGCCTGTGTTAGCTCCTGGCTCTAGCTTGGTGCAAGACAAAGCAATGCTTAATGTAAAATTGAACGGCATTATGCACCACAGATATCCCAGTCAGCATTTCCAAACCATTACTGGCCAAATAACAATAACCAGAATCGGATCAGAGCGCCCTTGTCAGATCTGTCCAAAAATGACACAATAGCAGTGCCTTTTCTGAATGGAGCTGTGAAATGGGAAGCTACTGCAATTCTGAAAACACAGAGGGAACGTGTCAAGATGGGATTCATTGGCTGATTAAATTATCAGATTGTATTTGTTTAAAGTGTGTATTTAAAAGAGCTTGTATTGTTTGGGACCAATAAAACTGACACTTTGTATATCTTTGCTTCTGTGTCATTTATAAATGCTTTATAAAGCATAGATAGTCCTCACTTTAGATGGGCTCAAGAATATACTTAACTAATGGGTAACTAATGAGTAGTAACTGCATTCATAAGCATTAATAAGTTATTCATAGAGTATGAATACGTGTTTGTAAAATATATACTTACACAGTTGCTAACCCTTTATAAAGTATTAACAACTCAGGTTATCAATGAGCAACAAAACATTTATAACCGGGTTTATTAAGTGCTTAGTAATACATTATAAATGCTAAACAGATCATGAATTAAGCAGTTAATTAAGCATTAACTAATGTTCAACTGCTGCTTAAGTAATTATAAATGGGTTTGAGTTTAAAACGTTTATAACTGTGTTTACTAATGCTTAGTAATGTATAACTAATTATTTACAAATGATGAGGTAACGATGAATTAAGCACTTTACTAATGTTTAACTAATGCTTAAGAATGTGTTAGTTGGACATTTAAAACTGTCTTTACTAATGCTTTGTAATGCATTACTAATGATGAATTCATTGAGGAATTAAGGATTAACTAATGCTTAACGCTTAACTAATGCTTAATAGTGTATAGTTATTATAAAGTGTTACCAATCATCCTGCCAAATCAAAACTATTGTGACATTTGCTTCACAATGAAAGACAATTAGTAAGGTTAACCTTTGGTGGTGAAACGCACTTTGATTGGTGGTAGAAACCTGAAACAATCATTGATTTTTGAGCACAGAACTTCTGTCTCTCACACAGAGCATGAAGGTTAATCACATGTGACTTGATGTCGCCTCTTAAAACAGAGATCGACTTGGTAGCTTATCCACAGTGAAGGTGAATGACACACTGTTTCATGAGTGATGAGTAAGTATGGCAAAAAACTCACAGCTGCTGTTAAAGGCTGAATCACTGACCATGAATAGAAAAATGAGGTGTGTGAAAATGTGTAAAAAAGGGAATTGCTACAAACTCTAGGTATTACTGTAGACTTGATGATACATGCCACACGTAAATGTTTTACTGATTGAGGTTGTTAAAATCAATTTTTCACCGGGTGGTTATTTACAATTAGTAAGTATTGATACAAATGTGCAGTAAAAACATGAAAACTATGAGAGACAACTTATCTAGGGTTTTCAGTATTTTACACAAGGGCTAAAGTCTTTATGAGGAGGTGTACTGTATGTTGGTATGTGTTGACTGCAGCTGTTAGGAGAGCTAAACAACATGAGGGCAGCTTGTGTGGTCAAGGCTCATTAAAGACATATCAAAAAGCCTTTTCCCACCAGATCGTCCTCTGAGCCCTTCTTTATCAGTTACATTATGTGACCCGCGGCTAGGTCGCAGGGTTCAATTTGGGTGCATTACTTACAGGCTCTGTTCAGGGATGACACTGCTATAGAACAATACACCATTGCCACAAGGGTGATAATATTCAGGGTTGATTTATGTTCCTGCTCTGAGAACTGAGAATAGAAAAAACTGTTATGAACAGGATTTAACCATCTCACTGCCTCTGAAATCAAAGACGACACAGTTGAGCATTGGTTTATACTACATATCACTAAATGGAGACACATTCTTATAATATAGTGTGAGTGGAGCTTGTATTATAACATTTACATACTGTTATTACCATGCTGTAATGGAAAGACAGCATCCTGAGCTAAGCTACTTCTATGATTGCTGCATGCCTGGGACAAACCTAAGCTACAGTTTTGACAAGTGCTATTTGTTTTTCTCACAACTTAGTTATTTACTTGAGTAAGAAGTACTGAGTTTCATTGCCGTATTTAAGTACATAGTTCAAGCATTGTAAATTATTAGATTGATCTGGAATTGTAATTTTTGTTATTGTTTGTAGTACAACATTTCTTTCTAAGAAATCTAAGAACATCCAAGATGACACATCAAGCTGTTCCTCAGAGGGTTGTCATAACCTAGAAAACAGTTTATCTTAAAATCAAATCTTAAAAACATCTGCCGTGACAATTAAAAGAATGGGTAATAAAGTTCACACAGATGAGTGACATGATTGATTTTTACAAGAAAGAAATAATTCAGAGCTTTCATTCCTAACTGGATTTTTCCTAAAATTATCAATGTCTGCATGATTCACTGTAAGCAAAAGAAAGCTTGTTTGCAGGCCTGTATTCATACCTGAAAATAAGTGAACTGAGAGTGGTAGAGGTCTGGGTAGATGTGCAGTGTGGTGCCCACCACCAACAAAGATTCAAACTTGTGCAGCGAAGAGCTGATGTAACCTGTGAAGCCCAGACACCAGATTTTCAGAAGGGCTTCCAGGTCGAATAAGACAGTGAAGGCCACCTGGGAGGGAAGAGAGATGATAGAATCAGTTTTGGCATTTTCATCCAGCAAACACACATCTTGTTGTACGGCAGGAGTACAGCTCTCCCTGGTTATTAAAGTTATGGGTCCTTGAACTGTCATTTAGACATTTTGAATTTGTGCTTCTGTGGTTTTTTAAACACTGAATAAATAAATGAACACCACACAGTTTTTTTCTCTTCATTTTTAATAATTTCATGATTAAATCTGTCACCTAGTTTTGAAAACCTGCAGTCAATGATGGAGTTATCTAAGTATGTATCATGATTTCCCCACTAACATGGTCATCAACAGTGGAAACACAGTAGGATGGAGGAAGTATATCTGGTACCCTGCCAATTTACAGGTTTATTTCTGTAACTAACTCTAAACTCAGCACTCCATTCTCTATTTTCCCTTCACATCCGTCTCGCAAGTTAGAACAAATCTGCAGATCGATGTCTGTATGCTGTGGAAGGAGGGAGTTAGAGAAGGTAATACTATATGATTTTTTCCCTCTCCTTATCTCCTCCATTCAGCTGTGTTTAGGAGGGAGAGGGAGGTATGAAGGGGATGTGATCCGTCTTAGTTGGCGCTTTACCACCTGAATACTGATGACATCAAACCAGCCAGGATAACACCCACAGTACAGTTTAATGTGAATGTGAAAATCTCGAGAATTAACCTACAAATGTAAAAGCTAATAAAGTAATCTGTGTGTGTGTGTGTGTGTGTGTGTGTGTGTGTGCTGAAGATGATCACACTCAAATATACTGTGTGTCCTTTTGCAAAAGATCAAATCATACACATGATCCTCGTCTGTTTCAGTATAACATGGCACATGGAAACCTTGGTCGAAACCCTTTTGTGATACAAGGAGTGTTTGATCAACATTTGGAAAAAGCTTGAAAATGTGAAAAAAAAGTAAAGACCAGGATGGAAAAAACAAAACAACAAACATCTCACCTCAGCCAGGTAAAACTCATCATAGTGCCTGCGGTAATTCTCGCCTTTATAATAGTTGCTAGCAGCAACAATGACGTCCACGGCGACCATGCTCAGGATAAACATGTGGAACACAGACGAGCGCATCAGTTGCTGTGGAAACAGAGATGTCTTCAATTACAATCAAATTTAAATTACGCCCTGTGAAAAAGTGCAGAGGAAATCAGCAACCATTTTTCATTTGTTTCAAATTAAGCTTCTTAAAATCTGGTTTAGATGACAGCCAGGAATATCCTCATGACAGAGAATAGTATTGTCTCAGGTCTGACTGAAGATTATACCTCAGACAAGCAAATGAGACTGGCAGCTTTTATAAAGCTGTGAAGTAAAGCAAATTATCATGTAGAAAGATTTAAGAGTGTAAGAGATGAGATGAGGTACACAGGCTGATAAACAGATGATTGATGGCAAATGTTTGAGGACAGAAAAATCTGACATATACATAATCAAGTCACACAAACAGGTTTTGTTTCCTTCCCAAAGTGCCAACCAAAGTCAGAGCTGTTCATAAATAGGTAGAAACAGGGAAGGCCAGCAGCTAAACTGCAGAAAATTCAAAGCAATCAAGAACCTTTCATTGGCTTCTGGGTTGAAAAAACACCCACCCAGACAGCAGAATCAGAGTGTATTCAGACAGCCGAAACAAGAAAGGAAAGGGGCAATAAATGTGTGTTATTTCCTGTGGGGATTGCATTGGCATGAAAACAGTGACAAAAACATCACATAATAGAAGCAATACCCAAAACCCTGCTGAACCCATAACCCCTCTAAAATCAGACCAATCATGCGCCCCTCATTCCTGCAGAGATTGTCACTGCGTTTGTTTTCAGACAATATGACAGATGTGATCACAGCCCTGCACTGCTTGTATGTATGTGGCAAAGCAAACAGCTTGTGAGTGGGTAGAACCACCCGCCCTAAAAAAAGACTTGCATGCGAGAGAGGCAACGGTGGACTGAAAATTGAGCGGAAGACTTTTAGACAGCTGAAGAGTGTTTGCAGCATTACCGAGGAGAGGAGATCAAATCCTCTCCAAGAGAATGGGACCACTGCCATCCAACCTCCTACACACAAACACACTTACAGTAAAAAGTCTCTGAAGTCTGAACTGCAGGGTTTTTAGTGCTCTGCAAACAAGTGGTGATTTGTGGACAAAATCATCTGATTAAAGTTGAACTTTTTATTGCAGAAAGAATTCTTTTTTTAAGGGAGATATAAGGAAGAGTTTACAAAAAAAGACCAGAAATTTAGGAAGACCATTCTAACTAAGCAAAGGGAGACATTTTAACTCATAAAATGACATGTATAAGCATCAACAATTGACTTTTTAAAACATGGACAACATCCATTTGTTTCTAGAGAGACATTTGAAGTCCAACAATAGCAAACTCCATGTTGGAAATGCTGGCAAAGAGGTGGAGCTGAGCTGGACTCAACACAACCATCGTCAACTCAACCATGCCCCTGACGACGTTGCAAATATATAACTCTAATCTTTAACTTTAAGATGGATTTCAAAGTGTGTACGAACAAATAAATGAGCTGTATTCTCAAAACTGTTTGTGGACAAGGCTATAAACAAGTTTCAGGCAGGACCACTGTCAAAATAACCAATTACTTGCAGACATTTATCACATTTTGCAATATAGCTCTGTCCAATTTATATCAAATGCAATTATGGAGATTATAGAATGTGGTCCAAATGATTTATAATTCATTTTGTTTTCAATTGTCCCTTGTACGATGACTTAAGGAATGTCATTTTTTAATCAATTCAGTTTAAAAATCCTGATTTATTTTGGAAGAGTGAAGGTGAGATTTTGGGTTGGTTGTTTGAAAAGGATGTTTTTGTTTTGGCAAAATTTGTTGAAAAGGCTTGGCATGTGGGGCAAAGTATTTTGTAGCCTATATGATGAACTTTTTTTTTTTTTTCATTATTCTCATTGTATGTGTCATGATTCTTAGTGGAGTTTTGTTGGTATTGTTGTTGTATATTATATTGCGTGGCTGTCTTGGATACATTGTGTTATGAATCTGTTGATCAGTGTCTAATAAGCCCATGTAGGCTGGGCACCAATTTTGGTGTATGACACTTAAATAAAATTATCAAATCAAATCAAATCAAAATATAATTCCTTTGGCTTCCTAGACCACTCTTTTTTCCCCCCAAACTGAAGATGATTATCAGTAGATACAGAATTTAACATTCAGTTGCTGGTATCTTTTAGTATATAATCACCAGATGACAGCATCTAAAGTGGTTTGAAGAGACAGCAGAGGAATCCCTCCAGGATGAGACAAGACCCTGTTGCGTCACATTCACAGCAGACAGAAAGTCAGCTTGATAGCAGGAAGAGTCTCTGTCAAAGGTTCCTCAAATCTTCTCATCTCTTGTGGGGAAAGGAGTCCCTCTATAATGCCACCTTTTTACTCCCACGACTCTGTGTTATTGTTTTACTTCTGTGTTGTCTGGCCCTCCGGCTAGCTGGCCTTGTTATCTTAGGGTATTAGCCGATTTATGAGAGACAACATGCAGAACACTTCAGTCACAAAGGTGGGCTTTTACCGTAATTTTAGCTGAACAAATGGTCCGTACTGATAGCCGTGGGATCGGGTGTTCGTGCAGAGCGTACACACATACCCACTCTACACACTCACTGGATACTAGGCTCCTTGACTGAGATTGGACGTGACAAAGCAGTTTGACATTTCCAGCAACCAGACGCTCTCCCCCCATGGGTGTTTTGGCTGAAAGGACTTGTGTGTGGTAGTGTGTGTGTGAAGGAGAAGGAGAAGGAGAGAAATAGAGGCAGACTGACAGAGAACAGAAAGTGCATGGCTCTGTGTATGACATGGTTGGCTTTCTCAAGGCCCCTGAAGTTGCCCATATTTCCTGTCAGCTTCTGGGAATCGCATGGCTAAGAAAAAGCTGGAGAGCTAGCTGGAGCGCAGCGTATGTTTGCAGCATCTGTCATACGGAGATACAGTCACGTCTAACTCTGCCACAGAATAGCCTTAAACTATTTGCCTCACATTCCCCATCTTTGGTGCATTTCACCAGATAAGACTCTCCAGATTCTTCCCGGAGTAAAAATGGCTGAGTTTGCCCAGTGCAGCTGAAGGCTCTGTCACACCATTTATGGCCTTAAGATGTCAAAATCAATTTTTACAGCATCAGTTGTGGGACAAGATGGCCATCCCCTGCTGTTTGATGTTTCTTGTGAGCCTGTGTGTCTCTGAAAACCTTTCACACTTCTTTGATGGATGCTATTTATTTGTGGCGCCTCTGGCTGGCTCTTTGAAACACCAGGTGCTCAATGTGCACAAACACACACACACATTTCAAAAAAAGAAGCCACACATTGAGTTGTATCTCTGGCATTTGGCTGGGGATCACCGGCATCTTTCTGGGTGATAGAAAAGAAAACTTCTTATACATCAGGGCAGCAATTAGTCTAACATCTAATGATAAACTGAAGTTAAAAAGTTGTAAAGCTCGCCCAGTTTCCCTAATTTTTTACCGTAATAACACTCAAAGACTGTTGTCATCAGTGTCTCAAGGCTGCTGCTCTTGTTTCAAGACTTGAAATAAGACAGCAGATTTTTTCAAACTGTGGTGAAATATGTCAGTGCCAAAACAGTCTTTTCCACATTTTCCTCATGTCTGCAGGCTGAGTTGCAAATGAGTTGTAGTCACATTCTCTAAGTGTCAAGAATTTTTTTACAATTCAATAGTCTTGAAGACCTGAAGGTTCCCAGTTTGTATAATTAGGGGCACAGCTAATTTGACTGACAGGTGGGCACACAAGGCGTTAGCAGGGAGGCTGAAGACCTGCCTCGACTTCACCTCTTTACCTCTTGGTAGGTTGACTTAAGAGTTTGGTTGAGCCAGCATTTGCGACATGGTGAACGCTTTGAACAGGCTTTAAAATCATGCTTTCCTATGGGCGGCTTTACTGAGACTCAGTCAAGGATTTATACAATCTAGGGTTCAAATAGACTATCACCTATCAAATCAGATTGTTTGTCTCAAGAAAGTAGATGGATAACAAGGCTTTATTCTCCCTGTAGAGTTTTCATTTAGTTACAGCTTGGCTTTGCTAAATCCTTGATCAAAATTGTGTTTAATTTAATGTGCGTCAGGGTCCGAGAGGGGGACGAAATGTCAACATAAAAGTTCCTGCAGAAGCAAAGTTCATTTTGTTGAACCTAAACTTCAATGGAAATGTTAATTTGTAAGTTTATTATGCGAAAGATTCTGGTTCATGTTTTAACTGCACCATGGATTTAAGTGCTTGGGTGTGCAAATGGCATAGCAGTCTAAGACTTGCAGCGGCTGAAGTCCTCGTTTCCCAGCCATGACCCTTTGCCCCACTCTCTACTCCTAATGTTTTCAGTCTCTCTCAGCTGTCCTATTCAATATAGGTAAAAACAGCCAGAAATATAACAAAAAAAGGAAGAATTTAAATGCTTATCATATATCTATTTCAGATATCGATTGTGGAACCAGAGAGGCTATCTATTTTAGCTGTAAGAATAGTTTCTTCGGTCAACAAAACCATTACTTTCAGGGTAATACAAAACCTTCCTTTCTACATTAGCTCACCTTGTCAGAATTCTAATTTACACAATCGCCCATTCCCTGAGCTATTGCCCGGGAACGGGTGGAAAGTACATTCTGCATAACAGCATGTACTCATCTCTTTATTCTTGAACACTACAAAGTATGTATAAAGAAATTAGTAGATAAATAGACATGATTTTAACCGACATGTATATTGCTATACGGGTAAACTGCTATTTCAAAATGTTTCTGTATGAGGAAATATATAACAAAACAACGCTGGTGATAAAAGAAACAAACACCGTTGTCTCTTTTCATCACGCCTTCTGTCTGCTCGTCTGGTTCCTTTATCACTCAATTTATGCCCAGTCAATTTAAACAGCGCAGCAAAGCCTCGCTCTCTAAAGGCTGAGATAAACGGCAATCTAACACAAGAGGTGAGACAATCCAAACAACAAGTCCCAACATGATTGGCTGTCAATAAAAAGATGGTCATCTGGAGGAGGTTGAGAGGGGGGCTTTAAATGCATCATACCTGGAGCATCTCGAGTGGCATCGACTGTAACACCACCAAGACCAAGAAGCAGACTGACGGACCAGTCACTGCTTCCTTCCTCACCCTCCGTCTGTTCTCCCACTCTGCCAAGAAGGACAAATGCTCTTTATGCCGGTACATGAGAGGAGTGTGGCACATGTGCACAGAGCTGGCAGGATGTAGCAGCATTCACACAGGAATTGTCACCAACAGACTGGGCCTTGTTCTGGCAAACGTCTCCCGCTACAGTTTTCTCTCTCTCTCTCATGTTTACCAAGATTAAGAAGAAACTGAGTGGGATTACAGACTGCTTCACTTGACTTGTCATTCCACTGGTGTTTGTTGACAAGTGGCAATAATCAGAGTGTCTAGATTCTGGCGTTTGGGTGGTAAACAAGTCTGAACAAAACAAGAAAGAACAGGCAGGCTTATTCAGAAATCTACTGTCAAATTATGGCAAAAACACACAGCCTACTTGTGGTGTGTGCCGGACGACTGAAGGAGTGGGTGTGTTAAATCTTGCTGGGTTGGGGATCTAGTGAAGTGGCAGCCACCTTGGCTTAATACGGCCCTGACTAGAGCGGGCTGACTCATGGGTCTGGCTGGAAAACAGGTCTTAATAAAACATGATGGCCTGCCTGTCTGCAGCCTCCTACTCTTAATAAGATCTGCTGTGCTTCTGCCACCTCTAAGATCCTTCCTGGCTGTCCCTTATAGACTTTTCTTTAATTTCACTTCAATATATAACACTTAACTTGTATCTAGCTGGTTGAGGTTGAGACAAAACAAGCTTTTGGACTCATTTACCGATATCCACTATTTTGTTTTCTTGAATTTGTCCTCAAAAAAGTCTAAGACATGCGTTACCTAACCGCAGACTTGTGTGTGCCTGGGATCTGAAGTTGTTGTTCATCATAAAAACCAAACAATTACAAAGAGGAGGAAAGAAGTCCAAAAAGTCATAGCCAAAGCCAGACCCAGGGGTGTGTCCAGACTGTTTTAACCAAGGTGGTCCAGCCCAGAGGGGAATGGATGGCATAAAATTTTGCAAATATTTTGGTCTCTGCTAGTCATATCTACTTTAACTGACAAAATAATCTAAGGAGATAATTCTAAGAACCATCCATGAGTAAGCCTTTGCTGATTTTGTTTGAAAGGGGGAGTCAGGCCCCAAAACTGGCAAAATGATCTTGTAGTGTTTGCCCTGCCTTACCCTCACACAACATGATTTATGATGGTAAATACTGAGCATGATTAGTATGCTTAGTTTTTACCATGTTTCGTTATATGATTTCTGATCAAACAACCCTAATTATTGTCAAAGCAGATGAGGGAAAGGGAAATCACTCTTCACATACCTCACAATATAGGAAAATGTGAAATCGCCCAAAATAAAGCTTCTGAAAACTTGAAACTTTCCAAATCAGATCAGTGAAATCTAAATAAGGAACACCATCCTGGATGACCAAAAAATATGTGATGTTCCCAAGAATGGGGCCTCAACTCGCTTGGCACTGCCAGACATAACCAACCCATGTTCATTTTGGCTGGTGCATGTCTGGATTTGCTGTCATTCTCAAAGATTTGACCCCCTGATGTAAGAATAAACAGCTACAAATACAGAGCTTGCAGGTAACAAAGGGGTCTATCTTAGGTGTCTTTGCTATGCACTCAATCACATGCTGTGTTAATCTGATTGGTTTAAGGTATCTACAGTTGCTTCCAGGTGCACTATGGAACCATGGCACACAGACACTTCAAGAAATCCGAGAAAAAAAAAAAAAATTTGTAGGTGTGTGTTCCCAACTTACAGATAAGGTATGAGTAAGGGTCAAAAATACCAATGCCTTTAAAATTAGCCAACTCTAGAAAAAAAAAAAAACTTGTTTGCTATGCATAGTAACTCAAACGGTGTCCAAAGGTTTATATAAGTCATCAAAAATAAAAAAATAAGCTTGGGTTGAAAATGTTGATGTAAATAAGAGTTTTTCAATTCAATGCAGGAACACTTGGTGAATGAAGACGGTTCACATGCAGTTCAAGTGTTTGGCTATTTTCTTTCTTTCCTTTGTTCAAGTATTCGTACTCCAAAATGCCCAATAGCTATCTAGAAAATGCTCTCTTAGTTATTCAAGCTCCTTTCTGCTGTTTTTTTCTCTGCAGCCTATTTCTCTTTCCTCTGTGCCATCGCTCTCCTCCCACACACACAGACAAACTGACCTTAACCTTGACACTCTCTGTATGTGTGTGTGAGAGGGAGAGAGAGAAGAGCTTCAAATGATACAAGCAGTGTCACTGAGGGAGATCCAGAGGGTGAAGATTGGTGGCAGGGGTAAAAAGAGGGTTCCAGAGAATCAATAACCTCCTGCTCAGGAGGGAGAGGTCAGAGAGGTGTTTCTTTCATTGGACTTCAGATCCCCTTCCAGTGGGCTGCTGGGTTATCCATCACTCTGTATTTAGCTCTGTGTAAGCAGGGAGGGATGCTGGACTATGTGTGGCAGACACAGCTACTCATCAAAAAAAAAGTCCTGCTGAATTCATCAAACTTTTCCCCCGTATTACAAAGATATTTCGATTTTATACCTCTCCTATGTCCTTCTAAAGATTTAATTTCTTGGTATAAAATTTTTTCCGTTTCTTGATTTCTATTTGGAGTAACACACATGTTATGAAACTGATTTTATTTAATTCCAGTGGAGGCAAACCTGTAAAGAGTGTCCCCCTCTATTTTTGCTTATAGCTCCAATCAGTAGTGTAATTATGGCATGAAGGCGCACCAGGGGCTAATTAGCAGAGCACGTCTGTGGGGACGAAAACAGGACGCGTCATTAACCTTCACTGGTCCGTGCCGCTAACATGAGAAATATGCTGAGAAAGCCAGGAGAGCACTCAAGAACCTTCAAAAATAACATTGTCTGTACTAAAGTCAGTGGGATACTAATGCAGCATTATGAAATAAGAAAGACATTATATAAGTCTGTTACATCAATTTGTTGTTCTAGCACCTCAGTTGTGTGACAAATGACTATTACTTCATGCATTCAGTCTGATAAAACCATATTTCAAATTCTACTCCTGACTGGAAGGTTTTCAAAGATGAAGAATATCATTTCTAGCTAAAAGGTGCAGTGTGGAGGATTAGAGGTATTTAGCAGAACAGACTTGGTAGAAATGAAATAAATATTCACAAGAATGTTTAAATTAGTGTATAATCACCTGGAAATATATAGACATATATTTGTTTCTGTAACTCAGAATAAGCCATCCACATAGGACTCCCCTTCTTTCTACTCTAGCACAGAATTAACACACTCTTAACAAATGCGTTTTCTGCATCATGTGAGTGGCTGTGCAAAAATGGTAGCTCAATTATTCTTACAAAGCATTGTTGGGCTTTTTGTCCATGAAAACCACCATTGCATCACTAATGGGAGGGGTAAACAGGGGAGCACTTCCATCTAATATCTGACATCTAGATATTGCTAAAATTTCAATTTCTACATACTATACCTTTAAAAGGAAACTTCTGTCTTTTTCAACCTGGGCTCTTTTTTCCCATGTGTTAGTGTGTGCTTGACTGAAAGGGAGAACAATCTCTGAAATTGGTCCTGTACTGAGGGAGAGCTGAGCAGCTGGCAACCACAAAACAAGCTAAATGTAGTTTGCAGCTCGAGCGGGGCAATTGCACATCGCCAAACGGCATCCAATACAAGTGCTTTATTTCACCACTGACAGGTTCAGGTTGTCATTACAAGTCCCGAGAATGACATTGCTAAGAGTTTCCCTATACCTCCCTTGTGCGATAACGTGGCACATAGCAATGACTACATTGCAGTTGTGGAAAACAAAAAACAATGACAATCAAGCTGCAGTCCTGGCTTTAAAGATATAGTTCAAAATCTTGAATAGAGTAAGATGTTAACTTTTTCATACATTGCCTATATAATGATTATGAAGCAAGGAAGGACATGACAAGCTTAGCTTAGCTATCCTTAGTGTAAAAAACAGTAAAGAGGGAAATAGCTAGTTTATCTCTTAATCATGATCATATTACTCTTGGTAGGTTCAATTTGTTTAAAAAAAAAAAAAAACTAAATATTTCTCTGCCAGGTGGAATGTGGGGAAATCTCTGCCAGTGATATAAGACTGCAACCCTTAGTAACATGAAGACCTTGAAAAACTACAAATCTTCAAATCTAAAAGTGAATTAAGCCGCAGGAATAACAGAAATGTCACTTAACATTTCTATGATGAATTGATTTATTAATCAAAGAAACTATAATTACCAAAAATTACAAAATTCATGACTCAATTTTGTGTTTTTTTAAAGAAAAATTGCTGCATATTATAATTTAAGAGATTTGCTGCTTTTTGTCATTTTGTGACAGTAATACTTTTTTCGGAGTCAAACCCAATTAAAAGTTTAATTTTAGTAGAGATAATAAAACAACATAAACTGTCCAATGTCAAAATGAATACTTTGTATTTAGTGTTATCTAGATTGATTAAAACATTGAAAAATGACTTCCTGATTGAGAGAGGAAGTTTTCCCTGCTCTGAGGGTTGTTCTGGTTTGTATCCCCTTCAACAGGAGAAGTTGCCTGTTTCCTCTTCTGTCTCCAAAAGGAGCAGGTGTTTAATCAATTATGTGTTACCTCCAACTGCTGCAGACCCAGACAGACCCAGACCTGTACACACACAGACGTACACACTTCCTCAAACCGACAGACGTCAGCAGACAGATTGACAGACTGACAGTGAGACACACAGAGACCCGACCGGACATGAACAGGTGGTTCAAGAGACACGCCGAACATGTGCGGGTGAGCTGGCAGCAGACAAACAGAAGAACACACACACAAGCCGCCTGTAGATAGCGCCCACCTGCCAGCCCTGAAACATTTTAATCATTTGACGGCCAATTACTCTGAAGGCAGGCAGAGCAGAACAGAAACTCACACTTCACTTCCCTGGCACTCGCAGATGGGCCTGCAGGCTGGATCTCTACCGCCTGCCTGTCTGTCTTCACTCTACCTGTCTACTCAGCCAGCTCTGCTTCCTTCTGATATGGGTGAAAAAGCAATGTAATAAGGTGTTTGGCAAGGCTTTGGAGGGAGAGAAAATGGGATCTCCATCGTTAATCAAAACTGATGCCACTGTAATGCGAAGTGCTTTCTCAAAGCCTCTTCTACAACTTCAAAGAGCAGAAAATGCTGAAGAATAACAACATAGCCACCTCTGTCCTTACTCTGAACAAAGAGAGACAACTCAGTTCAGTTCAGTTCAGTTTAGTGGTAGCATAACTACAAGATAACTGCAGCATCATTGTTATCATAATTCGAGCAATTACAATTCACAAACATTGCCATTGTGACTAATCAGAAGTTTCAAAATACTACTGTTTTCACTAGTGTAGATGTATCACACTGAAATGCACAGGAAGCTATAAGCAGACTGGTGCAATAAAGCTCAAATCATTTCTTAAAAACTTTGGGGTAGAATTAGGGTTGGGCCAAGGCCACCCTGATTCTACTTCCTGGATCCACCCCTGCCGCCCAGGCAAGAGTACCCTACCTGAGCCAATGCAGCACAACAAAGATACAAAGGTGCCTGCAACAGTAATACACAACAATTATAGATGCAAACACAGGAGCAAAAAGACAACCACCTAGGGACTGTTGGAGGCTTATGCTTTAGTGACTCAGTCAGGAGTTGTGACCCACAAGTTCATGTTTCTACAGCGAGTGAGGATACAGATGCATCATAAAGAGGATCTGTGCAATAGCAAATATTTTGTGTCTCTTGCTGTCTCATTTTCTCTGCTATAAGTACATATCATATATTTTTGTTAGCATTATATAGGTTTTTTACCAAGCTAATGAATGTTAATAAGAGTCATTGTATCCATGAAAAATTATGTAACAAGAAAGTCTCCTAGTTAACCACAGGTGCAAACTGGTTAACTCTGACAGCCTTACTACAAACACATTTCAAAGTCAGGATTAATTCAGATGGATGAGAAAACCATTTTATCAGTGCTCTCTCATTTGGCATGTACACTATTGATCTGTTGGATAGAGGCCCAGGTGTGATAGCCATGCTTTCATACCCTTTGGATGCAGTAAAATGGAGATCAAACTATCAATTTGCTACTCTCAGTTTAATTGATTTATTCAGATTCAAATTTAGAGGAACAAAAAGCTGCTTTTTGAGTTTACTTTGGACTCAGGTGATGTGCCTGAGTGCTAATTAAAGCATGAAAAATCATAGAAACACAGCAGTTGTGGGGGTTATAGTTGGTATGTAGCCTTCAACTTTTGTTTACATGTACAGAATTTCACTTTCTCTTTTAATCAAGCAGGTGTTTGTAGATTATATGTCAAACAAACCAAAACTCCATCTGCCAACCTTAAGTGTGCTCTACACAAATTGAATTAACGTACATTTGCCGGTGACTGCACTATAATCCGGCTCCTTCTTTCCCTTTTTATTTCAGTTTGATGATTTTGCACTGATCTGATTGTTTGATCTGGTTATTAAAAGTTTCATATATTTCATTTTAGACTTCAAAAATTCTGATGAAAGAACCATCTGCAGCACAAATATTCTCTTGAATTTTACAGCCTTTTAACCAGACATTTAATCAATTTAATCAGGACATTTGCTTTCTCTTCATGTTTCTTTTTATTACTTATCAAAGCAATTAAACAGTTCGTGTTTTGTTTCATCAAAAAATAAGCACCTCTGGTGAAAAAAGAAAAAAATTCTGAAGAGGTGGATCATTTTTAGTCACGAAGGGCCCTTTCTGACTGAAGTTCTGTAAAGACAGAAGAAACCGCTGCATTATTATTCCTCTCTGTGATCTATGATGAGGCCTTTGTGGTTTGGATTGAACAGCCAGCTCAGATCTTAAAAGTTTCCTGACACCATCAGAAAATTTTAAACATTTTCTAGAGAACTGTGATGGCTTAACATGTCATGAAATGCTGTCAGTGGGTGAAGAGTGACTGCAAACAATGAACAATGTTTGGAACCAAGTACTGCATGATGCATGTCAAAGTCGCTCTGAGTCCTATTCAACCTTTAAACCGCCTGGTTTTTATTTGCTTCATGTTTGATACTCCAGTGGGCTGAAATTTAAATAAAAACAAAGGCAGAAAGAAGTGGCACTTCTGGCTCGATCTGAATTTCAGTGCCAAATGCTTGCTCTGTTTAAGCTTCAAATGTGGCTGTGAAAATAGTTCCTCCATCATTATCAGAATTCAAGGGCTGCAGTTAGCATGACTACACCCATTAATGCATCTGAGACTGGCAACAAAACAATGGATATCAGTTTTTTTTCTCGTTAACTGTTTGCAATACTTCTAGGTGCTCTGCAAATGACAACAAAGAACATGATGTATGTCCAATAGAATGAGATTAGAAGAGCTAAAAACTACCATCAGTTCAAAAATGTACCACAATCACCAAAAACAAACTTCCTCTAACACTACGAGATTCTCTTTTCACTCTGCTTCTTTCACAGTCATATAACCACACATTTTTACAAACCCTCATTTCAGCCCCTGTGCTGTGCAGACACTTAATTTCAGCTTTCTCATTACTGCACTTTGAAAGCACTCCAGAACTAGCACTCTGGGACCCTCCTCCACTGTTGCTGTGCATGCAAAAACAGTTGTCTGATGAATCTTGAAACACAGTTATATATTCTGAATCACAAATCTGACCTGGAAAGTTTGAAAAAGAACAAAACAAAACCCTTGTGGCCTTTCAGGGAGATCCATCCATTGGTAATGTCATGTTTTGAGCAAATCTCATGCAGAATTTGCAAAGTTCTCAAGGGACCTTTTAAACAAGCTGTTCAGGACTTGACCTGGACTTGTTTTAACACGTTCACCTCACTATCTGACACTTTTCCTACATTTGGTGCTGACATCCAACGCTTTCAATATTAGGTAGGGATGGAAATCAAGAACCGGTTCCGAATGGGTCAATCCATCAACATCATTTACATTTTATCTTAACGATTCCCTTAACGATTCCTTTCTTCCAGGTGCCTTGAAAAACGGTCTCGTGAGTGCTATTCTACGTGAACAGGAACAGAGACGGAGAAATAAATATGCCGGATGGTACAAAAAGTAGGCAGAAACGAGCAAAAGCATGGCTTAATTTTACTAAGAAAGACAACAACATTGCAACGTTTTCAAGCAGAGATAACATGCAAAGGTGGAAACACCAGCAACATGCTCAAACATTTTTCAGCAGGGCACGGCATCAAATATAAGGAGTAACATGTATTCAATGCTCTCCACCGGTCGTCAGCCGCTGCTGCTCTGTCTCAGCACGGCATTGAAGGAACACATGATGGGGTTACTTATTTGGATGAGCAATCTAATTACAAATACTCTCATAATTAGCTCATATCCACGATACAAGGTAACCTCAAAACTGCAGGGTGCGCACAGCAAAAATCTCCCGGCTTTTATAACCATAATGTTGGCAGGTATGCGTATGTCCTGTGCTAACTTAAGCCCAATGCATGCCACAAATGCTGTACAAATATAATATTTTTAGACTCTCACTAAAGGTGGCACACATCATTTTCTGTTATCAGAGACTCAATAAAATTGTGAGTTAACGGTGAAAACCTTTACTTTTTTTGTTTAAATAAAAAAAAGGCATTGATAAGGGAATCGTTAAAGAATTGAATTGATAAGCATAATCGATAATTGCATTGATATCGATAAAATCTAGAGATCAATTCCCATCCCTAATATAAGGAAAGGAAAATATCACCTCTTTAAAGACACTATTGTTAAGACCTAAATGGGTAACTTGTGAAGAGACCCAATCCACAACTGAGCTGTCAGTGGCAAAAAGTTAGTCTTTAGCACGTAGCATCCAAAGATATCAATGAAACCCTGAGCTGACATCTAAAGCTGCATACCTTAGGAAGAAAAAAAATTGAATTTAAAAGAGTAATCTGTGAATTAGTGCAGGGACATTGATTGATCAGTCAACTTTTGAGAGGTGTTGTGATGGGCTAAAACTGAGAAGGTGTGATACATTACTTGAGTTGGAATGAATTTTTCTGATTGCAACAAAACAATTCCCTAATCAATAAGCTGAGAATTGTTTTGTGTGTTTCTCTCTGCTTTTTCACCTTATGTTGGGCTATTCATGTGTCAGACTCCATTTGACAGGAGACATCGATCACAATTTCTGGACCATTGCCCTGAGCTGAAACAGTCCATGTGATGGAGGTGTGAGTTGTTCTACACTCTGACCCTCTAAAACACTCTGCAACTCCGTCCGTCTCACAGGGAGTCGTGATCACAAAGTCTACATCCTCAAGGCACTGAGCAGGCTAAAAAAAAAATGTGCTGCAGTATAAAAAAATCAAGGGGTCTGAACTGGTGTGGGTAAAGTGCTACAGGAGAGGTCACATAACACTGCAAAGTGTTTTTCGCTGGTTTTAGAGCTCTCAAAAGTTAGAATGGATGCAATCATCTCTGGCTAAAATCTCACCATTAAACAGCTAAAATATGACACTTCTATAAAGTGATACTCTGTGAGCATGTACTTCAACCAAGGACTGTACTAAAGAAACAGATTGAGTCAATGTGACGTCACCCACTGGATTGCTAAAAGCCTTAAGTTTCACATCTTGGCCATCAACATCTCCTTTTGGAGAGAGATGCAAACATATTTGGATGACATTGGAAATAGCACTGAGGATAGCCAATCATCTGTTTATCTTTCCCAGACAGAAGGTGAAGTCCAGCCATATTTCCTCTCACTCTCTTTTGAATGAGCAGAGATGTGTTTACTTTCAGTCTGTGTTGAATATCTTGTCACATCCACAGAATATGTAAAACATGGATGTAGTGTCAGGGTCCAGAGACTTTACCCTTTCATTTCTACAGCAATGGTTTGGAGCTTATATGGATACAGATGCCAAGTGGAAATGATGACTCAACCGAACCAGTCGACCAACTATAAGGCTAAGAGGGAAAAGTTGGGGTGAGCCTTTAGCCTCCTTGCTAACAGATTGCTAACCCTAACCTTAATTTCCTCCAAAGTAATGAATTTTAAAATATTCTTCCTCCACATACTGTGTACCAGTATATAAGTTAGCTATTCAGATCAAAATGTTTTTTAGTCCCAGGTTGTAAACATGTTCATCTTTGAATGGGTGTGTATGTGGTTTCTGATGTTTCCAGAGCCAGCCTCTAGAGGACAAAAAGGGAACTGCGTTTTTTAGCACTTCCATGTCAGTTTAATTTCTCAAGCCCACAGCTTGCTGCTTGGTCGCATAGTGTCCACACTGCATCATTTAAAAAATCACCTACCTTGACATCATGTTAACAAACCACACTGCTATCCACAGGTGAAAGTCGGGGGACTGGATTATGTTTGTAATATAAGAATAAAGTTCCCCCTCTATCACTATCCACGGACATTAAGTAACATGCAATTCATGGTAACTCACTAAAGCTTTACATATAAAACCAGGGGCTTCATCCACCTTGAAGTGGAAGCCCTGATTTTTTCACTCAGTGCTCTTAGTGGTCTTAGCATTGGCCCAGTTCTTCTTTGTCAATCTGTTTACCCTTCAATCTATCGTTAGAAGTTCTCTCCTTCTTGTTACAGAGACACGGTAATAGCTATTTTGCTTTAAGGGAATGAGGCAGATGAAGGAGTCTTTGGGTGTTCCACGTAATGGAGCACAGGGCTCAGAGGGAAGTCAGCCGTGTTTATCCCTCTGGTTATCCCTCTATCTAAATCTTGCCTCCAACTGATGATGAGGCTCCAGGGGACACGCTGCCTTAATGGGAGTACTGCATATTTCACGTTCTTCCCTTCTCCTTTACCCCACTTTTCTGTTTTGATTTCTTCTCTTTGTTCTTGTTTGTGTGTATGCGCTCAGCTCTGAAATAGTAATTTCTAACGTGACGTTTTGTTGACAGCCGTCCTTCCTCCCATAGCTGAAGACTCCGTTGCCAGTCTCTCACAGCAAGGGCTCAGCTTTTCTACTCTACACCGCTATCAACAGTGCGCCAGCTGTAAGCAACGCCTGCTGCTTTCAGCTTATCTTTAAAGCCCAACCGTTTGGATCACACTGACCACAATAGAAACGGTGGTGTCCATCATGTAGACGTCATTTATCACCGAAGCAACATCATTAGTGCCGTTCTACACATCATACAGCCTCCCCTCATTTAAAAACACATCATTTAGTCATTTGACACTGACAAACGTGGAAACAATGAGGTGATGGTGCATGCATCTGTGGCTCTTGTTAAATGGATGAGGTTTACTGATTCTCTGGTTATACAAAGCATGTGGACATCAAGGGAGACATTTGAATAAAAATAAAGCACAAACAAAAACACAGCTTCGATTTTGTAATTCAGCTAAGTTCAAATGTTTGTGCACGAGTCAAGTTTCATACAAAATTAGAATATGTTCCTGGATCTTTATGTGTGAAAGAGAGAAGGGAAAATAGAAGAGAAGAAACACTTAACACTAGCAGCATCAGCAGCATATTAATTATGTGGTGTGTTTACCTGGAGGCAGGCAGGCGCTCGGCCATGTGGTTTGTTGACGTCCACAGCCACAAGCTGCCATCCCCCAGCAGCGTCTTCATGGAACATCTGTGGCACAAGGACACCACATGAGCGCCAGAACACACAAGAAAAAATCCGTGCCTACCATTCAAAGTTCTGGACAAATCCGAAACGCACATATCTACCCTTTGGCTACATCTCCATAAAACATCTGTGGCCTGGAAAAAAAAATGTCTGAAGGCGGCATACTCACAGTTTCTTACACGCACACACACACACAGAGCAGGACAGATACCAAATACAGTATGTAAGCCTGAGGACATAATTCCAGAAATAGAACAAAAACCAATATTACAGCAGAGACGTTCACACTCACAGAACAGCTGTTTCACTCATCAATAACAGTCTTTTCTTTATAACATGGAGGCAAACAGTTAGTGATAAGCCCAATCAATTAAAAAAATGAGCTTAGAGTTTCTTCAGGCAGGCCAAAAACCCACAGTACATCAGCTGATCCAAACACCAACCCACGTTGGCTTACAGCTGGACTTTTAGCCTGGCTTTAGCCTACCTTCTCTTGCAGCTTTTACACCCGCTCTCCTTTTCTATCCTATGTAGCTGTTTTTAATAATTTTTTTTTTATCACAGATACCTGCTCTGTTTTGTTCATTGGGGGGGTCTTTGCTGTTGCTCTCCCTTTGTCCATTAGTGGGTCTGTTAAAAGTGTAGTGCTGCTTGGGTTGGGTTGTAACATAGGGAGATCCTACTAGAGTATACAATGGACAGCAGAAGCTGGCATGGAGGGGAGGAGTTCTGGTATACCAGGGATAACTGTCAGGTGGTGGAAGACTTGCATAACTATATGGTAGGCTACAAAACTGAAAGTACGTAGTCATCTTAAATTAAGTTGTTTGCAGAACACAAGCAATGCAACGACATGTGGCCTTGTTACTGAAAAAACCCTCAACTACTCATTAGTTCTCAAGTTTTGCCTCCAAACTATGACCCTCAGGTCATCTCACTGAGTCATATCCCAGCAAACCTGTCATGCCACATTGTGAGCTTTGATCATCTTTTTTTTTTTTTTTAGAGCAGCGACATCAATGAAAACAATTTCAACTCTCGTTTGGACCACAAAGAGCTGACGTTATTCAGCCTTTGAAATTACAACGCTGACTTTAATGTGATGCAACTCCCAGTTTACTCTAAAAAAAGACTCCACATCAGTGTGTGGGATAAATAAGCAGAGTCCTGTAAATCAATCCTGAATCCATTAATTCCATTGAATCAAAACAGTAAGACTTTCCAGCTTTATCTCTTCTAAAAGAATCATTAACCATGAGATGGTATGTCAAAGTCAAGGAGTAAAGAGTGTGGCATGGTTTGTGTCTCCCAGGGGCCCCCTTTCTACCAGCCTACCTCTCTGGGGAATATGAAGCAGGGCGCATACTGTTTCAGCCTCTTTGATTGACGGTTAAGTGTTACACCATTGCTAATTAGTTTTCCCCCCTCTAAGATAAAGATTGGGGCATGGCTATGTGATTACAATTAATTTTGATAATGAGAAGAAAGGTTAATTGTTTTCAAGGTTATAGCTGTGTATGCATGCCAGTGACATCCGCCTGTTTTCCATCATGACAGGAGGAATGAGAGCTCCAGCTTCTTGACTTTATGAAATGCATCATTTAAAGACTACGGGGGAAATTGGTACAATTAATACAGATTGCTGCTTGTCAGAGTAACTCTATAATGGTTACAAATGTTGGATATTTGTCTTTACAATTTACTGAACAGATGCAAAATAAAATGCAAATGCAAATGCATACACCCACCGATCATCTGTGATTTCAATTGTTGCATTCAAGTAGATACGCATATCTCCTGTGAATTGCTAAATCACTAGACTCATAAATACCTTGTTGTAAAGTTTAATAAGTAAATTTGCTCATGTGTCTTATTTTTCTTTGATTCAAATCAGCTTCCTTGCCATCTCCTGAGCAATACAGAGTAGCTCAGGTTAAACGTTTAAGAGGCAATTAAATATCAACTTCCCTCATAAACAAAAATGCATTTGTAAGATAGCGAAATGTTAAAAGTTGAAAATGTCAAACCAATAGAAATCACTAACACACATTGGTGCTGTCTGGATTTAATTGAGGTGAGAAATCTGCACACATTTGTGTAAGAAGTTTGCAAAATACATCAAACCTTTTTATAATTATGTTTTTTCTTTTTCCTCAGATCTCTTCTTTATTGAACTGAATGTTTCACACACATAACCAAATCTGTAAATATTCCTTATATCTCTCCCTTGTGTGTTTCCCTCAGAGACCTGACTCCATGGCAAATTATGGGAAATCATTGGAAAGGAACCAGGGCAAGTATTAATACAAAGAACCTTCTGCGGTAAAGATCTTGTTAGAAAATCTTGATTTGCTCGTTTACTTCCTCTGTTGCTCCCCTTGCGCTTCCATAGTCCACACTTTTCCTCCAATTTACTTCCACACACAACAACAACAACAACAACACCGTGGCTGCCAGTGTCCATGAAGAGCTTGTTCTACAAAAAAGTACAGTCCTCTCAGTGATCTGGCTCTAGTTAAGTTATGTGGTGTCGGATTTCAAACAAACCACAGTCCACTGCGAAGTTTGTTTAAAAGCTAAAAAAGTGGTCAGACCAAAAATTTCTTTTTACATCATAAGTAAAAGCATTTCACCCAAGTAGGAGAAATGTGACTAACTATAAAATGCACAATTAATATTATTATTATTATTATTATCATTATTATTATTATAACATATATTAAATATACATATATTTCATTTGAAAATTCCTGCAGGGACAAAATAAAGTTATTCTTATTCTTATTCTTATAAAGTAGAAAAGCATGAGAATATCTATCAACTTCGCGTATATGAAAATAAATAGTGCACTGTTAAAGAAGAGTTTACAGCTTGCACTTTAATCCCAAAGGAGAAATTAATCTTGCTTTTGTTAAAGTCTATCTAACTACAAAACTTGCTTTGAGTAATTTCTTTGAGTCATTCTTTGTCATTTTTCAAAGGGAAAAGAAAAATTTATTTTAAAAAGTTTAAAATTTTGTTGTAGCCATATTACTCAACCCTACTTATGAATAACACAAGCAAACTTGTGTCAGTGTTTTCACCTTTAAATTCCAGTTCTCTACAAACATGGCTCATATTAGACTAAACAATACTATGTAGAACTGAGCAAAGTAAGACGAAGCCAGGCAGCCTAGATTCTTCTGAGCCTTATACAGTTTTCCAAGGTAGATCCAGGGGGGATATTCTGGGTCTGCCCCAGGGTCTCCACACTGTTATTCCCAGAATATCTCCAAAGAGATCTGTCATGGGAGCATCCTTATTAAAGGTGCCAAAACTACCTGAAATGTTTCCTTTAAACACCAGAACAAGCTTTTCTTCTCCAAACTCTTTCCAGGTGTCCAAACTCTCAACCTTCCCCTCCCGTGGCATTAACTTCTTTTGGCAACTTGTATCTTAGATCAAATTTCAGTCACTACCCAGAGCTCGTGACCTTTGAGGATGGTTTGAACACGGACTGACTGACTGTTAAATCAAAGAATTCTCCCTTCAGGCTCAGCTCGCTCTTTGCCAAAATAATTTGGTGCTGTTGGACGTGCACTTTTCTGCTTGTCAGTCTTTCGTTTTACTTTAAATCGGCTGATACCAGAACTGCCTCAGTGGAGTAACTCCCTCCAACCCAAATGTGGACGTCTCATTCCTTATGAGCTGGTTACAATGCCTTAAAATAGTTGTACTTGTTGAGTTGAGCTATAATAGACCCTTTCCACTAGTTTTGTGTGAAACAGCTTGAATACAGTCCACATGAAGAGCCACACATTAATCAAGAGGTGGTGATGGAATCTTGAGTCACTTCAGCTAAAAGTCTTCTCCACTTGGCATCACTATGTGAAACGGTCTATTAAAAATCACATTCACAATCAGAGTATGTCCATAAAATAAAGTTTCCTATAACTCGCTTGGCTTATTGCTTGGAATACATAGGATGGCAGCTCTTACTGAGGTTATATGAGGACCAGGTGGCACGGCAAAGGCCCAGCTGTGGCAGGACCCTGCCTCCACTTTCTGAGTCTTTTTCCACCGTGCCTCCAAGGCCAGGAAACTTCCATCTAAATTGCTTCCCCAGACATCTATCACATAAGTTTTGCTTTTCCTTGTGCTATAGACGCACTGATGGACAATATGTTCCCAAATTCCAGACACATGAGGAAATGACCTTAAAGATGCAGAGTACAGTGTTTGGTAGCATTTATCAAAACAGACTCTGTAGACGTGGAGCTTAATTTGTAAGAATGTGTAAATTCTTCTTCTTCTTAATTTTAATCACCCAAATATTTTGAATGAGCGTTTTCTATCTACTCCTTCTATCTATCTTTTCCACAGCAAAGGGAGGGGTAAGCGAATGAGTGTTTCAATCTGGAATACTACTGCTAGATACAGATCTCCACTTCTACAAACTGCATCTTTAAGAAGTGGGATGTATAAAATCAGAGAAATAAGGACCTGAAACAAACATCTCCACATCAATCTTTAGCATATATTTTAGTTTAGCAGGTCTCTCTCTGAGTAACACAAATCTGATTCTAAATAAGTGCTGTTACAATATATTGGTATTGACAATAACTGTCTTTTTAAAAAATCAAGTTCTTTGCTACACATAGGCTAAAGGTAATACCCAGAGTTCATAGCAGTGGTCCTCAATGCTCATAAAACAAAGGGTAGGCAAGAAGAAGATGGAGAAGGTTCTTCTGCTAGAGCAGCCCTTCAAGAGATGATTGGGCACCAATAACACAGATGTTCAAGATTTATTCATTTAAATCCAAAAACACTATCATAACTTTTGCCTCTTCAGGTTACGGATCAATTGTATATTTATACTTTCAGACCTTTTTTTAACTGTTGTCATTCAGTTCTATAACTCACAATTGACTGGAAAGAGTATAATTCCAAATATAAGCCCGGTTTGATAATGCAGGGTATATCATGTTCAAAAAGCTATACCACTGCCCACTCTAGGGTAGTTTCAGTCTCAGGGGTGCTGTTAAATGATAAATTTGAATATTATTAGAAATGGTTGATAACATGTAAGTTAATTGCATTTATTAGTTAAGTTAATGAAGCAATGTGTTTTCCCTAATCATAACAATATTTTACAGCCACAATGACCATGAGGTGAAAATCTGACGTTGTGACAGCCTCAGTCTAAAACCTTTGAAACGCTTTTATAACTGGGAGATTACAAAAAAAAGACCCAGGTCATTTTAAGACGGTGTGATAAACAGATCTTTCTTTAAACACACAATTTCAAATCAGTGAAGAAGCCCTTACCAAAACCCAAACATCATCTAATGAATGAATCTGTTTCAACAGTTTTATTGAAACAGCTAAAAATCTGCATCAACAGTTGAATTAAAATAGATAAAAAAAATGACAGTTCATATCTCCTACATCTTGTTTTGAAGCAGATTTCAGGATCAAAATTCCCAGTTTATTATAAAAAAAAGGCATCCGTTGGTCTGTGGACCCCTTAGGGAGCCAGTTTTGATGAAAGTGTAGGTATTAATTGATGACTGTGCATTCCTGCAAAGCTTAAGAAAGTCATCCTGTCAAAATGTGTTTGTGTTCATTCCTTTGATTTTCTGAATTCATGCAATATTTATGCACTGAACCTTGATGATATAACCAACTTTGAACACTCCATACCTCAACCAGCTTTTAAAGAAAGCAGGTATTTAAGACATTTGAGGGTAAGGTATGATATAGACTTTGCTATATATTATCTAAGTTGCTCTACTTTGTCATTTTGTACCCATAAAAGTGATGGCTCTACCTGTGTTGTAGCAGTAGAGGTGGTGCTGCTCCTTGACCCCCACATCTGCTGAAACTGCACCCGAATCTCTGCAAATGTCTCGATGATGACTGCAATGAACACATTCTGTGAAAGAGAAACGATAATGAGGGAGTAAAACGGACAAAGAGGGAGAGACAAAGAGCATGGTGACAATTAAAAATAAATGACCAAGTGCGGGTCTGCCTCTTGACTTCCCTCAGTATCCATGACATGCCATTCATTTTCTCATTAGCTGGAGAACATTCGACTAACAAGGGGAAATGGTAATGTCTGTAGGTGAAAGATTAGGTTATGTCAATTAACCAAAACCTTTTATGTGTTCTGCTACAGCCTGCAGCCATGCCAGGGAGCGGAGAGCAGTTTGAAAAGTGCAGTAAAGAGAGACTTGCTCTAACCTTGACAAGCCATGCCAAGAAGAAAATGAGGGTTATAAAGTAGAAGTAGGAGCGCCAGCGAGGGAAACTGTCGATGGCTCTGTACATGAGGAACACCCAGCCCTCCTGTGATGCAGCCTCGTACACGGTGAAGATGCTTGTGCCTAAACCAAGGCAGAGACAGGATCATCAGACAGATGTACAGAGAGCATGAAAAGAGCTATTACAGAGGAAATCTGTCACTGTTGGGCTCTTTTTGTCTATAGAGGGAGCGTATTCTGACTGCGCACAGGATGAAAAATCTAGCCTCCTAGGACCCTCGAAGTTCCATTCCTCTTTGTACTGACAAGACTAAGAGCCCTAACTATTTGGCAACCTCATTAATCTGATGAAATTATCTTTAATGCATGTCTTTGTCACTGTCACTGACAAATTTGGTCAGATGTAGTTAATTAACCAAAATACTGAGCGGTGGCCAAACTACAAAATGAAACTCTTGGCTGCTCTCTGCAAATTAACTGTCTGCACTTTAAAACACCGGGCCAGGGATGATTAAATCAGGAAAGACACATCACTCTATATTATTTCAACGTCTAGTAACACCGTGTGATGTGATTTTAAGTACAGACAGATTAGTGTTTACTTGTATACTTGCATCAGAGTAGCCAACAGCTGTCAAAAGCAGCTGATAGACAGCTGGCAGATCTGAAAGAGTCAGGAATATTAATCATATCATATCACTGCTTTGAGCTTTTCATTTCACAGTAATGAATCTGGGCTAGATTACTTTAATTGTGTCAAAAAAAACAGCTTTGTGTCCTCAGTGTTGTTACAATAATGCACCAAAATCCTCATTAAACTCCATTCATATGGACAAAATAAGCCCCTTATATTAAATCACAGCACTCTAAATCTAAAGGTTTGGCTACTTCAATGCGTTTAGGTTGCCCATTGCAGTAACTGTGCCAAATTCCAGAACATAATGCCCTCCACAGTCCTGTTTACCGTGAAACTCTTGCTCTCCTTCACAGCTATCTACAGATTAGGGACACTGCACTGTGCACCGACACTGGATTTAAGCTCTGTTCAGCTGATAAGCGTGCAGGATGCTGCTGAATGGCACAGCTTTGCACTAAAAGCTGGTACATGCAGGTCTCACTTCAGCTCTTACTTGACTCTTTGCCAAGATTGTTGAAAGAATAGTTCATACCTGTGTGTCAGTGAAAGGAAAAACAAGTTTTTTCAAGATGTGGGCTCCCTTTCACATATATACAATATACAGTAATGAGGTGATATATACAAAGAATGTCAAGGTTGTTTTTATGTAAAGCTCTTCAGGGAATTAGTCATCAGACAGTATGTGTTAGTGTTTGAATGCCTTAAATATGTGTCTGTTTAACTTGTAGTGTACCGAGTTCATTGAAGCCGCTATATCCCAGCTCCTGCCTGCTCAGGCCCAGCTCCTCCAGGTCCATGCATTTGAAGCCCAGAGGACACTGGTAGCCCTCACCATCAGGGGAACAGTGGGTGTCCGGGATGGCCAAGCTGTTCCACGACACATTTCTGACCAAAAGTAAAGTACATTTAAATTTATGTTAATGCAATCTGTTGTGAATGGAATTGATGTCTAAAAATGAAAACCAAAACAAAAGAAAATGAGATACATGTGCACAACTTGAGTGTCAAAGGTACCCTTTTAAATTTACACCGCACTCTATAACTTTACATTTAATCCAAGTGAGAACTGTAAACAGGAAAAATGAGGATACCACTGATGTACAGCTAAAGGCTCAGGCCAAAAAGACTCAGCACTTCTAATCATGGAAATACTTTCTGGAAGATGAAACCAACCCTGTGGTAAAATGCTAGTTGTGTTTGGCTGTACTGAAGTGAAACAAGAAAACATCTCAACACCCAAAGCTGACAGGAAGCAGTAGCAGCGATGCAATTCTTGAAGCTTGTGCTGTTTCCTAACAGATCAAACTTGTCCTTTTTCACTCAAACCTTCTTTCTGTCTTTCTCACAAAATGGCTTGTGAATGACTATTTTAAACAACTTGACACACAGGAAGAATTAGCAGCAATAACTCGCATGCAAAAAGAGATTAAGGACACGTGCCACCCCTCCCTGTCTCTTCCCATGTCTCCCTGTCTTTCAGCCACAGGTGTTATTCCAGGAGCTGCTTGATTCCTCTAATGAAAATTAATGCCTATAAATTGGCTGCCCAGACATTCATCCAAATTGTTTATTAAGGGGTACAGGATCAGAGGGGATAATTTATTGCACCATCACAAAGGGCAGCCAGAGGCATAGTGATGAATCCTGATAAAGCTAATTATGCTGGGTTTTATAATACCACTGTGTCTCAGCAAAGAAATCATGTCTCTTGATGACAAAGGGGTGATAAATGAAGCCTTAAATGAAAAACCCAATGTCCAGTATTAATGTGCTGTTATCATTCTAGTGAGTCTGACATGAAAAACAAAACATATTTGTGATAAGAAATAATTTATGATGCTTTTTCACACTGAATTAGTCATATGATCACAAAAGAATAATTTGTGAGGCATAATTGAAAATGTGAGGTGCCGTTAACAAGCTCTGCCCACCTTTTCTAACACCCCCTCAGTGACTCACAGTTCACAGAAAATGGGCCTTGAGCATATGAATTCAAACTTAGTTATGCAATTGTGAAGCCCATTATCTATTTGGACACAAATGACCAGTAAATACAATTTCTCTCTCAAAAAAAAAAACTGTTAAAAGCTCTCCTTAAAGCTCCAGTAAAGAACTTTCAGTTGATGTTGATTTTGACGCTCCTTGTGGACAGCATGTCTTACATTTTTAAGGAGCCTTTTCTGTACATGTCTAAATGTTGTTTCCTTTCAAAAATCATATTCTTTTTTCCAATTTACAGTTAAACAAGTCACCAACCATAAATCTTTACCTCAGGTACTGTAAACAAAGCCTGTTCCAGCAGTGTCCAGTATGTTTACACCTACCCCCTCCAAGATTTACAAGCAATGAAAACAACTTTTTTACTTCCGATACCATACTGATATTGTAGCTTTCACTAATGGCCGATACCGATATTGATCCAATACTAGAACAAACTTGTGCATGACAAGTTTGCACTCAGCTGCAATGTCTCTTTCAGACTTAAAATTAGTGACTTCTTTAGCCTAAGTTACTCAATAAGAGGCATAAAAGCTAAAACTCCTCAAACAAGTTTTAAAATAAAACTGACACATTTAGAAAATAACTCATGATATTAAAGCTCCTGCATAGATTTTTCAAGCTTTGTTGCAACTCTTGTAAACTATGTGCAAGACCTCTCACAAAAAATCACTGCCACTGGAGAAATCTGGAGAAGGCGTTTTGTGCAGTGTGATGCAATGACCCTTGTCTGACACCTATCCTGTTAGAGGGGTGATATAAATATGAAATAATTCCTAAAAAATAATGAATCATATGGCTTATAGTGTGATATCCTTTTGTTGGTCATTTAGAGGCATCATAATTGATTTCTGACCACTTTAAAAAAAGGCTTACAGGAGCTTTTAATATTTCTGATCATAACCACAATATAGATAGGTTTTCTTTTCTTTACAAAGGCTTATTTTATATGACAGGAGAAGACCTTTAAATCCAGGATCAGCAACCTGTAGCTTCACAGAAATACAAAATAGCTCTACAAATGCTCTACAAATATATGCATGTTATTCAGGACTTAAATAACAAGGTCAATGGCAGACATCCTGAAATCCAGAGGACGAGACCCTGTTTTGTTCACAAATCCAAAACCATTTTCATCTAATATCCATATCACAAAATGTCACCCCTGCTATTTTTCCCTAATTCCCATCAAATCCCTTGTGTGTGACAGGCTCAGGAGCTTTGACTTTGTGCCAAGGGCATATGGCCGATAGAGATTAGACACATCAGTGTTTGTATGACACATTTCTAAAATACTCCATTAAAAACACATACATGCTGTATAAGAGGGATTTTGAGGGGAAGGAGCAGAGCAGCAAACGAATGAGATGACCAGCTGCTGTGCCACTTTTGGAATGATGTCGGAGCCAGACGATAGGGCTATAAATGTGAAAATGTTCTGAGCTACTGTATCTTTCTTCCTGCTAATGGTCAATGTATGCTCAGTCTCCGGGGAGCTTAGGCACATAATCAGTAAGGAGAGATAGATGGGTGGCTGATGAGCAGAAGTGAGCTTAATATAAAGGCTTGACAGAGCAGGAAACTTTAATTATCATAATCAGTGTTAGCTCTCCCTGCAGCCTGGGGCTTTGACCATTATGATTTTATCTTTAGACTCAAAGACGAGACCGTTCTCTCTATCATATTATCATCACCCTTAACTGAATGATTTGATTCAAACGTTTAATGAATGGCTTTGAATTTAAATTCATTTTGTCTGAAAATGTTTAAAGACTCTGAAACCTTCAGATCAGCCACATCCATACGGTGCAGCTTCCAAAGGATTTCTGTAGAATTTCAGCATGAGAGTGTTTTTCTTTTTTTCATTTTGTTGAGAATTGTTTATGCAGATGTGTACGTAAGCTCAGTAAAGACAAATTGTGGCTCAGTAGGTGACCAATACTAACTGATCAGGCTGACCCATCATTGGTGTTTTCTGAATGGATGAATCAAAGCAGAACACCCCAGCAGGGTATAAACTAGACACCGTTTTCGGTTTCAGACAGTCAGGAATCCTGGGTAATCCTGGCAGGTGAATCAGGTAAACACAAAACTTGTCACGTGTACTTGAACTGCTGTAAAGCGTTTCTCGAGGTGAAAGTTGCAGGGTCAGACAAACATTCAAGTTTACCACACTGCATACACCTTTTAATGCCAGCTGTGTATAACTGAGCTTTAGTGTGCAGAGACGAGATTCTGTTTTCAGGACACAGTTATATTACCCCAAACAGCTGGCTTACAAATAGTGCAGCATGATGCGTCAAAGACCAGATTTATGTAAGTTTGACATTAAATATTAACCATTGTTTTTTATCTTTACAATCAATGCAAATAGATTCTCTCACACAATGATCATTTTAAAGAGGGACAAGTTTCCAGAGCTCTATTTCTGCTAAACACTTGATAAGGTGGCACACTTTTCATAATATTCTCTATGGTGTGAATTTGTACTATTTGCTATTATACAAAAGGAATTTTATCAGTCACATTACAAAAATTGCAGTTCAGCATCGTGAATATTTTCCGCAACAAAAGGAAGATTTCTCTGCTTAAGTTTTATTTCCAGTATTGCACAAATTTGATGTTTGCCTGGATTAGTTTAAAGGCATGTAAATCTGTGCCGTGTAAGAGGTCCAGTAGTGTTTTGCATTTGGTGTTGGCATTGTCCACACAGGGATAACAAAGATACAGAAATGTGTGCATCTCTTAGCTCCCTAAAACTACTCCATATTAGCCATTACTGCTTTAGAAGACATGAAGTTGACTTCATTAAAGCCTTCTTAAAAGCATACGAAGATGTTCATTCACAAGCAGGAAACTGTATATTCAATAACGCTGCTCACTCCAAACAGAGCAGACAAAGAAACAAACAAAAAAGAGTCATGTAGGATTCCTTCTTTCTTCTTACCCTTTCTGTGTGTCGTTGGTAACACAGTGATGGTTAAACGTTCCAAACATCTGCACACCCAGGATTCCATAAAGCAGGAGGAAAAACAAGAGGAAGATGGAGACACTCCAGATTTGCTCTCCTGACCGCCTGCAGAGCAGAAGAGATAAAAAAAGTTATACATAGGTCTGATCTGTTTTGTGTTTTAAATTTGTGACTAATAATGAAGACTACTGAAAAATGTGACGCTTTGTTTTACTTCAGGATGTTGGTGATACGTGAGCGAGGAAGCTCGAAGCGGAAGTAGATCCTGAAGGCCCGAATCATAATGAGCGCTCGTGGGATTCTCAGCATCCCCCACGGTGACATCTGATCCACAAGCCCCGCGATTTCAAACACCTAAGACAATGAGAAACATTTCATCATGTCGACTAATTATAGATGTTCTTCACTAATAACAAGGAGCATCCTAAAAACTTTCACAGGAATTTTAATAGCAGAAAATTACCTGCAGCACCAGGGACACCCAGATGAAAAACACCATGAATCCATCAAACATACACCAGCGATCCTTGACATAGGAGTTATCACCCTGTAGAAAGAGGAAAAATGTTTGAAATGAAAGACAGAATATAGGTTTGCTAACAGAGTTAAGTTTGTAGCTCAACCACGTTTTTTAAAATCTACTTTCTTAGGCAGCGGTTGTTTAAATTTAGTCACAACTGGATTTTCATAAACAGAATCTGGATCCGATCTAAAATGTAACCCTTTGTCCTAAGCCAATGCGACACATTTCCAACATGTTTCAAATAGAATAAGGAAAGGAGATTTTATTATCCCACTGGCATACAGACAAACAAACAGGACCAAAACAAAATGTCCTTGGAAGAAGTTTTCATCAAAAAAGGGCAGAAGTACACAAATAACTGAATATTATTTTTATCCAAGGATTTATATTTTAAAGATAGACAGTGCATTCCAATAACAAAACATAATGTGATGTTTCTCCAGGACTTCATACTGCCAGTTTTTATTGTTCTGAAAGTCGCCAATATCAAGTACCAACCATTCTGACAGGAAAAGCTTTTATGGGATGGAGGGCCATCGCTTGCAAAAGTAATGGAGTGGCAATGTTTGAAGCAAACAACAGAACAGAAATTTCCACATTTTTAAAGGCAGAGCACAATATTCAAACTGTCCTGTTTTCAAAGCGATAAGACAGAAATGATTAAGGCCCTGAAGTGTGAATAAACTCAAATGTCATGGGGCCAGCTGAAATGGGCATACTTAATTACCACTTACAGAGACAGAGAGAGTCTGTAAAAAGCTCTTAAGGGGTCAGTCTTCCACAGGAAGAAAGGCTGCAAATGGCAGGGTGTGTTCTGAAACACTCTAAAGATAACACCATGTTTGTCACACACTGACAAAAGGCAAAAGATGCAATTTTACCAGGCTGTGGGGATTGTTTTGTTTCGTGCTGGCACTTTGATCCGCCAGCTCCAAAATGCTACTTTCAAGTGTCACTCACTGAGAGTTGAGACATGTTGAGCATATCAAATGTCATTGACGTTAAAATGAAAATTACTAGAACTTTGAAATCTTGAACTTTAACTGTGTGATGCGTCAATTGTATAAGGTCATTTCAACCTGCAAACACAGAAAATAGACAAATAGGCATTAATGGATTAAAGTATTTTCTACTTTAAAAACAAGAAGAAACAAAAGAGGAAGGAATGTTTTAGGTTTTACGGTGTTGTACTGGTGATTTTTGTTCTGTGTCCTCCAGTGCCTCCCTGCTTGTTATTCGTGATTTGCCAATTAAGCTGTCCACTCTTTTTATGGCTGTAATTACGGTCCTTTCATCCGCCAGCTGTCTGTTCCTGGACTGTTCTATAGCACATTATCTGTCTACCTTGAATATGAATAGCGTTGATTCATCCAAATTTGCAGCTCATCAAAACAAGTAAGGTTGAATCTAAAAAAAGTGATGAAAATCCGCTGCTATACAAAAGAGTCATACCTTTGAAAACTATTGCCTGAGATGATGGTAATTATACCCTTCATTGATTTATAAGATATTACAAGACTGGCTTAAATATCAAAGCAGTCTCCTTATGTCTTATAAAGAGAGTACCAACTAAGAAAGAACTTATGGGAACTTGCAAGTCATCAACAGTTTACTGTTTCTGAGATTTATGAGCATCTTCGCTATTAATGGTAATAATCCTTCCACTAATATTAGCATTTAGCCACTCCCCTGAAAGAACCACATGATGTTAGTGAGGAATTTCCGCACTTTAGGTGTTTGCTAGTAGTAGTGACCAGCAAACACACAATTTAATAATAATAATAATGCATCAGATTTCTTACAGCGCTTCATCAGAGACCCTCAAAGTGCTTTACATTGGTTACATAGTCACATCCTGGAGGTGGTAGACTACCTTCGTAGTCACAGTTGCCCTGGGGCAGACTGATGGAAACGTGGCTGCCAGTTTGCACCTACGGCCTCCCCGACCACCACCACACAACACTCACAATCATACACCAGTGGAGGATTCACACTGGGAGCAAGGTAGGTTAAGTGTCTTGCCCAAGGACACAGCGGACAGACTCGGATAGGGGGGAATTGAACGACCATCGACCGCTCTACCTCCTGAGCTACTGCTGCCCCAATTTAGAAAATATACTGTCTGTCAAACAGACAGACAGTATCCTTTTTAGTATGTTAGCTAGAAAGTGATTCTGATGTCATATGTCACTGAGCCAACCTGATTGGTATTTAAACCTGTTTTAGTGTCACACAACATAAAAGGACAGATTGAGGTTTTTTTGCTACTATGTTAGCCTGCATGACAAGCAAACAAATTATCAAACATGCTGATTACTTTTTAGACCTAATGAGCAACAATTTGACATTTTTTCTAACTTCATGTTGTCAGTAACAGAGACAAGCAAACATAAACAGCACTTTGTAAGTCTGTTTTGAAAAGTGCTATATAAATAAAATTATTGATATTATTATTATTATAAAAAATTTGCAAATGCTAAAATTACTTTTAAACTAAACACTTGGAAAACAGTATGTTAGTTTCTCACTGACTAAATGTTCAAAGCTGAAGTTATGCTTACTTTAAGTCTGTTAATTCCTTGCTATTCTAATGGTCCAAATGCTGACAGTAAATAAGATAGGGGGTGTCTACGGCTTGTGTTGCATGACAGCTAACGGTAACTTAGGAATGGTTGAATATGTCAAAAATTTTATGCCTCCACATTTTAACTTTTTGAACTTTTCTTCAGTTGCTGGCCAACTGTAGGTGAAAAATCACCAATTTTAACAAGAACACAACAGAAAGTTATCATAAACAACAAAGCAATCAGAGATTTTATTTCTATGCTTGGTTGTCTTTGTCTCTATGCTTCTTGTGACCTTGTATCTCAGTCAAAATCTACCTTGATGATTCCTCTGATGTGCATTTTGGCGATCATCTCAGCAGTGTAGAGGAACATGAGCAATGTGTCCAGCGTAAACGTCACATACTGCAACGGAGGGTAGTGTTCGAATGTCTTGGGAGTGTTCATACACACGGAGATGACACTGATGATTGCACAGGCCCTTAGAAGAGAATGCACCCACTGCAAAAAAAGACAAAAAAACATGCCAGAGTGCTGTGAGGCTTTCTATTTTGATGCTCTTCCCATATTTTCAGAACAATATTTCAAAGAACATCAACAAAGTATTATCTGGATTAAATCTCTGGATTAAATGGAAGAGATATAGCAGTGCAGGATTTCACTTTGGTAAGTGAACCACGCTGAACATGCCAGTCCACTCACTGGTTTGTTGATCCAGAAGATGTCAGCGCTGTCTGCGAGGGTCTCATCCGGCCCAAAGTCCGTCATGGGCTGGGCCTCGACCCGCGAGCTCTGTTTCCTCTTCAGCATGCTGGGGCTTGCCGTGCTATACAGAGAGTGGATCTAACAGAGAGAGGGAGGCGGACCACACAGTGACCAAAGCTAAAAGAGCAACAAGAGAACACTCTGGCTACATCCAAGTCTGGGCAGGGGCAGTAGGACTTTTTTTTACTCCACCAGGTGGATTAATACCCGAACAAATGCTTTGAATATGTAATTAATGCAGCTCTATGTTAGCATTAACTGACCCAAAACTTGTGCTTTTTCAGAAAAAGTCTAATACTGTAAAGAGCTCATGCTTACCAATACTTCAAAATACTGTAGTACTCTTGTATCAAATAAGATGTGTATCAATAGTGGCTTCTGAATGTACCATGCTTTTGTATACTACGATGTGTATTCAGCAAAAAAAGACTACCCTGACTTGAACTGCCAGAGATGAGCGCCTAAAAATTTAACACATGTTGCATTGTTTGATGGCCACTGTGATACACAACGTAGCACACATGGAACACAAGACAAGTGTATCTGAACAGCTAATCGGGGAAGGCTCTCATAAACTTACCATTGGAAAAGATCACATGTGATCTTCTTTATACAGAGCACCAAGACACCAGTAGATTAAGCTGTACATCCTTGTGAATAAAGTGAGGATTGAGCTGTTGTTAGCCTCAGGCTAAAAATCACAGTGTCAAAACTGAATCAGTGTGGGTCAATATAGCACCAACAATAGAACAGGTCAACATTACCCAGTGCCAATATCAAAATCACAACATGAGCTGACATAAGAGAAACAGGCCTGTAAAACACTCAAGGGTCATGTGAACAAAGCATGTGCAGATTCAAAGCACAAACCTGAAGCAAAAACCTAAATGGTTTCGTGGGTTTTAAATCTGACATGAGGAAGCATCTCCATTTCCTCATGTCAAGAAATTATGGAGAGGGAAAAGGTGACAGGACACAGAGGAAAATATGCTAACACTGACAGACTGCGGTGACTGCATCAGAAAAGATGATTACAATAAGCCGTTTGGCAAATCTTCACCTCAGAAATTTTCAAGAAGATAGAAGAAAAGAATAAACTAGCCAGGCCAAAAGACACTTAAGAGTTTAAGAAATTACAGGAATCATCACTAAACTAAACAGCCTACAGACATTTTCCATGGTCACCACTGAAGGTTCAGAAGGTTAGTAAACACTACTTGGAACCTTTCAAAAAAGGAAAAGAAGGCCAAAGTTACACACAAACTGACCAAAGCTATTGACCACATTCCCTTTTTTAAATACAACAATAAATACTGTACTGTGGACTTTTTACAGTAATATCACTCAATGAGATGATGATACCACTACACCCCCATCCCTCTGATATAAACACTTTTAAACAAACATCAGCTCTGTAAAAGTTCAAAAGTAAAATTTGTGTTAAACTCTGAATTCTTTTGACTATATTTGAAAAGGATAAACAACCCCAAAGTAATAAAAACAAAACAAACTAAGAAGTTGGCGAATATTAAGTGTAGCATTAGTTCAAGCAGGCCGCACAGTGCATCAGTTGATCCTTATGCCAGCCCAGTTAAGCTCAGTTAATTAGATTTCATGCACCCTGATGGCCAATGTTAAAACAGGTTTCTATATAAACTACTTAAACATCTCTCCTTTTGCTGCTTCCTTTGCAAACCTCTTTGCAACCTTGCTCCGCCCCAGCTCCTCCTGTTTATGCTGAGTCTGATTTTACCAGTCTCATTTGTATTGTCACTAATGCCCGCTCTGTTCTCTTACGAAAGGTCTTTGCTGCTGCTCCCCCTGCCTCGGCCTTTCATGTGTGCACATGAAACAGAGGCAAGGTGTGCTCTCTTAGCTTTAGACTTTAGCATGGAAAGGATGGAAGCTCTCAGAACAAAGCCATACCGCCAAATATAACTGCAGTGCAAATGATGAATTCATTCGATGAAAAGTGGACCTGACTGAACAACCCATTGGTAGTGGGTAAAGTTAGTTAGGTCAGAGCTATATTAACCCAAACTTTTTTTTTTTTTTTTTTTTTTGTGCAAGTCAGTGCAATGTTTTTGTTTGTGTGTGTCTGTATGCAGAAAAGAAAATTGTACAGGCTGTTTCAACGTAAGAAACACAAGAAGAAATGACACTCTGAATGGAGACAAAGCGCACATACCAAAGGGAAAAGTAAAGCTGAAATTGCTCCAGCACTGCACATAACATGCGATCAGGCATACCCTGTAAATAACACACAACAGTTAGTCAACATCATGGCTTATATGGTATACAGTACACTACCCACATCTACAGTACGCTCATAGAGACAGGAATGCCCACCACGTCTGACATCAAGGCATATATGCGACACACACTCTGTGAGTGAGTGAGTGAGTGAGTGGTGACTGAGGTGTAGTGGAGGAAGAAGAAGATGAGGGGTGAAGGTGGATCAGGAGGACTCACTGTGAGGCTCCTCATTGGTGCGTTCATCCCCAGGTCACAGAGGGGTGGAGGGACCAACCAGAAAGAGAGAGAGAGAGACTAGAGATGCAAGAAGGAGAGAGTCCCAAAGGCCTGGAGGTCCTGCAGCAGCAGCAGCGTCCAGTGAATGGTAGCAGTCATAAGAGCAGTAAAGAAGGTGAGATTACAGTTTTACAAGAGTGATGTCAGCACACAGATGTGATCACAGATCTTTAACACCATCCCAATGCTATAGGACTGTGGTGCTCACTTAATAACATCTCGTCAGAAACAAACGTAACTGAATAGGCATAACTAACAACAGGCAGAGATGTTGCTGCTCTATTTGGGAGTAACAGACACAAACATGAAAGAAATAAAATTTTAAAGAGGAACGGACGTAAACTTGGAGTGCATCTGTGATTCTTAAATGAACATTTTTCTCTGGATCGCCAGTACAAAAGCAAAGTTTTCTAACACAAGTGTCCCAAAGAGACTTAGTTCCTAATCTTTTCAACTGAATTCGAAGTTAAGACTAAACCACTACTTTGAAAGTAGACAGTCCTAATTTATCACAATTAATAAAAATGGCTAAACACAGGATCACATATAGTTTACGCTAAATGAGTTTGCAAAGAGTGCTGACAGTTAGCAGAGCTAGCGTCCCCTGTCTTTAGTGCTCCTTGCGGGTTAAGATCTACATACCTGTGCCGTTTATGCACTGCCAGTTTAGGCTGACAACCTACATACAACTTAATCTCCGTTTTATGGATCTAAACACTGCCGAGAAGCCATCTGTTATCCATGCTTGTTTACATCCAGGTAGTGAAGTATATGGCAGAAGTATTATGGCTGTCTCTGTTGACCAGAGCCATGGTGATTGACTTAGACATAACATCTTGCTGGCATTTTGTACCTACAATAATAAAAATACTAATGATTCATAATGTGTAGCCCATTAGTAATTCTAGTGCTATCTATCAAGTGTGACAATGAAAATTTCCAAAAAGGGATATGTTGTAAAATAAGCATAGCAGGGTCTGTTTGGCTGTGCTGACTACACAAAACAGGTAAGAAAATGACATTAGTACATTCCTTTAAATCTTTAATGAAACAGTCAGTGAGATAACCGTCTGAAATGAGTTCCACTGTCTCAACCAAGCTTTAAAATGTCAACGCAGTCATGTCTTAAAATATGCTACTTGTCGCATCCTAACTGCACAGAGCTGACTGGAAGTCAACAAATAACTTTTTGTTCCCAAGTGACATCTTGACAAATGACGCACAAAACTTTGAACATCTTTTAAAACTTTTTTTTAAAAAGACAAAAAAATACACTGGCATCAGAACAAAGCCTCCCCGTGAGAATGGGAATGCAGATGGAACAATGTAATATTATCACCCCTTGTTTCCTTTCATGCTCTTACCAAGAAAAGAAACTGTCCATCCTCTACACCCCATGTAGTTAAAAGCAATTTCCCTGTGTAATTGCTACACTTAACATATGCAGATGGAGACGTGAGGAAGAGTGAAAATAAAATTGCAGGTCTAAGTGCTATTATGTGGGAGGTATAGGTGGCAAAGACTGCAATTACTTTGCCATTTGGAGAGAGGGCATGTTTCTTACGGACTGGATGAGATCGCTGGGCAGATTAATTGTAACTGTGATTATTTGTTGAAGTGTACTAACTTTCTTTTTTAAAGTTTTAATTTTCAAGTGTACACTCCAGTTGTATCATGTTGATTACAGCAAACAAAAAGTTTGTTTGACATAGGGAACACATTTCCAAAGTTATTTGGCACAGTATAATTTCACATTCACCTCAAAAAGCTGTGGTTTGTTCTGGTTCCTGGAAAGAATAAAGACATTTCTAAGGTAATGGTGCACTTATACACCTTCTAGGGTAAAGTAGTTACACTTACCTAGATCTTTCTTTTTCATACAAAGTTTCTCTTAATTTGAGGCTGCATTTATCAGAACTTTACATAAACAGTGCTTCATATTATCAAGTGTCACATAAAGGTGCTCTGGAACTTTGAGTTCTCACCCTAATCCTCTGTGGTTCTTGATATCTTTTTGTCACTTCAGCACTCAAACTTCATTCTCAATAACCTCGTCTCAAGCAGCTGCAGGCAGATCTTTTAAATCTCAAAGCTTAAGTATTATAATCACACAGTACACCATGGCACAAGCACCAAACAGGAAACAGACAAAGGTTGTGAATAAGTACTGGACATAGAAGCTTGAAAAGTAAACTATTGGCACATTTTTTCAATGGTACGGACCAAGACAGAGTTAAAGGAAATTAAATCAAATTTTCCTTAAAGTTTATGGCCTTTCAATATGTGATAAATTTGCTCCTTGCCTGATTTAGGTATTAAGATTGTGAAAGAAAATGCTTATTTTTCTCAGTAAGAACAAGTAGGTAAAGAACTGTTGGTCTGAAATACCTTTACTGAGCCTACTCTGCATGTTGATATTCAGCTTGTTAAACATTAGTTATATCTATTATGCTGCCATGAAAGAATGTTATTAATTAAAAAAAAAAAAAAAAAAAGAAAACTTTGTCAGGAAATATTCAAGTATCTTTGATAACTGGTTGTTGACATTTCAAGGATTTAGCACTGAGAATTTGACTTTGCAACTGTAGTCACAAATAACGTTCACAACATTAGCTGTGATCAGCAGGACTACCCACATTAAATAATACAGACATGCCCCTGAACAGCTTTACAATAGTATAATGTGAGCGCTATTTTCAGATTAAATTGTGCTAATCTACTGTTTGTAACTGCACACACAGTATAGAGTTGGTTTACCTGAACTTTGAAGCTTGAACAGCATCCAAGTGCCTCCGAAAATAACATTCATTGAAATGATGTATTGAGACAAAAAAAACCTTCTTTTTGCTCAGTGGGGCCAAGGAGGTCAGGTTTTCTCTGAATACTGCCGTTATTATGATCTCGTCTTGATTGAAAACTATAAGTACAGCCTTTCAGATTTGGATGTTTTGATATTACTGCTAAAGGAGTCAGTCTGAGCAGTTTTCAATTCCTTTATGAAAGTTTTCTTTACATCCTTTGCTAATGCACTGATATAAAAGTAATGGCAATGTTTGGATGTAGCAAGCCTGTAATAATTCTTGTCTAATATTTTCATAGTAGCTACTGACAAGTACAATTTAAAAGCTTTCCTGCCAATCTGTGAGGGCCTAGAGTTAAATGCCCTAGCTTTGACAGGTAGGGGAGAGTGAGGTAAGTTGAGTCAAAGGGTAAGTTGAGCCACTCCCTGTTGCTTGGAAATGGTAAAAAAAATTGATCATGTGACCAAATATTTAGGAGATGGGTATCAATTAATGGAGTCTGTGAAGGTTAGAAGCACATGGGTGAAGGGGTTATACATTTATTGCCAAAAAAAAACATTTTTCTCTCTTGAAAGTGTATCTAGTCTGTCATAAGTTTTATCAGAATTGTGTTCAGACCAAAAAAGATCACTTTAATTTTTTTTTTTACCAATTGTGGTATCTATGAGCTACAACATGAGGTCAAACACCTAGCATAAAAGTCCACCATTTTTGCTTAGAGGACTAATAAAGTCATAATAGTAGTTCTGGGGTAAGTTGAGTCAGTGGCTCAACTGAGAAAGTGAAGAAGTCTGATGAGAGGATCAGAGTTTCAGTCCAGATTGTTGAAACGTGTTACTTTTTCTTTTCAAAAATACAGCTGTGAATGTTCTGAATCACTTAAAGGCATTCTCATGTTAAAATGGCTTTTTACAAAACAGCTTTTCAGCAGTTATATGCAATAATAATAAAAGGAATTATTGTACCAGTTGTTGGGATAGTTGTAGGGATACTGCTCAACTCAACCTACTCCTATGGTCAACTTACCCCATACACGGGGTAAGGGTAAGTTGACCATTTTTTTTTGGCATGCTATATTCTCAAGACAGTTTTGTTTACACTCATTCTGTTGGTTTGCAGGGACATACAACATCTTGAAATATAGATACACTAGTTAGAGACAAAACTATGATTGTCTTGATGTAGTGATCCGAAACATAAAAGATGCCTCATCTTATCCCACTTTCCCCTATGAGTTGAAAAACTCAGCCCAGTCAAAAGAAAGAAAGAAAAAGACAGAAAGTACAAACATTTCAAATATAGAGGCCACTCACTAACAGGCCTAACAGGCTTCAATGGGGCACTGAATTAAACCATTTTAACATCAAACTGCTGCCCACCATCCTTTTGAAAACAGGAATATCTGCTGCAGCATATGACTGAAATAGCCATCACGAGCGTCGAAGTCAATCAGGAGATGCATGTCCATACCGAGATTAAAATCCTGAATGAATGACATCGACTGAGCCAAGGTTACTATGGAAACGGTTTGGAGCTAAGGCGCTACATAGAGCAAAAACAAGCCAAACACACTAAATGCTCAAACATGTGGGCTAGCTTTTGTCTTAAATCATGTTTATATGATAACTGACAACCTTGCTGGGTGACTGCCGATCAAATACACGACAATGTGTCATCGAGGCCTGCACGGGAGGATGAGAATCAGTCCACTTCCTGGAGAAACCTCCAAGCTAACGAGCAGCAGCACCACCAGTCAGCGTCAGTCAGCCAGCATCCTTAAAGCACAACAGCTGGATGTAAACCGTTAACTTACTCACTCGACGAGTGTAGCAGCAGATTAAAAACACAGACTGAATCACTTACGAGAGGAGGATTTCCCTTATCTGCCACGTCTCGTCCTGCCCAATACATCAGCTGTTTTTCCGGGTGTGCTGCTGGGATCGTGTGGGAGAGAGAGAGAGCGGGAGCGCGCAGGCTGCAATCACATCAACAGCACCAGCTTGTGCAACGGAGGCGCGCAGCCGTCTCCATGGGAACGATTGGAGGCACCTTAACTGCTGCATCACAACTGAACCCCAAACACACTATTTTGTTTCACCAGTTAACATCTCTTTTTCAACAATGGTAGATATTAAACTCTTTGAGAAAGAGACGAAGATAAAGTATCCAGCCAAATTAAAACGGTATAGATTTATCACACCGAGCTTTCATGTCAGAGACAATGTACAGCTTTATTTATCAACACATTCATAATGTCTACTAATTGGGACAGCAATTCACATTTAAGTAAAATACTACAGGGAAGATGAATTTCAGTCCGTCCACTTAATTAGGTTTAGGCTACGAAAGAAAAAACGACATATGACACAAAATGACGTATAACTTAATTAAACAACATCCCCCAAACACTATAATTAACCACATCATAAATAATATCAGCACTTTTCAAAGCATTAGCAAATGAATGACAATAGATTTGCTAAATGCATTTTATTGTTGTGTGTCCTACACATTGTTTGATAATACAATACAACAAGAACTTTCTTGATCTTTCTAGAATGGCCTCTACCTTCCTCAGTGTGCATCTCTCCACCATGTTCTCCAGTGAGTCCAACTTGATTCCAATTAAATGTAACTTAAACCAAACACGGAACTTCAGCTGTTGCCTTGACAGTTATGTGTGAAGAGTTACTGGTTAACAAATAAAGCCATACCTTTCTACCACTCCAGAACCTGAGCTCAACCAAGGAGCAGCAAAGTCTGGTCTCTCTGAATTTTCTGGAATTTTTTGCTCTATATTTTCATGTTTTTGTTGTGTTTTGTCACCTGCTGATGGATGTTTCTGCTGGGAGAAGAGTTTTCTCAAGAGAGGAGCTTCTTTCATTGAGATGAAGCAGGCCTGGACAACGGCATCTGGTTCCAGCAGACATCTGGAGGTGTTTTTCATGGTTGCCGTGCTGCTACAAAGGTGAAGACAAAGTTGAAGGCTAGGAAATGGAGATATAAGCCCTTTCTTTCATCAGTCATCATGGGGAACGTCAACTTTCTGCCCAACATAAGCGGTGAGCTGGAGATATTGGTGAAGACTAAGAAAGCATACTGTGAGTGCAGTCTCCTGTGTTTTACTGAAACCTGCTTAAATCAAAAAACTCATTCTTCAGTGTGGTTCTATCTGGCTTCACTCTCATAAGGTCAGATAGAGATGCTAAAGCTAATGACAAGAAGAAAGAAAAGACCCTTTAGCACAGCACTACCTTATAATATGGTGGTTAGCACTGATGTCTATCCATGCATGGGTCACAGGGTCGAGTCCATGCAATGGCCTACTTACGTAAAGCAAGTATGGCCATGTTAAAAACATTGGGTGAGTGTCTTGACTGTGCTTTTAAATCAATACAATGTAATGAAAAGGAAATGAGCCTGGACAAGTGAGTGCTCCAAGTGACACCTGAGTGTGGCAGTAAGTACTGGTGCCTAATGGCTAGCAAGTTCCAGGTTCAAATTCTAGAGGGGTCCTTCCTGGTGCAGCTAGAATGCTCTGGCAGTGTTGATTATCCTTTTAAATTACTACAAACTTGACTAAATCATTCACTGGATCAAGTCTGTTTAGTGTTGGTTAACTCCATCATCTTTCAGTAAGATGGTCCTAGATTCAAAACCCAGCCAGTGGCTCACTGCTTGGTTCGATATGCAACACTTACCACAATGTGCTTTCAGATTACAACAGTGAGAAAGTGAAATCATGAGATTTACAAACACAAGCACACCAAGGCAGGCATGTTGGTTAGTACCCTATATTTATGTGACATAGTACTGGATTCAAACCCCCCAAAGGGCTGTTGACATGATGCAGAGGTGCAACACTCTATGAGACAGGACATGAGATATGAGATAGTGAAATCAGGACACCTTGAGAGGAACACACCCTTAGGTATGCCTGTGGTGACATGGTTAGTGCTGCCAGCGTTGACTGGAAGGGTCCAGGGTTCAAAACCTGGCCAGTGACTTATCGTGTACAGAACAAAAACAGAACCTGGCTTGAATTGCGGGCTGAGCTGTGCTTTTGAAAAAACTACAGTATAATGGTGCAACTTAAGCACCTTAAAAGACAAGCAATCCATGTTAAGCCTGTAACCTGGTGGTTACTGCTGTTGTCTTTGAAAGCAAAGGTTCATCGTTCAAAACCCTGCCAGTGGCTCACTATGTGATACAAGATTACAAAGTTTGACTGCATCTGAAGTTCAAGCTGTGATTTTGAAGAACTGAAGAGAAATGATGATATCACAAAACCTAGCATGACAAGAACTGTCATTGCACTTGTGACAAGATGGTTAGCGCTGTCATTTTGGGGTAAAACTGTCCAAGGTTCAAACTTCACTGGTGGCTTACCACATTATGTAAACATACAATGCTTTCCTTGCAATGTGGTTTTGGATGACTTTTTGAAAAACAATTCAGGGGTGAAATCATGTTCCCTGAAAATGTGTTCTTTCTCAGGTGAGAAACTCTATGTAATGAATCGCTTTTCTGCTTCAAATCTACTGCTTAAAGAAACAAAACTCGAGTAACTTCATGCAGAACAGCTATGCATTTCTTCATTCAAATTTAAATAAGCTTGAAACTCTACATATGAGATTGGATCACTGTCAAAGTCATTTTTAGCACCATTTTGACCTCACATGAGTCACTGTTATGACAAATCTCCCCGAGAGCCATGATGGGATCAGACACACATAGCAGCTACTTGGGATTTAGCCATCATTACGCTATCCTTCACACCTGTGACTCTTTATTGTGGCACTTAAAAATGTACCCAGAGAGAGGTTCATAGCATGATGTGGTTGTCATTTACAGTTAAAAGCGTCAATGAGTAAGTTACAAAGAAAACTTTAGCACTATAAAGACATCATCTGGAAAAAGAGGGGGAACAAAACTTATCAAGAAAAAAATTCTGTCTGCTTCTAATTACATCTCAAACTGGTGACTTAACTTTTCATTTTGGCAGTTTTCCCTGCTGCAGCTCCGGCCCAGCACTGTGTCTGGGAGTCAGGACTAATCAAAGGCACTTGTATGGAGAGGACTGTTGGCCTCTGAAGGGATCGAGCCAGTTCAGGGCCAGCCTGCTGCTCCTTCTCTCCTTCTCTCCCCTTTTTTCTTTCCCTCTCTCGCTCTCTCTTCCTGTCCTGTCTGTTTGAGGGGAGAAAGATTGGGAAATTCCTTCAAGCTACTTTACTTCAGGTTTCTGTGGGATTTAAACATGCACACTGAGGTTTTGGTACAGTCCATGTTAGTACCGTTGTTTCTCATTCTGCTCTCTACCGTGGAGGACACTTTGTTACAGTCGGTGAGGTGAGTTGTTTTTTCTTGTTTATTTTTGGGCCAGTGTAGGGAGTAAGGAGGAAGAAGGAGGTGCACAGTTTTGCTGACAAAGACAACATTTGGAAAGTGCAATGTGAGAAAGTTTGTGTCTATACGTTTAGCTTGCAACTGCAGTTGTTTTGTGCAGTTTCTTCATGCTGCTTTACTTTCAAGTAGTTCTGCATGCCAAGTCATGGAGGGGAAGCTTGCTTTTTTAAACATGTTTAAAGCACTTTTTTAAACTTGTATTTTATCTGTTTTCATTTGGACTTGTCAGCTGACAGAAATAAACATAACTTTATGACGACTTTAGTGGTTGAGTCTCAAATGATATTTGAGCTGTGCTGAGGTTTTCATTTATTAACACTCAGCATTTCCTTGTACCCAAGACCTCAAAACTACAAATATGCAAGAAAAAAATTCCTAATGTGACTGCAACTGTAAACTCTTTGTGCCACTCTTAATTCTATCCCCTATTTTTATGAAGGAATATTTCAATCAAAACCCTTTTGCATTTTAACCTTTAAAGTGAAACCAAGTACATTTAAATGACCTGAACTCCACTGCTGGAACTTAAAATATGGATGTTAAAGATTAAATTCTGTTTACCTCGGCTCTATAGAGGAGCATCTTAGTCAGCACAACAATAAATGCTCCCATATGATTTTTAACTTAACACAGCTGCAGACAGGGTGTTTACTTCAAGCAGGTGCACTGTTGGCTGTGCAGTGATTATATCGTGTATGTCACTGAGCACAGTGCATAGCATTTATTGGACAGCAGTGGCAAACCCACGCACACTGTAGCATTGAAACCTCATCACATTGGTAATTATGGTGTTTTCAATTGTTTTACCTCTGCTAATCCAAATATTTGCCACAATGAATGTTTACAGTTTCCTGGGTACAGTCATCATTACAGCTACACACTAAAAAAGAAAGGACGGTGTTTGAGATGCAATATATATATACATATATATATATATATATATACATATTAGTAGGTTTTTCATTTTCCTGAGGGAACCTTTCCAAAAGGATCAATAAAGTTCTGTCAAATTTAATCCATCTCATCTAATTGAACATAGAATATACTCATCCAGCTCAACATTGAAAATATCTTAAAAGGTTGGACTCTCTTACAAGTACTGTCACAGTACATAAACATAATATATCTTTACAGCTGCTTTGTTCCATTATTGATTTCATAGCTAAACAGTAAACAGTTCATAATTGAATGGCAATAGGCTGTGATGCAAATTAAGCAACGAGTAAAAGCTACGATTGGCTTAGCTAAGAAGAACTTAACAATTATCCCCCTGAAACCTCATTCCTGTGTTGGAAGCTCAAGTACCGTTATCATGTCTTTGTTCCGAGTCATAAACTCTGTAATTCTGAATAATCTGCAACAAATTATGATTACTACAAAACTCCTTAAATGTTTAGAAGCCACAAAGATTAGAGATAATAAAACAAGAGATTGGGCCATATTTTAGGATAAAAACACCGCTCATTTGACAGTCCATTGGCTAACATCAGAATATAGCTAACATTAGCATATAGCCACCTACTTGTCAACAACTATATCTAAAAATCACAGACACTGTGGACAAAGAGGGACAAAATGATAGAGGAATATATTGGAAGCAGTGTGTTTATTTTGATGTCTATTTTTACATATCGTTAGCTAGCTAACAATACAACGTTTATGTAGGCTGCTTTAAATCATGTTGGCAAGCTATCGTGATGCCTAAAATTGATATCAACATAAAGATAAACCCTTCCAAAGAACCAGCCTATAAATAATAATTTTTCCTCTCTTTTCATATCTTTGTAAGAAAGAAAATAATTTTGACCGCAGCTCAATGCTAATTTTAGCCGTGCTTTGTGTATGCCTATTTATCAGTTTAGGAGCTGTGAAATGACCACAATTTGTCAGATTGGTGACGTTTTTATGACTTACAATCTGGTACATAGTAACAGGACATGCCAACAATACTTTGGCCTCCCACACTGAAAGTGCCGCCACTGTGAGAATATGTTCTTTCAAAGCTCAGAGACTGTCAGACTTCCAACAAACTTAAAACAGACATGTTCCTCAGTTTGTATTTGAAATAAAACCTAATGTTTATCTGTTTGGTCTGAAAACAGTTCACTATCTCAGTCTTTTTTACTTTGTTTGGATAAAGAGCACAGATTTCTAACTAGTTATTTTCTCTCATGCAGTGGTAGAATAAGCATGCCTGTTTCTGATCAGATGGCTGTGAGCTTTGTTGTTGTTGCTGGTTTTGTTTACCGATTTGTTGTTGGATTCAAATTCCATTCCAGGCCTCTACAGCGTGGCATCAACATCGAAAACATCTGCTATTTCTATTCTCACAGAGGCTGTCTGTTCCAGTGCTGTAGCACACATGGGGTAGATGTATAGGCAATTTTTCCTGTTTCCTGAGCAGCAGATGGAAAAATGCATTGGGAGCGTAAAGATGGAACACCTGTTGTTCTTAGATAGAGCAAAACCTCTGGGCTCCTTCCCATAGGCTCTTTAGTTCTGAGTTGTGCAAGAAACACATCACTGGGCACTGACAGGAGAACAGTTTTACCCAAGCAGGGGACATTTTAGGCCACATAATGCAATTCAAATGTCTCACTGGCGCATAAGTGCCAGACTCAAGAAAAGCTGACATGCCCAGATCTGGTTTATGATGTTGTGGTGCAGTCATTACTTGTCTGGTGGAAACTATATTGTGCCAATTAGTCTGAAACAAATGTAAAAATAAGCTACGCAATCAGATATTTTTAGCTATAGTCCCAGAACATGCATAAATATTGGAGTTTTGTTTGTTCCCTGGTGCGGTTAACATGCCTGTTAGTTTTAGCTGCTTCAACAACACAGAGGGCAAAAGCAGGTGAGATTCCCCACATCCAGGACTGTACAGCAACAAAGACAACAGAACCTGGATAGGGGGGAAAATGCTCACAATTGTCTTTTTATTAATTTTCTATATTGCTCTACCCAGTCACGACAAAGCTCCATGCTGCTGAGGCTGAGTCAAAGAAAATACCCAGCAGACCAAACCCTGACAGCAGGAAATCATGCTCACAGCAGATGTAGCAGTCATGATGCAGGGCAGCTGCATTTAGAGCAGGATGGGGAGGTGTAAATTAGTTTACAGAGGAGACACATAATTATAATAGTACTGTGTTTGAAACCTCATTACCATTCACTACTGAGTGAAGTCACTTTAATGCTCTACTATACATTTAAAGGGAGACTCAGTTTTGATGCATAAATAGCATGTAGAAAAAAAAATAGACTTTCCAGTTGAGCATTTAAAAGTTGACTGGACTTACCCTATTCAGCATTCAGTATCATATCATATTCAGTATCATATTGTACTGTATTGTATTTTGTTGTATTCTATTGCATCGCATTGTATCAGATCTTATCATATTGTGTCTTATCAAATCGTGTCATAACATAACATATTGTATCATACCCTCTTGTATTGTATTGCATCCCATCGTATCATAATGAATCATATCACATGGAGTCATGTTAAATTGTATGGTGTTGTGTTGTACCATTTCATATCAGATCATATATCACATTATATTGTATTCTATCATGTTGCATAATATAATTTCCTACTGTATTGTATCTTAATGTATCACAGCGTATTGTGGCACACCATATTGTATTGTATCACAGCATATCCAATCGTATCACATTGAATCATATCAAATTGTATCATATAGAGTCATATTGGATAGTATTGAACTATATTCGTATCATATCATATCACATCATTTTGTATTGTATTGTATTATATCCCATTGTATGGTGGCATATCGCATCCTACTGTATTGTCATGTTTCACAAAGTATCATATTGTATCTTATTGCATCATATTTAATTGTGTTGTATCATATCAAGAAGATTTGCATTGTAACCCTTTGCAAAAAATCAAAAGTATTTCAAATACAAAAACTGAATGGTGTGCAAAGTTTATGAGGCTCATGCTAAATTAAGGGAAACATTTCTTCTAACTGTTCTCAATAAGGTTACACCTTTAGAATTTGCCAAAAATCTTGTACATTAAAGAAGGATGTCTTTTTAATAACTATAAATGTGGAAGGTTTTACTCTTTAACTTTTCCTATTTGATTGCATGTAAAAAAAAAAAAAAGTAAAAGTAATCTTAAAGTGTTTATTGATCTCTCTTATTATAGTTATAGAAGTTAGTTTGTATGTTTTGGTGACACAATTGGATCATGCTTGTTCACAGGTCATTTCAGTGTTTTGCTGCTATAATGGATTTAGACTCACTATAGATAATATGAATAAAACCAGCAAAGAGGTGTAGTACAGGCCATAAAAGTTACCAGCGGGTGGAGTCTGTGTGACATAAAACTTGAATGACCTCCTGACAGCATATGGAACGAACACACACACACACACACACACACACACACACACACTGAACATTATTACAATGGGAGTGTCAGGAACACTTTATCTGCTTATTGTTTAAAATATGTCTACTGTTTCCAATCTGGACAGTCTGGGAGGGCAGGAATAGAACAGGAATGTCCTACAGCGTCCAAATGAAACAAATCTCACAGAGAGATCCCACAGAGGAAAGACGAGGCTCAGAAACAGCTGCTGGAGTGGGCTCAATGAACTGAGGGAGCGGTTGCTGAGCTATTTTATTTGTTTGAATTATAAGCTAAGAACATTAAAGTCTGTTTGTTGTGGTTTACATTGGCTTTGTTTTCCCTTGATATGACCCAAATTGACCAGCCAGGGTCTGAGAAGTCACTTCACTTCTGTTCTACTATTTTTTATGTGAGTCTCTCCAAATTGTTTAGAATAAAGTAGTTGATGCTTGTAGGTGATTGACAGGTTAATAAAGCAGTAAGGGAAGCCAAATTGGCAGCTGAACTCAAATACAACGGTCTATTCACACCCCAAATTCAGCAAATTTTCCAGGCCTTCTGGGATATGTCAAGATGTTGCCTCTTAGTGTCATGGTCTGAGTATGATGATATATTAAAGGGATATTCTGGCATAAAATTAATTTAGGGTCAACACACACCGCAACACCGAGTTAAACACCCCCTCGAGAGATGAATGCTGCCGACCACTTGCTTCTCTAATTCTACCAACTTTAGTAATGACCGCACAATAGCAATACACAGCAGTCTATGGAGCCATAAACAAAACTCAACCAAAACGCCACTCTATAGCCACAAATAATGCTCAGAACAGCACCTAACTTCATCAACAGTACATATAGGGTCCCAGCCATAGCACTGGCCACCAAACATAACTTTGCCTGATTTCTTTAGCAAAGAGACTAAACACAACTCACTTACCCTCCTCCAGAGTGGGACCTCTGGGCGAGTCCATTACAGAGTCCAGCCAGGTGATGCAGCTCAAGGAAGAACATTTATGATCATTTCTTCATGGTGATGCAATCAGACCAAGATGCTAAGGCAGAAGAACTACTGCGTCTACAGTGCAAAATGATTAATTTGGTGATTATTACTTGAAAGAAATGATATAGAAATTAAGGCCAATTTAGGACAAGTAAAAGAGACTGCAATGCCAGGAAATGGGGAATGGTTATCATGTGAAACAAACAACCATTGCTGCCATATTTAGAGGTTGGTACTCTTGAGATTTAGTAAAAAATGTTGGATTTATGACAAGTGTATGCTTTATTTTAGTTCAAGCAAAACAGTTTTTGGCATGTAGCGCAATTATTTGTTCACAAACACCATCATACAATATCATAATTACCAAACCATTCAAGTCCCTTTTTTGAGGTATCAACATAAAAGTTGAGCAATGTCGTTTTCACCCACATGTGGTATTTTATATTTCAAACCTACACAGATGGCTAAACATTTGACCCTTGACCTTCAGAGGATTTTAAAGCTGCATTACAACTGACCTCTTCTCTTTTTTCCCAGCCAGGTGGGTGGTGTGTGCAGGCTGTCCACTGAGTCATCCCTGCGCCGCTGCAAGACACCTGATGGCAAGATCTGCAGCGGGCGGGGCAAGTGTGACTGTGGCACCTGTATCTGTGAGGCAAGAGACCCGGGGAAGTTCTATGGCCCACGCTGCGAGTGCCACGACTGGGTGTGTGCCACATACAACGGGAAAACATGCAATGGTGTGTAGAAATATACACAAATTAACACAAAACAGAGGTAGATGGTTTGCAGGAGTGACTTCTTTCATTGGCATTTTCTCTCATGAGGGCTTTCTGGTAAGTTTTGCGTGACTCCTAAGTAGTGCACGTGGCTTCACAAATTTTACTACTTGTTATGGTTGTTAGTGATGGGTCAGTAAGTGATGCAGCAGAGCTCCTCACTGTGGGCTTACATCAGAGAAGCTTGGCAAACAGCCTCAGAGGTTTAGTGTCTGTTTCAGCCAGGTGTTTAGAGAAAAAGAAAGCTTAAGGGTGTCATCCAAAAACCTGCTCTGTGAATAACCAATTCATTTAATATGATTTATGTGAATTGAGAATATTTTGGCCTCACCTATGTTTTATCTTTATCGCCAAATCAGAGATGTGCATTATTGTATCTCTGATGACACACATCACCTTGGCAACACTTCAAAGGCTTATGTTGGTAATAGACAGCTGGTTTGTTCACTTTCTTTACTGAGGCTTAGCTTTTGTAGAGAGGTACAGCTTTGAACTTTACCTGTTGCCTGAATTTCTTTACAAGTTGTCAGAGAGAACACTTGAGAGAGCATCAACACTGAAGAACAAGTTGCCTTCTGGGACATTGCCACATTGCACATTATTTTCCAAGATGAAAGCAGAGTTCACAGGCTAGCATATTACAAAAGAGCTCTTTTTATCAAAAGAAAATACAAAGGGCTTGGTTTTTTTGTTAGTTGGTTTGTGCGCTTTACTTGAAGACAAATTTTGAATTTGGGAAGAAATCAGGACATTTTTCAAGTAATTTTCTCAGGCGTAGATAGATAGATAGATAGATAGATAGATAGATAGATAGATAGATAGATAGATAGATAGATAGATAGATAGATCATGCCTTTTAAATCATTGTTTGGATTAGCTATATTGTGGTTTAATCTCACTAAATTTATAACCTTTATTTCCAAATGCAGCAGGCAACAGTTTCCAAATAAAACCTCCAAAACACTCTGAATCAACCAGCCTAGCAACAATCCTTGGCAGACGAAATTAGCAAGTGACTTGTGGGGCATTGAAGTAGCTAAAGAGGCTGATATTTCCCTTGGGAGCCAGTGGAAAGCACAACAGGGGGAAAGAAGAGTGCATATTGGCTTTTCTTCATGAAGTTAACAGAAACATTACGCCCAATGAATGCTAATTTTGCTAGGTTTGCGCTTGATGTGTAAGTAAGCCATCATTTGCTAATCAAGAGTTGCAAAACCAACATTTGTTGTTGATACTGAATTTGTTGGTGTTGCAGTTCTCCTTGTGCTGACCTTAAATAGCTAAAAAGAGTCCAAGTGGGTTTTGGCTGAAAATGAAGAAAGCATTACACCCTGAAGACTTTTGTAATAACAAGTTGCATTAAGGGTAGTTTTTAATGACTCTTTTAAAAGGTTATAATGAGATCTTAAAGCACAGCCACAGGGAGGCGGGTGTCCAGTTAAGGGGCCTCAGATTTCCAATCATACTTTTTGCAGATGATGTGGTTTTGTTGGCTTTTTTAGGCTGGAACCATCATTGATTATTGGGGTGGTTTGCAGCTGAGTGCAAAGCAGTTAGCTTATTGCACTCCATGACTAGGGAAGAGTCTTTCCAATGGACAAAATATCCACAACACACCCCCTGGATTGTCTTCTGGTGGGCAAAATGTGAACAAAGTGCCCACTAGATGCCCTTTCAAAGGATAACATGCAAACAACCTGCCTTCTGGTGGCCTTTCCAGGGAATTAAACATGGAGGTCAGGAGCTGGGAACATTGACAGAGAGAAGGATGTCTGGATTTATTTGTCTCTACCTGATCTCTGATAAGTTGAAGAAAATGGATGGATGGATCTTACATTGTAATGTGGACCAACATACCCAGAGAAAACAAAGCACAGTATAACGCAACAGAACTCTTAATGTCCTATCACCCAGGATTTCCACCACATCTGCAATGGCTCAGATTTTCGCTGTACACCAATTCCTACTGGATCCGTTTGTGAGGCGAATTACATGGCGGATTACGGACAGCAGGAATTGCAAGAACTCACAAGAACCCATGGATTCACGTACAATCACGCGATAACAAGTTGTCTTTAGCCACATAGGCTAACCATATAAGTAGTAGACTGTGTCCTTCCAGAGGAGGAAATCTACATTTAGACTTATAAAATCAGCATCTCCTCATCCATGGTGTCATTGGGATGAAATGTTGTCTATAAACCTTTCACTTGTTCGTCCCCGCCCGTTTGCATGGTGTGAAATACAATCCGCCTGAAACACGGAGTGTGATCGGCAGATACGGCCTTTTCGTAGCCATCCCCGATGGGGTGGAAATTGCCCGTCAAACTGCAGCCTCAAATGTGACATAACATCATCTCAAGGAGGTATTATAACAGTGTGGTTGCATGTTGTGTGATGTCACGAGTATAAATTGTCAAATGTAGCAGCACAAACATTTCCAACAGATGAGACACCTTGATCATTGCAAGAGAGGTTAGTCCCCTTGATGCTGATCAGAGGAAAAAGGAGCCTCCTCCTTGTGTTCTTCGTCCCGTGCAGCCACCAGGCTATGAGTGTCAGGATTTAATGGAGATATGTGTGCATCTAGAACAAGCCTAATGGAGATATGTGTGCATGTGTGTGCATTCGTGCATGTGAGTGGTGGAGTGATTTATTTGGGTAGACAAGTTGGCTGCTGTGAAGACCTCATTATGGTTCAGCAGTCTGAGCAAGAAGGCCCTGCTTCAGTCTGATAATAGGGTTTCACTCACTGGTACACACACCAAATGGATCCTAGATGTATCAGAAGAAAGATGGGTTTTCACACCCAGGCACACACTGTTTGCACACACTCACATATACACATGCAGGATCAAGCTCATCCTCAGAGCCACACTTGGGCATCCACCAATGTGCACATACCCATACAATCATATGGCTGTGTCATTCAGGGCCCAGCAATACATTCAAAGCATATTGAGGAAAATACCCCCCTTTACTACACACACACACACACACACACACACCCTCCTGGTTACTCAATGGTCCATGCAGCATGCATGCTCTGCTGTCTGAGATCGCCAGCCAATTTCTCTCCCCGCAGCTTCCTTATCTCTGCCTCTCACAGCTGCCCACTGATAAGATCCGATAGATTTTTTTCTCCTCGGGGATAAACTGTGTGTTTTTCCTTTCCAAAAACATTAGCTTTCCTGGCATTGAGATGCTCTTTTTAGCTTGGACGGCATTCATCAAGCAAACACGGGGTAATTCAGGTCTTTTAAGTCAGAGCAACAAGTAAAGCTGGATCAAGAAGCTGGGCGCGGCATTCTTCTTTTGGGAAGATCTGATGGCTTAAGAAATTGAGTGAAAATTTGCAGTAAAAGTTTTAGAAATCTGATGCTTTTATTTTATTAAAGCAACTAAAGCAGGGCTCTGTAGAACAAGTCTTCAATTGATTTCAAACTTAAACTGTTAAAAAAATGAAATAGTCATAGTACATTGGTTTCTCAATACTGATTATGAAGTCTTGAGACCGGTATTTCACCACTGCCATGCTTGTTCATCTGAGCCAGAAATGACCATATTTGGTTTAGAGGTTCATGCTGGAGAGTGCGAGACGTTAGCTTGTTCTTTAGTATCAAAGCTGAACAGTCTACACCCAGTGATAATGAACAAGATGTAAAATTAGCTTGTTTATTCTTGAGTTGCCTGAAAAATCAGAATATTTTTTATGATGGTGTCAGGTTTTGTTAATTCATCAGCTATAAAAGCTGGTAACAAAAAATTATAACTAGATTCTTCTTGTGGCTATGGTCCAACTTAATCTTCTTGGAAAAAGCCAACAATGATTCTGACTTTGACAAATACAAATAGAACACAAATACGACACAAAAGCATAAGACCGATACAGAACTGTGCTTAAAAACTGGGCAAAAATGTTGCCACAAAACTTATGAGTTTTCACTCATTAAACATCTTAGCTGGTTATTCTCATCAACCACATTGTGAGTAACATTTCTTGTCTATTTTTGCATTAAATTCCTCAAAATGCACCAACACAGACATGGCCAACATGTTGGGCTCTATTTTCGTGCGCGCCGGTGAGGCAGCGGAGGGCGGCGAGCCCCGCGCAGTTGTATTTTCGTCTGGCGGAGCCCAGCGTAAGGCCAATTTGGTATTTTCGTGGACTGAGCCGCACGGAGGCGAGCCGAGATCCGCCAAGCTGGGCGTGGTAGCGTGGCAGGGGGAGGTGTCGACAGAATCAGCAGGCGCAGTGACATTTCCGTGCTCGCCAACGGCGTGTAAAGTGCGCTGAAAGCTCGCCGATTCAAACCTGGTCAGCTTTCAGCGCAAGGCGGAACGCAGCTGGTCCAGTAGTATTTTGGTAGACCGGCGGCGTATCGACATACGTCACTGATGCCTCACCGGCAGGTTTCCACAGTGTCAGGCACATTTCAGTGCAATAAATAATCATCATCAACTATTAATCTGAGTCAGCACATATATTTAGATCTATATCGATATATTCTGATCTATATCTGATCTGATGAGCGCGTTTGGCACGCGTTTGGACACACAACCTGACGGAATCAACACAGCTGAAACCGCATCAAATTAAATTAAATATCTAGTAAATAAACACACATGATGAAGTTAACAAGATATGTAATTCGTCTCCCTCCTTTTCTTTCTTCCTCTTCCTCTTATTTCTCGCACAGCTCGACCTGGACATGTCTCCGTGTCCTCTGTCCGTTTTGCTGCTGCTGCAGCTGAACAGATGATTTGTTTCAGCGCTCAGATGCGTTATCTAATTTAAGCTGACGTACGGATATTATAATATTCAGTTTTGTGAGCCAAATTTATTTTATATGCCAACATCTATGAAAGAGCCAGGCCACGGAGCGCGATGCGTCATTTACGCACAGATGGTTCCGATTTTAATGCCATTTTTGGAGTTTATGTTGTGATCTGTGCGCTCAACCCACCTTTGTCACGTGAGGTTTGAATATGAGCAACTTTATGTGAGTGTCTTTATTGTGTGGAAAAGGGTGTTTGTCTTACCAGTGGGTCCAACATTACGCACACTAAATCCATCTGTGCTCATATGAGAGAGTGTGGAGGACACTTGTTGAACAGCTGCCCTCTGTCGCCATCTTGTGGCATAACTGTCTTAAGACATCTCTTGATCTCTTTGACTACTTCATTAAAATAGTAATACGCCTTGCCTGGGGCGGATTTAAAGGCAAGGAGAGGAGCTTATGTGATTGGTGAAAACAGGTCTCGGCTGTGTTAAACCCACTACACGCCCTTTCTCCTCCCCGTCTACGACTTATGCTGCTAGGAGGAGCTGAGTTAGGGAGGGGGGATACTTATGCCGGGCTGCGCGGCTCACCAAAATACCAAAATGTGCTTGGGAACGCCTTGTCAGCGCGGCGGATCTGACTGATGCTGCGCTTGCGGCACGTCTCCGGCGAGGCACCAAAATAGAGCCCGTTAAGTTCAGTTACTAAATTGGCAAAGTTGGTCGGGCAAACACCCTGCAGTATCCATGAGTTACTCTGGGTGGCCATGCCCGTACATTTAAAAAAAATGTATGTTTAATCCAATCAAAATAGATGAATTAGATAAAAAATTTAGTCCAAATAAACAAATTCAAGCAGTCATTGTAGTTTTTAACGCTTCCAAATGAGGCTGATTTGAGGATGTAAGAAATCGCAGTTCCTTGACTGTCCACTTGAGGCTACCTTGAAAAGTCCTGAAATTCACATATACAGCCCATCTCCACAGCAAAAATAAACATGTTTACAGTCTGATTTAAGAAACATTTATGTCTACATTTTGATATAGAGATTTTTATGTCGGTTTCATTTTTCCAACACCAGAGGTTACTGCTGGGCTCATGACAACATCCTGTTCTTTTTGTTGGGGATTTTCCATTTCCTTTTTGTCCTGGGCATTACATGTCCAAGACATGCAAGCCAAGTGAACTGGAAGCTCTAAATCTAAAGTGTATGTGCTGACATATACACAGAAAAGATGTTCTGCCCAGGGTGGTGTTGCAAAATGCATGCTGGGACATGGCCATTGTATAGAAGCATATGGAAGTATGTGGTATTATGAAACAGCCTTTGCTCTATTTCAAAATGAATAGGAGAGAGTGAATAAGTCTGCTTGCAATTTAATCCAGAGCAAAAGCTATGTTTTAAGTATTTTATTCATTCTCAAGCCATAAAGGATACAGGCAGACTTATTTGTTTAAGATGTTCTCGTGTTCTCCCTTCTAGACCTGTTAAGTGTAAAGGCGTGATGACCTGGGTTAACATCTGGCCACCAACTGTGCAAAAATGATCCTTCTGTCATTGTTCTCTGCTGTTTGTGTTTAAGTGTTCTTATTCGGTCTCCTCCTGTCCAAAATTGTGAAAATTAGATCCAGAAACATGAGTTCATTGAGTGTTAAACTCTGTATTTGAGTGTTTAACAGGGATAAAAAAAAAATTAAGCTTTTGGTGTTGTTTTTGCTGTGCTGTCGTGACTCCTCAGTTGACTTCAATGAGGGTCAACGTGGCAGTGTTTCCACTCTCTCTTTCACAGCCTCGCTTTTTCCCCTCGATGTCGAGCCACGTGAATATCTTCCCTCTCCCCCTCACCCTTGTGCTCTCAACCTCTCCCTCTCTTTCTCTCTGAACTGAAGTGAGCAATGTGTTTTCCTCTGGTGTGTGTTTCAGACGAGCTGCAATTTATGGTTCTTTTTCATTGTCTGCATCACAGAGGGTGGCCTGGGGCTCCACGGGATAGAATTGTCCCAATGAAAACACTCTTGTAATTATAACACTTGTTAGTAATTACTGCTACAATATTGAGCAGTATTAGGCTAATATATCAAGATTGAAGCCCCTGAATTGCAATCAGATTTAAGTTCAATCTTCTTTGGGACAGAATGACTTATTCCATTAAATGCCTCTTAATCAAATATTTTGATAAAGCTCTCAATAAAAATAGAGGTAGAGTAAGAATCAAGGTACCGATATCAGAAATATCTCCAACACGACCATATCTGCTGTTGATTGTGATTTATTTCGTAGTTGTTCAAACAGAAACTGTAATTTTGACAAACTGACTAGTCTAAAAGTAGGAAAACACCAAGAAAACAGTCAAAATTATGCAACATTTTTTTACACTAGGAAATACTGCAGATAAACATCATTATACCTGCCAAAATGCTAGATATTTAAGTAAAGCTTTAGCATTGTAGCAGTGGCCCTTAGCTGGAAGTACAGTGCTAGCTTGTGACAAGTGGCTGCTGCTACAGTTTAGATTACAGTGACCAGACGTCCCCGATTTCTGTATTGGATGACCTGTCCCCGGCTTAAGCATTTCATGAATGAGAACAAAAATGTTGTGTGTAGACTAGAACAACAGTTTTTATGGTAGCTGAGTAAATAGGAATCACGTGTGGGCATAGGAAGCATGTTGCGGGCAGTCCTGAACAACAATTTTTACAGGGGGTTATTACGGGGGGCGCACCAAGATGTTGTCAGTGATCACACAGCCCATGCCCATGATGGTATTTAATCAGCTGATCAAATGTACACATTTGAAACCAGTGTTTTACCAACACTTTTGCTGACTCAGCAGATTACTTACACGCTTATTTATTCTCCTCATTCCCTATGAGACAGAGGAGGACTGAAAAAATGTCTTTGTATTGACATCAAGGGGCCTTGTCTAAAAGTGTATTTTTTTCTGCTGGCTTAATTTACAACTTCAAATTTCCTTCTGGTTCCTAGTAGTCACTGGTATGCTTCACATTTACTTAAATTCAGTGGTATTTTTGTGTCGTAGAAGCAGCTCTAGACCTGATTTCTGGAGAAATAAAGTGTGCTTTGAGTCTTTCCTGTACGGACCTCTACCATTAATGTTGTCAATGATGTGTATTGATTGATGTCTACGATTTGGCATTGGTGGCCGTGAGGTGTAAAAAGGAAATAAATGCTTCTAGCAGTAAAATCAGTGCTCTAACCTTTCATAGTGATGCACTTTGGCTGTTGTTACTACTGTTGATACTGGCTCTGTATCAGCTTCCTTGCCCCACCAAAAGACCTCTATAGGCTTCACACTGCAGTCTAGAAGAATAGGTGTACAACATGTGAACATAAAAAGGGTTAACTACATAGCAAAAGTTTATCAAACTGTAGTTTTACATTACACTACTTGCATTATCTTAATAACATTAAGAGAAAGGCAGATTTTATAAAGTGTGTTTTGGGAATTGAAAAGATTTCAGATAGTCTTTTACATTTATATTATCTTAGTTCAGTGGCTGCCTCTACAGTTTTATAGCTACCGTCCCCAGAGCCACTGATGTGGTCTGAGACAGCCAAATATTTCTGTGATCCAGAACAATCTGTTACTTTATGGTTTTGGCAGTCTTTATCGTGTCCTTCTCACCCTATCTCAAAAGAACAGAGTGAAAAGCCTCTCCCCCTTGACGGATAGTCGTTTCCAGGGTCTGTAAGCATAATTTTTAGCTTTCTTTCTTCCTCTTCCTCCCTCCCAGGCTATTTTTTTGGAGTCTCTGTTCTTTTCTTGGATCAGGCCCCCAGGATCTGTAACCCCTGCCAGAGCCAAAAACGATCCCACCCAAGGGGGTTTCATGTCAGCAGAGCATAGGAAGTCAGTTTGTCCAGTGCTGTTTCGAATCAAACTCTTCCAGATGCACTTCAGCTGACATTACATAAGTTTATAGTGCTGCTCCCAACACGGACACATTATAGGCAAGCAATATAAACAAAATAAAGGGAGAACAAATCCTTAATAGCAATCTGTCAAAGCTGACTAATAGGTTTGCTGCATAATTTCTGCTGATTTCCAAAATAGAGGGAAAAAAACTGAAAAACTAGCCACAGTGGAACGCAGTCCTTGGGACATTTCAGCCCATTAAATTGTTCATATCTGTTTTTTTCTATTCCCTGTATATTTTGATGTGCTCTTACTTTGATATTCTGAGCTCTGCCGGGCAGTGTGCCTGAGTGGTGAGTCACCTAATGATTCCAGCGTGGGCTGCAAGGAGAAAAAGTCACTTAAGTCTGTCCAAGTCCACTGGTAAAAGCAGTTTTGATTGGGACCCATTACAGCTCCAACAGACTTTATGGTGGTAAAATAAAGTGTTGTTATACCACTTTGCTATGTTGGAAAGGCTACTCTGTAATAACCTTTTCATGGGCAACATGGCACTTAGGGGTGGAAGCAAATAACCACTGCAATGCCAGCCAAAGTAGATGTCTTATTTGTGGTTCAAAGTTGTAACCTAATATTACAAAAGGTTATCAAATTGACACTAAGCATGTGATTAAAATAAATAATAATAATATTAGACCAAATAACATATAGAACTCACATATTGCAAAAGGAGAAAAAAAAACAAAAGTTGAGTTTGATGTTTATACAGCGCTTCTTTAATGTTCTTATTGTAAAAATAAGTAATAAAAGAATAAATTTAAAAAAAATAAGGAATGACTCAATGAATGGACTTTGACAGATGGATAAAAATTCATAAAACTCAAAGGTACAGTGTGTACAAATAGCAATATTCAGTGGTATTAGTTTTTTGAGCTTGAATGCAACCTTGCTCACCTCCCTATCCGAGCAAGTGAGTACAGTTACCTTCAAGGATGAGAAACTCCCTTCAGGTATGACGGGTATGATCCTCCGTTTGTCAGCAGCTCGTCTTTTCTTCTTTTTCCTCCACGTGGAACTTTTTTTTTTGTGGCCTATACGGATTACAAAAACACAACTGTTACTAGTTTGTCCCTCCTGTGCTACAGTAGAAACATGGTTGTGCAAAATGTCGCTCTAAATGAATGTCTATGTTAACAAAAACAAAACAAAACAACACTGTACATAGAAAATTTTATCTCATTTCTACCAAGTCTGTTTGGCTAAACTCTATTGACTTCCACACACTGCACTTTTAAAGGAATGATTGAGATTTTTTGTATCGTTTACTTTATTTCAAACTCAAAAAAGTAACTAAAAAAAAACCAGAACACTACTAAAAATAGTCCGATAGCATGTACACAACCTCCCAACACCATTTTTAGGATTATCATGGAAGTAATATAAAGGATAAGTTGGCGACTCAATACCTGGATGGAGAGTTATATTAAACAGGAAGACAGGGAGGATGAGTTATTACCTGAGACAGGTGTCTCCTACATCTTTTCCAGAGAACAGGAGCTGACGTACAGTTGTTTCACGCTCCATAACCCACAGGGAGCAGAAAGCAAGGAGAAATAATTACTCTCTGAAACGAGTAGTGTTATGGAGAGCATGATCTAAACAAAGTAAGTGAGGGAAATGTTATCAAGAGAAGAATAATCAGGTGTTAGTTATAAATGAGCACAGAGACAGTCTCTTGGAGGTTTTGGATATGTGTTATACAGTGTAATGAATGTTTAATATATAGAGTTTCTTGTGATTAAAAGTTCCAAGAAATGTCAAGATTGACTTAAGAGAACTGCTCATAGTTCAGAGTGCAATTGTTTTCTTCTTACAAAGAGATTCTTACTTTATGTTCATGTAAAAACCAGCCAAGAATTCTGAATTATTAAGATCCATGCTACGGTTTCTTTTTACGTCTACATTTACATTACATAGAATATTTCCATTTAGCAGGAAGAAATATATTTTTGTATCATGAACTTTTTAGATAACCAGCATAAGCTTGGAAATTACATGGTTACCTATTATGTTTACGAAGGTATGGGATTGTTTTTGTAATGCCGGCCAGCTTCTTAGTTGGTTTGCGAGACTAAAAGAACTAAGCAGTCATAAAGCAGTCAGCTATTAATGTGCTAGTTTCATCATCTCAACATCTCAATTAAGAGGATGTACTCAGCAAAATAAATCATGGCGTAGTTTATTTTAAGCTTTTACATATTTAAATTGTTTAAATTATTACATTTTTTAAAATTTGTTCAAATGCAGTTATTTCAGTTAAAATGTATAATTATGTTTTAAATATGAAGAGCTATGGATCAACCAAGATTAATTTAGGTAAAATTTATGAGACAGAAACAAATTGGAGTAATCAATCATGAATACATAAATCTTCATTTTTTATTCTGAACATATTGGGTTTATTTGTATTATTACATAAATGTAACCCCTAATTGTTTCATTTACATTTGACTGACGAATATGCAGCACATAAAGTTTATTGGCCTGTTTTTGTTAAATCTAAGTAATTCATATGGATGGAAATTTTATATGCAATGAGGCCTAAATATTTCTGTGAGTGTGCTTAACATGTGCACAACATAAAGAGTTTTACATCAGAAAACAGGCCCATTTCTCAAAACGCATTGCTGACTTCCTAGCAGCGATAAGCCAACACAGAAGCACGACAGCTAAGTATGGGGATTAGGTGACTTTATGAGGAGCCAGCTTCAGAGGACACTTGTTGAACTGCAGTTTGCGGCACTTCCGGAGGCTGCTGCTTCTCCCAAACCTAAAATTAGCTGCATGAGTCACCATCCTCTCCTCATCAGCAGTTAATCATGGTAACACCACATCACTTGTTATTACCCCTGCCACTGATGGTGATGGAGATGCAACCTCTCTGTCTGACCCTTGTTGAGTGTATCTGTGCATGGCTGGACACTGATTGGCTGGGCGCGTGTGTGGCAGTGTGTAGGAAGGACCCTGACACCCTCAAGCCACTGAATTACTGCTCAGGAAACACCCAAGAAGATAAAGTGTCGACAGACAGGAACCTTCCCACACACATAAACTCTCCCCCCCCAGCAGACAAAGAGGGGCTGTTTTATGTGTCAGTGTGACTGCCAAAGCAGAGATTAATGGGGTTTTGTGGGTGGTTGTTACTTTGTAATATTCTGCTGAATTAAGTTTGAGGGGCTTAAACACAACTCGGATTTACAACTTTATCCGCTAGTTCCTACCTGTAGAACTCAACAGTAAATCTACAAAGAAATATAAGCACTTAAAGTCAGATTATCTCTTAAATCTGTGCTCACGATGTAGCGGAAACTCCGACAAAAACAAAAAGACTGTTACAAACCGAAAACAGCTGGAGTCAAACTTGATTCTTTTCATGTTATACAGCGCAAGAATCACAGATAAGAAACTACTATTGATTTTTTTAAGCTTTTGACTTTACACTTTATTGCATTCTTAATACCCTGAGACTTAGTAAGAGGTCATGTAAAGTGAACAAGTGGTTATGCAAGTTAGAGTTACAACAGAGGGAGCACAGCCCTGATGTGAAAGAAAGAGGTCGAACCCCCGGTGCTCTCTCGCAGGACAAATTAACATTTAAAGGTGGGGTAGGCAGGATCTGAGGAAGTGCCAGTTTTTGGGAGAAATCTTGAATGTAAACACTACCCCTCCAAACCAGTTTTCCCCTCAGCTCCTCCTCTCCCCTCACTCTCTGCTCCAGCAAGCCCCGCCCACAAACAGACGCTCCTGTTCGCTTGTATCATTTCAATTAAATTCAGATATAATGCAGATATATACTTCAAAGAAATTACAAATGGGGCCCAGTCAATGTGAAAGTAAAAAGCATTGGTGCTACTGTAGATGCCAACAGACTACCAGCAAACACAATGTTTGCAGGACTTCTACAACAAGGATAAAGTGACATACTCCGGGACCCGAGGTAAACAGTTTGGCGGCGCTACAACACACAGTAGGTCCCGTTTGACAAGAAACACCTCTGTTACAGACACTTGGCTTACTTTGTTAAAGCAGTTTACCTGTCCAGCAGAAAGGTTACAGGGTCAGTAAGATCTCAAAACATCCCACATCGTTTAAGCTGACGTTGACCCGGTCTACCTCTGTTTTAGGCGCCCGTTATTCCATCAGAGTCTCCGGTATTTACTTTGTTTTATTGCTTGTGTTTTCCGTACTTTATGGTTGATTTCTACTGTCCGATGTTGTAGCACGCTAACTCTGCTTGGGCTCGTGCACGTTATTGGAGGACATGGAGCGTGCCTCACAACAAAAGGGAGCTACGTCCGCCTCACAATCAATCAGGTTGGGGGAGGCGGAGAATGGCTTTGTTTACAGTTGAAAACAGCGGGCCGCTCAAAGAATTTAAAATGTTGACGACACAGACATAAGAGAACACAGCGATATCATTTTATGCCCAAATGTCATCAATAACTAATAGCTATTGACTGATATTAGAAGCGTTTTTGTATGTACACCAAAAAAAAAAAAAAAAAAAGGGTCTTCTTTAACAGAATCCTGCCTACCCCACTTTTAACTAAACATTTCAACTGATGGTCCATGGAAGTGGTGCCCCTGACTAGTTTATGGTTTTACCTAGTTTGCAGTGATTGTGAAAGTTATAGTATCAAACCATCATGTTACCAGTATAGTATCATTTAATGAAAGGATTTATGTCTTCATTGTAATGTGTTATCATATTTAAGATTCAGATGTAACATGCTTCTCCCTCTGCGAATTTCACCGTCTTTGTGTCTCAGACACAATTTTCCTTGAACCTGACCCCAGGTGTCCTCTGAGACGTTCTGAAAATGAGGAGGGACAGGGGACTCATCTGTAGTTAATGACTGATGGATGGCCCTTGAAAAAGGACACCGCATTTACATGATGAACGTGTCAGGAGGATGATTGAGAGTGACATACAAGGCCTCTAGCTGCTAAATGCAATGGGAGCAACATTTATAATAACTTGTCAACAGCTTTCATTTGCATCGTATGATTCCTCCTGTTTTTTATTGTTCACTGCAGACTTAAGAGTGAGGAGAAATGTTGATGCCAATCTCTGTGTGAAGGTCCTCTAAATACTGAAGAATAAGTTAAAGTCTTTCTGAGATTGATGTTGGATCTTGTAAAATTTGTGACAAAAGGGTTGCAAATATTTAAAACTTGACTCATACTAAACAAATATTTAAGCATCTGAAATGCAAATGTTTGATGGTTCCCATCCATAAAAACAGGATCACAACCATATTTCCTTGTTTGTTCTCAGCACTGTTTTGCCATCATGTCCATTTAAGATCAAACTATTTGTGTCCTTGAGTTTATACAGTGATTGGAAGCTCAGTGAACAGTATGTGGTGTGTTTTTTTTTCCCTCCAGATCGAGGCTACTGCGACTGTGGGATGTGTGAGTGCGATGACGGCTGGTCTGGAGATGCCTGCCAGTTTCAGGAGGAGTGTAACCTCTCCAACAAGAAGAGCAAAGAGCTCTGCAGAAACCCACAGGGGGTGGTGTGCTCCAACAGAGGTAGCCCATTGAAAGCCAACACTTTAGTACACACACAAACACTTCAACAAATAATCTCAGCGATAACGTGAGAAAGAACACATAAGAGAAAACAAGTTGCATCATGGGAGCCAAAAGTTGTGCATAAATGAGAACATATAAACATAAAATAAACACTGGAAATTCACATAAAACTTTATGTTGGATATTCTAATTTTGCTTTTTCCTGGCACTTGTGCACTGCTGATAAAAGGTTTTTATATTGTGAATAGTGGCTTTTTATTAAGTTAAAACTCTGTATGAACCCATTAATAATGACTGAAGTTCTTGACAGTCAGGATATGAAACAGTCATGCTAAGCCCATTTATTTAAGTGGCTTTGCACTTGTTTTTTTGGTAACACTTTATTTGACGTCTATCTCTTTAAGGCATTACAAACATATGTATAATGCATAATAATCACATTGTAGCACTGTGTAACTAGTTATAAACACTCATAAATAACACATTATATCATGACTTACAAGGTCAGTTATTAAATGTGTTATTACTGGTAACAACTCACTAACAATGCCCACATAGATAATGCAATGCAACTGTTGTTCACAGTTTTATACAGGGATTATAAATCAACTTAAAAGTGGGGTTAATGACGAACACCTGTTTCCTCTGGTTACCTAGGTGACCGGTTCCGCCCCATCTAAGCTATGATTGTCAGACAGTACAGTATAAACAGTATATATAGGTATACTGATAATTCAATTTGGTGTTAATATCACCACAGAGAGCTAACCTCATACACAGGTTAGTGTGATTATATCTGTGGAAACTTAATCGCACATTGGCACAATGTTCTTAAAGCACACACTGTGAGGTGATGGCTGAGGTTGTCGTCCACACACTGAGCCCTTCACCCACACGGGTTTAACCTCACCACGGCCTGCGTTGCCTACAGCTTAATGAAGGGTAAATGCAAAAGTGTGTGTCCTTCTGAACACGTGCACTACAGTGTGCGGCCTGTTTAACAGCCTAGAAATACAAATTTATGCACAGTAGGTTGTTGTCTAGCCTTCTGTTTTGTCCCTGTAGTGCATCATTTGAAAAGTCCCGACACACACAAACACATACTGCCACCACCAGTTGTAGGGCTGCCCAGACACATGATGCCTAGACTGTGCCTGCGATGCTCATCTGCAAACCAGCTGGGTTCTCTTGTCTAGAAGTGCAATCATCTAAACATTCATACATCCTCCCACCTATACCCAAACCACATAAACACACTCACAGACTTCATCTCCTCCAGCAGTGAATTTAAACTCTGTCTGAAAGTGGCCAAATTTTTCCACAGGCACCTGTCAGTGTGGCAGCTGTCTGTGTGACAATGAGGACAACAGGGGTCTAGTGACGGGACGTTTCTGCGAGTGTGACGACAGCGAGTGCCTGGATGAGGACACCGGAGAGGTGTGTGGAGGTATGCCCCCAAAATCCCAGTCTCACCATGCTCCCTTTTAGCTTAGTTCAAAAGGTATGTTTCCAAAAGGACTGTCTATTATTCTTAGTTGAAATTAATAGTTGTTGGCAGCAAGAAACAGCAGTAAAACAAAGGCTTCCATAATACCTGGTTTGTAATTGTGACAGAGCTAAAATCATATGATGTGTAAAAAAAAAAAAAAAAGAAACACTTGTGAATGCCTGTCAGGGAGTTGCAAAGCCAGAATTAGCGGCCTGCCCTGTTTTTTGTATGGTCCTCCGGGAAGTGACAAAGTTGAAATTGATATTGATCTTTACGTCCAGCTTGTAGGAGAGGAAATAAACAATTTTTGTGGAGCAGTCTCCATTTGTTGTTAGTTTAACTTCTGTTTGTTGTTGGATCGAGTTCACACAAATATTTTCCCACATGTTGCCATCAAGGGTAAGGCTGTGAAATGGCACTTTGCCCTGAGATAACCTATCAGCCTCATGGCTTTTGCTGGTCAGAGACTGTTTGAGGTTAGTTGTTGTTGTTCTTTTCTCTCTGCATTTGACTGTATTAAATCATTCTTGTTCCTGCTGCAAACAAACATGCAGCTGGAACAAGGAATACATTTCTATGTGCAAAGGTTTTAATATATACAAAAAGATTCATGTTGGAATATTCTTCATTTATAGTTCTGATAAAAGACTGGATGTTTGTGTTTTTGCTTGGATTCATTTGTCAGCTTTCCTAGTAATTACGCAGCCTTTTGATACATTACAATATGGACATTTAAATAAGCGAGTTCACAAGTTCATCTCACTGTCTGTTTATCTGACCATCGGTTTATAACACTGACAGTTGTTGCGTTCTGATCTGTTTCCAGGCCATGGCCAGTGTTACTGTGGAAACTGCTACTGTGCCGCTGGTTGGCATGGAGACAAATGTGAATTCCAGTGTGACATCAGCCCATGGGAAAGCAAGCGGAGATGCACATCGCCAGATGGCAAAATCTGCAGTAACAGAGGTCTGTTTACTCGTCTTACAGCCAATGCACAATACTGGAAACACCTTTTGTCGTCCCTAATGCCATTTTAAATGGATGTTTTTTTGGAGATTGCAGATTTTAAAGGTGAAATTATCTTTTATATATCAATTAATTAAAATAAATCAAAAATTGTATCAACAAATAAAGAAAGCAATCTGTTTTCAATAACCATTTTCGAACACGGACGTAGAAGGCAAAAATGCATGTTAATATTACACATGTATTTTTTGCAAAAATGTGAATATAAGTTTGTTTCTACTGAATTTCAGAGTTGCTAAAAAAAGCAAAACCTGGGACATGACAGGACAAATATACTGTATGTGTTAAGTTAAACTACTCCTCATGACCTTTAAGCGATCATTTCTCTACAGCTAACACAAGCATTTAACACTGGGCTATAAAAAAAACTCTATTTGGCGATAATGTGCATTTTTTTTACTAACTATTAAGTGTGGATGCTATAGGTTCCAAAACAAATGATAAAACCAATCATTTTAAAAATCTTTATCATGTTAGCAAAGTAGAAAGACCATTTAAAAAGAATTTATAAACTTGCACCTCAACCACAACAAACAATATTTAGCAGTATCTGAGCATCCCACCCAGAGAGTGACACCAGTGACATTTCTGCCAATAAAAAAAGGAAAAGAAGAGGTGACATAATAGAAATTATATGAATAAATTTCACAATCAATCAAGATTTGAGTAGATTACCACGACAGTTTCCAGTAAGAATGACAAGAGGACTCAAGCTCTATGCATCTTCTGGAAAATCACTAATGAAATGATTCACCTTGAGGATTCACCTTTAAAAGTGCAAATGTGGAAAAAAAAGATGGAGATAAAGGGAGAAACGGTCTGGTTTGAGAAATCCTCATAAAAATTCATCTGAAAATCATCAGAGCTTTTCAGGCAGTCAAAGAAATAGCCTATCTAACCAAGCTCAAGTGATCCTGGGGGATTTCAGCAAAGCTCTCTAATATTAATTATAGTGCACTGGCTGAGCACTGGCTAAGTGGTAGGGCTAAATGGTAGGCTTCATGGACCAGCTTCATGATTTATGGTTAAGAGCAGCACAGCTAACACAGCCTGACCAGCCAGCCACTGTGCTCATGCTGTAGGATTCCGTTGTACTCCTCTGCAGTAGGAAAAGGCTAACAAAGGTCAGCAGATCCCTGGAGAAACCAGAGAAAAGAACAAAGTAGATGTGACTGCAGTGAAATAGGTGATAGCACAAGTTTGAAAAGAAAAAAAAGTCTCTAGTTTAATTTTAAAGTCAAACCAAATGTATTCATTCAGTTTATGTTGTCAGCTCAACTTCATTTTCCAATCCTTTCCAGTGTATGCAGTATTATCAATGGGGTTTAAAGCAGCTTTAAGCTGGAAGTGAAACAAATTGAAGTTGATACTGATACCTCTTCACGACCTACAAAAGCAAATGAGACAATCAGGAACAACACTGAAAATTTCTGTTACTGCATTTTCTTAATGCCTGAAACTAATGTGAGAGGTTAGGTTTCAGATGTCCTCCTGAAGCCTTTTTACTGTGTTTTTTTAACAGCAAATATTACAATAACTTATTGCTCATCGAAGAAAAGCTAAACTTAATATTTTAATAGAATTTATTACCTCTAGATGTTCAGGACAACATAAACATTTTCCAGATTTCACAGAGACATGAATGAGCTGCATTATTAAAGGATAATAATAATAATAAAGCACTTTTAGACTTTTGGTCTTCAAGCATAAACATGTCCTCTAGTGAGAAACAGTTGCAGATTTGTTACATCAATGCACCAAAACTGTTTGGGAAAACATCAAGGTTTGGGCTTAAATATGAACTCATCTGTACACACCAGTTAAGTCCCTTAGAACAGAAAATAAAAGCTCCTGTGAGGAACTCTTATCATGCAGAGGATTTCTCTTTTTATCTAACAAATAAAAAAAATGTTTTGGTCTGCAGCAGAGGTCTCAAACATTAAAACAACATCATCTAAACAACTGAGCCCCTTGCAGATACCCTTGTTTGCTATTTTAACTCACAAAAAAGCATTAGCATTTATTTCAAGCTAATTCCTCCTATTATAGAAACATTATGATAAATGTATTAAAAATGCATGGTAAGTAAGATAGTAGAATTTCTGCAGTCTGTTTGAAGGGCCATTGCACCAATTACAAATGTTTTTACTCATCATTACTCTTGAATCCTCCATTTTAACTCTCCCCCGTTAAGTTTAAACACACCAACATCTCATAAAATTCTTATAGGGTCTCATTCTGTTCAGTCCATATCTGCTTATAATTTAATCAACTCTTAATTCCCATTCCTACATGTTTTATAAGTAGCTTTTTTAATCCAGACCAATTCTTATCTACAGCATTATGTGATTACTTAGAAATGAATGGAGGGAGATGATTACATAAAAACATCTGATTTGGTTTCATCGTCATGTGTAGATGTAGAGATTTGATGTGTTTTGAATATGAAAATAAATATGTTCCCCTATCTCTCCTTTACTTTGCTCAACAGTCACCTTCATCTCCCGCCCTGCTCACACTGTGACATGAATGAGAGAATGATTTGACTGACAATACCCACCAGATTTTTTTGTTTCATTCCAACAAAGTGTCAACCCCCTCCGTCTGTTAGGTTCACCTTTCCTTCTCAGTCGAGCTAATAATAAACTGACTGGCGCTCTGTCAGAATGATAAAAGCGTCATAATGCTAGAGTCCAAATATATGCAATCATATATGATTTCCTGAGCAAAAGTATTTTAAGTGGAGATAATGTTGTTGCAAGAGACACCACCTTGGATGTTTCCTCTTGTTTTCTATCTGGAATTCAGAAATCTGGTCTGAAAATGAACAATTTCAAAAGAAGAGTCCCGATTATTGAGATTTTACTGCCTTTTTTTACAGCTGCCAAAATCTGCCCTGGTAAAGTTTGGCTGTGGCATTAGTGGCACATAAAAGTGCACGGCCCATAATCCACAGCTTTAGGGTTATGAGGTGGTGAGTTAGACTGAAACCGAGGGCCAGAGGCCAGACACGCACCAGCCACAGCCCACAGGCCTGCCAGCTGGCCCGGCTCCCCCGGGGTTTCCCTGTGCTCTGTCACTGCTGATAAGAGAAAATGGGATTTCCACTGGCTGCTGCTCAGCTGACACCCTGTCTTAGATGTAAAACAAATGAGAAAAAGAAAGGCAGATAGATGGATAAGGAAGTCAAATGAGAAAGAAGGGGAACAGGTATTCATTCCAGAGGTGTCCAGCTCTGTTAAAGTGGTAAAATAAATCCTCCTAACCTGACTAACACTGGTGTAAGGACTTGTTATTAGTCCATAGAAGACGAGCTATATTTTTCATCATCTTCTGTTTGTTTGCTGTTTTCCATCTCGAAATGAAGCGTAATTACTCTTCAAATTAACACCAGCAACATCTGTTTTTGTGGTTGTGTTTACTGTGGTTGTTAGGTACTTGTGTATGTGGAGAGTGTACCTGCCATGATGTAGACCCCTCCGGTGATTGGGGAGATATTCATGGAGATACATGCGAGTGTGATGAGAGGAATTGCCATGCAACCTACGACCGATACACGGATGACTTCTGCTCAGGTCAGCCTGCTCATTTTTTATTAGAAAAGTCAGAAACCTGTATTCATGATTATTAGATGAAATAGTAGAATCACTGAAGAAGCATGCACTGCAAAACACTGGCGTTAAGACTGGAGACAGGGTTTGAAGCTTGCTAAGCTCTAAAATAGCAACATGCATTCAGACTGGCTGAGTGTACAGTAATATTTTTCATAGCTGACCTAGACTTTTGATTAAGCGTTGGCTTTGGACCATATCAGGTTGGTCTCCTGTTGAAGTCATTTGTCACGTAAAGCTAACTAGCTTGTCAAGCTAATATTTCTGTGTACAATTATGAAGAATTTGTAACCTTTGCACTCTGCCAGGTTTGATGCACCTTCTGTTTTAAGTCTTAATGCCAATCGTAGCTAACTAGCTAAGTACACTTCATTTACATTAAACTTTTCTTGTTTAAAACCACTTTGCTAAGCTAATCAAACAAGTTTTTAGTATTGTACTGACAGCCCTAGTAGCTACTATAAAGTTTTGAGAGCAGTGCTAATGTAAAATATCAGTCGAAGAAGGTCCAACTCGTAAAATGTCCAACTGCTACCAGTATTTGTCTCAATACCATCTTCCTTTTTTTTTCTTTGGCAAGCTCTTTGCACTTCTGTAACACTAACAACAGCTCCATTTCTGCTTTACATACTTTGTTGCAAAAAGTAAACTCAAATAAGGGAAGGAGTGTCGATGACCTTTTTATGTTTTCTCTAAAGAATTAATGATGAAAATATGATGGATGCTACCATTGCATACTGTTGGTTAAGCTAATAATTCATCCTCTAGAAGCATTTTACAAAGTTAGCAGTTCTTTGGCACACACACCTACGAGTACAGCGAACAGTTTGAGAGACTACAAACTGATTTCTTATATTATTCCTCCATCAGTATAATTCCTCTTCGTGTCCCCTACATCACTTCAAGGCTGGTCACCTCACAGCTTAAAAGAAGACAGGCTGCATGCCCTGTCCCAAGTGTATTTTACCACCTCTTATCCACCCTCTTCTTTCCCTCTCTCTGAAACACACTGACTCCCCTTTTGCTCTGTTTTCTCTGTCACAGCCTTTACATTCCTCTACCTTGGTCTGTTTGACTACTTCACTGGATGCTGTTTTCTCTCTGTTTTCTGGATTTTCCTCCTTAAAAATCCTCCACTTTGTCTCACCTCTCTGCTTCCTACACCTCTCCCCCTCTCCCCTCCGCAGGTCAAGGCCAGTGTAATTGTGGCAGGTGTGATTGCAAGGACGGATGGGCCGGGAAGAAGTGCGAGCATCCTCTGTCTTGCTCGCTGTCTCTGGAGAGCAGTCTGAAGAAGTGTCGCGGAACGTCCAATTTGCCCTGCTTCGGACGAGGTACCTGCTCTTCCCATCCCTGTCCTGTTGCCATGGTTACCGAGGCAGGCCGGCACTCCGTCCTCACCTCTTGGTGTAAAATAGGCCATTTCCAGTCTTTCGTATCTCTTAATCCATCCTTAAGAGGGCTGTAAAGATGCCAAGGTGCCGAGCAATCAAATCAGATAGAATCTTTTAACAAGCCTAGAACAAAAAACAAGACACCGTTTTTATTGCTGTATTCATTCACACAAATGAATTGGAAATGTGTGGGTTTTTTTTCCATTGTACTCATTCATATGTGTATATATTCGCAAAGTTATGTGCCTATGTGAGATTAAGGTGCTTCATTTGCCTTCAACAATGTAAGCCTCGGCAGGGATGTCTCTCTCACTCGAACAAGCTGTGGGTCGATGTGTCGAGATTTATTACAGTGCTCTGTATGCTTCATTAGTGGCCCTTCTGGACAGAGGAAGCTTGTTTTCTTGGCACTTCTAAATGTTAGGTCTGATACTAATAATGGATTTAGATACTCAGGCAACACAGCAAACCAATACTGCCAAGAAACAAGGGTCTGGGTTGTGCTTCTATTGTTGTGTCTTAGACATTAATCCTGAGTCTGTTGATTGATGACAGTGAGAGGAAAGTGGGCGAATAGATACATTATGGAAACAGCACTGTAAATTTTAGGGCTGGAAATTCCAATAACTAGAGGCAGTGTTTGTGTTTTTCTCTACAGAAAGAGAGATTTACTGTGCACAACAAAAGGATTTTACCTTTAAAAACTTTATGGCTCCCAACTTCAGAGTTAAAAATCAAAATGTATTTACTATATGACAGTAAAAAAGTCAACGTCATCTGCTTCTCTAGGTGTGTGTTTGTGTGGCTGCATCCTATTGGATTGTTAATCTTTGTTACAAACCTGCCATCCCTTAATGGATATCAAAATTAAGACTATATTTCCTAAATCCCAGGAAGTGCATAACATTGGCTTCTTCAGTCAATATTTGCAGCTCCACATAAAAATGCGGATTCCAAAAACAGTGCAGCCAGGTAAAATGTGAACAAAGACAGATTTTTATAGTTTATAAATAACTCAACTCTATATTAAACTGAAAACAGAGCAAACAATTGGAAATAAAATCCAGTGTATAGTCTGTTAAAATATGATGCTGGTAACATGTTTCGAAAACGTTGTGACACGAGCATGTTTGTCACAGTGTTGTATTACTTCTTCTATTTATCAAGGCTTTAAAAGTTTGGGTACTGAAGGATATGTTTTGAAGTTTTGAAAGTACAATGCTGTCCCATTCGTCTCTGATTTAGTGTTAATTGTTTGGGGCCTCCTTTGTCATCATTTCTGCGTCATGATGTGCCTCAGTTAGTGACAAGCCGAAACCGCAGGAAGGCCGGTTTAGCACCTGAACTCCTCTAGCAATCAAATTAATGTGACTCTTTTAACTTTGACAGAAACTGTGTGTTAATAAAAGACCCCATCCTCATAGGAGGACATTGCCTTAGGCCTTCACAGTCTGTACTGTATTAATATGAGCTTAATGTTGAACTCGTGCCAAAACAGCTCGATGGGCACCATAAAAAGTGACATTAAAAGTGTCCCAGGCAAAGATTGTCTTGACCATCACCCACAATTCACAATCTCCAGTGATTATAGGTTTATTTCAGGTAAAGTCAAGCGAAGTTCACCGTACACCAATTGATCCAGACTTCCATATCAGCTGACAGCCTAGCTGATTACCCAACAAGCAAATGTCAAACTAGTGCTCTTTTTAAAATACTTAAGGCCATCCTTATCTTGCTGCTACTTTCGCAAATCGCACAGCATCCCACCTCCACCCCTGCTCCTTCTTTTTGTTCTGTCTGATTTTACCAGTGACATTTGTATCGTCACTTATGCCTCCTCCTTCAGTTACTTGGGGGTCTTTTATTTAGATCACCAACTATTCAACAGCTTAATTGAGTGACACATATTATTAATAAAGATCATGCTAAACCACTGCTCACCATTCACAACCCAGAGCTACTCAACCAGTGAAGGGAGAAAAAATGATCAACCTTTTGTAAAGCCACAATGATTCATCTCCACAGGCAGAGGATATTCACGCCCCTGGCCACATCTACAACATTCAGTGTTAAACTGAAAACTATTGGACTGAAGTAAAAATGAAATTTAACCACAGTTATCTACAAATGTAGCATCTGAAGTGAGGTCAAAGTGGATGATTGGATATCACTGTCAGCATAGCTACAGCCAAGGATTAAACACATTCTCAGGGCCAGTGTTCATGTGAACATTTGGGCTGATGGTTTAATTGGATGTACATGGTACCAAGGACAAGAAATATGTGACTATATCAAAACAGATGTTGTACCTCTGTGTACAGACCAGTCATCCAAAGAATAATCTTTGTGCAAGAGTAAAGATTAAAATGATGTAACATTGCTGGAGGGCATTTTTTTAACCTGGAAAATCAAAAGTGAAGACAAAAAAAGCAGCCTAGCTGGTGATATTTTCACAGTATATGGGATAATAAAGAACACTAAATTTATAATCTTTTGTGAAATTTACTTACTGATTTGAGGTTTGAAAGTTTGATTCACAAGTGGAGTAACAGGGTATTAATGAGGGGTCCCAGCAATAAAAGTTTTGGTAACCCTTTCATTTACAGTACACTTATTACCAGGTAATTAACAGGTAATTACCTGGTAACAACATGAAATTATCTGGTAATTACATGATAACTACTAAGTCAATACTGTCGGTAACCCTTTCTTTTACGGTACACTTATTACCAGGTAATTAACAGGTAATTACATAGTAATAACATGACATTATCTGGTAATTACATGATAACTACTAAGTCAGTTATCATGTAACTGACTTAGTAGTTACATGATAACTACCAAGTCAATACTGTTGGTAACCCTTTCTTTAATGGTACACTTATTACCAGGTAATTACCAGGTAATTACCTAGTAATAACATGAAATTATCTGGTAATTACATGATAACTACTGAATCAATACTGTTGGTAACCCTTTCTTTTATGGTACACTTATTACTAGGTAATTGACAAGTAATTACCTAGTAATCACATGAAATTATCTGGTAATTACATGATAACTACTAAGTCAATACTGTCTAGTTATTCTTTTTTTCTTTTTTCTGTGCAGCTCCATTTTCAAAAGCTATTTGGAGTTCTTATTTTCTGTGATTGACACTTCATACAGCCTATGGGCGTGCGAAGATTGCGTAGAGATACGCTGTTTGAGCCGAGCATTATCACAGCAACTCACCCGCCGAATGAGTACAATGCTACCGCGCAAGTGGTGGTTCCAGGAAGCGGAAAAACTCCTGGAAATACCAGAGCAATTCGGCCTCAAATTTGTCTGATGATGGAAGGTTACCTACCTGGTAGCTAGACAGTATTGACTTAGTAGTTATCATGTAATTACCAGATAATTTAATGTTGTTACCAGGTAATTACCTGTTAATTACCTGGTAATAAGTGTACCATAAAAGAAAGGGTTACCAAAGTTTTTTCAAAGTGGATCCTTGGCTAACATCCACAGACAACAATAGACAATGCTCAGGTTAACATTGTTCTATAGTAGAGTGCTACCATCTATAAGTAAGATAAATTATCTAGTAGTTTTGTATTACACAATTCCTTTGAGGTATCTCTATTTCTTGTACTCTACACTAATGCAGCAGCCCTAATCCATCAGCCTTACACTTCTGTATAAGCCATTGTTTGGTGTCTGGCACAGAAGGATTAGAAGACGATAAGAAAATGTACAGTACCTGCCTCAATCTGATGGTCTCACAGTGATTCAACTTAATAATATAATCTGCGGTGGGCGATTTAAAAAGAAGCACAGCCTGCCTGGTCTCAGGGCTTTCCTGATTTATAAAGGGTTAATGTGGAGGCATTGATTTCCTGTTTCATTTGACTGTGGGGGAAGTCTCTGGGGAATCCACAGCCTTTGAGTTGCTGCGGTGTTTCGAATAAAAAGAAAAGATCTGTACACTGAAGCATGATGAAAGTTATGTCAGGAGAGCATCCCTACCATCTCCGGAAGGGAAAAGCTGCTGATATGATCATGCACCTTAAAGCCTCTGAGCGGGGCTGCTATCATGGTGACATTTTAGCAAGTTAAATTATCAGTAGATAACATCGGTTAACGGAAACAATAGGAATCAAATTCAACAGCAGAAGCTGCATTGCACTATGTTAAAATAGGATATGATACAATTGGATTGTGATTAAAGAAGAAAACAGGGATACGGAGTAACAGGATTGAAACTGCAGCACATACCAATCACAATGACAAGTAACCTGCCAAGCATATATCCAAAAAAAGACAACCGTGAATCACAGCCCAACCTTTACACTGCAGTTTGAAAATATTTGCTTCAGTTCTGGCACAAATGTGTTTTATTTCATTGACTTGGAAAGGGAGAACTACGTAAAGCCCCAACTTTGGCTAAATCAATCTAGGAACCCTTTTGTTGACTTTAAATACCTGACCTATTCATCACATACTGCCACTATCCCATAATATACTTTATGATTTGCTCAAAGCAATTATGAAATAGCAGGGTTGTGTGTGGGCATGGTGGCCCACCTCACATAATAAAAGCACAAAGATTAACTTGTGCTGGGAGAGTTAATTAGCTTTATTTCCTGCAAAAATAGCTTTATATTATCTCCAACTGCTACAACAAAATAGAACCTCTAATTACCATGTGCATCAGAACAATTAAAGGGATCTATAAGTTCTTCCTTTCGGAAATTGCAGTGTATTTTTATTCCAGTCATAGTAGCAGGTAGCAGTTGCAGGTACACCGCAACCTACAGTGTTAAATGATTTGTGTTCTTTGCACACACTTTAAGGAGTAGATACTTATAAAGAGATTTCAATTTATACCACAACCCGAGATTATAAACTTCCAAATGTGAAAGTGCTCTAAAACTACCATTAACCCTCAAAGGGATATTCCGGCATAAAATTAATTTAGAGTCAAACACACAGTAACACCGAGTTAGACACCCCGTCGAGAGATGAATGTTGCCGACCACTTGCTTCTCTAGTTATACCATCCTTAGTAATGACTGCATGATAGTAATACACAGCAGTCTGAGGAGCTATAAACAAACCTCAACCAAAACACCACTCTATAGCCACAAATAATGCTCAGTAATGCTCATAGGGCAGTGAAGTCTTTAGTACCATATGAGTAGCATTATATTAAATCTTATCAAATGGTATTGTACCATATAGTATCCATATGTTATGGTTTGCAGAGCACCTTTAAGCGTAATATTGTTTCCCATCATATATCATGTCTTGTCTTCACTCTAAATAACACCATAAGGATGACTCTACTTGTTGCTTACACGAGTCCAAAAGGATTCTGTAGGAAACCAGATGGTTAAAAGAGTCTTCTATCAAGTTGACGGCCCATTTATACACAGTCTTTACTCCATTATTATTTCTGAAATTTCTGAATGCACTCCCCACTCCTCCCAGTTCAGACAGACAGAGCCAGGTACAGTAAATGCATGTCAATGCATACCTGAGTGTGAGATATCATGTGAATCCATGTGTTGTTTATTCACTTTAGGGTTCTTTCCACTGGATGCCCATCTGGTTTGGTGTTGTGGTGATGTGAATGATCGGATACAGGCGATTGTAACATGGTTCAATGCAAGGCTTTGATGGCTGGAAAAGGATGGGGAGGGGGAGATGAAGGAAGAGAGCGAAGGTCTTTGAGAACAACGATGAAGGGAGACAGGGAGCGGGGTAGGTAAGCTAGAGGGAGAAAAAGAGAGAGGGAGAAAAACTGAAGGAGACAGACTAAAAAAATCACTTAGGCATGGATGAATGCGGCTGGTACAGATGGCAGCTTGAGCGGAAAAGCCTTGAAATTTGAAACAGCAGCTTGGAGCTCGTCTTCCTGAGAGGTGGAGACAAGACGCTGGTGGAGAGCAAATTCTTTGTACTGTGGTATTTCCTCAAGGAAACACCTGCTTTCAACATCTTTCTGCTGAATCTCGGGATTCCTGTCTGCTTTCGGAGGCTGTAGTGGAAAATAACCATGTGTGACGGTTAATATTTAATGGCTCCTGCACAACTTTCTTTTGCATGGCTGTATTCCAAAAACTACTTAACCCTGAAAAGACATTCAAGACAGATACTCTGTAACTGTAAAGAAACAAACAGTGAAGAAGATGTACCCAATCTCAATTCCCATACTTACAGAAATCCTTATTTCAGCTCTGTTCAACCTCTGCTGTAAATGTTTTTTCTTCAGAGATATTAAATTAGACATAACGAATGGGTGTTACTTTTTACACAGCTTCCTAGTCACAAAGCAACCCGAAAGTTATGCCTTTTAAGAAAGCTACTTATCATAGCTATTGGCTGCTAGCTATTGCTACATGATCAGTAACTAGGTATAGAGCGGAGAAGGAAGCCAAGTGATGGAACTGACCTTCTACCCTCTGGGAGGGCTTGTTCTTGTAACATCGTCTTCAGTGGAAGGCGGGGCCTGACAAGTCCAGGAAAAGCGCTGACATTTGTATATCTCATGTTTTGAAACTTTGCTGCAGTTTAGAACGGACACCTAACATTGTAATAATATTATATGTGTTTGTTAAAATATGAATCAGCAAAGTAGGTGACTGAGGTCTCTCATACAGACACTAAATTACACATTTTCTGAGAGCTTGCATTTATGCAGAATTTTCTGTTGGACTTACCCCAAGCTCATTGTGAACTTAGACAGAAATATCATTCAGATAGTTGCAGGATGATATAAGTGAGTGAGAGTTAAACTTTTTAAATGTCATAAAGTATAATGGATAAGAACCTGAGTTTTGAAGTTTATGGTCTGGTCTATTCATTATTTGTACTTAAAAAAGCCCTGGGTCCTACAATTCAACAACAATACATTATTCATTTGCCACTGACCGCCGAGTGAACTTAGATGTCTTCCACAGTCCACACACCCACAAGCTTTCTCTTGGAATACAGATGCATGCTCCAAACCCCACCTGGGATAACCTCAATGACGTTACTCTTAAAGACTGAACACATTTTCCTTGACTGGTGATGGATTTTTACAAAGTGAGTCAGTAGAGTAGCTTTAACATCAGTTTGCTTGTGCTGTTGAGGTCATCAGAGTGACACTATTTACAAGTTAAACCAACTTAAACTTAAATAAATCAGACCCTCTATTTCTGCAGAGAGAGATAAACTCCAGCTCACATCAGGATTATACTGTTTTATGAATAACACTATCTGAATCTGTTTAGTTCCCCATTTTGGCGCTAATGTCATACTTCCATTCACACCATATCTTGTGGGTGGAGAGCATCAGTAAGCTGGTGTTTTGATATTTGATTAAATGGTGAAAGAATTCCAGCTGTCACAAAATTTTCAGTGAAATCAAGCCAGATGGGAAGTTTGGAAGGAGTGATTGTAAATCAGCCAAAACAATGTGAGAATGTCTTTGATAATTTCTTGTTATTATTTGTTATGCAGTGACTACAAGGGAGCAAACTGAGGTTTAACACCACAGTTATTTTTTTCATTGAGTCAATGAGCTTGTTTTGTTGTGTGGCCGAATGATAACAGGTGCAATGCAAGATTTTTTCATTGCTTTTCCTGTTTTCCAGTTTTGCAGCCTTCTGGAGAGAAAGGTGTCACATCTGTGGTTATGTTTTGCCAGATTCACCATGAAGTGCACCAACATTTTGGTTCTCATTTGGATTAAAAATGGTCATGCAATTCCACCAGGGTCAAAATGAAACACAGTCTTGCATTTTAAAAAGTTGCAGAAAAAGTAGCGAGAATTTGCCAACTCCCTTATGATCGTAGTTTTTCAGACTGCATTGAAGTGCTCTTTTTGTGTGTTTGTGATCAAAATGTACTGTTGCATTGCTTGGTTGCATTGAGAGCCTATTGGGGAAAAGACTGTATTCTCTGGAGAGGCTTTTCTAGGACTCCGGCCCTTTAAGAAACCATCTGCTGCTTTTAAATGAAAGGAGAGGAGCTCACTTGATTGACCATTACTCAAGCCTCGCCTACTCCCCACTGATTTATTATTCATCTATTTAACAGTGTATTCTTGGCCCTCTAGCCTCTTTCCAGTTTGGGCTGCGCTGAAACTAAAGTGCTTCTCCTCTCACAAAAAAATCAAAATAAATCTAGGAAAGAGAGTTCACCTTCACCTGCCCTGTCTTTATACTCAGATTTGTCCCCGGCTTTATGGGAATAGATCCGCCATGACTCAGTCTGCTGTTGCTAATCTGTCATTAAGGTGTTGTTCACCTCAGACAGGGTGACAAATTAAACATCAACACACACCAACACAGACGCACACGCCGGTGAAGACGACTTGACGACCAGAGCAATAATCGATAAGGCACGGTGTTGTGACATCACCAGTTGCTAGGGTAACTGGGTCCCCAGAGAAGATGGTGATATGCCGTATGTGTAGCAGGAATAGAGTATTGTGTGTGTGTGTGTGCCTTTATATGTGTCTGTGTGGTCATAAAGTCTGACAATGACGTGACACGGACATCACATTAAGGGACGCCGCCTTGTAAATTAACGTCTGGCACTATTTATTGCATCTATTTCCTCTCAATAAGTCATCAAAAGAACAAGGCCGCCGCACATGCACGTTACAGATGTGTTTAAGGTGTTATTTAGTGGCACTAAATACAAAATTTACCCAACAGGGCTGTGAACAGGGGAAACACTCAGAGTGAATAATGATTTTTGTAAAAAGGAGATACCCTGCTCCACGAAAAAAAAAAGGAGAAGAAAAAAGAGAGGTGCTCAGTATGCAGCATTTTAACCATCTGTCTTCACTGAGCTGGGAAATTCCCTTTGTGCAATTATTTTTCATAGTGTGAAGCTCACCTGTTAGCAGCCCCGCTGGGTGACTGCAGCATCAGAGGATAAGAACATTTATTAACAATTTCAGCATGAAGCACACAGGGTACAAACAAATTGTGTATGTTTATGCTTCCTATTTTGTACTGTTAATCTCTCTGTTTTGTTCTAAACAAGGTATATATTCAAGGTATATATCCATATGAACAAAAGTGAAGACTAAATACCACTAAAGTGATAAAATACTGTGCCAGAGAAGTCATTAAGACCCTGAACTTGTGCACAAAGGATCATCCAGCTGTAGTTTTGTCATCCACTTCTCCTGCTAAACATTAAAAACATTCAACTTAGCAATAAAATGGCAAAAATCTCAGTGTAAAAGCTTCTTGGGAAAGGTGTACCAGCACAGCCTAAACCAGCTGCGCTCAAACTTTTTCAGCCATTCACCTTTTTTGGAAGGTGAAAGTTTTCTGGACATCCCCACCAAACAAAACGACTATGTCTAACTTGTCGGCATGCCAACAAATTTGAGAATTTCATTTGTGCTGTCCAGTTTGCTGTGACATTTACGACTGGCACTGCAGCATTGTGATTTACCATTGTAGCATTGGGATTACAATCACAGTGCCACAAAAGCAACAGCCATTTCAACTTCAATAAACTACTTTTGTGACATTTGACACTAAATTGCTACGTTAGTCTATGTGCCGTTTCAAAATGGTGTAGTTTCATAAGTTTTCAGACCAAATATACACCAGTCTCTCTCATCCTCCATCATCCTTCATATTTCCTTGATCTGTCTTGTTGGTCTCCTCTTTTCCATTTCTGTCAGCTCCATGTTAAAATAAACTTCAGCACTAGTTTGCTTGTCTGAACTGTTTATCAGTCTGTTGTAAAAATGGTTCAGATGTCAAGGCAAGAGTTCTGCTCTATATGTCCCCTCCAGCCACTCAGGCCTCCCCTGTTGTGTCTCTGCATCCTCCAGAGGAGGCTCAGTTCACACTTTGTAAACCACTGGCATTAAATAACTCAGTTATATCTCTTAAATCAGACTTCCTTTTCATTTGAACTCAGCAACCTTAGCATGAAGCGTCTCCAAATGTCTTGGGTGCAACAAAATTATAAACTAGCATAAGATCTAGACCCCCCTCAAAGAGCAAAGATCTTTTTTGGAGTCTGAAAATTATTCACGGTATACAAGAATTTGCATCAACAACAACAACAAAGTGACCCAGACCAACAGTTCTAAAGAAATGTCTCCATCTAATCCTGTAAACACGAGGCCTCTACTCCACCAGTAACAAACATAACTCTGAGTAACCTGCTCAGATGATCAATGAGAAGAGACGCTGCACACCTCCAACGATAGTTCAGAATAGATGATGTTTTTCTAATGAGTTTCTCCATTAGCCAGCATGCTCACTCTACGAGTTCCCCCGTGGCCTCCTTCACTGGCAGCTCGCTGATTGAAGTGGGATCACAACATCTCGAGCTGTGTGTAAGTGTGTAGTGCCCGTGTGAGTTTGTTGGAGTGAGTGATTTACATAGAAGATTTCCCCCTGTGTGGCTGGAGGGAGTGTTGTCAGGCAGAAAAAGACTAGTTTGAATTTGTAACAACTACTGTAGGAATGCAAATGTCATAATAACGGGCTGAATAGGAGGTGAATGTCAGTGGACAGACTTCAGGAGAATCAGAATTGTTATGCTGAAGAGCTCAACGCTGATCAAATGTCTCTGTTTGTGTAGGTCAGTGTCGGTGTGGACAGTGTACCTGCCACCCACCAGGGGACGACCGGGTTCATGGTAAAAACTGTGAGTGTGACAACCGTCAGTGTGAGGACATCAGTGGAGAGGTCTGTGGAGGTGAGATCACACACATACACAACTATACACAAACTAATTGACAAGGCAAGAAACTTCTGCAACATTACTATGAAGATCTGTGTTCCTCAACACAACCTGATTTTCTACAGAGACACGAGTCGTCAACCGATTCATTTTTCAGTGGCTGATGCTGGCACCAATGCTCAGTTACTGGCAATTTCCCGATAGACATTTTGGCCAATGATACATTTCAAGGGATATTCCGGCGTAAAATCAATTAAGGGTCAAACACACCATAACACCAAGTTAGACACCCTCTCGAGAGATGAATGTTGCCGACCACTTGCTTCTCCAACTTTAGTAACAACCGCACAATAGCAATACACAGCGGTCTGAGGAGCCATAACCAAACCTCAACCAAAACGCCACTCTATAGCCACAAATAATGCTCAGAACAGCACCTAACTTCATCAACAGTAAAGGTACCCAGCCACAGCACTAGCCACCAAACATCTTTTTAGCTTTGCCTGATTTCTTTAGCAAAGAGACTAATTACAACTCACCTACTCTCTTCCAGCAGCCGCTTGGTTGTTCTGAGACCTCGGGCAAGTCCATCACCGACTGCAGCGGGGTAACGCAGCTCAAGGAAGAACATTTATGATAATTACTTTATCATTTCTTTTAAGTAATAATCATTTTGCGCTGCATGAAGAAATGATCATAAATGTTCTTCCTTGAGCTGCGTCACCCCGCTGCAGTCCGTTATGGACTGGTCGAGGTCTCACTACAAACAAGCAGCTGCTGGAAGAGAGTAGGTAAGATATGCTTAGTCTGTTTGCTTAAGAAATTAGGCAAAGTTAAGAAGATATTTGGTGGCTAGTGCTGTGGCTAAGATCCTACATGTACTGTTGATGAAGTTAGGTGCTGTTCTGAGCATTATTTGTGGCTATAGAGTGGTGTTTTGGTTGAGGTCTGTTTATTGTTCGTCAGAGCGTTGTGTATTGCTATCATGCATTCGTTACTAGAGTTGGTATAACTAGAGAAGCAAGCAGTCAGCAAAATTCAACTCTTGACAGGGTTTCTAACTCGGTGTTACGGTGTGTTTGACCCTAAATTAATTTTATGCCTGAATATCCCTTAAACTGTCTGACAGCAGCACATGAAACTTCACTGCTGAAGTAGAAACATAAGGTGCTCATCCTCAGCCGTACTGTAGCACATTACACCCTCATCAATATCTCCTAATTACTGCACAGAAATCTACATGCATCTACATGCATTTAGCAGCACATGTGCACACATCCACTCTCCCACTTTGAGATGATGCCAGGAGCAGACGCTGAATCTGAAGATCAATACAGTGTGATCCTATCTGCTCTCTTTGATATCCAAAGGCACAGCCCTCTAAACCCTTCAGCTGAATCCGAGAAATTGCTCCAAGCCTTTGAAGCTTCTGTTTGAGGTCTTGGGGAGTTCGTGCCCTTGATTTGAGCCATTTAGGCACAACCAGAGTAATGGATAGATTGCACAGAGACATTAGAGGCTGAATTGAAATTGATATTTCAGTTTGCAGCTGCTGCTGCTGTCTGATAGAGGATGAGAGATGGAAAATGAGGCAAACATAATTCTCATTGTAAAGGCGATTGTAGCTAAAAGGCCACATTCCTGTTCTACATTTCTAAGCTTCTTTGTTGCGGTAATGTTTATGGCTCCCTCTATGTAATTTGAGCAGTTATGACATCCATTTTTGTATGTTCTAGAAACACACACAGCCCTGAAATTTGCTGCTTTCTTTTGTCTCATTTTCAATGCAAGAAAAGTTATAAGACTAACAAATACACACCTTTCCATAACACACAACTCCCACATATTCAGAAAAACAACATCTGTCTATTTTCTTTGACCCAGCCTCTATACAGACATTGCTGTCATTCATATCTTTTATCGTTATTTGGTCGCCTGTGCCATTCTGTATCAGTGGTGCACTGCAGCATCTGAGGGTACATTTCTCCTGTAAGGAGGGATGCAGTATTTATGTGAATGGATTAGTGGGGCTCATTGTGCGCTTGGCTGTCAAGAGACAATTCTTCATGAGAGCGTCCAGGGAGAGCCTGTCTGCACACAGTTACACACACACAAACACACACACATGCTGTCAGGCTGATAATTAAGTCTGTGTACTCAGAGTGAAAAGTTAGGATGGACGAAACTTGGCTTGATGGTGAGGAGGTCTAGGAAACTTCCTGTGTGAGGGTGGGGGCTGTAAGTGCTTCTGGATGTTTGGGCCCCAGTGCAATTAACAAATAAGAGAAACGTATTCCTTCACAAAATGTGAGTTATAAGAAAAGTAAAAAAGTAGGAGTGTGCAGAGGTGTGTTCCTTTCTCTCTACCTATATTAGAAATGAAAGCTGGAAGCTGATACGGCTTTTACTGGCAGATAGCAGCTAAACATACTCATTCAAAAAAAGCCCACCCTTACAGCTAGGTCTGGGCGATAAAATGATAACGATATATACTGAAAATTAATTTCCCCTGATATCATATAAAACATGGTCAATATGCTTTTCGATAGTCGGCATTCTGCCATGTTATGGTAGACTATACGAATAGCCAATGAAGAGGGGAGTTGCTCCGGGTCTGCTTCGCGCTGAACCAATCATGTGCTGAATTAGAACCAAAAAGCAAACAACTGTTTAGTAGCAGACTGCAGCTACACACAACCATAGCACTTTAATATCCGAAGCTGGCAGCACTGTCAGTGAGAAAAAAAAGAAAATGAGCACTATCCCTGGCAGAAATGCAGATAAAGGCTCAAAAGATGATCAAATCGTCAACAACACTGGCATGAAAACGTTGGTGGCTTCATATTTGCTTGATATGAAGCAGAGTAATGTGCACTGCAAATTATGTCGAGTACATGTTCTGGCAAAGTCATGGAATACCTCAAATCTTTTTCACCACCTGAAGCAGATGCAGTGGACCTCACAGATGCAGTAGCTTATTGTACTGCAAAAGACGTGCTACCAATAAACACTGTTAAATTTCAATTTTTATATCATGATTTAATATCAACTGAAATGATAAAAACATATCATGATAAACTTTTTCCGATATCACCCAGCCCTACTTACAGCATAACAAATGTAAACATGTTAAGAGCCGGAGCCATGGGAAAAGGCTTAAAGTTTGGGGTGCTGTAGCTTGAGGTGCTTTTTTAAATCTGTTTGCATTTGATAGGCTGTCATGTACATACTTTTTTTTTTTAATTTATGGAGCTTTTGATTAAACATGTTAATTTTTACTTCACAGATGTACATAATGTGATGTGTTTGAAACGCCTGGTTTGCAACCACCAGACCCATCAGTGTATAACCATCAGTACACGCAAGAGCTGACAAGGCAAATGTGATTAAAGAGGTCCAACAAACTGAAGAGCACAGTGAACTGAATTTATCCAAATATGCCCAATTTCTCAGTTTACACACACACAAACACACACAGACTAAAAAAGTATACCAGTTCAGCACAGCAGACAAGATGACTATTAACCAACACATTGCTGAATAGGTCTGTGTTTGTAGCATATGTCCACATTCTCAATATTTCAACTGCAATAACTTTTGAGTACAGCACACAACAATAAAGCCTATTACAGTTTTGTGTAGATATAAAGTAAATATGAATGCATATCTTCTTTTTCCACGGCCATGTTTACAGCTGTGAAGTAGGCGTCATCACTGACTGCGTGCAGTGCACCGACACACACGCACGCACGCACGCACGCACACACACACACACACACACACACACACACACACACACACACACACACACATATAAACGCCAAACATTTCCCTCCCCGACAGTGTCGCTATTTACCTTCTAAACAGCTCCTGTTCTCCTTCCTTGTTCTCCACACTTGGGCTCTATAGGCTAATTTAAACATACATTCACACAGACATCCACCCCTCCACTTACCCGCCAGGAGTCCATTCACACCATCATGCCGGCTTCTGCCTTCAAACGAGGAAACAAAACTCATTTCCGGGTGTAATGTAGTTGGTTATGGCGGTAAAAAAGTCACATGATGCCGGAAAAAATAATCCCTTGTTGTTTTCCATGAATCTGAAAAATTCCTGCTTAAAACTTAGTTAGGTAAAAATGTATAGAAAAAGTCTGAATGTTTATAGAGGGTTAAAATGTCTTTTCCAAACTTATGTAATTAATGACGCCCGCTGGAAGGGGCTGGGGGTGAGAAGGCTGTCTGGGCCTCTCTCAGAGTAGTGATGGGAAGTACGGCTCTTTTTAGTGAGCCAGATTTTTCAGCTCAGTTCGCCAAGAAGAGCTGGCTCTTTAGACCCCTAAACGGCTTTTCATTTTACTATTTATACATTTTCTAATTCAGCCAAATTTAGCGTTGTTTGGCTCATTTGTACATGTGTACATTCTTATATAATTCAATACATCTTTTATACCAAAGAATTATACCATCCTGAGTAGAGTTAGTCCTTTTGAGAGAAGAGATCTTTTTTCCAAGAGAATGACTGCAACATCAAGTTCTGACAAAAAAAAAAAATTCACTCAAACATTAGAACTAAAAAGTTGTTAAAAGTCAGGTAAAACAAGTGCATGGTGGGGGCCAGGCTTCCAGACTTTTACCAAGGGATTTAAGTATGTTTAGGATGACTAAGTTTTGCAGTTTTAAATCAGTCTGTGGGATTGGTCCTGGCAAAAGGTTCAGAAACCAAAAAGCTTTCTCTTCAACTAATTTTCCAACTTTGGAAACAACAAATTGCACAATTACTAGCAAACAGGGTTTTGAACTCCATCCTTTACGGTTAAAGAAATGTAAAAAAAAAAAAAAAGTTTGATAATGACAGACCTAGACTGAGACAGATTTGCTTCTTTTGAAAAACTGATGTACTTTATTGTGATTTTCTTTTATAAATCACAATAAGAAATGATAAAGTATAAAATTTTGCCATTCTGTCATGACTTTTTCATGTTATTTTCACATTTAAAAATTCAGCTTGACTCATCGATTTTGTTCCTGCTGCTTTATGTTTACCCTTTTGTGCTTTTTAAGTAAACACACTGAAATCACTGAATAGTTTGATCTACGTTGGGGAGAACCAACCATTTTTCTTTCTTTCAAAAGAAGAACATTGTACTTTGAATGCATATAAAGATATAAGACTGGATATAATATTTGCACTGCAGCAACATTGTGTGTATAGATGTAAGTCTATCCTCCCACCTTCCAAACTGGGTTTCCCTCTCGTATGACTCACTCTGCTTCATCCTCTCTTTGTGTCAGTGAACTCTTCATCTCTGAAAGTCTCTCTCTGCATACACTTCATGTCTTTACCTGGTTAGATACCAGATTCGCCACCACAACCCCTCAACAGACCCTCTCTAACTGCAACCGCACAATACATGCTCTGTGAAAGACAGGTGCAGACTAATTGAATGAGGGCGAGGTTGCTGTTCCTCCAAAGCAATTAACCGCTCTTGCAAGCTAGCTGATTGAGGCAGCCATGCATGGCTCGCCATAGCTGCCACTCCACCTCAACCTGAGACAGACGCTAGATAACTTTCATTTATGAACTGTCATAAACACAACACACTCACACATCCTGGACACCCCCCCCCCCCCCACACACACACACCTTTGCTTCACCTTTGTTTGATTAAAAACAGCAAATATGAAAAAAGCAAGGTTCATGAATTATTGATGAATTTTAATCAATCTAATGCTATGAGGTGGCTGGTGTTGAGCTTATTCCATGCAGAGTAAAAATCAAACTTATTGATTTAAAAAAAATTTAAAAAAACCCTCAACATATCTGAAAATATGCTTCTTTGTTTTCCTGCAAAGCTCTTGTGTTGTAACAGTGTAAAGCAGCCAAATCTAGATGGATATCTTAGTTCTGTGCAAAGCAACAAACATCTTTGCCATGTTGAGAACAAGTCGAACATCAAGTCAGCAAGTGAAGCTGAGAGTCTTTTCTTCTTTTCCATTTTTTTCCACCTGAGCAGGTGTTCATTTATATTTATATAGAAATTCATTTTTCCCAGTTCGTTCAACGTCACATGTATGCAGCATCCGCAAACAGCCAACAGTGAGATTGAAAAGTAAGTCAAAATCTCAACCAGATATTACTTGCACTATGGACAAAGTGAGTACATAAAATGTAGAGATAAAGATCCACTGAGGGCCTTTGTAGAGATCTTGTTTTCACTGACATAGTTGTTGCACTTAAAGGGATATTCTGGTGTAAAATTAAGTTAGGGTCAAACACACCGTAACAGCGAGTTAGACACCCCGTTGAGAGAGAGAGACAGTCCAATACAGACTACAGCGGGTTGACGCAGCTCAAGGAAGAACATTTATGATAATTTCTTCATGGAAATGCAATCAGACCAAGATCGTAAGGCAGAAGAACTACCGCGTCTGCAGTGCAAAATGATTAATATGGTGATTTTTACTTAAAGGAAATGATAAAGTAATTATCATAAATGTTCTTCCTTGAGTTGCGTTAACCCGCTGTAGTCCGTTGTGGACCGTTATGGTCTCGCTACAAAAAAGCGACTGCTGGAAGAGAGTAGGTGAGTTATGTTTGGTTTCTTTGCTAAAAAAAAAAAAAAAAAAAATAGACAAAGTTAAGAAGATGTTTGATGGCTAGTGCTATGGCTGGGACCCTTTATGTACTGTTGATGAAGTTAGGTGCTGTTCTGAACATTATTTGTGGCTATAGAGTGGTGTTTTGGTTGAGGTTTGTTGATGGCTTCTCAGACCGTTGTGTATTGCTGTCTGCAGTCAGTACTAAAGTTGGTATAACTAGAGAAGCAAGTGGTCGGCAACATTCATCTCTCGACAGGGTGTCTAACTCGGTGTTATGGTGTGTTTGACCCTAAATGAATTTTACGCCAGAATATCCCTTTAATGTTGGTGGGTTTTTCTGTTTGTAATTTCTATGAACAAGTTCCTTGATAAACTTCAAATCTATGAAGCGAGTCAATGGACAACTTCATCTGTTTATTGACGCTCACACCTGTGCCTGAGATCTAAAGAGGCGTGAGATCAGGGCTGAAATATCAGAACTGAATCAAACAGCTGTTTGATTGAATCAATATAGCCCTGCTTCAAACAATAGCCAGTGGCACAGTATGGATTCACAGCCATGTGAGTATGATGGAAAAACACTCAGCTCATTACCACCTCTTCAACCTGGCATCTGTTAGCACATGTGAACATAAAGGAAACAATCAACGGAGTAACTGCTTCTACATGATGTGATTTGTGTTGAAGTGAGCACACTGCGAGTGACACGAGGGTCCGACTGGAGATGAAGGGGACATAAGCGAATGAGTGCGTGTGTGTGTGTGTGTGTGTGTGTGTGTGTCTGTGTGTGTGTGTGTGTCTGTGTGTGTGTGTGTGTCTGTGTGTGTTAGTTTGTTAAAACCACAGAGATGCTGTCTTGTATTCAAGCATCCAACTCCCATTTCCTACCAATTAAACATCTCTGGTTCCTTTCCTGAGTGTTTGCGTGTCTGGTGTGTGTGCGTGTGTGGTGTGTTTTCCTCCACCGTTGCTTTCTGATGTTTTTCATCTCTCTCTCTGAAGCACTGAAGATTTATTAAGGACAGGACAAGACCAGTGATGACAGTTTCTTTCATGTCCCTGGGGGGAAATACAATAAGCCTGCTGCGTCTCTGTCGTCTTCCTGTGGCTCTGCCTGCTTGTTCTGCCTATTACTGTCAAGGTTCAATGTCTGCTCTGTCAACTTTCTCTGCTTATATGCTTTATTGCTTTCCTTATCCTCTAATGTGGCATTTCTCTTGACTTTCACTCTGCCTGTGATTTATTTTTTTCTTTATTTCTGTCTTTTTTTTACCTTCATGGCCATGCTTCACATCCGCTCTCATTTTTAAGTAAAGGCCCCTCTGCCCTCTACCACCAGGTCACGGTTTCTGTTCATGCGGACGCTGCATCTGCCAGGAGGGATGGTTCGGGAAGCTCTGCCAGTTCCCCAGGTCATGTGACATGAGCGAGGAGCAAAGCAAGGAGCTCTGCGAGACAGCGGATGGAGTGGTGTGCAGCGGAAAAGGTGACAAGCGTGTTTTGATTCTGCTCAGTGAAAGTTTCCATTGAGGTCACTTTTTGGAAGTGGTAGAGAACTTTTTTACAGCCTTTCATGACACTGAAAAAATATTACAATATCATATGGTCAAAAAAATGAGGAAAAAAAATGAAATTCAAAACAATCCTTAAAGGGATAGTACAGGTTTTTTAAGTGTGGGTTGTATGAGGTACCTTTAACAGGAAGTAAACAGACTTCTGTATAGAAACAATTAGCAGAGCGTCTCTAAAATACAACAATTTATTGGCTGAAATAGCTGAACTTAAATGTGGACTAAAAAAAGTATAATTAATAAGTATCGCTTCAAGGAACTTTGAGATCACTGTAGAGCAATCTGAAATCATAATAAGAGGTAAATCTTTGGGGGAAAAATGTTTAAAAAAGAAAGTCATGTTTGGATTTGATTTGTTGTCGGTGGAGACCGGAAATATAGGTTTTCCTTCAGTAAATGTAACAGGGATAACAGCAGTGTGAGGGCTGATTTTAATAATTTTCCTGTTGCGTCAATATGCCATTAATGGGTCTGAATTAATTGATCAATCATCAAAAATGATGAAATGAGGCTCAACGAGTAAAATCCAGTGTAGACTCTGCCCTCTGCTGGTCAAAAAAAAATATCAATTTATTTTTCATTTCACTCATCAGTTATCCCTAATGCATTCCTATTATTAACACTAATCAGGTACTGTTATACCACAATTTCACTTTTTTCTTTTGGCAACACAGTGGTTCTTTTGCGTGTAGTGCAGGAATCTTACTGTGTTTTAGTAGTTTTGGTCAGAAAGGCCAAAATACAACCTCTACTGAGAAACACCTGAACATTAGACACAGGCTGCACACAATTTATCTCCATTTTCTAGATCAAAACACTGACAAGCACTACGATCTGCCATCATTGGTGTGAATTTTTGTCACTTTCATTACCATATGCACACAGCTCTGTTTTGTTTCCAGGGTGGCAGATGATCTTTCAAACTCTCTAAAACCCCTATTTTACTAAATGTAGGATGTAGCTGATACTTTACATTTATATAAGCACTTCACTGCTCATTTTCAACTCAAGAAACATCTTAACCAGAACCACCAAATCCACAGTCGGCTAAAAAGGATTTTCTCTTTGAAAGAGAGGCTTTACAACAGATTTCAAAAGATGAAAATCAAATCTCAGTAGTGTTGCTTTACTTCAGGCTGAGATCTTGTTCTTTGTTAACTTGGTAAAAATGCACTCTTGGCTGCTTTGCTGTTGAGTCTTTTCATAGTTTGCAGACGGGGATTTGATGCACATGAGCCACTTTGTAGCATATAATATGCACCATGTTCCTACCATTGAAATATTAGAGCACATGTTATATTTCAATGATCTGATTACCTCACAGTGAGTAAACAGATTACTTGATTAACAGATTATCTGATTGATGAGGAGCTAATCCAGACAAATGGTCCAAGCTTCTTACATTTGTTGATTTCCTGCCACATTGTTTTATCTTCATCTTAATCTCTTGTTCTATGGTTTGTTAAGGTTTGGTTAATAAGATAAACCCTCTGAAGCCTTATCATTAGGGTATTTCTTAAATTTCATCAGTAAAAGATAGATCCGTTTCTCTACAAAGCAAAAATATCATTAGCTATAGCCTTATTTGACTTGCAGTATATGATGTTGTATATGTTTATAATGATGCTTGACACATTGTCTCTACATTATATGTATCATTGGACAGCAAATGACTCTGTGGGAAAGGATTTCTTCTCTGTTTGTGGCATTAAATCCACAGAAATAAATCGCTTGCAGTGGGTTCAGCCCCGCAGAGCCGAATTGGCTGTGAAAGAAAAAGATGAGCGTGCTCATTTTCCACGCTCTGCAACATCCAAACACCAGAACAATGTCCCTCTCAGCTTCTTCCCCATTGTCTCACCTCTCTCACAACTGTTTCACTTTCTCTCCCCTCGTCATGTTGAGTTCCTCTAACTTGTGGATGTTGATAGAAATTGCAGCGCAGTTGCCGAACCTGTGTGAGCTTTGAGGAGAAAAAAAAACGAAGCGGACACCAGAAGATTTGTTTCCCTCTACCATTCCTTGATATGTTATTATCCTGCTGCTGCCCTTTATACTGACAAACGGATACAAGTGGGGATGAGAGGGAGATTTAAGTGTGGGTGGATTGGTTTCCTGGTGGCAGAAGTATATTAGAAGCTGTTTCCCTGAGGAGTATCTCATATCCTCTGTGCCTGACACCATAAATCCTCTGAAGAATTTACAGGAAATAATACAAACAGCATTTATCAAAAAAACACAATCACTGAGGGGATGGTGTTAGAAGACATATAAAATATACACTGAGAAAGTGTTACCAGCTTAGGTGAGGAAGTAGGATGTTATTTCACAATTGTGTGTATGTTTTAAACGTGTTTCTGTGTGTGTTTGTTGCAGGTTCTTGTCACTGTGGCCAATGCATTTGCTCCCCCCAAGAGTGGTGGGTGTCCGGCGAGTACTGCGAGTGTGACGACCGAGAGTGCGACAAACATGACGGCCTTATCTGCACAGGTAGGACACTGACACACACAAACGAAAGACGGTTTCATAATGGAAAAAAAAATATGGAAGAGGTCCAAAACATAACACTGAGATTTTATGTACTAAAAGGACTGATGCTTAGACAGCTTGGATTTACCATGGTGACGAATAAATACGATAAAACACGGTATTATAGTTTGACTCCACACAACCCAACTATGGGGTACTGTGTTCCAACACAGCTCCATACCGGGTCTTTGGATGATCTGAACGAGGTGAACCTGTGAATATCAAAATGTTCCCACAGATAAATGTATCCGTAGATTTTGTTCCCATCCCCCTGATGTGAACAGCTTTGAGTGTGAGTCAGAGAATAGAAGAAATAATTGAGATAAAACACACACACACACACACACACTTTTCTCACTCTAGCTGTTCATCCACAGGAGCCGTCTTCTCCCCACAGATAATGGAAATCTCAGTACATGTTTATAATTATTTTTGCCCCGGGGCCTGTCAAAATCTGGACAGCTGTTCAGAAGTGGTTCTCATCATGACTCCATGACTCCAAATGTCAGCCTTAATGTCATGTAATGAGCTTCAGCCGCTCCAGATGCAGAAAAAAGCACCGCTTAAAAATGCGGAGGACCGGGTGGAAAGACAGAAAATGTGTGAAGATATCTGCTGAATATTTGATGTCGCCATATTACCAACTGGAGAATACATCTCAGAATAACCTTATATAATGGAAGTAGAAAAATCGAATGGTGTGTTTGCCATTTAAAGACTTTCTGAATGTTAAATCAGTCAAAGGAAGCGGCGATGAAGACTTTCTTTCCATATTAATGGTTTGAACATGTATTTTTCAAGTTACCCAATGAGTTGCTCTGCATCTGGTGGTTTCAAAGAGCCTCCAAAGCTGCAGATTCTCTCTACATATGCATCTGTTGACTGATGTGGAAAATTCTGCATGTTAGGAATGCCTGCTGGTTGATTTCATGCTCTGGATCTGACAATATGATGTGAGTGACGGCTTCAGCAGAGAGAAAATGGTTGAACACACAGGTTCACTGTAAGAAACACGAAGTACAGTATTCTCTAATCATGCAAAACTTAATTTTTCATTTATTTCCTTAAGATGGACAGGAATCAAATGGGATCTGGATGATGTTTACTCTGTGTTTGCTTTGCATTCAACCATAAAGACACACAAAATACAGATACGACATCACCGCTTGGACAAACCACACACGTGAACACAGTTTATTGATCGGATTGAAAAAAAACAAATAGAAAGTAACAAGAGCATTTATAGAAATGAAGTGGAGTCAAAGGTCTGATAGAAATAGAAATGAGAATTGATCAATTATCCTCCTGATGGTCTTGTTGGCTTTATAAGCATTCATATCAGACTGAAATCCTCAGCTCCTCCTCTCCCCTCCCTCTCTGCTCCAGCAAGCCACGCCCACAAACAGACGCTCGTTCTTGCTCGTATCGTATGAATTAAATTTAAGCATTCATATCAGACTGCTTTATTACCAGCTAAAAACTCCTCATGTAAGCTTTAGGCATGACTCTTCAGCATCACCAAAACCCAGTGATTATTATCAGATGGCACTTTGTTGCAAACCTGGTGGTTTGGTGTAGGGTATATGAAGAGTATACAGTGTATATCCACTTCTAAACCCCTGCGTATGTTGCATTTTCTCTGCATTTTTATGATTTTACCTCACAGCATCTGCAATTTCTGTTATCTGGTGCTCATGTTGCAAAGTACAGAGAGGAGGAAGGATGGTATTTTGTTTCAATAAACAGCCTCCCAGCTAGAAGCTGAGCTGGGGATGGTAGTCGAGCAGATCTGTGCTCATTGTAGACAGAACTGTCTTTCAGACTGTGGTTCACTTTTAAGTGAATTAAATATACAAGAGAAGAGAAGGAATTACCAGGATACAAGTGGTCAAGAAAATGAAGGAAAAGTGGGGTGCGGTAATTTCCCTCTTCAAGTGGAAAAGAGCCATAAAGTAAAACACAAGTTTGATTCTCAAGTAAAGAACAAGGACCTCATAAGTGTACTTTAACACAGCACTTGAGCAAATGTGTTTTACTTGACAGATCTGGCTGTAAACTCTTCCATAGATTAAAGTAGTCCTTAGAAAAAGCTCTGTTAGCCCCCGGTAGTTGAGTGAAGGAGGAAAGTTTTGAGTGACAGACTGCAGCATTGTTAGTTTAGGTCTTTTCAGGGGATTTATTGTCAATAAGCTGGAAATAAAATGAAAGGCCAGCTTTATCCTTTAATCAGAGGAGGGTCTGTGTCGTCTGCAACCTGGATTCAGAAGATCAACAAACAGCTCAATCTTTTCCGTCAGCAACCCTCTCTCTATTTCCCACTTTACTTTCATTACTCTTTTCTAATGTACTTATCAATCTGTCCTCCCTTCTGCTTCTCTTTCAGCCTACTTCTGTAGTTTTCTCCTCTGCATCACACTCCTCCCTTTCCTCTCCACAGTAAATTTGCAGTAGACATGTCTTTTCAGCTGTGTGACAGGAGGCCAGCAGGAGGAGTCCTCCTAACCTCGGCACCCTCCATCTGACAGCTCGGGGAGCTCAGGGAGAGCTTGGGGCTGCTGGATTATAACAGAGAATAAGATGCTTCCCCACTCTGGGTATTTCCTCACACCTAAACAATATTGTTTGTGAGTGCAGCCTGAAAGAACAAATATGTATCTCCTGACCTGAAACTCATACCGGAACAATATATATAAATGTATATCTTTTTCTATTCAACATTAACTACTCTGGGATTGTTGATCCACTTCTATGGAGAAGAAAATCTGATACTGCGCCAAAACCCGAAATAACAGCTGATTTAAAGCTCCAGTGAGGAGCTTGTGTTTGGTTTGGGCCAATTTCAGCGCCCCTGTAGACACTGCAGTCTTTTCTTATCTCATCACCAAGTAGTGTTCCTTGACCAAAAGTCTCATCCAGCTGATTTTTGACAGTCTACTGTATCATTACTGTGAATATTTCATGTGGAAATTCCAAAAACAGGGCTGTCTCATCAGCTGCAAGGCTGACTCTGCTCCCAGGGCTCCAGCAGACCCTGGAAACCTCACTAAGAGACTGAAGTGTCGCAGTGCAAACAGAAATCACACAGGGTTGAGGGAAGAAGAAGAGAGACATCCCCATCCAGTTTAACAGTAGTAGAAGAGCTGGTGCTGGGTGTAGCAACATCACAGGACAAGATCAACTGGAACAAAGCAAAACATTTAGAAGCTGTTTTCAGAAATTCATTTTCTGTGCTGTGAATTTTACAAAATCGAACAATGTGTTTAAAGCAATAGAGAGAAACTGCACTTAAAGGTGGGGAAGGTAGGATCTGAGGAAGTTTCGATTAAATTCAGATATAATGCAGATAAATACTTCAGATAATTACAAATGAGGCCCAGTCAACGTGAAAGTAAAAAGCATTGGTGCTACTGTAGATGCCAGGAGACTACCAGCAAACACAATGTTTACAGGACTTCTACAACTAGGAGTTTAGCGGCAACACGCAGCAGGTCCCGTTTGACAATAAACACTTCTGTTACAGACACTTGGCTTACTTTGTTAAAGCGGTTTACCTGTCTAGCAGAAAGGTTACAGGGTCCGTAAGGTCCCGAAGCCTCCCCCATCCTTTATGCTGGTGTTGACCTGGCTCCTTAGCTCCTGTCCGGTCCACCTCCATTTTGAGCACCCATTATTCCGCCAGAGTCTCCGGTATTTACTTCATTTTCTTGCTTGTGTTGGCAGACGTGGTCAAAGGAGTATTCAGACAATTTTCTGTACTTTCTGGTTGATTTCTACTGTCAAATATTGTAGCAAGATAACTTTGTTAGAAAGAGCGGCCCGCTTAAAAATTTCAAAATTTTGACCACACAGACATAAGAGAACACAGCGATATCATTATATTCCCAAATGTCATCAATATTTAATAGCTATCGAATGATATTAAAAGCTTTTTTGTGTATATACCACAAAAAAAAAAAAAAAAAAAAGCTTCTTTAACGGATTCTTGCCTACTCCACCTTTAAGCAGGTGTAGGTGATTTTGGGCTATTTACTCTTTGAATTAAGACAGCTGATCTAGAGTATGACGGCTCCTCTCTCTTGATTGATGTGGGTGCTTTGTTGGCAGAGCAAGTGGAAAACCGCAAACTGTCCTGAGAAGTGCAGCCAGCAGCTTCCGCTATCACCACACCCTCGACCAGCAGAGAGCTGCACCCAGGGAGCCAGAGTGTGAAAAGAGGAACCTTGTTAAAGGTCAGGCATGATGGCACAGCTTTTAATTCACAGCTTTTCTTCTCACTTCCTCCTCGCAGGGAATGGTCTGTGCAACTGTGGCAGCTGTGAGTGCTGGGACGGCTGGACAGGGAACGCCTGTGAGATCTGGGTGGGGACGGAGTACTGAGGGGAGGAGGACACTGAGTTTAGAGACAAGAGGACTGGCTGCCAGGAGCGACCAGATCCCCGCCGATGGTCACCACCAGGCCGGTGGGAAAATATGACTTAATATGGAGGAAATTGTACTTTACCAATAAACAACATTCATTCTTTTATTGTACTGGTTACAAATTCTCCTTCTGAAGCAGTAAAACTGGGAGTTGTAGGTGTAAAAACAGACAAAATATTGCCGTGTACACAAAACAGCTTTTGTATGATTGTTGTAATATTTAGAAATGCTTGAATATTAAAGATGACCACACTTTAAAAAGATGCAGGCACAAATTCAGATCTTGAAAAATTGACGAAACATGAATATGGTCTTTGGAATAAGTGGGACACTCATTAATTGTACATAAGAAGTGGACATAGCCCCCAGTTGCAGAAGTCAAGCCAACGCCAAAGTGCCTTAAATTTGCATTTTTTTCCAATTGGCCAGTAGGGGTGACTGAGCTAGCTGCAAAAAATATCATTACCTCTCAAAGGATTTGCCAGTTTTGTTAATGATTTTTGGGCTCAGTTTTCTTTGAATAATATGAAGTAAAATTTTGGTGCATTGATGAGAAGAATCACCCAAAAAAGCAGAGCATGCTTTTGGGTTATGGTTCTCAACTAGTAGAGCGGGACCTAAAAGTTTGTCATCTAACCATTTTTAGGGGTTTACAGGCATGTGTAGCCCCTTTAAAAACAAAATCTTAAGCTTATAGGACATGTTTCATATGATGTAGCATGCATACATTAGCTTATTCAAACCCCAAGACAGTAGGTGGCAGTAATAAGCTTAAATGCTGGTTGTCAACATACATTTAATGACAGATTTCAGAAATTCGGGTTGCAAATGCCTTTAAGAAAGAGTTGCTGGGTCCTAACGCTAGACCAGTTAAGGGCCAGTGCTTAAAGGGTGGCTACCTTTAAATAAAAATATGCAACATTTATAACCACCCTTTCACCAGTGACTATTTCTGTTGCCAAAAACTAAGCTAAAATGAAATAAACAAGTTGGCTATGGCCTAATTGTTGAACTCACAGCTTGATAAGGAGGTGCTCAGGAACAAGCAAATGAAAACAAGGCTGCTTCATCCATTTCTGCAGTCTTGAAAGAAAAGCTGGGGGATAATGCAAGTCTGTTTTTAACATGTACAGAGTATAAAAACATGGACACCTTAACGCCCCCCTCTCAAAATGAAGCTAAAAGTTTTAGAGCTCTACTTAATGACTGGCTGCAGTCTGCATCATAAAGCCGCCTTCCTGCTAGTTTACATATATGACATTGGCTTGATTGGACAATTTATATAAACATCAAATACATGGTTACTGTCATTTAAGTTAGATCAACCATGATCATTGAAGGTAAAAAGGACAATTTTTTCAATGTTTACAGCAAGTTGAAATTGAAAATATGGCTCTGCTCCATGAGCTCCTTGTCCTTCCATGCACCTAGGTGGAAAGCCAAGCCTAAGGCAGGAAGAGCACACCCCCCTATGATTCATGTGCATGCATAAAAAGCCATGGCAGGGAGGGCAGCAGCAAAGACTACCCAGGTGCACAGCTCAGCATTAGAAATAAGACCAATGAAACTGTGAAAAAGTCAGACATATTCATTGGATGTGTAAGTAAGGGGCAAAGCTGTCAGCTGATGTCATGTGTTCAAGGCTTGACTCCCTTGCCTGCCTGAACTAGCACTAAACTCATTTTGTTATTATACTGATTTATGCTATTTGATGTTAAAAAGAAGGGATGTGGTGTCTTGATTTACAGCTCTGTTACAAATGTGGCTCTTACAGCACTTTTTACCAACTTAACAATCTATTGTGCTGTGGACTGTACCAGCTTGAGTGATTCTTGACATTTGATTGGTCATTTAATTGTGTAACTGTGACATCACCCTGAGCACGCCTTTGTACCAAAATACATTACCAGGATATTGAATTGGCACCGATCAGGACGGTATCTTGGCTTTACTTTTTCACAAGGGGAGCTCATTGTCCATGTTGATATAAAGTCAATGGTATGCAGTGATTTGTTGCTGAAAATCTGTAAAGAAAGTGAAAATGAATGCTGGAGGCCGAGGTCACTGTTTGAGGTTTTTATTTCTTTTTAATAATAAAACATTAAATGTGCCGCATGACACAACATTTTGCATGGAAAACAATGCGAAGACCTTAATCATACATGGTTACAAATTTGTTATAACATGACATAACTCCAATGGGCATACTTGCAATGGTATATATATTTTATTTCTAAAATAAATCATTTTTAATAGTGCCTATTCTTCTCCGACTTGGGGAGGGAGGGGGGAGGGGTCAAACCAAACACCCTGCCATGAAACCCCACAACAGTACTGAAGCTACAGTACGAGACAGACGTATCTCACTCAAACTCATACTAGTGATAAGGTTAAATTCTAAGTGGAGGAAACAAAGAGAGGGCATACATAGTTCAGTTGTGGCATGCTGGATGTCCATGTCACTTCAAAAGGTGGCATCAGGGGATGAGAGCTGCATTGACACAAGAGCTCTGGTGAAAAAGAGGACTGATAAGAAGTCACAAAGAAAATTTAATGTAAATTCTACTTTGGCCTTTTTCATGCTTAAACTAGCCAACCCCTCTGTTTTCTCTGTCCCATCAGAAATGAACGGTGCAATAATATACTGCACTCTATATTGCATTAAGTATGTTACTGACATTACAGTACAGTACACCCTTTATATAAATATTTTAATCAATATGTTGTATAGGTGTTATACAACAAACACAAACTGTATAGTGTAGACAAACTCGTTGCATATATGTATGTAAAATTAGCGGTACATACCAACAGTTCTTGATAGACATAGCCTACTACATGCAGTTCATCGATGCCATCCTCTCCCCATGCAACAGATGGGACAACGTACAAAATAAGAATTTAAAAAGAAAAGGGGGAAAAAAGAACTGAAATGTGCTAGATTCTTCTGAAGAGAGGGACAAAAAACATAAAAGTGATCCAGTTTGGGAGACAACATCACACACAGCTGAAAAACACAAAGAAAATAAAGACGAATAAAGAAAGTAAAAACAAATCAAATGAACAAAAAAAGAAAACAGATGTACAGTTACACACCGATCATTTACAAAAATAAAGTCAGCCTTGCAGGGCTGGAGCAGCAGCCAGCCCAGCATGTAGAGTTTGTAAGAATGGATGGTGATTGGCTGGAATCAGGGCCGAGACTCCGCCCTAAATACAGCAGTTTTGAGTGCGCCATTTCTCTTTCAGCACTAACAGCTTTGTATACGGACGAGTTTTGAACTGATGTGCTTTAATGTCCTGTAATCAGAAATGGTCACGTGTAATCCCAATAAATTATATTCACCAAATCAATCTTCTAGAATAGTTGCAGTTTTAGCAGCACACAGCATCTACACAACTCTCTAAATCAAACAAAGCTATTCAGAGATAAACCTTTAAAAAGCAAGACAAAGGTTATGAAGTGATCGATCAGGTAGGGCTTTGATAAACCTCTAACAGTCATGATGAAGATGCAACAACAGAAAGTGCAATGTGTGTGTATATGTGTGTGTGTGTGTTAGTGTGCTGGAGCCTACAACATGCCCATTCAAATCCAAAACACACTAAACTTTCGGGATCTCAAACTCAACACAGAGCGAAGAACCGTACCCATACCTTGTTCCTTATAGAAAATACATGCATGTGATTAATTCAAGGTATACTGTACGTACTTCTTCCAAAAAATGACATCAGTCGAGACCTCTCGGGGGGGAGAAAGGGGTCTGAGCAGAGTGAGATCAGTCGCACAGGACAAATGCTATCACAGTGAAAGCTTCGATGGGTTGAATAAAGAGAGAATCAGATCTGTTGTTTTTTTTCTTAAGGAGTCGGTTCTTCTTGGGATGGAAAAGACTTTGGTCATTTCAGAATGAGTACATCTGAGTGTGTATGTGTATGTGTGTGTGTGTGTGTGTGTTTTTATGGATAATGCTACGTGTCCTCTACATGGATGTATCGGGTGGGTGAGGCACCTTTGGCCCAGTGGGGACTGGGAACCTGTTTTTGCATGCCGGGAATCAAGGTCCAAACAGGCACGTGATAGGCCAAGATGATCTGGACTCTGCATGCTGAGCTAGGAGACAAATCCTCTTGTAGTAATAATAATAATAATAATAATAACAATAATAATAATAATAATATCTAGTCATTTAAAAAGTTTTTAATAGTCATTTTCCCTAAGTTTTATACAGTGAAAATGTTACAATATAAGCCATCTCTTGTATAACTGCTGCAAGAAGAGAGAACACAATATTAACCTTGCCCATGCTTTAGTTTGCTGAAACCAAATAGGGATGCAGCCAATATAAATGTCGCCCACTTGGTTTTCAGCCATGTTGTTCTGGCTCTAAGTAGGCGCTGCCTCAAGATGGCTGCCAGTGCTGCAGTTAGAGACCATCTGGGTCAAAGCCACAAGCCTTGCCTCGCAGTCCAAAGAAGTCAGTGAGTGAGGGACGGAGGCCTACAAGGCCTAGAGATATTCCTAGAGCCCACGCTCGGAAATAAGCTTAAAGAAAAATAGACTTCAGGTTTTTTCTATTTACCAGAGGAGGCGGATTGAACCGCTGGTGGGACTTAAATAGTGATATGTATACACCATTCCTTTACAGCGCTCTCCCACCCACACACACATCTGTTTCTAGAAGTGTGTGTGTGCGTGTGTATGTGTGTGTGTTTGTGTGTGTGTGTGCAGGGAGCTCCTTGCATTGATTGCAGTGGCGGTAATTAGCACTTCATCAACTATGATTGCAGGAGCTATCTGCCAGCCTCCAGTGTGTTTTTATCAGCTGTAAAAAGCAACATCTCGGATTTTCCCCACAAACTTTTACACGTCTGTCTGTGTGTGTGTGTGTGTGTGTGTGTGTGTGTGTGTGCATGTTGTAGGCGAGAAGAAATTTTGGATTTTTTATTTTTATTTTTATACATGTTTGTTTTCTTTTTATGCCACATCTGTGTGAATGTATTTCTTAGAAAATCACACAACTCCCTTGCAAAATTGTTTTTATCTTTTCTAGGTTACTTGACAAAGAGAAAAGTGTGTGACTAGAGATAGAAAGAGAAGGAGAGGGGAACATACTCGTAAAAAATAGAGGACAACAGTCCAAATATTTACTCTATCTATACAGTCTCTATCCCAGAACATAGCTGGTGAACTGTGGTATAGAAAATAGATCTGAAGGTACACAGACTCTGCTGCGACAGGGCATTATAGAGAGGAGGAGAAGGAGGAGGAGGAGGAGGGAAGTTTCTTGAATGAACCGTCAGCAAGCGAAGTACCACGAGCGCCGTGAAATATGAATTCTCACAGTTTTCAGAGGAATCTAAAGGCATTCCATGATCGGAGGTCCTCTCCCCTCCTGTGCTGGAGAAACTCTGCCCCCCCCCTCAGAATCCGACGAGGACGAGGCGGGGAGAAAAAGAGGAAGGAGGAGCAGAGATAGGAAAGAAAGGGAAGGAGGTTTGCCTGGATCTGATCCGCAGAAGAAAAGAGGGTCTGGAGTCTAGTCAAGAGAAGCCCTGCCTCCTGCCCTCTGAACACACACACACACCGGGTACCCTCCAGGTGTGGCTATGTGGGGGGCTTGTCGGGCTTGCTGACAGGTTTACCTCCGTTCATCACCGCCGGCTCACTTGTGCTTTTACTGGGAGGTACCGCGGCCTTGGGCACTGTCTCCCCTACATCATGCAACGATGGCTCTCTGTACATGGCAACTGGAGGAGGGGAGAAAAAGGAGAAAGCAGAGTGGAAAAAGGAAACCTGTTAGACAGAGTTCACCTTTTCAACATTAAAATTCTGAAAGTACTTCACATACAAAGATGTTTGTTTTGATTGCTCATACTTGATCTGCATAAAATCTCAAATATTACCATAAATTCTGATGAAAAATGGATCTATAATGCTGAGAACGGCTGTACAAAAACCTCAAAAAGAGCTATTACTGAACATCTGGACATAAGAATTCATACTCAAGTGAAAAAATGTCCAAATTCCTGAACAACCGTGACATCTGCAGATGCAAATCAAGTTAGCTCATGGTAACTATCTTTCTAAGTCATTCCTCTTTAATTCTTATGATAAACTCATCACTGATATCTGTTGTACTGCATTATTAAAATCTAATTAAACATGTGAGAAGTACATCCACCCAAAGTGGCAAAAACAGTTATTCTCATGACTATAAGCACTTAAATTGGCTTAACTCTATGATATCAACCAATTAACAAAGCAGTATTTATTTTGGCAAGGACAAAAATGCTGCAAAATTATAATGTACAAAAACTGTTCAAAAGTAAAATCCTGCTAAAAGTGTTCTCCAAAGTCGTCTCTCTTGACAGTGCTCTCAAGGCGCTGTTAGTTGAACACTCTCCTCCTTTTTTATGGCTCACAGACAAAGATTGTGTTTAACTTTGCAACAGAGCCAAAAGAAGGTTGAAGAATTGATGCCAGGAAACAGTGAAGTGACTCTTAAAAGTAGTGGATAAATGACGACACACGCTAAATTAATGTACTGAGATCCCTGTGTGCAATTGTGTCTTATAAAGTATAATAAGTATCATATCCTGAGTTACTCTGTAGTTACAGCCTCTGTCCACTGGGGTAGAATTTCTCTGCGCTGTGTTTAATAGAAGAACAATGTTGGAGTCAAATATGCTCGCGTTTTGGCAGAGTCAGGCATCTTTAGTAGGGATGTCCCGATCCAATACTGATATTGGATATCGGTCCAATATCAGCCAAAAAAAAAAAAAAGTCTTCATGGAAATGCAATCAGACCGAGACGCTAAGGCAGAAGAACTACCGCGTCTGCAGTGCAAAATGATTAATATGATGATTATTACTTCAAGGAAGTGATAAAGAAATGATCATAAATGTTCTTCCTTGAGCTGCGTCACCCCGCTGCATTCGATGGACTCCCCCAGAGGTCTCCGTACAAATAAGCGACTGCTGGAAGAGAGTGGGTGAGTTGTGTTTAGTCTCTTTACTGAAGAAATCAGGCAAAGCTAAAAAGATGTTTTGGGGCTAGTACTTTGGCTGGGACCCTATATGTACTGTTGAAGAAGTTAGGTGCTGTTCTGAGCATTATTTGTCGGCAACATTTATCTCTCAATGGGGTGTCTAACTCGGTGTTATGGTGTGTTTGACCTTAACTTAATTTTACGCCGGAATATCCCTTTAAGCAAGGAGGAGTGATGTTGGCTGTGTGGCAGTAAATTTTGTTTAAGTCCGAAAGAGATGTTGCAGCTGAGTGCAACACTTGTCATGCACAAGTTTGTACCAATATTAGATCAATGCCGGTATTGGCCAATACTGACATCTACAATATCCATATCATATTGGAAGTAAAAAAGATGTATTGGGACACCCCTACTCTTTAGTTGCATGGGTTTTAATTCAACATTGAGGACTTCAGAATAGTTCAGATGTCTGCCTTTCAAGTAGAGGAGATAGGAGGGACATACTTGCACTAACAGCATTTGCTGCTGCTGCCTTATCAAATAGTTTCATTGTGATCCCCAAAAGCTGCTACGAGGGAATCCTTTAATTTCCAGATGCCACTAAGCTGATAGATTTTTTGCCTCTGGACGTCGTGATACCATCCTGACTTGCTGATTCTGAATCTAAGCACACATTTTTAACCAAACAGCAAAAAGTATCTCATTATCCTCCACTTTGCAGCCACTAGACTCCAGCTGTATCATGTCTTGACAGGACACTTCAGCTTGATTCCACATTTCAATGATGGAAGCAATCAGGCTGGTGGCTGACGAGAGTGAAGGTGGCATCTGCTGGACCATCAACATTTCAAGTTGCACTTACAGAGCCGCCCTGCCTCCTAATCTGTACGCTTACTGCAGCGACATAATGGATCAGCATAGATGTACAGAAATAAGTCAAATATGGAAATTTCAAGTGGTTCCTGCTTTAATAAGTACAAGAGTTCATCTCATGTAATAGGTATTGTTTGTACTGTACAAAGGAAAGTCAATTTTTTTCTGATTTTACTTTGTGGCCCAAATTTATTCATGTCTCCACCTGAAAGCTACGATTCCTGCAGCGAGAGGATGCCATTGTTTACAGTAAAAAGGTCTCTTGCCATGTTGACAGCTGAAAAATTGCTTGAGGTACTAAAAAGTGCAGAGAAAATGGGAAGGAAATGCTAATTACGCCCCCTGAGTCCCTCTATGTAACAACAAAACAAAACACAAAGCTGTTATGCTTTTTTGTAGAGCAATTTTTGGTATTATTAATTTATTTTAACTCTGACTTTACCTGTTTTTCAAAGGTCAGCTCAACACAAAACATTGAATTATTGGATTACTCCTCTGTTATACAAAGCGATGATTGTGTCCAAGAATGTGTGTCTCTGCAGCACAGCACAATCAAACTGAAGATATCTCAAAATCCACAGAGATTCTGGGGTATTTCGAGCCAAAGTGAAAATGCACATTATTTTTGGATTTGGCTGATCTGACTCATTATAATCTAAGATAAAGATGATTATATTGGCAGATTTCCTTCGAGGCACATACCTTCTAATGGCTTGGGCAGGAAGTGAGCAGCTGGTTTTGTTTTTTTCACCCGGTTCCCCTTCATGGCTTGTCCCTCTTTGTTGAGCCCTAGGAACCAAGCCCTCCCCGACTCCTGTTGTCTGTACAACATGGACGAGTAGATCACATAGTAGTTCTCGAACACCGACTCTTTGAACTTGCACTCCGCTGTAAAGAGTTCCTGCAGAGACAAACACAAGCACCATACAGCTTAGAAATACGACAACGAAAACAGAGAGGATTCAATTTGACTAAAACATGTGAAACACAGTCCAGCAGATTCTCATGAATGATGCATGTGTTATACCAGATTCATTCAGACTTATCGAAGGTCACTGGGATAAATTCCAACTTTATTTCCCCACTGAGAATGCATGCATTAACGTCATGGCCATTGGCTGTAAAAAGGTGAACGACATGACAGTGTTCTCAAAATGAGGCCAAGACATTTTTAGCTCTCTGTGGCTGCCGGTCAAGAACTTGCCTCTGTTATGTTAACAGACAGGAAATGATTCAAACTTTGAAATCAAAATATAGGATAGGGCTGGGTGATAAACCTAAAATTTACAGATACCAAAATTTACGACAATAACTGACATAATTTTGCCCATATCGGTAAATTTGGTGTCAAAGAAATTTAATAAATAAAAGTTGGTTTTGGTAGTGTAGGTGGGCTATGGTCACATGTCCCTTTAAGAAGCTGTCCTACGTCAGAGACACGACTCCACCCCAGTTCATAACAAAGAGGGAAAGACAGGTGAGGGGATGGAGGACGGTTCAAAAGATGTAGCGGCTGAAATAGACAGAGTTAATGTGGGAGGGGTCGAGCAGCTTGTCAAGTAGTTATTGTCCATTTATGCTGCGTTCCAGTTGTACTCGGAAGTCAAGTTTTCCGAGCTCCGAGTCAGAAATTCATCTGGAACGCCCCCCTGTAGTCAGATTTCTAACTCAGAAAGTCAGACGATCCTTGCCAACCCTGATTTGACGACAACGTCATAATTCAAGATAGCAGCGCAGAGCATCACCAGTTAAGAGTAACAGTAACTCTCATAGTGTATTATTTATTAGCACTTCTGCTTTGTTTTGGTGAAACTAAATAAGTGGTATATGTTGTACTGCCCAATGTCTAACTGTGAACACGGTGCTATGGTTTTTGTAAAGTAAAATACTTTGTTGTGTGTTCTGTACAACTGGTATCGCACAACTAACAAGAGCTGTTAATGGTTAACGACAGCTGACAATTGTAAACAACAGCTAACAACGGCTAACCGTCCATCTTGGTTTTCTGACTTTTTAACTGGAACGCTGTCAACTCAGGTGTGATGTCATTCCCATCTCTGACATCCGACTTCAGAGGTAACTGGAACACAGCATTATGGGTATCAAGGTGAACTGCTCAATATATCCTGATATTGATTTGAGGCTATATCGCCTAGCCCTAATATAGGATGTTATTTCAAAAACTGAACATAATGATTGACAGCTTTGTTGACAAACGGTCCCTGCTTCAGACTGACTCAAGACGCTGTGGCCAGGCTAATCTAAGGGATCATCTCAGTCAAAGCTCTACCAGTCACTCCCGATGTTCAGACTCTTACTCTGACTACATCATCAGCTCCTGACGACAACCTTGGCTGATGGAAGAATGAAGCAAATGCAGCAGTATAATAAACCGCAGTTTCTTTGGTGTCCACTGGATCCAAACGCCAAGAGCATCTTGTTAAATAGGACAACAAAAAAGAGACAGGACATTTGGGGAGCAGAAAAACCGGTGACCACCAAACAAAGGGCCATGGTCAAGTTTCATTTACAATTCTGAAACCAATGAGAAGAAAACTGACACTCTCTGTGGGTTATGGGTGTTTTGGCTTCACTTTATGCGGGGACACCTCATCCATCTTTAATCACAACCAATGTCCACACTGGGCACAGAAAAGGCCTTACCAGGTGGACTGGACTTCATACCTCCACCTGTCTTGAAAAGGATGAGCGCTGCAGAGTCTGTCTCGCTGTAATCACGTCTGATTTAAACCTAATGACCTGCTCTGATGAAATGCAACTCTCCCCCTCTCCTTGGCCTTCACCTTGGCTTTAGTTGTAAGAGAACTCGTTTAGTCAATTAGATCATGTTCCCTGTTGAAGGTATATATTGTTAGGCACTGACCCTGCCACCCCAGCTCTGGAGATATCAGCACTTCTCCACCCTGGATGTCGAGCAGGGTGCTTCTGCCCTGTTCTGAGATTTCCTCTAATTGGTAAAACCCAAAGGAAATCATTCTTTCCAAATAGCACATCCTCCATTAGTAATTTGTCTATGACTGCCTTCTGAACTTAGTAGGAATAATGATAGGACTAATCCAGTGACTCCTTCATCCTTTAAAGCTCAATCTGGCAATGACGGATGAACGCCGGGGCAGCACATCTCTCTCCGCTGTTGCCTATTCATCTCCAAGCAGAAGGGTAATAAAAAGCGTTTCCACATTGTCCGCCCCGCCAGGCTAAAAATAAAGGCATTCATCGGGGTGTATTAATCAAAGCGCACTCATCTCAATGTTTCACCACATCTGTTTTGAGCAGCTCACATGGAGCCGGCTCAGAACTACTGACAGTGACTGTAATAACCCTGTAAAGGCTTTTTTTTAGAGTTTGGTCAGGAGTTTTTGAGGGGAAAGGGACAAAATAAAGGGTAGGTATATTTATTATAGGTTTTGTTATAATATTTATTATTTTTTATAGGAGATCACATGTACTTTTATATTATATCGTCTTATTAAAACTAGACAATATCCAAATTATTATAACTTATAAGCAGCTATGAATAATTTAAAACCCTTTTAGATCAACAAAAACACTTTTTTGTGCACTATTTAAAGAAGGTTTGAATGCGTTTGTCTCTCTGAATCTCACTGATATATCTGCTTAAATATGAAATAGGTGATTGTGTATGAAGAATATACCTTTGTATGGCTGCAGCTTGGGCATTATTGTCTGAAATGGATATCCCTGAGCTAATACTGTACAACAAATCTCTGAACCAATCACCTG